CCGTAGCTTAGGAAAGCTTGCAATATCAGGAACATTGGCACAGTGGCTGAAGTGAATCTCTTCACCCCTTTTATTGCAGAATCCTATACTAGAATATCTTGGGTAAACTCAGTAAATACTTTAATAATCATACTTACTTCTGAATCTATTTTAATAAATCTTTTTGCTGTCGATCTGATTCACTAGTGTGTTGATCCCAATATCTTAGTCTCAAGATCCCACTATATTAATTTTGTGGCGACTGAAAGGTGGCGTTTTTGTTTATGGACTATAAAATCGCTTGTTGCGGAACTAAATCTATTTGTAGACACATAATTTTGTAAAGTGCACTAGTAACACTATAAATAGATAAAGATATAGTGTTACCCAACTTAAAACAATTACTACAATATCTCCAAATGTGGTATATGACTAGAATACATAAAGCGCCGCTTGTCACGCAACAGACATGCACTAGCGTCTTAGAGATGTACCGACGAGACAATCTGAAGGCCAATTTCGTTTCTTGAGAGATAATCTCGAAATAGAGATTGTGATTCGAATCCTTTCTCTACTATAAAATCTCGATATTCGAAGTCATTTTCTCGAATTACGCATTCTCAGCACAAATCGAGATATAATATACAATCTCGGGTGTAAGAGTACAATATTGCCATTTTTTAAATGTACTACAGTAACTATTTACCATCAAAAAGACTGTGTGCTCGTTTGTCACCTTTATGGTATAAAAAACCTCAGCACAGCACTAGTAGCGTCGCGTGCTCACTGCGCCGGCGCATCGTGATGCGCATATGAGCTCGCTCCCGCCTGCGCTGCGTCGATTTTACCCGGATTTGATGTTTTCGTCGCCGGAACGAGAACGTATTACAATAGCAAATTTAGACAATGTGGGACGGTTTTCGAAACCTCAACTCGGTTAAGTTGACTGTATAGAAACAGGCAGATTAGGTTAAGTCTATTGGGAATTCCATGCTTTTCATTGCATGTCATGTTTTATGCATGAATAATGGACTTACTTGTGAATGAAATTCTATCTATTGGTGGTGTGTCTATCTTGTATGGGACCTGCTGTGAAAGTAGTGAGAAAATAACATCCTGAGAATAATCAATTAAATATAATACGAGTATGTATGTATACATGTTTCTTTTTTACTTTTCGTAATTTTTTGACAGCCAAAGATTTAGTAAAATTAATGATAGTAAAATAAAAAGAAAATTTGATGATGTTTCAAGAGGGGCACTGCTGCCCATCCCTCGACCATTAAGTTCCCTTAGTCGTCTACGACACCCAAGACAATAGAAGGGGTGGTCTATTCTATTCCGAGACCACACGCCCACAAAATACGTCTATACCAAATTGCATAAGCCATTAAGGTAAAAAGTAACAAACAAACTCATTTTCACATTTTTTATATTATTAAGAATATTTATTTTGTCCACGTTAATAAAAAGTGAGGTGTATATTAAAAAATATATATATTTTTAAAAGGAATGAGTGTCGCCAATAAACTGCTAAGTATTTTAGCGATTTTTATAATGGTAACTGTGCAATTTTGATTGTTAAATAAATAAATAACAATCATATAGACCTATCGACGATCCGGAAAAGAAACGTACTCTAAATTAAAAAAAAATTGTCTGATTTTTTTTATTTTTTGCTTTATATATATATATATATATATATATATATATATATATATATATATATATATATATATATATATATATATATATATATATATATATATATATATATATATGGACACTACAACGGTAACACGTGGCGAAGGCTTCTAAGTACCCTATTATGGTTTATAATTGTGTACATACATATTTGTCTTAAAATTACAATATAAAAACTTCCTCGAATATACAGCGAGATTTATAATAAAAATAAATGTATTAATAATATAACCACGCTAATGCGATACTAATCTACAAGGAGCCGAGCTAACGAGCGGACTTGTCAGCGGTTATCGGACATGCGCGCGCGCACGGCACAGCTCGCTGTGCTGCCGCCGAGCTATGCGGAACTGACTGATTGTACGCACGATTGGCATGTACCTACACGCTACCCGCCAGGCTATGAGCTATGGACACGCGGCAGTCTATAATAATACCACATAACAATAAAAAGAAAAACATAAGATCCATTCCAATAAAACAGACTCGGATAAAAACAGCACTTTTTATTTCAAATCAGGATATCCCTACTACGTAATACTGCGGTATGGGGTTCTTCAAAAAGAGTATTATATTAAGGATTTTTCAGGGTTGGCAACGCGCACGTGACACCTCTAGTGTTGCGGTGGGAAAGGGAATGTTGGCAATGGAGTTTGACAGACCCATCGCTAGCAATATGCCCTATTAGGCAGCTTCTAAATTATCCCGATCGGAACTTATACAAAAAGAGTCCAATCTGTAAAGATACCCTTTCAGATAAAAAAAAATCAAATGAGTTTACAATAGATGGAGTTATGAAGTAACAAATATAAAAAAAATAGAGACGAATTGAGAATGTACTATGAAGGTTAATATTTGTACAACATTATTACTAAATGCTAATACCAGAATATCAGTGTTTTGCTCTTTTTAGGGCAAAGCAAAAAGCTGAGTTGTGGCCATTTTGCATTACTGTGGCACACGCGTGAAGAAAAAAATTTTTATTATGCATTCTGATTTTGTTTTTGGTTTTTTTTTTTAAATCTTTTGTACATGTACCTTTTTTTCTTTTTTCACATTGCTTTTGTGTCTTTTGCTGTTTGTGTGCTGTAAGTTATGCAAATAAATTATCTATCTATCTATCTATCTACCTTATCGTGAAGTCTAATGAACCAAAGTACAACAAAAGTATAAAATGTACTATCCTTTATAGTACATTTTATATTTTAAATCCGTATCTTAGTTACGTCGTTCTTATCATAATTTATAAATGTACAATAAAATTGGCAATTTTTCCATTTAAAACATTAGAGGCGTGCGTGCCGTGAGAAACCACACTTCATTATTTGCAATACAACATAATTACAGTGAGCAATGTGTTTTTATTGCCCGCGCCATTTTGTATTTTACGATCGAAAGTTTCTAAGCTGCCAGTTACCATAAAATATTATTAATATATGTATACAAACATATGTAAGGTAAACTTGTCATATAACAAAAAAATATATCTATCACTACGCTAAGTCCTATGCCAGGTAGGCAGAGACGACCAATCGTAACTTCTTGGATACACATCTTGCTTCGTATTCCACACATTATTATTTCACTCATACGTGATTGCAAATAATTTAATTCAATCATTAATTAGAGCAGGAGTTCCTAATCTTTTAAACGCCCACCAAATATCTTTAATTTTATAAACCAGAGGGAGACTTTGTACAAAATTCGATTGCTTGGGTACCTCTGTCCCATTCGTGTTTCAACCGTGAAGCAGTTGTGTTTGCATGGCTGTGTTTCGGTTTGAAGGGTGGGATATGGTGTGAATTTACTGGATACAGAGGAATAACACCTGAGTCCTCAGGAATGGCAACGCATGGGGGGTATCGTGGGCGAAACAGTATACTCTGTTATGTGCATGGTACTGCTCATGTCTATAGGCGACGGTTACCACTTTCCATCAGGTGGGCCGTCAGCTTGTTTGCCATTCTAAGTTGTATAAAAAAAAAACAAATCAAAAACACTATAATTTAAATAAGAACTAATGCTTTTATTAGAAATATTTTAAAAGTATAACACTTTATAGTTTTCCTTTAATTTTTTATGTGAAAAATGAAATTGTTTCACTGTATAAATAATTTCATGGAACCCTTCGCGTAACTTTTTTACAGAATCCCTAGGGTCCGCGGAACCCACTATAGGAATCTATTTCTAATAGATTTAAATTTCTAGAAAATTCACATCTCCCCTCTTAAGGAGAGGAGGTGGCAAACTAACCCCCGGCAGAAGCACAGTCGGCCCGGGTTCAGGGCCCCAGGGAGAGAAACCGGCGTACAATGCGGGCAGTATCTAAGAGCACCGCTTTCTGTATCTTTCCCGGGAGTGAGCCGCCTCGGAATCCCAACCGCCTGAGATGTTGTTCCAGACTGGTTGGGATAAGACCGTTCCCCGACAAAACGATTGGAATGATTTCGGTGGACGTCACCCCCCACATTTCGGTCACCTCGATTTTAATTATTGTTATTATAAATTTTGTTTATGTTGGACCATAAAACAGTAATATTGCAATACTGTCAAAGTAACCCCTCAGAATCGACCCTAATATCTTACTAGTTTATTTACTGTATTTTAAACAAATCTGTGCAACCCGGCATGATTAAGTTCTACAACCACGGCGTGGTTGTAGCTATGTGTCGACGACCGCAAATCCATGTCTAATTATGAGGTATGAAGGGTACAGGTATTTTTGTTTATAGGTAAATTAGAAAAAAAATAACGATGAGCTTAAACTGCTTACAAGTAAAGGTCAAGACGGTCACGCGCGGTCAGTTAGGATACGATCACATTTTAATCATTTATACTTAATTTAAATTAACGAAATAAAAAACCTGGTTAATTGCTTGAGAATTTTTATAAACAAATAATGAACAGTGTTGTTTGTTTATGATTAATAAATGTGTTTTATTTCCCATGACTTTTATGTTTATATGAGATGATAAAAGAAGATGGCAACACTGCATAAAAGATTGGAGTGCCGAGGTTTAAGTGGGGTATCATTGAACCAATAAGATATCGGTAAAAACGCTGAATAAAATGTAAATTCCTGAAAAGATTTCTATGTATAGAATCTCATTAAAATCCTTATAACATCCGAGACACATTGACTATAATTTTTTTTAATAGTTCGTTGTTTTTTTTTAATTTGCAGAGCAAATATTGTTTGTTTTTTTCTTTTTCCGTCAGGGGATACCATCATAAACATGCTGGCAGGTGCCGGGTAAGCTAAGGTTGCTTATATATATAATATCTAGATCTAGCTTCTTAATGCTATTTCCACATACCGTAGTGGCGTGGTGAGCGGGCAGAAGCACGACTGGCGCGTGGTGCCTCCTCGGCTTGCGTACACCGGGCCGCCGGCGGCCGCCCGTCGTGGCCGTGGTCAGCACGCTGTGGTGGCGGCCCAGCCAGTGCGTCACCAACTTCTCCTTGCTATTCGCGCTGCCGTACTCCGGGCCTGAAGGCGACGTGTCCGTGCTATCCTACAGTGTACAATGATATAAGCATTGGTTAGATAATTATTGTAACAGCCACGTTTCTAAGAGATAAAAGGTAATGATTGCTGTTTAAATTTTCGTTGGCAGTTTAATAAAATAAAGCGGAAATCGAGACAAGGGCATATCTATATCGGATCTGATTAAAATTTAATTCTTTTCCAGTCTTTTATAAATGCTACAATTACACAAAATGCCTTGCTCTTAAATTAAAAAACCTATCCTGTATTATGGAAACCAGACTATGAATACCAAAGGGTTTATGTCTTTAAATTATTCTAGAACACCCAAAACTAGGTCAGTTTAAAAAAAATAATTTAAACCTAAGTAAGGATCAAACAGGAAACTTCATATAACTAAAATGATCAAATCTGAATAGAATATTTCCATATTTGTAAATATAGTGTGCAAGAGACGAGTTATAATATACAGTAACTAAAGCAAACGACGTATAGGAATGTGAACTTTGGCGCTTGCCTATCTCTACCGACCCCAAAGGGACATGGCGTGAAGATAGACAATAGCGTTAATTTTCACATACGACGAACAACTGAAGGTCAACGATTGAATCAATTCGGATTCACTACAAAATCGATTGTTCACGAACAATTGTTGGAAAGCCACGCATTGTGCACGAGCCGGTGACTAGTAAGCAATATTCTCAACTGTTATAACACAATGGTTATTATTATGTTTGTGATATCTATTGTACTCGCACGGGGACATGGGGTCAAGTTGTCATAGGACGATAACCTGAAGAAAAACAATAGACTCCAGGCAAAAAACTTAATTGTTATACCTGATTAGTCGAGTAGTATCTAGGAAGGAGATACTAGGTTTGCATGAAATGTAATAAGCTTTTCTTCAACTATTAAACATAGTGAACAAGATTTCGGCTAACTATATAGGTAATTGGCGATTATAACTCTGAAAATTACATGTATTACAGAATAAAAAATTACATACATGGCCATCATAATCATGAAAACTCAATAATGTCTCCACTACAGGTTGTAATTCTCGAAAGAATTGTTAGTAATGCGGTCTCTCAATCCCATCGCTAGCAATACATCCTATCAGGTTGACCTCCACGTGATTCCTTCTGGAAACCATCGTGCTGAATTCCAGGTGAAATCATCACAATGGGCTAACTGACCTGCCTTTTCATTCTCACCTATCATCCCTCACTGGTGCCCCGCCAGCGTATACCGTTAGCGCAGGCGGGGTTACCGTTCTATTATCAGCCATTAAAAAAGAAATGTCGTAGGTCTCTCTCCTTGTAAGATGATTGACTATGATCTTTTTTTGCCATTTGATATTCGTCAAATGATTTAAACTAAGTTTTCTCCTCCCCTTGTGTGTATTGTAGTTTTTCCCTCAGTCGCCTGTTATGACATCCTAGAAATGACAGTGTATTCTGTCCATATCTATCTACAGTACTATTTAAGTTTACAGATGATGGTTACCACTTACCATCAGGTGAGAAGTCAGCTTATTGGCCAGTCCAAGTCATATAACAAAGCAAGCAATAAATTTCTTGTTAGGTTTTTTTTATTACACCAGTAAATGAAACCTACCTTCTTTTTCTTTAACGTCTCCCCCTGCAGCTTCACCTCTAAATCCTTACATAGCTCCTGACTCCTCAGCTTCTCATCGTGCACCCTCTTTTCATCCACATGTATCACATATGGTTGAGTCTTGAATGTTGGATCAAACTGGTTGTGGTCAAACGCTTGCTTCGGCCGGAAGCAGGGGCAAATACGTTTGGAGAGATGATAGATGCTGACGATGCACACCAGGCAGTGGACGCTGGCTATGATGAGCAGGGCGATGTTTGTAAGAACAGGCGTCCACGCTTCCATTTCATCCTGACAACAAAGTATATATTATAAAACTTATTTTTATGTTACACAATCATAACAATAATTCCCGTGTGGTCCCGGCATAGAATGGGCCACCCCTTTCTTTCCCGTGGGCGTTATAAAAGGCGAATAAGAGAACTTAATAGTCGAGCGAAGGGCAGCAGTGTCCCTCTTAAAACATCACCAAAGCCTAACTGCGGTTGTTAATTCTGTGCCAGCAATATAACATACCCTGAGCAAAATTCGATTAACATGCATTTTGGAGACTCCACTGCACAATTTATTTGTATATTGTAACTAGATTTGTTGCAGGTCCATGTTGTTTTTTTTTTTTTATAAAATTAATTTTAATTACTATAAATTAAAATATCAATCTGAAATACTCGTATATAAAACGCCTACAGAGCAGATGTCGAAGAAGTACTCAATGGCGGCGAGTGTTCATCGGCCACGTTTGACCTCTCGCCACGCCGTGGGAACCGAATCGTGACTCACTGCCGCACTTTTGGTTAATCCGCCAATTAATCTAATTATAATATCACAAATCGCTTTTTTCTTTATTTATAACAACAAGAATTTAATTAATATAGACGCTTGAAAATCTTCGAAAAATAAAAGTAAACAAAACAATCGGAAAACAGTTGGGAAAAGTGGCAAATACGTACTAAAAGAACTTCTTTTAAGGATTTTTTATTAGCAAATGTACACGTTGAAACTATCGTAATGTTTAAAAAGCAACACTTTAACCAAAATATGCTCGCCACCTTACCCGCAAAACCGAAAATGTACGTTTATACGCCATAGAATTATCCTACTTTTATAAATGCGAAAGTTCGTAAATATAAATGAATGTTTGTTACCCTTTCAAAAACTACGAAACAAATTTATGTTACTAGTAGAAATTGTTTTGTCAAATTCCTTTATCAGTTACAGTTTGTTTTTTAATGTTGAATAGGTTTCGCCATGAGAATAGCGATATAAATAAAAAACTAACAGACTTGAATTTTGATAAAATTATTATAGTAGGACCTACAGGAGAGTGAATGAATTATTTTGCTTGTAAAACAATTGTCAAAATCGCTTCAGCATTAATAGAGATCTCAAATTATGTGCACACGAATCTACTACTGTTCTTACAAATGCGCAAGTTTGTGAGGATAGATCTTTTTTTTATACAACTTAGAATGGCAAACAAGCTGACGGCCCACCTGATAGAAAGTGGTAACCGTCGCCTATAGACATGAGCAGTACCATGGACATAACAGAGTATACCGTTTCGCCCATGATACCTCCCCATGCGTTGCCATTCCTGAGGACTCGGGTGTTATTCCTCTGTACCCAGTAAATTCGCGCAATATCCCACCCTCAAACCGAAACACAGCCATGCAAGCACAACTGCTTCACGGTTGAAACACGAATAGGACAGAAGTACCCAAGCAATCGACTTTTGTACAAAGTCTCTCTCTTCAGTCGTACACTCTTAACTTGGTCGTGGTTTTCATGATTATAGTGAATTGTCGATAAGGCTCTTCTTCACGATTGAGGTCCTCGCAATGTGTTTCCATCTATTTCCGCTCACAGCCGAGCGAGAGCATTCCACAATAGAATACTGGAGATGGATGGATACTTATTAATCTTTCACGCAAAAACTTCTGAACGGATTTAAAGGAAAATTGGTGCACAGATAGGGTATATCCTACATTAACACATTTACAGAGGAATAACACCTGAGTCCTCAAGAATGGCAACGCATGGGCGGTATCATGAGCGAAACAGTGTACTCTGTTATGTCCATGGTACTGCTCATGTCTATAGGCGACGGTTACCACTTTACATCAGGTGAACCGTCAGCTTGTTTGCCATTCTAAGTTGTATGAAAAAAAAAAATATTACTTTATATACTGATTCATGCAGTTAAAACCGCGGGAAACAGCTAGTAACACATACATTCAAATTGATAACCTCCAGTTTTTTAAGTCGGCTCAAAATTACTGAAATGAAACTGTTAATTTATCTAATAATTTAGTGATATATTTCAACAAAACAAAATGTTGGTAAAAATTAATTACACCGCGTCCATAGCGCAGTAATTTACTGTAAATCCGTGAGTGTTGCGGTGTCTGTGTATCATTAGAGCTAATCGTCGGATGATCGTAAAAACCTTGACCGCACATCGTCGTGCATACCGCGAGACACACGCAGAGCGAGTACCTACGTACTGGAATAACGACCAAATAACTCACGAAATTACTTGCAAATTACAGTGTTTATTATTTTAACTATTAACTACTGTACTTATGTTTTTTTACACAACTTAGAATGGCAAACAAGCTGACGGCCCACCTGATGGAAAGTGGTAACCGTCGCCTATAGACGTGAGCAGTACCATGGACATAACAGAGTATACTGTTTCGCCCATGATACCCCCCATGCGTTGCCATTTCTAAGAACTCAGGTGTTACTCCTCTGTATCCTATAAATTCACTGTCATATCCCACCCTTCAAACCAAAATACAGCTATGCAAACACAACTGCTTCACAGTAGAAACACGAATGGGACAGAGGTACCCAAGCAAAGGACTTTCGTACAAAGTTTCCCTCTGGTGTACACCATGTACACTTATCTCTGTGTTTACAAGTATATATGTCTTCATACTAAGTCCGTTGCAAGGTAAGCAGAGTGAACTAAGTACCAAAAGCTCCTATCCCTACATATATCTCTTCTTTCAACAATTCTCATAACACGCCATATTATTAGGCTGCATGATCTACAAAATCCTTTACTAACAACGTTATAGTACTGTAGTAAATCAACACAAATGATTTTTATAAAACTAGAAATCAATATTGGTATCTATTGAGCGATCGTTTAACATAGCCATGCTCATATTTCACTGTCGTTTATCAAAAAAAATAAATAAAAAATTATTAGAACTCAAAGAAATCACCTATTTACATATCATTGGACAGTTGACCGGTTCAGTGGGACACATAACTGTGCAATATTGGTCTCCATTCTAATTTTGTTTTGCTAAAATTGTTGCCATAACGCTAATTCCAATGACACCTACAATCTACAATATATAAATAAAAATTATTATCTATATATATATATATATATATATATATATATATATATATATATATATATATAATATGTTGCTAAGCTCAGCTATGTTTACTAAATATTCGTTAAAGTTCGCGACAGATTCTTACGCAGAGAAAATTACCAATTCCGAAAAATTTTTCCAATTTTTATTTTGGTTTATATAAATTTAGGTAAACTAATTACTAATAACAATAACATATATTTGAAACAGTTGCATAGTAAAATACAAAAGCGTCTGCCTATATGGAAAGCAGACATAAAGGGAAAGAAATGCACAAATAGATTCTACCCTCAACTCCGATCTGATCCGAATTCCGAGTTGCTGCCCATCCCTCGCCCTCCCTTAGTCGTCTCTTAAGACACCCACGGAAAGGAAGGTGTAGCCTATTCTATGCCGGGACCACACGACTAGAATTATTTCGTATATACAATCAAGTAATACAACCGTTTTTTGCTGTCAGAAAAAAATGTTTTGCAAAATTATTGAGCCTGCATCAGAGGTCACACATATCGTGACTTTTATTGCTTATTTTTTTCTATAACCGTCTGATATATACAAGTACATTACACTATGGCATGCAATATGTACTCTGTACATAACGCACATGTAGTTCATGGTAACACTGTTGTTTTACCACCACAATTACAACATTGTCTAATTTGATTAGGCATTCATACGTTGTCAAATATGACGCCGGACGCGACCTTCGACTGTCGATATAGGTATTTGTAGAATGTGTTTTTTTAATGGGTGATAATGGAATGGTAACCCCGCCCGCGCTATCGGTATACACCGGCGGGGCACCAGTGAGAGATGACAGGTGAGGATGAAGCAAGTCAGATAGCCCACCGTGACGAATTCAAATTAGGCGACTCGTTTTTTACCAGTGTTCTATATACTTACGCACACACTTTATCTTAACGTATCTATATTTAATTACTTAATAAATAAAATGAGTGTTTACGTATCAAAAAGGTGCAAAAATTATAAGACAAAATAAATATAGAAGTTATAAAGTAATCGCTCATAACTATTTATCACGCAAAATTGTATGAAATAGTTGACCAGTTTTTCTCGAAGCATTTGTATGGAGAGACTATCTATATAATCTAAGGTTTATTACTAGCAATGAGGAACTAACTACCCTTAGAGTTACGGACATTGACTTTATTTACACGTATTTTAATGAGCTACCAGTGCTTTAATGTAATGCAAGTGACTGCAAATAGCAATCATCAATAGTTATGCAAATTGAGCTTAACTTGGTCAACGAGCTAGTTATTGGTGCATAATAAATCGTTTATACGCGATATTACAAAAATTTTATGGTTGAAAGACGATACTGCGGTCGGATGACGAATATTGAAATAAAGGTTAAGAGGTTATGTCATATTTTAAGTTTATTTGAATGTTTACTCTAAACGCTGTCCATACTCGTAACAATGCTATGCAACGATATTTCCACACTATCGGGCTGAGATAATTCTGACAATAGAATGATGATATTAGTCTTTTATTACAAGATCACCAGAGGTACACTTTGTAGAAAAGTCGGTTGCTTTGGTACCTCTGTCCCACTCGTGTTTCTACCGTGAAGCAGTTGTGTTTGCATGGCTGTGTTTTGGTTTGAATCGTGAAATATGGTAGTGAATTTACAGGGTACAGAAGAATAACATGTTAGTCCTCTGGAATGGCAACGCATGGGGGTTATCATGGGCGAAATAGTATACACTGTTATGTCTATGCTACTATTCATGTCTATGGGCAATCGTTACTACTTTCCAACATGCGGGCCGTCAACTTGTTTGCCATTCTAAGTTGCATAAAAAAAATCATAACTTTCATGATTACAAATAAAATGTCTATGCTTAATAAAGAATAGGCGTATTGATAGATAGATAAATAAGACATTTTTAGAGCACCGAGTGTCAAAAACGTGTCAACATTTAGTTAACTAAATTGACAAATAGCTGTCTAAATTTGACATATATTTTTTAAAGGCGCCATTTTTCGCAATGTTGCAAGTAATTGCAATAATAATTTCCCATATCAGGTCCATTTCTTAAATTATAATTGATTTTTTTCTGATATAATATAAAATATGGCAATGTACGTATTTCTTACAAATTAATATGCATGTAATTAAAAAGGCGACCACTTCAAAAGAGTTGAAAACACAAATTTATTTTACATCCATACTTGGATATAAATCAGAGTAATCACAAAAAAATAAGTATCTTTACAAATATTTATGCTCTGTTTACCTTTTTTTTTTTAATATATTCTTAATAATTTCGTTTCGTTTTTATTCTTCAGTTTAACCTTACAATGTAATTTCCTTAAAAGTAATGTAATTGAAATATATGGGATATTGAGTAGTAAATCTAAATTATAGTAACCCTATTTACGAACACATGGATAAAAAAGTTGACCAGTTTTTGGAGAAGCAATTGTATTGTGATACTTTATCTGTCATACTTTATCTATCATAATCTAAGTATAGTCTATGGTCCACGTTCACTTGTCATTGCCGTATTCAATGATGAACGCTATACATTTTTCAAATAATAATTTATTAGAGATGCTCACAAAGATGGATCGACAGAGTGTGTTGAGTAACATTTTAAATCTTTCGAGTTTGATGATTGATTCATGGCCAGATGATGGACAACTTACAACTGAGGGAGGCGGCAATAAAACATCCAGAGCGAGCTAACATAAGAAATATTGGGAAATAAAACTGGCCTAATTGAAAATCGAACACGAGACCTCGATCACACAAATCAACGTATTTAACAATGATCGTTAAATAATTCAAGTATGGAACCCAAAAACTAATTTTCTTATGTTTCCAAGATTTCTTCTTGAATGTTCTTTCCTTGCTTCTTTAATTTTTTTCTTTAATGTACAGTATGTATATATACATGAAATGTATATTCGTCTAATAAATAATAAGTAAATTTACGTTTACGTTTTGAAGTATGAATGGGGTGAATAGCTACTCATGTAATTGTAAATCAAATTTGATCATTACAATCAAAGTCGAGAATTGGGCAGTAGCGTCTCTCTTAAAAGACCACTAAAAGCCTAACTGCGGTTGCCAACCTGCTTGTCAAACGTGGCAACTGTTGGTAAAACCCCCCCAATAGGTGGAGGCCTATGTTCAGCAGTGGACAGTTAATGATGATTATGATGACGATGAGGAATCATAGTTTGGAGTATCTGTAAGTTTCTATACAGATTAGATACGAACTTTGCTAATGTAGAATTTCCTATATATTTGTTTAGTGAGAGCCTTATTGTAATAGTGCGTGAGTACCTCGAAACTGGCGAGCGTGGCGGGCGGTGTGGACGGCGCCCGCATGGAGTCTCGCTGGAGGCCGGTGGCGGCCAGCACCGCGGCACTGTTGCCGCACGCGAGGCACAGCAGCGATAGCGCCAGGAACGCCGTCAGCAGTGGGCTGTGCCTGCACACCATAGAACACATGCTTTAAACAGACATGACACCAAATATAGTATAATTGTTTTTTTTTAAGGATGATAATGGAATGGTAATCCCGCCTGCGTTATCGCTATACACTGGCGAGCCACTAGTAAGGTATGATAGGTGAAGATGAAGCAGTTCAGTTAGCCCATCGTGACAAATTCACCAATGAATTAGCCACGATGGTTTCCAGGGGAAACTACGAATAGGACGATCCCTTCCTCTCCCCCAATATATTTGTATTACGTTCTACTACTGTTTTTAGGCGAAAATTAGTAAGGACAGATAGACGTTTGTAACTCTTTTATAATGGGTACTTAATTGGGGGAAAGGGATTGATAGTAATGGAGCTTGAGAATCCCATTGCTAGCAATATACCCATCCAGGTCGACCTCCTCGTGGTTCCCCCTGGAAACTATCATGGTTAATTCCTGATGAATTCATCATGATGGGCTAACGGGCCTGTTTTCATTCTCATCTATCACCCTTCACTGGTGCTCCGCCAGCGTATCCCGTTAGCGCAGGCGGGGTGGGTTACCATACCAATTTCACCCATAAAACAAAAATGAGTACTTAGTTTTTTATACTTAATTTAATTTTTATCTTATACTTAATCTATGATAGCTCTCTTATATGAAGGGGAAGGCATTGTTAGTAATGCGGACTACCAGTTCCATTGCTAGAAATATACCCTGTCAAGTAGATCTCCACGTGGTCCTCCCTGGAAACCGTCGTGCTGAATTCCAGGTGCCCTTTCATTCTCGCCTATCATCCCTCACTGGTGCCCCGGCATCGTATCCCGATAACGCAGACGGGGTTACCATTCCGTTTTCATCCATTAAAAAAAAAACAAAAAAATCCCATGAAAAACATAATGGCAGGTAAGTAGAATTTCATTTTTTTTATACAACTTACAATGGCAAACAATCTAACGGCCCACCTGATGAAAAGTGGTAACCGTCGCTCAAAGACATGAGCAGTACCATGTACATAACAGAGTATGCTGTTTCGCCCATGATACCCCCCATGCGTTGCCATTCCTGAGGACTCAGACGTTATTCCTCTGTGCCCTGTAAATTCACGCCATATCCCACCCTTCAAACCGAAACACAGCCATGCAAACACAACTGCTTTACGGTTAAAACACGAATAGGACAGAGGTACCCAAGCAACGACTTTTGTACAAAGCCTCCCTACTACGCAAGAGATCCACGAGCTGTAATCGTTAATCCGATATTTTAATTTAAAGATATCGATCATCGATCATCACCTAGCACTTAGTGAACTTTCACCACGACACCACGGCACCGCATCACATAATTACGACGTTATCTTAATTATTATTATTACTCGGCCATAAATCGATGCTAACGACGCGCACGTCACGCGTTCAAATAATAAAATTGGTAAAAGTTCATTGACTCAACAACAAACTAGTTGTTAGAAGGAAAGCGCAAGTGAATTCTTGGACTGGATTCTCTTATAAGGTTGTTGTTGTTGTTCTAATCATATCAGGAAAACATTTCTTCATATTGTTGTTATGAGAATGCATCGATATTAATGGATAAATAATGTAGTTGTGGAACGCACTCTTTGTTTGTACTCTAGTGTCTATGACGGAGTAGTAGAAAATGGCGCGAATCTGTGGCTAAATATTTTTTTACAAAATGAATAGTTTTCTATATCGATTTAATTTTTTTTTTAATGATTATATTATTATTGTAATTAATATAAAGTCCATGTTTGTAATATAGTTTTCGGCGGATGGTTTCTGGCCAAAGTCTAATAAATAAAAAAAAATTGTCTATGACGTATGATCTCCTCTCTATGATTATTGAGTCTCTATACATGTATGAATATTTTATCAATGTATGGAACGCGAGGGCGGAAATTTTAAATTCATGTTATTTGTTGCTTCTTCTAGTTTCTTTTACTTATTTCTCCAATTTAAGCCCTTGTGTGTTGTTAGAGGATATGTGCGAGTCAAGCGGAGGCAAGTTAAAAAGAAGAAAAAAAAATACTTCCATATCTGATGAAGAGCCAGATGCTAAGATGAGTATTAAATTTACTCACTCAAAAAGAGGACTGTTTAAAGATCAAAATTACCTATATTCTGACACTACTAAAAATGAATATTTTATCCTGTTGTCTCCTATTGAGGGCAACAATGTAAACTTATTGCAAGTCAATTCTATTCTGAGGACTGTACCTGGTGTATTCTATATTCGTACTATGGGTTCTACTGCATTCAAAATATGTTTTCGATCAATGAAACAGGCTAACGAATTTTTATTAAATAAAGATTTATTAGAGAAACATAAACTTCAGGCTAGGATACCCAATAATCAGCTGGAATCTCAGGGAGTTATAAGAGCTCCTACTGAAATATCTGAGGAAGATCTCTTAAATAACTTAAAATCTACTGTAGATGTCATCGGTGTTAAACGTTTCAAAAAAAAGAAAGAAGATGGAAGTTTTCATCCTCTTCCTACAGTTTTAGTAACTTTCCTCTCTACGCAGCGACCTGATCACGTAACGTATGATCATATTTGGCTGGATGTGCGTGAATTCATTAGACCTCTACTCCAATGCTTCACTTGTTACAAATTTGGTCATGGAAGCAGTTCCTGCAGAAGTAAGCAAGTTTGTTCCATATGTGCCGGTGCCCATGATTATAGATCCTGTATCAACAAAGACAATCCTAAATGTGTTGTAATGGACAACATGTAGCAGTATCTAATAGCTGTCCCACTAAATCGATGAAATTGTCTCAAATCAAAGATAAAATTCTAGGCAAAACATCTTATGCATCAGTGACTTCAAAATCGGTTAACTCTGTAATTAATTCAAGTACCCCTGTGTCTATTAACAGCCCAACGCAAAATAAATCTCCTCAAAAAAGGGCATTAGTTATTGACATCATTAACTCAGACATTGTACTCAACACAATTACTAAGACTGTTATTGAGCTAGTTAAGAAAGCTCAAACTAATTCTGATACAATTTCATCTAAATTAATTAAGGAAATACTCATATCTAATTTTTCAACATCTTTAAATGAAATTAATATTGTTCATTGAAACTCAAAATGCTTTCTGTCTAAAATATTTCAATTTAAAAACTTTATTTACAACTTTACATCACATTTTGATATCATTTTACTAAATGAAACTTGGCTTGATTCTAACAAAATCTGTAAATTGTCTGGTTATACTATATTAAGTAGATTGCAGATAGGTCATTGTAAATTTCCTGCACATTTGCAACGTATTAATTTATTGGATAATTCTATCTGTAAATACTGCCAAAACATTTTTTCTAATTTGGATCATATTTTTTTTTGTTTGTCCTAAATTCTCACTTCAACGGTTACTTTTTATTTGTCAATGTCAAGATTTAATAAAATGTCAAAATATTCCTACTTCAGTGCAGGATCTACTAAAACATACCATTTTGTACCAAGAAATTTTTCATCAATTGGTGAAATTTAAATATGTAATTGTAACTTATACTTTTCTACTTAACTTACTTTCTTAGTATATTATAATTAATTTATAACTATAATAATTTTTGTAATTTGTCTTGTAATTTTATATTGTTACTTTGTAATTGTTACTTTTTGGCTGATGGCTTTCGCCAAAGTCACAATAAATGAAAAAAAAAAATCTCTATGATTAAGCTGACATTATTTTGTGGTGACATCTGCCATACGAAAATATTCCAAAAGTGTGTTCTATTATATTTTGTTTAGCGTGTTATTGGTTTGGTTATATTAATATAAATAGTTAAAGTATTAAAATATAAATTAGCTCAAAATATACTGTGGGTATCACGCCTTCATAAAATATTTCTCTATGATTAAAAAAAAAAAAAAATATGTCACTTTTGAAATTCTGTGAAGATATAATAAAACTGATTTATATAAACAAACTATTTTACTACAAAACAATAATAACAACAGTTCAAATGACTAGTTAGAAACACTTGTCACATTTTTTTTTGGTATAACACTAAGTTACTTAAAAAAAATAATGTTCTAAAAAATAAATAGGTACCAAAATTATTATTGTATTGATTTTCCAAATTTTATAGCCTATAGTCAATTCTTTGATTATATTTATTTTAAACAATCTTAATGCATAGATGTGTATTCTTATTTCTGGGATGCCCCACGGTGCTGTTCATGTCTGTGGGGGCGATTACAACTGTTTATAAAGAGGGGAAAAAGGGATCGTTAGTAATGGAGAGGTTATTCCCCATTGCTATCAATATACAGTATCAAGAAACTCCAAGCGGTTCCCCCTGAAAACCATCGTGACAAATTTATCGTTGAATTCGGCATTCTCACCTATCATCCCTCACTGGTGCCTCGCCAGTGTATACCGTTAGCGCAGGCGGGGTTACCATTCCGTTATCGTCCATTAAATATAAAACTGTCCGTAAGATCTGTCGTCAGCTCGTTTACTACTAAAATTCGCATAAAAAAATTAAGGTGCACCATTACTCAGAAATAATTATACTGAAGTATAACCATTGTATAATCACACTCTGAGATCAATTGAAAAATCACTAACTTTTTTTCAATTCCTAAATTTGCCTAGTATATTGAATGCTTAGCTTAAGCTTAGATTATATAGAAAGAAATATCAAAACTCATTTTATTTGTTAAATAATTAAATATTGATATCTCAAGATAGGGGGGGAAGAGATTGTTAGTAATGGAGACTGAGAATCCCATTGCTAGCAATATACCCAACCAAGTCGACCTCCTCGCGGTTCTCCCTGGAAACTATCATGGTTAATTCCTGATGAATTCATCATGATGGGCTAACTGGCTCCTCTCCCTCTCTCCCTGTGCTCCGCCAGCGTATCCCGTTAGCGCAAGCAGGGCTACCATACCATGTTCATCCATCAAAAAAAAAGATATGTCAAGATACATTGTGTGCGTAAGTATTTATGTAGAACATTAATAAAAAAAGAGTCAACAAATTTTAAAATTAGCTAACAAGTTAATCCGTTTTTGAGGTTCGATGCTCTATTTATATAATTTAAGGTTTTTTTTTAATGGATGATAATGGAATGGTAACCCCACCTGCGCTATCGGTATACACATGCGGGGCACCAGTGAAGGATGATAAGTGAGGATGAAGCAGGTCGGTTAGCCCACCGTGACGAATCTCGCAATAAATCAATCACGATGGTTTCGAGGGGGAACCACGAGGAGGTCGACCTGACAGGGTATATTGCTAGTAATGGGGCTACTAATCCCCATTACTAACAATCCCTTCTCCCCCCCTATAATTTAAGATTATGATAACATTTTAGGAAAGCATATTAGGAAACTGTTACGCTCCTCTAGTCGATTAAATAAGTCAGATATATTTCACAAAAACTATATAAATATTAGCTGACTAATTTAGCCGGTAAACGTTGTTTTACTACTTATTGCAAAATATAAAAATCGCAATTAAAATACAAGGGTTGATCGTAAAACGATGAAAATTTAAAGTTGATTGTATTTTTGAATGCTAAATCATAATAAAATAAAAATGGAAAAATTTGTCAAAAAAATAAAATTTTGGGGAGAGTCACCCTTATCATTGACAGGTATGAAAAATAGATGTTGGCCGATTCTCAGGCCTACCCAATATGCACACAAAATTTCATAAAAATCGGTAAAGCCGTTTCGGAGGAGTTTGGTAACAAACACCGCGACACGAGAATTTTATATATAAGATATAATCTTGAATACTTCTTTTTAAAAAATAATAAACATATCAAAATGTAAGTTCAACATTAGTACAATTTTAATTGTAACATACCGCGTCGACTTGCACCGTCATTATTTTCTCTGTCACGTGTCGAACGAGAGTAAACTTTATACTACATTAGTAGAGTTAATAATCTATTAACAGTCCCGTAGAACAGTATCATCACGCTTCGAGAAGCGGGTGAAAGCATCACATAAGATGCACTACTTAAAGCGGCCGCGGAGGACGCGTTGCCCTACTGTGGATCTGTTTTTATACTTGGCATATTTAGTAAACACATTTGGCACGTCTTTTTAACCAAATAACAGTATCTTATTAATATAATAAAATTGTATGTCATCATCTTGACTTAAAAAGAAGATCTTCAATTCGGTTATACTTTTTTATGTTAGTTACTACATAACTCCGTCAGTTGGGAAACTATTTTTTTATTTATTTAAAAATATACAAAAGATATACTTACATATTGGTCCCATAGATATCTTATCAAAATCGGTTATATAGTTTAGGTTTTAAACCAAAATAACCGATTTTTCCACAATTAAAGATTTTTTTGTGAAATACAATTTAATTATTTAGTTGACCGCATGAGGTTATTTTTAATCTCTCCCTTATCTTAAACACACGCACGCAAGCACGTGCACGCGCACACACGCACACGCGCACACACTTACACACACACATACATATATACATGTGCATGTAAACCGTATTTATTTATACTCCACGTACCTACCTTTTACTTTTGAATAATCACTACTTTATTGAGGGGATCCTCATGTCTAAGATACGGCTAAGGCCTACAGCTTAGACTCCAGATTTCTCACAAATTACAATACTCATATTGGAATGTAAAAATAAATGACCTGTACACATACTGTAATTTATGGAGATGAAATAAACTCCATTCGGAACAGTATTCGGAATAGAGATGAACATGGTCTTAGTACATTTTATGGCAACCAATTAATATGTTCCGGTCCCGTCGGCAAGCAAACACTGATGATTCAATTAATATATAAATGTGAAAGTTTGTAAATACGCTTTGACTGTAGCTACTCAATCACGCTCCAACGGCCGAATGGATTTCAATGTAATTCCGTTCATACTCGTAGCAATAGTTTGATCGTAGTACACGCGCTCTATTGATAATAGTCTACAATTAACAGGCCTCTGACTTGCCAGTTGCCAGTATTGGCCGATACCGTTTGTTTCGACGTGTCTAGGTAGCTCTTCTTCCGCGTTGCATGCTCACAACTCGCTCACTCGACCGGAACGTGAATGGGTATTGTTAAAGTGAACTGCAGTTATCTCTCGATTTATTCTATCAGTCTATCTTTACGCCAAGCCTCTTACGAAGCCTCCCATATATATATCTCTTACTTCATCCACTTTCATATCTTGCTTTATGCATACACTTAAGTTTTTTTTATTGTAAAGCTACAATCCAGATAAATTTTACCAGAGGGAGACTTTGTACAAAAGTCGATTGCTTCGGTACCTCTGTCCCATTCATGTTTCAACCGTAAAACAGATGTGTTTGCATGGCTGTGTTTCGGTTTGAAGGGTGGGATATGACAGTGAATTTGCAGGATACAGAGGAATAACACCTGAGTCCTAAGGAATGGCAACGAATGAGGGGTATCATGGGCGAAACAGCATATTCTGTTACGTCCATGGTACTGCTCATGTTTATAGGCGACGGTTACCACTTTCCATCAGGTGAGCCGTCAGCTTGTTTGACATTCTAAGTTATATAAAAAAATCAACATATATATATATTAAAAATGTCGAACACTTGTCAACAATAAAAATAGAAAGGTCACTGTCAAATCATGGACAATTGATAACAGCTGCATTGTAATGTAAATGTATATTGTTAAGTCAATCACACCAATAACTTAGTCCTCAAGCCTATAACACACTGTGTTACCTATAACATAGTATGTTATTAGCTATGAAATGAAATGAAATTTATTTGCTAGAAACATTGTAGAAAAGGTGTTGCATTTGTGAAGTTCATAAGATGTCCATTATGTTTCGCCACATCAAATGGCGTGCAAATATTAATTATTGAATTTATCCATTGGCTATTTTAGCTAGCTCGTCGCCTATAACGAATATCTGGGGCACAAGTCAAAACAACCAAATCCAAACCAATTTAGAAAAAATACTTTTACAAATTAGCTCTACTGAGAATCGAACTCAGGATCTCATTACAAGCACGCTGCTTGTAGCCTACGTATCTTTGTCAACATTTCATCCGACTTTCTCGCACACAACCGTACTAAAGTTATTCAGTTATGCAAAAACCAAATATTATTATATTTTCCATGTCACCTCAATTTGTTAACCTCACTCGAGTATTCAATTATCTCGGACACTAAAACCAGTACTGAGTTAGCTATGCTAATCAATATGCAACGCAATGAATGATTATTTATCCTTTTTAATTCATTTGTTTCTTGTATTTATCTAGTGTCTGTTTGGGTGGCACACTTTTCTCTTTTTTGGTTTGGCTTTTTTAATTTGGCTTCAATCAACAGACGTCATCATACGCCACGGTGGTGACAGGTGTCGGACGGCACGTTGCGTATAGTAAGTAACCACAAGACGGGTGCATCGCTAGGCGACGCGTGCGCACGGCGCGGAACGCAACATATCACACACCGGCTCGCTCCGGTGCGCCTGCGCATTCCGAGGAAGTAAAACGGACGGACCGGCATGGGAAATATGGATTATTAACGGTTGGTAGTAAAGTAGTTGTTTTAGATACATATGATGGCTTATACTCTCTTATCCTTCTTCTTCTTCTTCCTACCCTTATCCCAATTATTATATGGGGTGGGAGTAATATGTTTTCTATCCATATTATAAGATAAGATATAAAGATATTTTTATAGATAGATAGATAGATACTCTTTATTGTTTCCTCCAAAAGATTACAATAGTAAACTTATTATAAATATAAATAATTACAAGAAATAATCACAATGAGAAAACAATGGGCGACCTTATCGCTATGAGCGATCTCTTCCAGGCAACCTTTGAATGGAGGGGAATAATTTTTAATTAAATATTACAAAAAGATTTGGCTTAGTTTTACGACCGGCCGCCTGCCTGACGTCAACCCTCTTTGGGGCATAGTATTTTAATATTATTTATTATTTAGAGTCTAATCTTTAGACACATATCATTTTACGCGTAGCAATACTATGGTTACTGCTGGTTATGGTTTGCTAATTTTCTTAATTGTTTAAAGTTTTCCCATAAATTTAAAACCGTCGTCTAGTGAAATGTTCATATCAAATTCCTATACGCCACATCGTTCACGAGAGTGGACCGAAGCGATATAAATTTATCTATTAGTATAATTACCAACCTGCTGCATAATTTCCGCGTTATCGCTAATTTTATTTTGCGATCTCGTTTCTCATTTCGTATTCTTGTTGCTCTTTTAACATTTACATAACGACATAAAACATGTTTCGCTTACATTTTACATGTTCATTACGAAACTGTCCACTTGCAAGCGAATCTGCGGCTGCAGAGAAAGCCGCATTCTGAAGCTGGACTTTCGACTGCGCTGCGCCCGCGCCGACGCCGCCGTCATATTCAATCGATCCGATCGCATCGCTAAGTCATATTCGATCGATATATTTGAATTTTTTGACGCATTGTGTTCAATTGTCTAGACCTCAAGCTGGAATACCCTTTGTTATGAGCAACCAGGTAACGGACATCTGGAAGCACAACCCAGAACGCCCAGATACAATTCAGTAAACATCGTTTCCTGGATTAACCTGACCGATAATCGAACCCCGTACTTCATTTATCCAATGCTACGGAGGACGCCACTAAACTAAAATTTGCGACTTATATTTCCAATAACAACTTTCTACAACTTATCAACTGAACGTTTCTGTGACGAGTATGTAATATTAATAATAAATCACTGGTGTTATCACATTTAACATTGGTCCATTTAATACTAACACGACAGTGGCAAGAGGAGTGTTGAGTCGGGAGTTATTCATCTTTAATTAGCCTATTTTATCAATTCAATTCAATTTATTCGCAACAATACTACGTTGTGCTCAATATTTTTTTATAAGTAACAAGATGTAAAACAATTATTGTAAATAAAACAGAAAAAGTATGAAACAACAAAATAACCAATAATAATTGTCCAAAAATTCATTAATTGAGTAGATGCACCTTTCCAACAAAAGGGTGCAAAGTTTTATTTTCAAAATTTTCCAATCTTCACAAGTTTTCAAAGCATTTGGTAATTTATTACATAATTTAACCGACTGAAATTGTGCGACATGTTTTAATATATTATCTTTCAACATATATGTGATGACAAGCATAATTTTGTTGTTGTATCCTTGTATATACATATATATTTTACATATATATTCGCACTTACTGGACCTTTATAGTTGCCCATCTCACGAGTTTGTTTTATATCCCGTAACTATTGCGTGGAAACCTACTATTGGCTGTGTTTCTTATTATAATTTATTGTTTGTAATATGTGCTGGTTCTTAGTATTTAATTATATTATTTATTATATTAGTTGTAAAATAAAATCACCGTCTGTTGACTTGAAGTATATTATGTATTTTGTTCTATTTCAATTGTTTTATCAATTTCTTAATTTATTAATTGTTATTTTTAGAAAAGCAGTTTGTCTTTTAAATAAATAAATAAACCATATTTCCCCCAACTGTGTCATTAATTGTAACCTAATAAATTTACATATAGTAACTACAATTGTCAAATATGTGATTAAAATATGTACTATTGCATTGCAAAAAATCATCACACATCGATGGACGACGATACGTTTCGTAAATACTTTACGTTGAAAATATATGAAAACTGAACGCGGAATCGCGTGTTCACACACTGGTTTAACTAGCAACAAGAAGGTTTTTGCTCTGCAAAGAAAAACGGTGGCGTCAGTCGTCGCATATTTATAATGACTAACATGAGAAAAAAACCATATTCATTACAAAGAAAAAATGGTGAAAATCGTATCAGAATTTGCGACGTAATCGTCTAATATATTTAGTTGAAAATTCTGTACTTTTCGACTAAATATGTTATGAAATAAAAATGATTAAACGTTTTAAATCTTCATCTTATCAGCCTTTAAGTGTCCACTGTTTTCCATAAGCCTCTCCCTTGGAGAGGTTTTGCCAGTAGTTACCAAGCTTGACAGGCGGATTGACAACTGCAGTCAAGCTTTAGAGATGTTTTAACAGGGACGCTACTGCCTCTCTCGCCCACCCTTAGTCGGCTTTTACGCCACCCACGGAATAGGAAGGGATGGCATATTCTACGCCGGGACACACATGGCCAACGTTTTAAATGTTAAATTAATAATCATATTATTTACTTAACATTTAAAGCTATTTAAAAAAAAAATATCTTATGATTTTATTCATTTCCCACATAACTATGTCGCTGTATGCGTATTATTTCCATGAAGTTTTCAATAGTGGAAACATAACAGAAAGTGGCCAGCGTTGCGGAAAGCCTCAGTGCCGGTGGTCAGTTTTGGCGAATACCTTCAATTGTTTATTATGTAATGTACCTCCATTGTGCATTTACAAATTAGAAAAAAACATTTATTGGATGATACGCCTATTTTGTTTACAGTCATTCAATTGGAAAATTTGTTGATTAGCATTTTGTAAGTCAGATCCAAATAAAACTAGGAACTAGGATTAGAATTATTAGAACTAAATAAAACTAGGATATTGATAGATCTTTTGAATCGATTCCAATCGGGATGCATAAGATCGATCATGAGAAAATCGACCATCAAACATTTGATGGTCCGAAAATGGATCTCTATCTATTCATATATAGTCAACATATACTATGCAACATCTTATATATTTGTCGTCCTCCGTGGCGCAGCGGTCAACACGCCTGCCTGCGACGTGGAGGCCCCGGGTTCGATCCCCGGCCAGGTCATGATGGAAAACGATCTTTTCCTGATTGTCCTGGGTCTTGGATGTTTATCTATATATGTATCTATTATAAATATAGTATCGTTGAGTTAGTATCCCATAACACAAGTCTCGAACTTACTTTGGGGCTAGCTCAATTTGTGTGATTTGTCCGTATATATATTTATATTTATATATAAAATTCTCGTGTCACGATGTTTGTTACCAAACTCCTCCGAAACGGCTTTACCGATTTTTATGAAATTTTGTGTGCATATTGTGTAGCTCTGAGAATCGGCCAACATCTATTTTTCATACCCGTCAATGATAGGGGTGACCCACCTCTAAATTTTCCTTTTTTTTATTTTTTTGTCAATTTTTTTTTATTTTTATTTTATTATGATTTAGCATTGAAAAATACATACAAATTCAAATTTTCACGCTTCTACGATCAACCCCTGTTGTTTAATCGCAATTTTTAAATGCCACAATAGGGTTGCAAGATGACAATCGAATATAATAATTGTAGTATGATAAATTTTCATGTATAGTTCTAGAAATAATGTATATGGTAAAACAACGTTTACCGAGTCAGCTAGTATACTAATATAAAGAAACCTTTATATTTACTTAGGCTTATAATAAAAAAATCGAATCCAAGGTCCAAAATATCGATTTCAATTAAATCCAATAGAGATCGGAAAGCCTACGTAAAATGTCAACAATCGTATTTCGTTTAATCAACTAAGTGGATTATTTTTTGCAACAACCAACTTTTACGACGACGTGTAGATAAGAATACTCAGACGTGAGAGCTCATCAATACGGTATAGTACATATGTGACAGACAATAAACACTACAGATAATAATATGTGTATGAAGTAAACATGAAATACTTTTACACGAATTTAACAAAACCAAAACCGCGAAATACAGCTATTAAAAAATACAGAATGATCTTGATGCTTAAACTATTTATAACATCAGTATTTTTTGTCCGGTTTGTTCTTAATAAATTACTAAATTTATTATTATAATCGAAAAGACTTTAGTAAGTTTTGGAATGCACTTATAGATGTCACCAGAGATAATATATAATAAAAGATAGCAAAATAAACAGAAAGTAAACGTAAACTAACCCATTAGCACCTCCATTCAGTCCATAGCAGTCGTTGATGCCGGCGAGCACGCCGACCACTCCCGCCACCACTGCCACGCACCCCGCCCACAGTCCGGCACCGACCCTGGACAGGGCGGCGCCCTTCACCACCGCCACCGCCCCGGCGCCCACCAGCAGTGCCCCGAGAATCACCTGCCCCAACCCCAAAAACACTACTAGTCTCTGCCTACTGCCCCCATTGTCGCTTCCCGCTTCAACACTTTTTGAACTAACACTCTGTTTTTTCGTCTTTTTAACGTCTTTCGCGGTCTTTTGCGGTGATTTACATATCAACTGTTCGGTCGAGTCCTCAGACTTGAGGCTGGAGACGGTGGCGGTGGGCGCTCGGCCGTAGTTTTCGGCCAGGATGGTCACATTCCCGGATTTCTCGTGTTCCGTCATCGCGGCACATCTCACTGTTCGGGCGGCACGGTATCGACGCGGTCGGTCCCCGGCGCGGTTGTACGCACACTGCTGCGCCGCGGCCTGCGCCGGCGCACGCCGGTGAAAGTCCAAGAATCAGGAAGTCAGGTGTTAGATGATGTTAATGAATTTGCTATACTGAATATGGTGTGCGGATGCTGGGCGGTTATGTTTTTATTGATTGTCACCGTTGGTATTATTTAATTCGAAACGTCAAGCCGCCGCGCCGCCGCGTCACGCCGGCCGGGACACAAGTAGGAGGTCTACACATTTCTGATTTTCTATATTATTTGCAATCTTTTCCAAGTGTATTGTATAAGCGTCATACAAGTGTATTGTAAAAAGTTAAGCGGCGACCCCATACGAGAAAACGCAGTGTCTAACAACTCCCAACTAAATAGATTGACGACTTCAAATGCATTGCAGGGATACAGTGGATGCAGGTGGCTCAGGACCGTTCCTTATGCCAGTCTATGAGGAAGACCTATGTCCAGCAGTGGACGGATAATGGCTGAAATGATGATGATTGTATACGTGTGGAAATAAAAAAATAAAAAATAGTAATAATAAAAGACTTGCTGTCCCCAAGTATCGTTTAGAAAAAGTTAATAGGTCTTTTATGGGAATAGGTATAAAAATTTACAATAAGATACCAAAGGATATGTTGGAATTACCCTTAAATAAATTCAAAACATCTGTTAAATCATATTTACTGAGCAAAGCCTATTACTCACTAAACGATTACTTGAATGACGAGTGTGCATGGCAATAGTTGTTCATGCACTGAATTTTCATTTAATGTTAGACATAGACACCTATATAAATATACATTGTAAATAAACTGGCTTTAAAAAAAAAGTAATTCAATTGAGTTTCTTGCCAGTTCTTCTCAATTGGATCTATATACCGAACTGGACGAGATGAAAGTAAAATGTACCTCACTGTCAGATTCAGAGAGTTATTACAAGCGATGAATTGTATAGGTTCGTAGGGAAAAAAAAAAAAATTATATGTAAAAATTTGACGTTCATAAGCGGCTAAAATGTCCTACATGAATAAATGATTTTTGAATTTTGAATTTTTGAATTTTGATCAAATTTGATAAAAACGGCAGTCATCTCGATTAGTACCTACTCCGAGTGTTGCACCAACGTATTAATCAGCTATTCATTGAGGTAAAGGGAAAACCTTAGGAAAAATTGCTAAACAAACTGACGGTTTACCTGATGAAGAATTAATTTGGAAATAATTAGTTTCAAAAATATTTGTAAGTTTTCTTTTTTTTTGTTTTTACAACACAGGGGGCAAACGAGCATGCGGCTCACCTGATGGTAAGTAACTACCGCCGCCCATGATCACCCACAACACCTACGGCATTGCAGGTGTGCTACCGGCCTTTTAAAAAGGAATATACTCTTTTCTTGAAGGTTATGTTGTCGTATCGGTTCGGAAATATTGCTAAGTGCGGATTTTTTTTTATAAACACAAGGATCTCTGACAAGCGTGCGGTCGAATTCTTTCCAATAATACGATTAATTACTTATTATGGTTTTAAATGTAACTTTTGATCACGAATATGAATATAGGTGTTTTTTTTTTAATTTATGGTCATCATTACAACTAATCCATCGTCCACTAAGGAATATAGGTTCCCATCATATTTCATCTCACATTTGCTTGGCCACCTCTGTCCCTTTCGTGTTTCTACCGTGAAACAGTTGTGTTTGCATTGCTGCGTTTCGATTTGAAAGGTGGGATATGACAGTGAATTTACAGGGTACAGAGGAATAACACCTGAGTCCTCAGGAATGGCAACGCATGGGGGCGAAACAGTATACTTTGTTATGTCCATGGTACTGCTCATGTCTGTAGGCGACGGTTACCACTTTCCATCTGGTGGACCGTCAGCATGTTTGCCATTCTAAGTTGCATTAAAAAAATAACATTACGTCGCCGCACCAGTGACATTCATCGACTTTCTGCGGCACTTTTGAGGTAGACGCTCCATCTCAAGGGCCACAGTTGCCTTGCAAGCACAGTGTCCATTCTATAATGTTTTTTTTTTTTTTAATAAGAAAAAGCGGTGAAAATTTGTGGTAATGTACTAAAGAATGTGAGGCAGGGCCATAGTTCACAGACTCTCACCGCGGCGCGGCGCGGCGGGCAGGCGTGACCTACAAAAGACCCTACACTATTATTTATTTTGTGTTGCCTCGCAGAACAATAATTTAAATTTATTATCGTGTTATAAAAAGCCGGTCAAGTGCGGGTCGGACTCGCGCAACGACGATTCCGTACAAAATCGTCAAGTAATTTTTTTTTAATAAAATAACTACAAATTTCCGCTTTTCCGAATATTTCCTTTACTTGTGCTACATGACATTGCTTCTTACCAAACTTCATGATTCTAGGTCAACGGGAAGTACCCTATAGGTTTTGATTCCCTTTGCAAATGTCAAAATATGCGATATAGATGTAACATAAACGACCGTATCTTTTGATTGCGTCGATTTAAAAGCTTGATTTTCTCACTGCTTTGAGAGATTATAGACCTGAGTATTTTGTATTAATTTTAACTTGATACTTCTATGCGTTCCTATTAAAAAGGTTCTTGACAGACAGACGGACGGTCGGATGGACAAAGAAGTGATCTTATATGGGTTCCGTTTTTTCTTTGGAGGTACGGAACCCTAAAAATGAGATTATCGTCAGTCATTTACAATAAATTAAAAATATACAAATAGGCGTGTGTATAGTGAAAATTCACATATTTTTTAAAAATATAATGTGATTTTAGAGATTTCATCGTAAACTTGACCGTCAAAAACGAACGAAGTCTACTTATTCTAAAGTAAAGAAGTATGAGTATTTCTTACTGTATTATTTAAAAAAATATGTATGTATGTTTGTTAAGTAGCACGCTTCATTGACGGGGACTCAAATTTCAAAACTACTTAGCAAACGACTTCCACGCAACAGTGAGCCGTCCGAGGGGTGACCGTGCGTCGCGCACGTGACTTCACCACCTGTTGAATATGATTAAATAAAAATGACGGTTTATTTGAGTCGTAGACGTCATCTTGCTACCTGGGTAACCATTAAATATAATAAATAACCCCGTATAATATAGTCTATGTGGTAGCAACGCCTAGGCGCCTGTTACATGCATCACATCCCATCGTAACATACGACGCGTTAGGTAAATGCTTACACAATAAATCGCGTTATGCACTCGTGGCGCACTCGTTAAGGGGAGAAAACAGTCTAATTGATATTTGAATATCAATATTATTATTAGTATTGTGTAATTGGCCGGCATTAATTGAAAGGTGAACGGGCATAGAATAAATATCTCCTATTTAAGTACCTACGCAACAATCTTTACCTCGCCTATTTATTAATCACTACTAAGTCAATATGTTGGTTAGTTATCAATTATTTGTCTTTTAAATTTACACGTAACCTTATTTCCTGGACCGGAATGCTTTTTGACAGAAATAAACGGTAGCCTATTTGCTTCTCCTTCTCAAATACAAAATATCAGAATGGAAATGAAGAAAGCACGTGGAGGTCGACCTAATAAGGCATATTGCTAGCAATGGGGCCGTCAAACTCCGTTGCTAACAATTCCTTTCCCCCCTGATGTTGTCATTTAGATGGCGTGCGTTTTTAGTGATTTTTAATCGAATAATAAATTTAGTAATTAATAATTATTCAAATAACAGACATGTTCAAATTAAGTTCCAGATCGTTTTCGATCACGTGGTACCAATTAAAAAATAAGAATATTTTTGCAAACATCGTATCCATGCGGCGATGTTTTACAATAAATTTTATATAGATTCATGTACCATTAATAGGTATTGTCTTTTTTAAATAAGCATACCGTAGCCGAAATAGCTCAGTTGGGAGAGCGTTAGACTGAAGATCTAAAGGTCCCTGGTTCGATCCCGGGTTTCGGCAGTTTTTTTATTACTTTTTACTTATTGCTACAGAATACATGCATAGTTCTCAAAAATTGTTATTTTTAATATTAAACTATTTTTTTAACTTACAACAGAATGCTACCAAATAATAATTGAAAAAATCCTCGATCCTGATTAACATGATAACAGGAAAAAGAACCGTCAAAATCGGTTCAAAAATACAGACAAATTAAAAACTTCCTCCTTACTAAATAATCACATAAAAATAAGTAAACACATGAAAAAAAAAAACAAACTTTCATAAAATAAATTTTTAATATTCATATTTCAAATACTGAACAAGTCAATTAAGTATAAACTAGGAACATAACAATTATAATATAAAATTCGATCACAATTATAATACTCGTAATATAGTTAAAAAAAAAATCACAACCTTAAAACATTCGCTATGTTTGGCGTCAATTATTTTTAAAATATATTGTTACTGCATAATCTATGGTTGCTGAAAGGAGCGTGAAGTGTGAAGCAAATTGCGACGACCCACTAATCAGCAGCCACATTCACGTCGTTCGTTAGAATTGAATTGCTTTTTATATCCCGTCACCTCTTCATTTTCATATATATATATATATATATATATATATATATATATATATATATATATATATATATATATATATATATATATATATATATATATATATATATATATATATATATGGTATATATAAAAAGCAATTCAATTCTAACGAACGACGTGAATGCGACTGCTGATTAGTGGGTCGTCGCAATTTGCTTCACACTTCACGCTCCTTTCAGCAACCATAGATTATGCAGTAACATATATAAAGATGTAAACATTATATGGTCAACCGACAGCTGGATCCAATACGATTCGAAGCAACATTTCTCAACTATCCCGAACGAGTTGATTGTATTTCATCATTATTAATATTTCATTATCATTGGCCGAGTGTTTTTCCAATTCTTAGGGTTAGCGTATCGTTCTTAATATTTATACAAAAATATGTAACGACTGAAACTCCTTCAAAATTTAATCTTAATACAATTTTTAGCCGATTTAGTAAACATACGTATTAACTGGTCAACTTACTGTTAATAACATGCATAAAATTTATAGGACCGATCGGTCGATCCGATTTCTTTTCACATAAAATCGACTGACTAGCTACTCTGAACATGTCAATTGGTAGGGCCCAATCGATTATGTATATTGCATACACGCACACTTACCGTTAGCTTGTTTGATGAACTGAGCTGCCTTCTCGGCTATCATAACTACAGGAGCATTGGTATTACCCCTTATAACCTTCGGCATAACACTAGCGTCTACAATCCTTAACCCCCTGATACCATATACCCGTAGCCTAGAATCTACCACAGATCCCATGGCTGCAGTTCCAACAGCATGCCAGGCCGACATCGCCATTGCCTTAGCTTTACAAGCTAGCTCTTCATTAACGCTCAAATTTGCACACTGTTCTATCTTAATATCTACAACATGTGCATTTTTCTCCCTAAAATACGAAGTGTTAGCAATTGAATAAGCTATTTTCATAACATTGGGATAGTTGATCAAGTCATCAGAGTCATTAAAAGTCCCCGAGTAAATTAACGGTTTATCAAATGGATTTGTGGAATTCAATCTTACTGTACCTCGAGATTTTGGCTTCAATAGAACAACAGCTAATGTTAAAAGTTCATACTCTCTATTCTTCGCATCCAAAGTGGCACAAATATCAGAATTGAAGCCTAAAATATTAATACAACCATCATAGAAATTACTGCCTACAGGCATACACGTAGGATAAATGGCGAAGTCTGGCACTTTGGCATCCTTGTTTACCGAAATATAAACGCCCATGCTGTTTGAAAAAGAGAAAATACCAGTCTGATTATAAAGGTACTTTATAATATTCATATACAGATCCGGCAGATCCGCGTAACAAGTGCCATTTTCAGCTGCCAAATAAGTCAACACCATTACATGGTCGTGAAGATTGTCGCCCACGGGTAAAATTTTCACTATGTCGATACCGATGCTATTTAAGTGAGATTGCGGCCCTATTCCAGACAGCAATAACAATTTTGGAGTATTAAATGTACCTGCAGAAAGTATAACCTCCCTGCTCGCATAGAAATTAAATTCTTGTCCATTCAAAAGTGCTTTCACCCCGTACACTATTCTGTTTTGAATTAGTAACTTCGTCACTAACGCTTCCTTAAGAACAAAAAGATTTGAAGTCTTACTAGATTTATTTAAAAGAGCAGTCAAAGAACTATCTCGGCGACCATGTCTAATTGTGTGTGAAAATCTTCCCACACCAAAAGTTTTGGGGTACGTCATGTCTTTTGAAATATTGTAACCTAACTCTTGAAATGCTTGAAGGAACATATCAGTGTCTTTTGTTGATTTCTTTGTACCTGTTACTTCTATCTCTCCACTTAGTCCATGATACTTCATCAGTTCTGGGTCATTGGCGATATTTTCGTCCGTCATACGCTCGGTCTTCTTAAAATATTCGAGAACTGAAGACCAGCTCCAATCTACGCCGACCTGAGAAGCCCATTCGTCATAGTCTGCGGGAAATCCTCGAGCATACACCATGTCATTTATGGAGCCGGTGCCACCTAGAACCTTGCCTCTTGGCTGTCGCTGGCTGCCGTCTTTCAGTGCTTGGCTCGAATAGCTATCGTTCATCGTAGTGAAATTCCAGTCGTAAGGGCTTCCTTTCAAAACATCTCTGAACCCTGGAATCTAAATTATAAAATATTTTCATTTCATTTCATTTTATATAGTTGTCAACATAGGTATTGAGAACTAGACCGCCCAATGTTGCCTCCTTATCTTGCTTCTTATATTAAGATTTTTTTATACATATTAAATAGGCTTTATCATTCTTTGAGAGGATTCGTTTTTTTCATTCATTTATTCATATTTGTCTCGTCTGTGTTTCGATTTGTAGGGTTTATGAAGCCATATAGCAATAAAATTGCTGACTACTAGGACTTGAGACCTTTATGCCGTAAGAGTCGATAATATGAACATACTCTTTGTTTAAATCACTGTGCCTGGTAGTTTTACTGTCATGTCTCATCAGCGTAATTATTTGGGTAATTTTCAGCAAGTGCAACCCTTGACTAAGCTTTTATCTGCAACTTTTTTTTTCTTTTATGTAACTTAGAATGACAAACAAGCTGACGGCCCACCTGATAAAAAATGGTAATAGTCGCCAATAACCATGGACACAAAGAGTATACTGTTTCACACGTGATACCTCCCCCCCCCCATGTGTTACATTTCCTAAGGACCAAAGTGTCGTACCTCTGTACACTATAATTTCACTACCATATTCTACCCTTTAAACCGAAATACAGTCATGCGAATACAATTGCTTCACGGTTAAAACACGAATGGGACAGAGATACCCAAGCAGACGACTTTTGTACAGTCTCCCTCTGGAACTTCGTCGGTATAACTGGAATACTTATATTTATTGACCGAAGTAAAAAATAGTTTATATCCTTCTTCGTCCCATACAGTAACTGATTATCAACTTTCACGACGATTGATCAATATGTAAAGTCTCTAAACGGTACCAAACAAACTTACTTTCAAATTTATCATTTCTTTTACGCAACTTAGCATGGAAATGACAGAGTATTCTGTATCACCCATGAGACTAATATTGGTAAAGTTTGTTTGCCACCTGTATCGCATAAAATAACAATCGTAAAACAAATAATTTTAAACTTTCGCGTTGTTTATACATATTTTAAATACACAATCGGGACTCGCGCAGTCTCAGTCAGTCAGGGTACCCTCAGACTGTCACCATTATTATCTAGCGAGCTACCGGACGAAGACGCCACTTACTTCAGTCCTGTCGTGACCACGACGTGGTGTAATCCACTTCGAAACGTCGGCAATAAAGAAGCAAGTATATAGGTACTACATACCTGTAAAGGCTTCATCGCGTTCATGTACATCGCGTTAAGTCCCGATTGTGTATTTAAAATAATCGTAAGACTGTCAGATAACTAACAATGCTCTCTTGCGGCGGATTCCCGCCTGCTTCCAGCAGTAGTACGCTGAAGTCCACCTCCGCGAGCCGGGCAGCCAGCACCGAGCCAGCAGTGCCTCCGCCGACGATGATGAAATCGAACGACGTTTCATCTGAAACATAGAGAGGTACGTATCGTGCATTCATCATATCAGCGTTTACCTGTCCACTGTTGAACATAAACCTTCCCCATAAGGGGAGTTTTGGCAATAGTTGTCACGCTTGACAGGCAGATTTGATGGGTGAAAATGGAATGGTAACCTCGCCTGCACTAGCGGGATACGCTGGCGGAGCACCAGTGAAGGGTGATAGATGAGAATGAAAACTGATCAGTTAGCCCACCATGATGAATTCATCAGGAATTAACCATGATAGTTTCCAGGGGGAACCGCAAGGAGATCGACTTGGTTGAATATATTGCTAGCAATGGGATTCTCAGTCTCCGTTACTAACAATCACTTTCCCACCAGACAGGCAGATTTGCAATCGCAGTAGCTCAGAGATTGGCTGCTTTTAGAGATGTTTTAAGAGGAATGCTGCTGCTCATCCCTCAACCATAAATTCCCTTAATTGCCTCTTGCGATACTCGCACGAAAGGAAGGAGTGTTCTATACTATGTCCGGACACGCACTGCTAGATAGGTATATATCGTACATTAATGGCATTTTATATCTTTTGTTCTACAACTTTTTATCGACCGGCTTCAAAAGGAAGAAAGTTCTCAATTCGGTTTTTTTTTTTGTTTGTTACTTATTAACTCTGTCTGTCATAAGCATACATGGTTTTTTTAAACCGAATAGATTTATTTACAGATTGATCCCATAGAAATTATATTAAAATCGATTCAATATTTCTACCAAAATATCTGGTTTTGCCACAAAAGAAGACGGTTTTTTTTTTGTGGGATCTTAATTTTTATTTTATTTCAAAATTCACATCTCCCATCTTAAGGAGAGGAGATGGTGAATCCCCGGCAGAAGCATAGTCGGCCGGGGTTTAGGGCCCCATTGAGAGAAACCGGCGTACTATGCGGGAAGCATCAAGAGCGCCGCTTACTGCATCTTTCCCGGGAATGTGCTGCCTCGGAATTCCAACCGTCTGAAGTATTGTTCCAAACTGGTTGGGATAAGACCGACAGAACGATTGGGATGACTTCAGTGGAGGTAACCCTCCACATTTCGGTCACCTCGTGAGCCAAGATTTTTTTCTCTTCTTATTATTCAATTGTTATTCATTTAATTATTATATATTTAATTATTATTTCCTGATTATTTGTCCATACGTACTATCTATGGTAGCTTGTTGTGGCCACGGCTCGCTGATCAAACATTGTGAGGCGGCGAAGAACTGCAACGCCGCCGCCACCACGGCTCTTACCGAGCTGCTGTTGGTGGGACACGCGCGCAGCAGGCTGCCGGATATCATTGTTGCAACTGAAACGATATTATTATACAACTTTAGAACATTTAGAATGATAAATAAAAACCGACGGCCCTACTGATAGAAAATGAAAAGCAAGAATCTTGACTAAAAAAGTGGACTGGTAGAGAATGTCTATAGCATTAAGTACGGCCTTTGTACCACATTTTATTGGTTAAAAAATTTTAATAAATTGGTTTTTTGTTTTTATTTTTTTTAACCAATAAAATAAACATCTGTTAACACTTAAGTTTGTCTGGATCTTTTGTTTGAAAATTGTCACAATATTGTACACCACTCTACCCGCTGACATTGATGCTCCTTTCCACTTTGAGTTTGCTGTAAAAGAACTCTTTTAGAGTTAAGCTCGCTTTTGTACATTTGATTACCTCTGTCATGCTTTTATGTATACGAGGTCTGTCCGGAAAGTTCGTATAAAAGTGTTCTGGAATGCGAGAAAGAGGAGTGGGGAGGCCAGGTAAGCGCAGGACCCCTTCCTTATGTCCCTAACAATGCTTCAGTTCTGGTCTGACCGCCGTGCGGTGCGAACTGGCTTGTCACGCCATCTGTGAAGTTACCTCTTAACGAAACCCCGTCGGCATGGAGCCCGCTTCCGTTGAAGAGCAGCGCGTCGTAATCAAGTTTCTCTCGAAACTCGGCAAGAATGGCCGTGAAATTTTTGCCGATCTTAGAACAATTTATGGGGATGATGCTGTGAAGGAACCAACCGTCCACAAGTGGCTAAAAAGATTCAGAGAGGGCCGAGAAAGCGTTCAAGATGACCCACGTTCAGGACGTCCTTCCACTTCACATTCCGACGAAAACGTGGAAAGAATTCGAACTTGTGTTAATGGGGACCGTCGTTTAACGGTCAGACAGGTGGCTGAAGAGCTTAATTTGGGCAAAACCGTGGTCCACGAAATTCTAAGAAACGAACTACAAATGAAAAAAATTTGCGCCAAGATCGTTCCCAAGCTTTTGTCCCCGGATCAAAAATCACGAAGAGTTGCTTGCTGTGAGGACTGGTTGGAAGCCGAAGAGAATGGTGACTTTTTGAACCGAGTCATCACTGGAGATGAGTCTTGGTTCTACGAATTTGATGTCGAATTAAAATCCCAAAGCAAAGAGTGGAAGACATCCGGGGAACCACGAACAAAAAAATCAAGAAAATCCCGCTCAAATGTCAAGACAATGTTGATTGTTTTTTTCGATGTTCGGGGGATTGTCCATCAAGAATTCGTCCCTCCAGGCCAGACAGTTGATGGAAAATTCTACGTCGATGTGCTCAGACGCCTCAAAGCTCGTGTGGCACGAGTTCGTCCAGAATTGGCGCGAGAGGGGCGTTGGATTCTTCACCACGACAATGCCCCTGCCCACACCTCTCTTGTTGTCCGTGAGTTTTAGAGTAAAAATTCCATTACGGTGACCGAACACCCCCCCTATTCGCCGGATTTGGCCCCGTGTGACTTCTTCTTGTTCCCAAAAACCAAATTGGTACTTCGGGGGCGGCATTTGGGGGACATAAATGAGATAAAAAAAGCTACGACGGGGCAGCTGAGAAACCTACAACCAGAGGACTTTCAAGGAGCCTTCTCACAGTGGAAACGGCGTTGGCACAAGTGCATTATGTCACAGGGGGAGTACTTTGAAGGGGATAAAATTGATTTACCTGAATAATTGTAAAATAAAATTTTTAAAAAACTTTTATACGTACTTTCCGGACAAACCTCGTAATTAGTGTGTAATAAAGTATTAAATAAATAAATAAACCGTCTGCTGAGGGAGAAGTAAAGTAGACGAAACGAGAAATTGAAAAATAAAGGCCTTTAGGAGTCTGCATGACTTAACACTAGCAATCCACCGGGCCACCGGACTTTGCATGGTTTTTTTTTAATAAAATATACTCCATATTACTCGCCATTAATATAGTTATCTATAGGTAAAGAAATTTTTAATACTTTATTATAGTTTCTTTCACATACACCCACTTTAACTTTAATTTTTTTATACAACTTAGAATAGCAAACAAGCTGACGGCCCACCTGATGGAAAGTGGTAACCGTCGCCTATAGACATGAGCAGTACCATGGACATAACAGAGTATACCGTTTCGCCCGTAATACCCCCAATGCATTGCCATTCTTGAGTACTCAGATGTTATTCCTCTGTACCGTTTAAATTCACTGCCATATCCACTGCCCTTCAAACCGAAATACAGCCATGCAAACACAATTGCTTCACCATAGAAACACGAATAGGACAGAGGTGTCCAAGCAACTTTTATACAAAGTCTTTCTATAGTAAATGGCATCATTAAAATCCTTTATTGCATAATTAAAATCCTTTATTGGCTGTATTTATAAAAGAGTTAGCATGTAAGTTACTTTTTGAAAGAGCTGTGGACTTTTTGTATTAAATAATTTAATAAATAAATAAAATTATTTGGAGTTTATCGATTACAAATATTTTTTTTTAAATCTTTCATCTTTCTAATGTTAGTTTAGGTAAATGACTAATCTCGAATATGATAAGGCTTTATCATGTTTACAGATAATACGATAGTCTGTGGTGTAAACACAAAAATATAACTACATATTTATAAACCCACTTCAAAAAAAGGTATAGGTTCTCAATTCGGTTGTATTTGGGGAAAGGGATTGTTAGCAATGGAGTTTGACAGCCCCATTGCCAGCAATATGTCCTATTAGGTCTAACTTCACGTGGTTCCCCCTAGAAACCATCGTGAACAATTCTTGTTGAATTCGTCACGATGAGCTAATTTGACTTGGCAACAGCATTTTTAAACTACATAATATTACTCTTCTTAGCACAAACAGAGATAATGGAATGGTAACCCCGCCTGCGCTATCAGTATACGCTGGCGGAGAACCAGTAAGAGATAATAGGTGAGCATGAAAAAGCAGGTGAGTTAGCACATCGTGATGAATACGCTTGGAATTTTGGGGGGGAAAGGGATTGTTAGTAATGGAGACTGAGAATCCCATTACTAACAATATACCCAACCAGGTCGACCTCCTCGCGGTTCTCCCTGGAAACTATTATGGTTAATTCCTGATGAATTCATCTTGATGGGCTAACTGGCCTGTTTTCATTCTCATCTATGACCCTTCACTGGTGCTCCGCCAGCGTATACCGTTAGCGCAGGCGGGGTTACCATACCATTTTCACCCATCAATACGCATGGAATAGACATAGAATATATTGCTAACAATAGGGTTGTTAATCCCCATTACTTCTACTACTTCTACTTTTATTCTCAACTGTCATCTCTCAATGGTATACCAATATCGCAGGTGGTACCATACCCTTTTCACCCATGAAACAAAACCATCCCTCACTGGTGTCCCGCCAGCGTATACCGATAGCGCCGGCGGGGTTACCATTTCATTGTTATCCTTTAAAAAAAGTATATACACAAACTGGCACGTTACCAGAAACGAAATTTGTTGTTCTAATATGTTTAACCTTTCCATAACGATATATAAATTTAATAAACAATAAAATATACAATATGCCGTGTGTACCCCGGCATAGAATGGGCTACCCCTTCCTTTCTCGTAGGTGTCGTAAGAGGTTTAAGGGAGAACGAGAGACGGGCAGCAGCGTCTCTTTTAAAACATCTCTAAAAGCCTAACTGCGATTGTCGACCCACTTGCCAAGCGTGGCAACTACTAACAAAACTCACCTTATGGGGAAAGCTAATGTCCAGCAGTGGACAGTTAACGGGTTAAATAAAAAAAATACACACGTATTTTTTCAACGATTCACAGCGAAAACCTCTTCGCAGTGTCCTTGATGGTATATGTAATTGAAATTCGACGTAAACAAACGGGTGTTATTAATTTTTGTTTTATCTGTATTAACAACTGTATTTTAACAAAACATGACTAATAGACATATTGTTTACCGTCTATTTGTTACGATTGTTAAATAAAAGGAAAACATTACGTTTGTATAACTAGAAATATACGTCTCGTGTGGCAATACTCCACTCTTTAATTAAAAAAGTGTCGATTTTTAACATATTACTAATCTATACTTATAATAAATCTGTAGAGAGGTCAATTCTGTACATGAAATATATTTCCAAAATAACTATCAGGGGGTGATTAGTGATTGAAACTGATGTCAAAAATGCAATCAGTAAAATTTTTGTCTGTCTTTCTGTATGTTCGTTATAGAAACAAAAACTACTCGACGGATTTTAATGAAACTTGGTACAATTGTTCTTCATACTCCTGGGCAGGTTATACTTTTCATCACGCTACGATCAATAGGAGCAGAGCAGTGAAGGGAAATGTTGGGTAAACGGGAGAAGTTACTCCATTTTTGAGCTTCCGTCGCGTGTGTGCCTTAATAGCCACTTTTTAAAATGTAAAAATTTCCACCCGTGCGACGCCGGGACGGGCCGGTAGTATATAATAATAACCTATACGCTTCTCCATCCCATATAGTTCGTTCGTTGACCCCTCGTGCGGGACGAGGAAATCAGCCATATATAGTACACCTGTATACCAAATGACCCCGTGGTCACGGCACAGAATAAGCCACCCTTTCCTTTCACGTGGCCACAAACTAAAGTTTCATCCCAATCATCTGGACGAGTGGCGGTCTTCCACCGTGCGTTTTTCAAGGCACTTTCTTCCACGCACAACCATTCTCTGGAATCAACTTCCAGCAGCAGTATTTCCGAACCGATACGACAACATAACCTTCAAGAAAAGAATATATTCCTTTTTAAAAGGCCGGCAGCACACCTGCAATGTCGCTGGAGTTGTAGGTGATCATGGGCGGCGGTAGTCACTCACCATCAAGTGAGCCGCATGCTCGTTTGCCCCCTGTGTTGTAAAAAAAAACGTGGTCATCGAAAGAGCTGACTAAAATACATACAGACAATAGTTCCACTTGTGGGAATACGTTAAACACGTCTTACTGTAATTTTTTAAAATAACTTTTCGTCGATAGGTACGTATACAGATCTTGGTAAATAAAAATACAATTTAAGAAATATTACCTTACCTTAATAATAGCCCTTTATAGTTCCACTATTAACTCTCTTCCCATATATTTTGCAAAGGGTAGGATTTACTACCACCTCTCTGACCAGAAGAACTTGCTTCGAAAAGGAATTTACTTCGAATTTTCGCCCTTGCACTATTATATTTCGGTTTATTATTTTTATCACCTCTCACGACACAGTATTTTTGCTCGATCACCGCGCATAGTATAATATTATTGTTAAAAATTAATACACATATGTAAAATACCGTATAATTTCTATATTTTTAAATGGCTACGTACTGAACGCTGTCAAGTGTGGGTAGTCGTATAATTAATGTGATAAAAGGCTGTTGAACTTGCTGCGGTTAAATATTTCACATGCATAGTAGATACCTGCGCTTAATACTTACGTCAATGAACATAATAAGGTCGTGTTTTGTACCAATATTCTACGTATTAAAATGTGGTGTAACCACAAAAAAAAAACATTGTCGTACACTTACCAAATGAATGGGTCATTGACCTTATTTACAAGTCAAAACTACAAGACAACTAGAAGTGATTTTACGTATACTACCATTAACTATATGTACAAGATATAATAATTATTATTGTAAATTATTAATTAGATCATAATCTAGAATTTACCAGTGGGAGACTTTGTACAAAAGTCGATTGCTTGGGTACCTCTGTCCCATTCGTGTTTCAACCGTGAAGCAGTTGTGTTTGCATGGCTGTGTTTCGGTTTGAAGGGTGGGATATGGCGTGAATTTACTGGGTACAGAGGAATAACACCTGAGTCCTCAGGAATGACAACGCATGGGGGGTATCATGGGCGAAACAGTATACTCTGTTATGTCCATGGTACTGCTCATGTCTATAGGCGACGATTACCACTTTCCATCAGGTGGACCGTCAGCTTGTTTGCCATTCTAAGTTGTATAAAAAAAATGCATTTTGTTCTTAATTCCCACAAAATAACTACAGACCGCTAGCATGTAAAAAATAGTCCTGCCTACCTATCTCGCTCTAACAGATATATGTAGAATATGTTACTACATAAATCATGGAGCTTAAGCTAGTCTATTACCTGATATCTCTGCCAATTCTGGCCTGGACAAATTATAAATAATTACCTATTATTAAATATTGTTTTTTTTATAATACATATATGCAATTAGTAATTGACGCTGGGGGGAAAGAGATTGTAAGTAATGAGATTTAACAACCTCATTGCTAGCAATACACCCCCCTGTCAGGCCGACCTCCACGCGGTTCCCCCAGCAAACCAGAGTGGTTAGTTCTTGTACAATTAGTCACTATGGGCCAACTGACCTGCCATCATCCTCACCTGTCACCCATCACTGGTGCCCCATCAGTGTATACCGATAGCGCAGGCGGGGCCACCACTCCATTGTCATCCATAAAAAAAAAGTAATTACCGCTTACTGTGTTTAGAAATGAACTCCCAGCACTGTCCTTTCTGCTCAATATTTTTATTTGTAAAGATTATCATAACAAGTTCGCAACTAAAGTATACCGACAATACAATAAGTAACAAAACGCTCTGATAGATTCTTATATGGACAATCTAGCGTCACGTTATCAGGGACGCGATACGTTTTACATAATATGTAAACCGTGCAGCAACGTGACCGATAACCGAGATGCTAACTTTGATTGCATTTTTGTAGGTAGAATAATATTTATGTATATGTAGGCTACCAACCACTTTCAAACCTACATAGTTGTAGAAAAGTAAATAGTGACGTTCTTGACAATCTCCTTGTCTTAGTAATTTTACCGTACTATATTTTGTATCGCGACTTATTATATCTGGATTTATTTATTGTAAATATTATTCATTATACAATCTCGTACTAAATCTTTCTTTCTCTCACTCCATCTGAATCTATATATATATATATATATATATATATATATATATATATATATGTATATCATTTGTATCAGCAAGAGATTTTTAGTAATGGGGAGATTAGTCCCCATTGCTTTCCCCTTTGGAAACCATCGTGACTAATTTATCGTTGAATTTGTCACGACTGAGTAACTGACCTGTCTTTTCACCTACACCTATCATCTCTCACTGGTGCCCCACCGGTGTATATCGATAATGCAGGCGGGGTTACCATTCCATTATCACCCATAAAAAAAAAACTATTCACTGCTAAATATACCCTCCTACAAAAGAGGGTTTTGCCAGTAGTTGCCACGCTTGGCAGGCTAGTTTTTTATATGGGTGAAAATAGAATGGTAACCCCGCCTGCGCCAACGGGATACGCTGGCGGAGCACCAGTGAAGGGTGATCGATGAGAATGAAAACAGGCCAGTTAGCCCACCATGACGAATTCATCAGGAATTAACCATGATAGTTTCCAAGGGGAACCGCGAGGAAGTCGACCTGGTTGGGTATGTTGCTAGCAATGGGATTTTTAGTCTGCATTACTAACAATCCCTTTCCCCCCTGGCAGGCTAGTTAATAACCCCAGTTTGGCAGGGGAAAAAGGATTGTTAGCAATGGAGTTTGACAGCCCCATTGCTAGCAATATACCTTATTAGGTCGACCTCCACGTGGTTTCCCCTGGAAACCATCGTGAACAATTCTTATTGAATTCGTCACGATGGGCTAACTGACCTACTTCAACCGCACCTATCATCTTTCACTGGTGCCCCGCCAATGTATACCGATAGTGCAGGCGGGGTTACCATTCCATTATCATCCATTAAAAAAAAACCCCCCAGTTTGGCTTTTGGTGATGTTTCAAAAGGGATGCTGCTGCATATTCCTCCACTATAAATTCCTTTAGCCGCCTCTTACGACACGCACAGGAAAGGAAGGGGTGGCCTATTCTATGCCGGGACTGACACACCTAATGTAATAGATAGATAGATAGATAAACACTTTATTTCAGCCATTTATGACACACGTAAATAAACAAATGAGTTTATACAATCAGATTATTTACATTTTTTTTTTAAATATAAAACAAAAGATGAAATATGGAAATATGTTTTCACCAAGTGTGCCGCAGTGACCCAAATATGCTGCAGCTCAGTGATAGTTTTGCTTAAAAGCAAAGCACTGATTGTCAGCTACAGCCTGAAGTTAGGCTACTCGGACGCGTACAACAAACCTAGAGTATTATATACATTATACTCTGGTATAATGATTAATTTTAAAAGATCTGCATACCAATTTTAGCCATTTAAATTCGACTAAAATTACGGACGTACAAACATTAATACAACTGATGTTCAGATTACCATTTTCAATTAAATGGGATATTATGAAAGCTCATATTCAAAAATGAAACTAGATAATGAATTAACAAGGTTTATTTTATTTTCCACCAGCAGTAAGTACCCCGCGGCTTCGTCCATAGCCGTATCGTATATTTTTGTAAAACACACTATATCCTGAGGAGATACAAACGACGCTACAAAAAAACATTTTAAAATTCCTATCATTGATAGTAGACGCAGCGAGCTTTAATAAAAAGCGAGAACAAAAGATCATGGAAAGGTCGCAGTGTCACAGGTTTTTCTGCCTGAAAAAGCCCATCTGTCAATAAAAATAATAGCCATATCGTAATGTTAAATATCCTATAACCATCCTCTAGAAATTAACTGACAAATAATGTGAAAATAATTTTTCAAATCCGACTTTTAGTTCCAGAAATTAGCTCAAACATTGCGCTTTACATATAAGTATAGATCGGTAATTTCAAATTTAGAATAGTACATCGCTAGTACTCACCTCACGACAATCTTAATAAAATATTCCTTATTAAGTATATATTAATTGATCAATCCGCCATAAAACCACAATACGTTTAATTTTGCAGGTCCTCGTCTCGAACAATAAAAAACACCGGCTTACTCACGTCGACTTAAACACTAACCCCTTTTGTATAAGTACCCTCGACTATTTTATAAAATGATTCGAATAACAAATAAAACACATCCTTGCCATTAAAAAAAAATACATTAATGTTTGGATCTTAGGCTTGGATACACGCTAACAATCAATATATCAGCTCGCATGTGCATGCTGCATAAAAAAATTATAAATATTTATAACTTTATTACTATCATTATTTTGTGAAATAAAAGATATAATCTATCTATGTACAAAATTAAATTGAATTTCGTCTCCATCAATTTATTTCAGTCTTAATACAGATAGGTACGTTATTCGACACTTGCCAATTCTGCATCGATTTTAATTATCCTTTTTCCAATTGTTAGGACTCAGAGTGTTCTCTTTTGCGAATAATCTATAATATTTTTTTTATACAACTTAGAATGGCAAACAAGCTGACGGCCCACCTGATGGAAAGTGGTAACCGTCGCCTATAGATATGAACAGTACCATGGACATAACAGAGTATACTGTTTCGCCGATAATACCCCCCATGCGTTGCCATTCCTGAGGACTCAGGTGTTATTCCTCCGTACCCTGTAAATTCACTGTCATATCCCACCCTTCAAACCGAAACACAGTTATGCAAACACAACTACTTCACGGTTGAAACACGAATGGGACAGAGGTGTCCAAGCAATCGACTTTTGTACAAAGTCTCCCTCTGGTACTGGCTACTTAGATTATATAGATAGAGCCTCGAGCCTCAAAAACGGGTCAACTTTTTGTCAGCTACTTGTCAAATTAGCTGACCAGACCTATACTTACGCATAGAATGTATCTTGACGTATTATTTAATAAATAAAATGAGTGTTTACGCATTAGAAAGATGCAGAAATTATATGACAAAATATACATAAAAGTTATAAAGGAATCACTCATAAATATTTATCATGCAAAACTGTGTAAAAAGTTGATCCCTTTTTTCTCGAAACATTTCTATAGAGACACTCAATCTATATAGGGGGAATGGGATTGTTAGTAATGGAGACTGAGAATCCCATTGCTAGCAATATACCCAACCAGGTCGACCTCCTCGCGGTTCCCCCTGGAAACTATCATGGTTAATTCCTGATGAATTCATCATGATGGGCTAACTGGCCTGTTTTCATTCTCACCTATCACCCTTCACTGGTGCTCCGCCAGCGTATCCCGTTAGCGCAGGCGGGGTTACAATGCCATTTTCATCCACCAAAAAAAAACTCTGTCTATATAATCTAGGAATAGCTATTTTAAAATTAAAAATCAAATTCATAATTTCTCATGTTCTAACAAAAACAAACTACAAACGTAGGGTATAAAAAAAAAGGCATAAAGATTTAAATATTTTATGTTTATTTTAGCAGAACTTATAATAGTGTAAATACATTAAATATTTTGTACAATACCATATAATATAGTTAATTTATTTATACATTTTTTAATATAAAAAAGGCAATGAACGTTTATGACCATTTCGTTTTTATTAATAAGCTGTTAATTTTTTTTTTTTTATATACAATTTAGAATGGCAAACAAGCTGACGGTCCACCTAATGTAAAGTGGTAACCGTCGCCTATAAACATGAGCAGTACCATGGACATAACAGAGTATACTGTTTCGCCCATGATACCCCCCATGCGTTGCCATTCCTGAGGACTCAGGTGTTATTCCTCTGTACCCTGTAAATTCACTGCAATATCCCATCCTTCAAACCGAAACACAGCCATGCAAACACAACTGCTTCACGACAGAAGTACCAAAGCAATCGATTTTTGTACAGTCTCCCTCTAGTAAATCTGGTAAATAGGTAGTCCCTATCAGGTTATATTACTAGCAATGCCCCATGTAAACCATCATAGATAATACTTGTGGAGTTCGTGACGATGGGCGAATTGACCAGCGTCATCCACACCAATGTTTCGTTATAAAGACTCTTAAAAAAGTATTTTATTATGAATGGACTCGATTTTTCGAAATCTATCTCGTAAACTAATATTTTAATTTGATCATTACGCAAAAGTACCATGGGCCATCAAAACGTAAATTTAAAATAACAATTTGGACATAAATCTATTAAAAAATTATTTCACACGTCCTTGGTCCAGGTTAGTAAATATTTATAAATATTTACTAACCTACTTTTGTAATTTGTAAAAAATATTTTATGGTTCCAATAAATAAATACTTTATGAAAAAAATACATTATTTCTCTGTGATATCAAATTGAAGTTTTAATCATAGATTTAAAGTCCCACGATCAATTATTTTGTTGAATATCTAAGTACATGTAAATACTTTTCCCTAATTCAACGATCTGTCACGTGCATCTTGCTATTAGGTGCTGAGTGTAGCAATGGTGACATGGGACATTGTCACATATCCAGTTTGACACCCTGTACAATAAAGTGTTTAGTCACAATAGGTATGTTTTCAATTTCTTCCGTCATCATGTTAAGAAGGTGCAACAGGGTTTGTCTCATTGTTCTGGGTTCTGGAACAAAAATATTTCTATAGTCTTGGTATTTATCTTTTCTTTTGTTGAAATTACTACAGGAACACTTACCTGATATAATTAGTAACAAATTAAAACAAAAAATGTATTATGGGGTTATTTTTCACCAACAAACTTATCCCCTTGTTCATAAATAAAAAGCTCCAACAAACCTATTTTAACTGTTAGAATATTTTGTCACATTCTTTCAAATTGGAAATTCAATACAAAAGAAAAAGACAAAACATATCAATAGCTAATAAGTATATAACGTTTTTATGAATAAGAATGGGGAGGAGTAGTGTCAGAGCAATTGTTCTTTTGTTTACATTTTTGTGAAGTCGAAACAAATAATAGAATCAATTTACTTTAAAGCATGATTTTTTTAATTATTTCTCTATGGTAATTGGAACAAGACTTTAAGCTAAAAAATCTGAATAAATTTTTTCCATACGGCGTCTTCATCTTAGATGAACCTTTCACATAACGGAAGCCGTAGGTAATATACATATTTGCTTTTAAGAAAAATACTTAATTTAATGTAAAAAAAAAATTAATACAACACAATCTTAATATGGTAAAATTTTACAAAAGTAAACCTGGTGAATTTGCAAAAAGTATCGTCAAAATAAGTGTAGAGCTAGCGAAAATACAGAGTAATATACTCATGGAAAATTCAAACATCCTAAGGGTAGTCTGGTAAAGAATGCCGGTAGCATTAAATCTACCTTTCAGGCCACATTTTATTGGTCGACTGGCTTCTTTTTTTTTATACAACTCAGAATGGCAAACAAGCCGACGGCCCACCTGATGGAAAGTAGTAACCGTCGCCTATAGACATGAGCAGTACCATGGACATAACAGAGTATACTGTTTCGCCCATGATACCCCCCCATGCGTTGCCATTTCTGAGGACTCAGGTGTTATTCCTCTGTACCCAGTAAATTCACGCCATATCCCACCCTTCAAACCGAAACACAGCCATGCAAACACAACTGCTTTACGGTTGAAACACGAACGGGACAGAGGTACCTACGCAAACGACTTTTGTACAAAGTCTCCCTTTACTTACCTGGAACTTTATTCACGAGACCAGGATAAATTCATTGTCCGGAATAAAAAATAGCTCATATCTTTTTCATCCCATATAGTAGGTACGTGTATACCAAAAATCATATATAATTGGTTTAGCCGTTAAGACGCTAAGACAACAAACAAACTTCCTTTCCCATTTATTATTAGTAAAGATAACATTTAAAATGCCGGCGAGTTCAAAATATAGTTCTTTTTGAAGTAGCATGTAAGGCACAAGACTCACTTGCGAGCGCTGACAGAGACCAAAGTAGCCGAGCAGGACGCCTCCCCTCTCCATGCCGGTGCGGCAGTTCACCGACGACACCTGCAGCCCCGCCACCTGCACCTCGTAGTACCTGACCATCACAATCGACAAATTTCGAAATTGTCAACCACTACACGCGGAGTTGCCATTTTGTCCATAGACAAAGTTTCCATTTATGTTTCTCTCGTCTGCTTAGACTTTGAAATTCAACGAAAGAAAATCCTCAGCGTAAATTTTGGTCCAGACAAAATAAAACTTAAGAATTGCTACAGCTCACGTATGTTTTGCAAGTAAACGGTTTACATAAGGAAAAGATTGTACGCAGATAAAGACGTTTTGGTAATAGATACTGGTCCAGAGATGGTCGATGTTCAAATGTCGTTGAAAGATGACTTGAAGCTTTCTAGTTCGGGCGTCTAGTGTAGAGACTGACAATTCGAACCGCGTGTCTAATTAAGCAGTAACATAGATGAAAAGTTGAGACTAAATTGTGCTGTAATAACAATATTAAAACACAGAATAAATGTAGATCATTTACTGTTAATGTAATCGTGACACATGTTTTTGTTTTTACAACACGAGTATGCGGCTCACTTGATGGTAAGTGACTACCACCGCCCATGATCACCCACAACACCAACCAACCTATGATGGCAGATAGGTGTTATACCACAAATTGTTAATGTAAATTAAACTTCTTAAATCAAAGACAAAAACGTAGATACTAAATCCAACGAATACTATTCATGTCATGTCAATATTCAACGGTTACTACCTTCCATCACGTGAGTCACCACCTTACTTGCTATTTTCAGAAGAATTAAAAAAAAAGCATTATTTTATATTTATATATTTCCAATTACCTAAAATACTATAGCATAACTATAGCATTATATTATCTGTGCCAATACTCACCTTATTCTCCACCCATAAGAATTTTCCACCGAAATATAGAAACCTGGCTCCTTGAACAGCAGGTACTTCTGTAATTCCCTAAACTCGCTGCTCGTTACATTCAACGGGTACACGCTCAGAGTACCCGACGTGGTCTGGTTGACGGCGGAGATAACTTGCTGCTGCGCCGGTAAGTCGCGCCCCACCAGCACCACCTTCAAATCCTCGCCCGTCGCATTCCTTGCATGCAGTTTAATGTTTAAGAACTGCTCCTCATTCTCGGTCAATGTTTTTGTCACCACGCAAACGATTAACGTGTCCTTGCATTGGAAATCGCAATGGAAGATCCTAGTCATTCTGTGCTCGGGTGACAACTTATCGGAAGGATTTACTTTTAAACAAGAACCTCCAATAAAACTGTCTTCCAAGCACACTTCAAGGCACTCCAGCTCATCGGGGACGCAAGCTAGTGCATACCGCGTCTTCACCTGCGCTTGCGCCTGTCTTAAATTCACGGGCATTTGCACCATTGACTGTCCAGTCGATGTGCTCGGACCCGACTCCTGATCAACATCTCTCTCATCCGTTACCGCTGCGTCTTCCTTTTCCCCGCCAATTTCAGTTTTCTTTTCTGATTTCTTGAATAAATTTTGAAAAGTACGCTTCATTTTCTTTTTAACGGTACTCGTTTCATCATCAGAGTCGTCTATAACATTATCTTCGACTTGTGCATTCACTTCGTTAGTAGTTGACCATTTAACCTCGGTTCCACTTTCTTTACTTTTTAAAGAGTGTAACTCTTGTCTGCTGGTGAGGAATGATTCCCGATATTTTATGATTCCTTTTGGGTCTCTAACGATACATTTTTGGGAGACAGTCATGATGTTGTCCAATGTAGAAAGGAGGTAGCCGTGTGGGCCGTGATTTGCGTTGGGCTGGTACTGCATATGTCGCAAGTTGTACCATGGTACAGGACATAAAACCTGTAGGAAGGAGCAAATCATCCTGTGAGATTTATCGACGCGCTTGAGTAAAGAAATAAACCCATCAGTTTCGTATATTAAATGCAAAAATAATCTACAAATTTTAAAAGCTGATTCCTACTAGTCTTTCAAAGATTAGCAATCTTTTATTAGAATGAGTTACAAAACAAGCATATTTATGATTCATTTAAAAAAATGTAAAAAATAACACAACCATTTGATAAAATACCTCTCCATATAATCTTCTTTTCTTTCCTTGTCCTCTGCAGAAGGAAGTCTGAAAGGGCAGCGTGCAAGGTAGCCTAGTATTTAAGAAGGGCCATATACTGCCCCACAGCGCGCGGTCCCTCAACAGGAACTGATCGTAAGCGTCCAAATCGTCGGCCACTGCGACAGCGTTGTAGCCAGTCTTGTCTTGACTCATCGCCTCGTGGGTCCAGGCAGGCGCGAAAATGGCCAAGGAACACCCATGGCTGTAGGCTACTTCCACTGCCTGAACAAAATAATTAATACAATTAAAATTGATTTAGGAGTACCCACATTTTTACTTGGTAACCCTTTTGTCAATTACCGCTTTCCAGTAACTGACCTCTCAACTAGTTCGACATTCAAAATTGAATGGACATTAAAAATTTAATGCCCTTCCTTCCTTCCTTAGTTTTCTAAGCAACCTGCATCCACAAAGTTCCTACTGTGCAAGTCTTCGCTAGATGCACCGAAGACAGTAAAGAAAGAAAGGAACATGATTAGTTACCTCCCGTATATTAAACTGGCCGCCTCCGTAGAAGTTCCTGCCCCACACATCAATGCCGATGTAGAGGTCGGTGAGGCGATCACCGGCCACCTTCGCACTCGACGCTACGTCCGCCTCCGTCCACGAGTAGTTGGTGAAGAATCCGTCGCAGGCGTCAAAGAAATCTCTGCAAAATTGAAATATACACATTTTGCTTGAGTACTATTATTACATCTCCTTTTACTTTAGAGGTAGGCATAACAGATCGTCACGTTGTTGCTAGTGTCCGTAGGCTGTGCAGTAATGATTTATTAACAGATCATCTTTAGAAATAAGGACATCCATTGGTTTTATTTTACAAAAATCGTCAGCATCAACCAGCTATTACATATGCTATATATTTTACGTTTGCTTGCAACCAATGTCGTCAACCAACAAGAGAAAGAATATTAAACAAAGTAATATCAGTAACAAAAGGAAATCTAAAAACTACTTGTTCGATGAGGCTATCCACTAAGGGCTTTAGAATCTAGGCGAAGGGAATATATGCGCTGAGTGACAGCTAGAAATAGGGAGTGACTGACTTATTTTTGTGGTTGAGCCCGTTCTGCCAGTTGAGGTGTCCGTCTATGGTGACGCTGTCGTACCAGATGAGCACCGGCGCCGGCAGCTCCTGGTGCAGCATCTTGTGCAGGTAGCGCACGAACTTCAGCAGCATCGCGGGTTTCGTCACCTACACGCACATCATACGAATGGTTAACATCAATACAAAAGTCACCTACTTGATAAAAAATTGTAACCGTCGATTATCGAGCTCTTATGCTTTGTAATTCCTAAGACTTATGGCATTATACCATCAACATCCTTTTAGTGTTCCACTTGTGAAATTAACATTTTCCCTAAGGAACAAGAGCCGAAAACCAGTGAAAATGTGTTGAACCTTCCATAACAATACAGCACACCCATCTATCAAGTCAGCATGTGGGACTAAATTTTTTGTTGCTTTTCGAAACATGTTTTTTATTGGAAAAAAATGTTCAATTTCACTGGTATATCCTAAAGTTTTTATCATTCTGTAGAAACAATAGTCTTGTCCCGTCGTTGGAAGCTTGAAAAATCAGGATCGTAGCTGTATTGTACTGTATACCCAAATTGGGTCAGAGACTCTGTTGTTTAAAAAACTATTAGACATAAGAATACCTTATTTTCAACGTTCAGTAGCCACCCATCGAACTTCAGCGTTTTTGCGATGGCCACGAGGGCGCTTGCGAAATCCTGATACTGAGCTTCTGACTCCAACATTTTGTCCCAGAACGCAATGCCGTTCCCCCATTCTGTTATGACCGTACCTGAAAATAGTTACGCCATATCGCTTATTCCAGTAATCAGTGGCAGACCAGCACGATATCGTGTAACCAATAACCTTTAATCAGAATTTGAGTGCACTACACAGAACATCTTTTTTTTTTTTTAATTTACCTGCAAAAGAAATCTGCGCAAAGCGCCAAAACAGTCTTTTTTTTTCATACCAGCTCTACCTCATGCCATATCTTTGACCTCCCTATACAACATGACACTAGTGTTTCCTTTTTTTATGCAACTTAGAATGGCAAACAATCTTACGGCCCACCTGATGGAAAGTGGTAACCGTCGCCAATAGACATGAGCAGTACCATGGACATAACAGAATATACTGTTTCGCCCATGATACCCATGCGTTGCCATTCCTGAGGACTCAGGTGTTATTACTCTGTACCCTGTAAATTCACGCCATAACCCACCCTTCAAACCGAAACACAGCCATGCAAACACAGCTGCTTCACGGTAAAAACATACTTTATCTGTCTCATGCAATTATTACTCAGCCAGAACGGTAAACAATGAAAATTAATCAATAGTATTCATCTTGTAAAATTAACTGCAAGTTGCAACATATAAAAAACTAACTTCTACTCGCGACTTCGTCCGCGTGACCGGGATATGTACATATTTTGACCGGAATAAAAAGTTAGGCTACTTTTCGTCCTTCTTTGTCTTGTATAATACCTGTATATAAAATTTGATAACGATTGCTTAAGCCCAGAGGCAATAAACAAACAAGCCGCGTAACAAACAGACACACTTTCATATTTATAATATTAGTAAGGATTGAATACTAAATGGACGGATATATGCTGAAATGATGAGAATGATGATGACATAATAAATAATTGGGAATAACCAATAACTTTGACGCCGTGCGCGTGGCCCACATTAATCCAGCCGAGTGGCGGTATCGTGATGAGGTGGTGACTGAAGTAGCAGAAGATGTCGATACCCGACCAGTTGTAGAACGTGTACGCGTCGTGCTGGCCCGTACCGTCGATAATGCTGCAAGTGCGATACGACAGACATATTACGGAACACGAAAACATAAGGCCTTAGTCTTCAGAATTGGTAGCACACGAGGGGCAATACAATGTATTTTATAATGTCAATAGTACTTTTACGTGTCTACAGGCGACGGTTACAACATTCCATTAGGTGAGCTTGTTTGATTTATTATTATTTGATTATTACAGCAGACCTTACATAGGTTAAGGATAATCAGATGTTTATTCGAAGAAGCATGTAAGGACGATGGATAGAACGAAGGAAGAAGGATAGTGAAAAAATTAAATATTAAAACAAATCACAGTAATCCAGAGACCCTAGCAACAATAGAGAAGTCGCCGATACGTAAATAAAAAAAATATATATAATAAATAAATAAATCTATGTGTCTCTACAAGAATCTATCAAAATGGACAGATTTGTTGAAATGCGTATCATTGCTGTAAAAAATACAATATTTCCCCGTGTCTATTACGAGTACAACTAATTAAAAAATATTAGCGAGAAAGTTACGAAAAAGGTAAAACCTTTTAATCGTAAAAAAAGACTGACCCGAAACCTAAGATTAAAGTGTGTTCCCAAAAAATTATGATGGTTTTTAGCATAAAATTGTACCAAATTTATCTAAAAACACAAGTAAAATAAATATCTATTCGTGTTACTTATCATTAAAAGAACTATAACCCAGTGCCGTGAATACATTAAAAACGAAATAAAAACAGTTACAGCCGTCCATAGATTAAGCTACTATCGTTACAGGTGTATTTCTATCTTCAATCTTAAGATATCGTTTGGACAGCATAATAACTAAGTGCTATTTATTGTAGTTATTATGTCCAATATGTGAATACTTTACCTATCATCGTGATATCCGTTAGCCATATCATGGCATACCAACGTCTTGGGTAAATTAGATTCATTGTGCCGGTCTATATCATCCGTATCCGGATCGAAATGACAAAATATATGTGGGTTATCAAGGATTACTGCAGCTTGTTTGTTTATCTCAATATTCTTTATTATTTTTTTACTATGTAACTGTAATTCTTTACATAAAGATCTCCACGAAGGAGGACTTTCTAAAAATAATAATATTTCACTGTATGTATCGAGCGGTTTGCAGGTTAGTTCATCTTCCTTCCAAATAGACTTCACTTTCATTTTCAATTCACTTTAAACTAAGACTACATACACAAATTGTACAGCAATCGATTTTAATTTGCAATATATAAATTATGCACTTATTTACAGAAAGAACTAAACTAAGTTAGATTTATTTACGATTAATTGTCACTGATCTGACATTTTATTTTGACAGCGACAATAATGGCGGGCAATACGAACGTGCGAAGCGTGAAGCATAAACAACTAAATTGATATGCCGGAATGCTAGAATATAAACTTCTAATAATGTACTTTAGAAAATAGGATACGTGTCAAGGTTTTTGCGCGTTTAGGCTTTGTTATCGCTGATATAAAATATGTAAATATTTATTAAACAAACTAAGTTCAAATCAAATAGATTTTTGTTTGTACGCGCGTCAATATCGTTTGTAATCGAAACTCGACCGGTAGATATTTTGCCAGTGATAAAGATGTATAAACATAATGTGTTTACTCATTTATTTTATATATTCATATACCAACTCAGTTTATTCTCCGATTTTTCATAATTCTGGATTAAAAGTAATAAAATTTATAGTATATTTTTTTACAAGCCACTTGTTTGCACAATTTATTTATGGATTGTTATTAATTACGTAGACGAAATAACAATAGAGGTTTCGTATCGTATCGTAGATATTTCTAGAATATAAGTAGGTATCATTAAATAAATACTTTAATTACCACTAGTAATGGAATATTTTACTAAACTGTGGGAGCCCAGTGCTCTAGTTTTATTTAGTTGCAATAATGTTTGTAGGTCAGCTCAGTGATAAGGGTTGCATTGTTCATTGGCATGATATTTCCGTTGGAGAACGGAAACTAGATCATAACTATAACTAAGTAAATGACTGAACCCAAAATACAATGTTACGGGATATGTTGATACGACGATATTGATAGTGACGAGGTAATATATTTAAACTAACTAAAGACTAACAACAAATATGAATGATTTTATAATATACTAAATAAGTAACTAAGAAAATATAACAAACTAGCTGACGGAATACGACTACTACTACTAGAAGACGAACGGTGGAATGCGCGTGAGCTGCGCGCGTTACTGGACAGTACTTGGACATTGCAACATTACTTTATTTTTCTAAAATAAACGTAGCCTAAGTTACTTCTTATTACATCAGCTACCAGCCAATAAAAGACCCGTCAAATCAGTCCAGCCATTTCAGAGATTAGCCGAAACAAACAGACAAAAATTGTAAAAATGTTATTTTGGTGTATGTACAGTATATATATGTGTAGTAAAAAAACGGTTATTTCAATATTACAAACAGATACTCCAATTTTATTTATATGTATAGATATGTTTGCATGGCTGTGATTCAAGGGTGGATGTGGCAGTGAAATTATAGGGCACAACAGCATACACCTTAATTCGTAAAAATGGCAACACATGTAGGGTATCATGGCCGACGGTTATCACTTTCCATCAGGTGATTTGCCATTGTAAGTTGCATAAAAATTTTTTATCTGTGCATTACAGTCATCAGGATAAAAAATAATAAAATAAGATTTTTTTATAGTTGAAAATGGAATAATAATCCATTGTTGCCTCTTTATCTAATTCATTTTGATTGTGTACATATTGTTAATCTTTATAAACTGTACCATTCTTTGAAGGATTTTTATTTATTCAACCCCGCCTACGCTATCGGTATACACCTAAGAACAAGGATTTACATTGATTGGGCACCAGTGAAAGATGATAAGTAAGGATGAATGCAAGTTAGTTGATCCATTGTGATGATAAATCATCACAAGAAATTACCATAATGGTTTTCTGTGGGAACCGCTTGCTGGTGGACCTGATATGATTTTTTTTATACAACTTAGAATGGCAAACAAGCTGACGGTCCACCTGATGGAAAGTGGTAACCGTCGCCTATAGACATGAGCAGTAGCATGGACATAACAGAGTATACTGTTTCGCCCATGATACCCCCTATGCGTTGCCATTCCTGAGGACTCTGGTGTTATTCCTCTGTACCCAGTATATTGCTAGTAATAGGGTCTTATAGCTAACAATCCTTTTTGCCCTTAAGTAATAAGTTTTTTTTAATGGATGATAATGGAATAATAACCACGCCTGCGCTATCGGTATATACTAGCGGGGCACCAGTGAGGGATGATAGGTGAGGGTGAAAGGTCAGGTCAGTTAGCCCATCATGACGAATACACTTGGAACTTAGCAAGATGGTTTCCAGGGGGAACCACGTGGAGGTCGACCGGGTTGGGTATATTGCTAGCAATGGCGCCCGTAATCTCCATTATTGACAATAAGTAATAAGTTAATTTCAGGAATGTATTATAACGTATTAGTTTCATTAATAAAATAACGTGTAAGTTAAATACTAGCTCGCGGAGAGCCAATAAGCTAATACCAGAGCAACAAGAAAACACTTCTATATTTTGCATTGCATAGGTATACAGTGTAGAACGAATCCTACTAGATGGAGTGACGACCTCAAATGCATTGCAGGAAGTCAATGTATGCAGGTGGTTCAGGACCATTGCGTATAGCGGTCTATGGGGGAGAACTATGTCCAGCAGTGGACGAATGATGGCCAAAATGATGATAGGAACCCCACCTTATGGAGACCGCTATCACGCCTGATAATTTGACTCTGTGGTTTGACTGACGTTTTGATTGTGACAATCAATCACACAGATTATCATTTATCAATTAGGCTGTCACTGTCGTAGCATAACAAATAAGAAATCAGACTTATTTTATTTGATTAATAAATATAATCCTTTTATAATAGCTCTACAAGAGACTTGGTTAAAGCCAGGATATCCTTTTAGGATTTCAGGCTTTACAAGTCTCCGTGATGATAGAGCTGACGGATATGGCGGTGTTGCCATATTGGTCAAAAACTCCCTTCTTTTTTCTTCTTTTTCGCTTCCTGTATATAGCGGCATTAATGCAGCTGCTATAATTATAAATGGTATCTGTTTTGTTACTTTATATATTCCTGATCCTACATGCCAAATATATTCACAACTAGAACAATTATTTTCAATTTTACCTAAACCTTTTCTCGTAATGGGCGATTTTAATGCTCAGCACCAATCGTGGGGCAGTTCTACTTCTAATTTTTATGGTGGAAAACTCCTGACGATAATTGACACTTACAACTTATGTATTATTAACTCAGATGTACCGACACGTAGAATTGCACCGAATGAAGGGTTTAGTGCTCCTAATATTTCAATATGTTCTTCTGATTTAGCTTCTTCACTGTCGTGGTATCCTCATTCCTCTACCTTCGGAAGCGATCACTTTCCCCTCATTCTTTCTTTTCCAATTTCCATTCCCTCAAGTCGAAAGAGTGGTCCTCGACTTAAATATAATTTATCAAATGTAGACTGGAATATTTACAAACAATATTTAGATAATAAAATATCGGAGTTACCTATTGTTTATCATGGAAATGAACATCAATGTTGTAATGACTTGATAATTAATATGAAGGAGGTTGCTGATTTATTATTTCCTGTTAAAAATAGTGCTTCAGGGAAAATTCCCTCCCCACCTTGGTGGGACAAAGATTGTACGGAAGCAATTAAAAATCGTAAAGAGGCTGAAAAAAATTATAATAATTACATGACATCAGAAAATTTTGAAATTTACACCGCAGTTTCACGTTCTACTCAAAAACTACTGAAAAAAAAGAAATTGGAAGGTTGGAGAAGATTTTGTTCTTCTATCTGTCCAGAAGTTAATTCATCAGTCGTTTGGAATAATATTAAAAGATTCAGATCTGCCTTTAGTGATCATACATCACGTTCTGCACTCGATTTAACTTTAGCGAATAAATTTTTAGATCGCCTTGCTCCTAGTTATGTGCCGGAATGCCTTTACAATATTTCTCTATCCGTCTCTGACGAATTATCCGAACTTGAGTCTCCTTTTACTCTTGTAGAACTTAAAGGTGTTCTAGCTTGTATTAAAGACTCTGCACCGGGAGAGACGGTATACCGTATTCCTTTTTTAAAAATGCTAGCGATGCGACATTAATTTACTTTTTAAATATAATTAATTCCATAATTATTTCGGGAAATATACCTACTTCATGGAAGTCTCAGATTATTATACCATTTCTAAAGCCTCATAAACCACCTTCTGAACCATCTTCATACCGTCCTGTTGCACTTTCCTCTGTCTTACTAAAGCTAGCTGAACATTTAGTGAAGAACCGTCTAGAATGGTTTTTAGAAAGTAATAACTTACTATCCCCGAACCAGTTTGGTTTTAGGAAAGGTAAGAGCACCTTAGATAATGTGAGCATTCTTATTTCAGATATTCATATAGCTTTCTCACAAAATTTGTCAATCCTCTCAGCCTTTTTAGATATAAATTCTGCCTATGATAATGTAATAATTTCTATTTTAAAAACTAAATTACAAGCTTTAAATGTACCGGTAATGCTTTCTAATTTCATTATTAATATTTTATCAGAAAGAACAATACATATGGATCTAGATGAAGATACCAAATTATCTAGAACAGTATGGAAAGGCCTTCCACAAGGATCTGTTCTCAGTCCAATTTTATTCAACATATACACATACGATCTAGAATCATTCCTTGATAAATCCGTCAAAATTTTACAATATGCTGATGATCTCTTATTATATTTTATTGCGAAGTCCATAGAATCTGCTTCTGCCAAATTATCTGATTCATTAGATTTGTTAAAAACGTGGTTAGATGCAAATGGTCTTAATCTTTCTGTAACCAAGAGTAGTGTAGTTTTGTTTTCAAGAATGAGATCACCGCAACAAATTAAGGTGCTTTATGATAACTCATATATTCCTATAAAGACTGAAATTAAATTTTTAGGTATCGTGCTAGATAATAAATTAACAGGTTTGTCCCACTGTAATTATATTTCCACGAAATGTGAGCGTAACCTCAACATTCTTAGGTGCCTTGCTGGAGTTTGGTGGGGAGCACATCCCGTTTCACTAAAACTTGCTTATAATGGTCTTATAAGGAGTGTCATTGATTATGGAACTTTTTTGTTAGCTCCAGGAAGTTCATTTGCTTTTAAGAAATTGGATTTAATTCAATCAAAGGCCTTGAGGATTATCTCTGGAGCAATGAAATCAAGTCCAATCAATGCTTTACAGCTCGAAGTCGGTGATCCACCTTTAGTTTTAAGAAGGCAATATTTATCTGATCGCTTCTTTTTTCGTTGTTTACAATTATCTGATCATCCGCTTATTCAAAAGTTATCTCAACTATATATCTTTATTTCGTCTTCATCTTATTGGAAACATAAAAAACCTCCATGTTTAATACAAAGTTATGAAAAATATAAATCCATAGAATCTCCCACTTTTACATCGTCCTGTTTTCCCATTTATAAATGCTCATATCAATCTTTAGTTTTATCTCCTAATATTAAATATGATTTTGGGTTATCAAAAAATGATTCAGAATTGAATGCCAAATTTATGTTTATAACTGACATTGAATGGAATGAATGGCACTACATCTTTACTGATGCATCAAAACCAGACAATAGCGGTTGTGTAGGTGTGGGTGTGTTTCATTCACAATTTAATATCGTTCAAAAAATTAAACTTCCACCGGAATCTTCAGTTTTTACCGGGGAATGTTATGGTATTTTAAAAGCTGTAGAATATATACTTTTAATGAAATTACATAAGGCAATAGTTTTCACTGACTCTATGAGCTCTTTGCAAGCTCTAGCCAAATATCCGTTTAAATCAAAACCAGTTTATCCCATTATTTGTGACATAAGACAAAGTCTTTATCTTTGCATGTTGAGAGGGTATTCCGTTTCTTTTGCCTGGTTACCAGGACACAGTGGTATTAGCGGCAATGACAAAGCTGACCTTATTGCAAGAGAGGCTGTAACTTGTGGTGATATGTATCCGTATCATAATTACTGTAGTGACCTAGCTTGTCTCCCAAAAATATATTTAAGGTATGCCTGGAAGGAATATTGGGAAAAAACAAGTACAATAAAAGGAAGATTTTATCGCCTTATACAACCCGATATTCCTTTCAAACCATGGTTTTGTAAATTTAAGCTTGGAAAGACCGCAACAACTATTATAACTCGTATGCGTCTAGGTCACGTATGCACACCTTCTCATTTATACAAGCTTGGTATTGTACAAAGTTCGTCGTGTAATTGCGGTGCTGAAGTGGCGGACTTGAATCATATATTCTTCTCATGTTCTAAATTTGACCATACCTCCCTTTTTAATCATCTCCGATCCATCCGTGTTCCATTCCCAACTTCTATTCTTACTCTACTTTCTTCCAATGATCCTATTATCTATAAAATACTATCTTCATATATATATGATAACAATATTAAGATTTAGTTATATTACATGAATACATTTATAGTTGCATCAATTGCTTTTCCTATATATTTATAAGTATATTCTCATATGTACAAGTATATCCTTCATATCCTATAAATATCCTAGACCTAATCCTTATCCTTTCTAAATTCGTTTGTGTTAGGTATTTTTATTACTATTATCGTTTCCCCGTTTTGTTCTTGGCAAAATACCCTAATATCGGGGTGAACGCCACAAAAGAAGAAAAAAAAAAAAAAAAAAAAAAAATTAGGCTGTCAGTTAGACAAAGATTTCGATAGACACATAAACTGTTGTTTTATTAGTTACATAGTCTTTCTATTTTTTGTTATTATCAAAATTGTTTACTAATGATTAATGAATATTTCCGCACATCGATTCTTATAAATACATTCAACAAATGTATTGTAACAGCATTAAACATAGGTACGCAGTTTTTAAGAACTGATTTCACCAAGTGAGTTTGTTTTTCAATAAATTTTCAACTAGCTTTAAAATGTAAACAAGAAATCCTCAAACTGTTGTTGTTCCTTAATTAAGTAATTATTTAATCAATGAATAAAAACAATTCTAAATGTAATAGTGATTAAAATATATGCATAGATAAACTGCCAGTCCGTCATCAACAGCTGTTGTACTGTACCGGCTTTACATTAAGATATTCCTTATGAATACTTCCTTTTTTTACGAAGGAAATCCTAATTATTAATTGCTTTCCAAACCACATAGTGTTTCGAACGCTATTCTTGCTTAGCATCATCTTACTACATTCATGATTATAGTAAACTGGAAAAAACTCTTGTATATAGGTCCCTCTAACTGCAAACCCGTAGGTGGTGGCCCACATCGCCCACACTTTTCGTCGCTTTTGCATCTCTTTATAGTTTGTTTCGAATCAAAATTATAAATAATTGATGGTAATATTACATGCATTGTTACAGTTGTGTAATCATTCAACACAAATGGCGAAATCTTCATTAAGAAATAGAATCCTGCAAATACGTGTGAGCTCATGCATCATAGTCATACTATGTCTCATAACTGTAATACAATTTTTTATAACATGCGGCAAATATAACTACCCGCACACACCCCGGACGGAGCTGGTTGACAAACTTTTCACCGGAGTCACTCCATTTCTAGCGTCAAAGCAATCTAAACCAGACTGTACTTACATCAATATATTACAGAGTAAGAAATCCCATCACAGTTGGGATATTCCTAGAAAGTATGATGATTTCTCTCCGAAAGGCATCATGAATGGTAGCTATGCCCCAGAGGAGTGCAATCCACTATTCAGTGTAGCAATATTGGTCACATATAGAAATAGACAAAGTCAATTGGACATATTTCTTCCATACATGCACAACTGGCTGAGGAAACAGAATATACACTATAAGTAAGTTTAAAAACTTTTACTAAATAAATAAGAATATAATACACAAAAAAAAATCACTTTAGTTGTGGCAAAACCTGGTGTCTAAGATACAAGTTACGACTTAGTTTAGGCTCCAGATCTCCCACAAATTACGATACTTTTATTTTGTATAAAGGAAATAATCTGTACATTGTAATTTGTGGAGATGAATAAACTAATTTTATTATTAAAACCAATTATTTTGATTTTAAAACTAAACTACTTAATCAATTTCTATAGGATCAATCTGTAAGTATATACTTTCAGAAACTTTCTAAGTTAATTTACTACTGACAGAGTTATGATGTAACAAACATAAACAAATAAGGACATTCTTTTTAAAGTCGGTTGAAAATTAAATCACAACTATGATTTCTAATGACCTTATTGATGTTTCTACCTACCTAGGTAGAAACATTTATTTATTATGCTGGCTTTTTATAACAAGTCAGGTCAGTTGGATCATAATGATGAATTCATCAGAAATTAATCATGGTAGTCTCCATGGAGGACCGCATGGAAGTCAACCTGATACAGTATATTCCTGGGCATGGAGCCATTAGATATTACTAATAATTCCTCTATTTTTTCATAGTTTCTACTAAGACAATTGTAATTCATTTATTTATTTAAGCAAATAACTGTATTTAAATATTTTTTATATCCCTGTGAGACCCCATGGGACCTACCAAAAGGTGTCCACCAAAAATTCTCAGTTGAATTGTATTTTTTTTTTGTTTGTTTGTTACCTGAAAACTTCATCATTTGAAAAATTCTTAATTTTATTTTAAATATACATTGAGATGAAATGGTAACACCTATTGAAATTGCATAAAAATTGGTTCAGTGGTTTGTTTTTTAAAACAAATTATGTTGTTTTTTCATCATTAAAATTATTGTTTTTTTTTTTTTTTATTTATGAAATATACTTTCAAACAATTAAAACTCCTCTCATGTTGCAAGTGTTCATGGGTGACAGTAGCCACTGTCCATCAGGCAAACCATCTGCTTGTTCGTCTCCCTAACAATAAAAAAAAATAAAGTCTATCTCCTGGCTCTATGCTAAGTTATAACAGTAATTTTACAAACGTTAGCAATTAATTTTATCTAATATAGTGAACACTCTATGTAAGCAACTCATTTGAACCAATTTCAATAAAAAAGTTTCTTATTGGGGAAAGTTGCTTATAGGGGAAAAAAGAGTATAAAAATACCATCTGGAAATATATTTTTACTTATTTCTTTTACTAAGCTGAGTAGAATAAATAAAATATAAAGAATGTTGCTTATAGAGAGGTCGCTTATATACAGTGTTCACAGTATTGTATATTTGAAATGTGCACTGTGTAAGTTTTCAGGATATACCTGATAGAACAGGAAGATGAAAAGCCATGGAATAAGGGCATGCTATACAACATCGGAGCTAAATACGCTATAGCGGACAAGTTTCCATGTCTCATCCTGCATGATGTGGACTTGCTGCCGTTGGATGAATCCAACCTGTACGTGTGTATGAAGGAGCCTCGCCACATGAGTGCCAGTATTGACAAATTCAGATTTGTACTCACTTACGACACATTAGTTGGTGGAGTACTGGCAATGCGCTCTGAACAGTATCTACTGGTCAATGGATTCTCCAACCGGTTTCATGGCTGGGGAGGAGAAGATGACGATTTAGCCGATAGAATAGCCTCGAGGAAATTAAGTATTCTGAGGTAAGAAATGTAATCATTAGCATATCAGCCTTTAACTGTCCACTGCTGAACATAAGCCTCCCTCTTGAGGGGTTTTGCCAGTAGTTGCCACGCTTGGCAGGCGGATTGGCAATTGCAGTTAGGTTTTGTGGACGTTTTAAGAGGGACGCTGCTGCCCATACCTTGCCCTACCTTAGTCATCTCTTACGACACTCACGGGAAAGGAAGGGGTGGCCTATTCTATGCCGGGACCACACAGCAAGAAGTGTAATACATCAGTAATATTATTAATATTTTACAATAACTTTACTATTATCTTATTAATATTGTAAATGCGAAAGTTTGTAACAAAGGATGGATGGACTGTGTCTTATTATTTAAAAAAATAACCAAAGAAGCTGAGCGGTTCATTAAAATGTAATAAACCACAAAATTATTATTTGTATAATTTATTACCAGAGGGAGACTTTGTACAAAAGTCGATTGCTTGGGTACCTCTGTCCCATTCGTGTTTCAACCGTAAAACAGTTGTGTTTGCATGACCGTATTTCGGTTTGAAGGGTGGGATATGGCGTAAATTTACAGGGTACAGAGGAATAACACCTGAATCCTCAGGAATGACAACGCATGGGGGGTATCATGGGCGAAACAGTATACTCTGTTATGTCCATGGTACTGCTCATGTCTATAGGCGACGGTAACCACTTTCCATCAGGTGGGCCGTCAGCTTGTTTACCATTCTAAGTTGTATTAAAAAAAAAAATTAAATGCCGCGACATTTCTTTCTCGTTGTGACAAAATCTGCAAATACTTAAATAGTTTAATTTCCAGGTTTCCCCGAGATATGTCAGAATATACAATGCTGGTCCACCACCCGGAGCCGAAGAACAGCGAGCGACAACGCATTATGTCAGAGAACAAGCAGCACATCAGCGAAGACGGCCTCAACTCGGTCGTGTACGAATCCATTCAAGTGAAGCCGCAGCGACTTTTCACTATGATCAAAGTTAAATTATGATATGAAAATGGTAGTTCCAAGTTTCAATTTTAAAATTAAATTGCTTAAGGTGTGCGATTAATAATTCATTAAATTGAGACAGTACTATGGAATTGAGTACGCAGTAGATGCCTGTGTACGCCTCTTTACTGCGTTACTTAACCCTTCTTTGCATAATGGTAGAAATTTCCATCATAACATTGAATGCCAGAGGGAGACTTTGTACAAAAGTCGATTGCTTGGGTAATAAGCAGTTGTGTTTGCATGGCTGTGTTTAAAAGAAATTTACTGTGTATGGAGGAATAGCCACGTAGGTGGTTAGGTGGTAGAGCCACGCTGTAATACCATAAGATATTGCAGCATGAATGGGCCGGCTCGACCGGGGAAGTACCACACCCTCACAGAATACCGACGCTAAGTGGTTGCACTTTCAGTGCGATCACATTCCGTATGGTGAGTGAGGAGTCCGAGGCCCATCCCATACCCATCCCATACCCATCCCTTTCCTATTCCTAAAATCCTTTCCCCAACCCCGTCCCCCTATCTTACAACACGCAACCATGGCAGTGGAATTAAAAAAAAAAAATAACATACCCCAGGGAGGTACCAGTAACCATGTTGCTGGAGAATCCTCTCTCGAGCAACCACGCTCGGGCTGCCCTGCGTATTCTGGGGGGGGCAAAATTCCGCTCTTTGGAACCAAGGGCAAACGGAGCAAGATTTCTACGGCATCCCCTTCGCTCAATGTGAGCTTCTGCAATATCAGGGGATTACACTCTAACCTAAACGCTGTCCACCACCACCTAGAAACGGCGCGGCCGGCATTGCTCTTTCTAACGGAGACACAGATATCCTCTCCAAACGAAACTTCATACCTGACGTACCCGGGCTATAAACTTGAACATTGTTTTGTTTCGCGTGCCGGTGTATGCGCGTATGTCAGAGAGGATATCTGCTGTCGCCGCCTTGGAACTCTTGAAGGTACGGACCTGTCTATTTTATGGCTGCGCGTAGACTGCAATGACCATCCTCGAGTCTATGCATGCCTATACAGGTCCCACAGCGGTAACATCGAAACCGACCAACTCATTGAGCACGTCCAAATGGCTACAGATTCCCTGCTCGAACAGATTCCTTCCGCTGAAGTCGTGATTCTTGGCGATTTTAATGCCTACCATACCGAATGGCTTGGTTCACGTACAACCGACTATGCGGGAAGATCTGTTCATGACTTTGCTTTGGCTTATGGTCTGACGCAGCTTGTTTCCTCGCCTACGCGAATACCTGATGTGTTGGACCATTCACCTTCACTGTTGGACCTTCTGCTGACCACCCACCCAGACAACTATGTGATTTCCGTCGAAGCTCCGCTTGGATCGTCGGATCACAGTCTGGTGCGGAGCGAGGTGCCTCTCATGAGTCCGATTCCACCACGTTCCACGGGTAGACGTCGTGTTTGGCACTACAGGTCAGCAGACTGGGATGAGATGCGGATTTTTTCGCATCTTACCCATGGAAGGCAGGTTTGCTTCACACTGGATGATCCCGACGCCATTGCCGATTCCATTGCTGATGTGGTGCTTCAGGGAATGGAATTATTTATTCTAACTCTGTGGTGCCCGTCGGCGGGAAATCCCAGCCCTGGTATGGAGCCTCTTGTAGAACAGCATCTCGTCTGAAACAGGAGTTTCCTAGCCTGGGCTAAAGGTGTGGCGTCGCGAGATCCTAACACCAGTGCTCTTAAAAGAAGTATAACTCTGCCTCTAGGTCTTTCAAAATAGCCACAGCGAAGTTATTAGTAGAATTGGCAAGAGATTGGCTAGTTTGCCCTCTGGAACTCGAGCTTGGTCTCTTGCCAAAGCTGCACAAGGGAATTTCTGTAAGTCATCTTTTCCACCATTGCGCAGGGAGGATGACTCGTTGGCCCAGAACGCTAAGGAAAAGGCCGATCTTCTTGGATCCATCTTTGCGTCAAACTCGACATTGGATGACGGGGAGAAATCATCACCGACCATCACGTTTGTAGGAGCTCTATGCCTGACATTAAATTCACGCATAGCTCAGTGCGTAGAGCACTTTTCTCCCTCGAAATCCATAAGTCGAATGGTATTCCTCCAACGTGCGCACCAGAGTTGGCTCCGGTTCTTACGCGTCTTTTTCGGCTTAGCTTCGGGCATAGTCCCAAAGTTTTGGAAGACTGCTCTGGTGCATCCGATCCCTAAAAAGGGAGATCGCTCAGATCCAGCTAACTATAGGCCCATAGCTATCACTTCCTTATTCTCGAAGGTTATGGAATCCATCATTAACCGTCAACTGCTCCGGTACCTAGAAGAGCACCGGCTGATCTGTGATCGCCAGTACGGCTTTCGACAGGGACGTTCGGCCGGTGATCTTTTAGCTTACTTAACACACCGATGGGCAGTGGCAATCGAGAGTAAGGGAGAGGCCTTAGCAGTTAGTCTGGATATCGCGAAGGCCTTTGATCGGGTGTGGCATAGAGCGCTGCTTTCAAAGCTACCTTCATTTGGGTTGCCTGCGAGACTGTGCATTTGGGTCGCCAGTTTTCTCAAGGAACGTAGCATTAAGGTCGTAGTCGACGGAGCATGCTCTGATTTAAAACCTTTGAATGCTGGTGTCCCGCAAGGCTGTGTACTATCTCCGACTCTGTTTCTTCTGCATATCAATGATATGTTACAGATAAGTAATATTCATTGCTATGCAGACGACAAACAGGAGATACATTATATACCGGTCATGCAAAGATCTCGCGGGCACATACCGATGAGTGCCGGAATAGACTTGTGTCTGAAATCGAAACTTCACTCCATCAAGTTTCGATCTGGGGTGAACAAAATCTTGTCCAATTTAACCCCAAAAAGACACAAGTCTGCGCGTTTACCGCAAAAAAGACGCCGTTTGTCGTATCTCCTCACTTTCAGGGCACTTCCCTTGATAAAAAGTCGAGTCTAGGAATTCTGGGCGTTGATATATCTTGCGACGTCCAGTTTTGCGGTCATCTGGAGGAGAAGGCTAAGATAGCTTCAAAAAAGTTAGGAGTGCTCAATAGGGTGAGACGATATTTCATGCCAGAACACCGCCTGAAATTATATAAAGCCCAAGTCAGGCCGCATATGGAATACTGTTCTCACCTGTGGGCAGGAGCGCCACAGTACCAACTCCTTCCGTTAGACCGCATTCAGAGTCGGGCGACTCGAATTATCGATAGTCAACGCCTTACTGTCCGACTTGATCCACTGAAACTGCGCAGAGATGTTGCATCTCTGTGCATCTTCTACCGAATTTATCATGGGGAGTGTTCTGAGGAATTGTTCGGATTGATACCTGCTGCTGATTTTCACCACCGTACAACCCGCCACAAACTAAAGTTTCATCCCAATCATCTGGACGAGTGGCGGTCTTCCACCGTGCGTTTTTCAAGGCACTTTCTTCCACGCACAACCATTCTTTGGAATCAACTTCCAGCAGCAGTATTTCCGAACCGATACGACAACATAACCTTCAAGAAAAGAGTATATTCCTTTTTAAAAGGCCGGCAGCACACCTGCAATGCCGCTGGTGTTGTGGGTGATCATGGGCGGCGGTAGTCACTTACCATCAGGTGAGCCGCATGCTCGTTTGCCCCCTGTGTTGTAAAAAAAAAAAAAAAAAAAAAAAAAAAAAAAAAAAAAAAAAGGAATAACACTTGTGTCCTCAGGCATGGCAACGCATGGGGGTATCATGGGCGAAAAAGTATTCTCTGTTATGTCCATGGTTCTAAATTGTATAAAAAAGAAAATGCCCAAAAATTATATAAAAGAACAACTTCACTTTAAGTAAATCGTGTCTGGATACCTTTTTAATGTCCATTGCAGAAAAAAAAAAACATAGCTGTCAAATTTTGTTTTTTTAACAATTTTACCTTGAATTTTGAACATGAATTATATCACCTTGATTTATTTCACCAATAAAAAAATCATGTAAAGAAGGGTTAATATTAACCAATTATATTTCGCTATTGTTCTTAAATGTAAGTTGTCTTGTGAATGACGCGCATTCTCGTCATTAGGCACTGCAAAGTGACATAGAAATAGCATATTTTAAATGTGTTCTGCTAGTAACAAATATTTCCTAAAGAAATTGGATCGAAAAATGACATAAAATTTGAAGACTCCAATACTAAATGCTCGTTCACACAGACCGATTCTGAGAGGAGAGTAGATTATGATCGCGTTTAAAATAGAGTTTTATTTCATGGAAATTGGTTTATTTTTACATTTTCCTTTTACGTTGGCTCTCGAGCATTCTCATATAACAGCTCGAGCCGATCTGTATGAACGTACACTAAACATTGCATGATCGGCACTCAAAATGGAAAATTACCATCAGGCGAGCCGTATGTTTGTTTGTCACCATAGTGGTGTAAAAAAAACAGTATTCAAATCGTCTTTTTGTTTTTCGACCCGTATTTCTCTGGGAAAAGTGTTCGTTTTCTGATAGAACACATCTGTAAAGAATGCTAATAACTTTGTTTGCACACTGCACATTGAGAGTACTTAATAATTGATCTCTTTTTAGGTTATTTTTTTTTTTTTGTTTAGAAAGATGGAAGGATATAAAACACTAACAATGTCCTATGCAAATAAACTGTATCAATTTTGTATATACTTGCAGGCACTTCGGTTTGTATTACATATTGTAAGCAATATCACATTGACGTATCTTATGTTATGCTTTGACTGGTACAGGCATGTCCTACATCCCAAATAGCATGTGTGTACCAAATTTCATAATGATTGCTTGAACCATTAAGGCTCCGAAAAATAACAAACAAACAGACTCCCTTTAACATAATATTATTAGGGATAGCATAAAAAAAGGTTGTGTTTTTGACGTGTATTTAAGTAAATAACTTGTAAATATCAACACAAGCAAAAATCCATGATCATAAAATTTTGTATGAACTCTCTACAAGTATATTATTTTAAATTTAATATAACCTTTGGTGGAAACGATAATAATTTGGTTATAGGATTCTGAATATTGTAAACACATCACGAGTGTTGTATAAATCATAGTTTAATTTATGAAAATAAATAAAACGCCATAATGAAATTTTCTCATCTTTAATTTTTTTTTTAGTACGATTGTTCCGTTTTGGTACAGGCTAAGGTCGGAGACTATGCTGCCTAGTTTTCAATAACATCTCATCTTAAATTTTTATCTGTCATTTTATATATATATATATATATATTTATTGAAATTTCGAATAGCTTTATAAGCAATGCAAAAAGGTTTTATGTCATGAACAAATGTTCTGTTACTTTAAATGTTTAGGAACAGCTGCGGTAAACAATAATGTATGTATAAATGAAATACTTGAATTTTATACTATTGAATTGAATTTTATATATTTATTTATTGTAATAGTGAAACTACGTATGCTTAATAAAGTTATGTATTGAAAACGTGTCTATGTGTGTTCGAATGGGCGCATCTCGCCCCAGCTGCGGCCGGCCGACACCGCCACCGGCAGCCTGATCGCCAGTCCGCACTCGTAACCGCAATTTTCCATAGCCTCCTTTATAATACCTAAAATATGACAAATAAAATCAGCTCTAGTTATTATTATTAATTCAATAATAAATCAATCACGATGGTTTCCAGGGGGAACTGCGAGGAGGTCGACCTGGTAGGGTATATTACTAGCAATAGGGCAATTTTTTTTGATGGATGAAAATGGTATGGCAACCCCGCCTGCACTAACGGGATACGCTGACGGAGCACCAGTGAAGGGTGATAGGTGAGAATGAAAACAGGCCAGTTAGTCCATCATGATGAATTCATCAGGAATTAACCATGATAGTTTCCAGGGGGAACCGCGAGGACGTCGACCTGGTTGGGTCGGTCGATATTGCTAGCAATGGGATTCTCAGTCTCCATTACTAACAATCCCTCCCCCCCCCTAATGGGGCAATTTGACCCCATTACTAACAATCCCTTTCCTCCCAACCTCACCTATTATCCCTCACTAGTAGTCCACCGTCGTAAATCAATAGCTTAAAAAGGATTGCTGCTGCATTTACATTAAAAAATAACCAATAATAAAATCATTGAATAATGTAGACGTATAAACTTCCACGTAAAGTATTGTAAACTATGGAACTCTCTTCCACTACATATTCGTGAAAGTCAATCGCTGAATATATTCAAGAGTAGATTAAAAGAGCATCTTCTGTCCCCATAAACTTATGTCTATGTATGTATATGTACCTATTTTATATGTAAACAGATATTTTATGTTTATGTACATATATATGTATATGTATTATTGTATACAGATATGTATGTATTTTGATTTTAATTATATGAGTTACTTATATATGTCAATATATTTATTATTTCTTAATAGAAACATCTATAATGTTTCCTTCTATTATTGTACGCACACTGCCCGCTAATAATTAACGCTCCTTTCCACTCAGAGTTTGCTGGAAGAGAACTCTTACAGAGTTAAGCTCGCATGTTGTACATCTTTATTTTATATATATATAATATGTTTGTATTTTTTTGTGTACAATACAGAATAAATAAATAAATAAACATACGTACCGGCAGCGGTGTGCAGGTGTGCGTGAGGCAGCTCCCACACGAGCTCGTCGTGTATCTGCAGCAGCAGCCGCGCGGCCAGCGGCGGGCTGCTGCACCGCAGCCGCTGCTCGGTCACTATCATCGCCGTCTTGCATATGTCCGCCGCCGAACCTGTTGTAGTGAACCGGCCACGTGACATCGACCGCAGCAAGTCATGGATTGTAATTTTCATTACAATACACATTAGCGTCCCAGAGTTTCTCTGCTGTGTTTACACCACTTTCAACTAAAGATTCTACTACTTAGTATCATCATCATCACTCACCAGAGGGAGACTTTGTACAAAAGTCGATTGCTTGGGTACCTCTGTCCCATTCGTGTTTCAACCGTGAAACAGTTGTGTTTGCATGGCTGTGTTTCGATTTGAAGGGTGGAATATAGCAGTTCGGTTTGAAGGGATACAGAGGAATAACACCTGAAGACCCTCAGATGAATGGCAAACTTTAGCATTTTCTAAAGGTTTAGTAGGGATGGTGTTATCATCAAGCGAAACATTTTTCACTGTATTTATATATTAACTCTGTTATGTCCATGGTAAAACTCCAAGCATTTATAGAAAGAGACTATGTCTATAGGCAACGGTTACCACTTTCCATCAGGTGGGCCGTCAAAAAGCTTGTTTGCCATTCTAGGTTGCATAAAAAAAATTGTATTTTCTAAAGGTTTAGTGGTGGATGGTGTCAATACCATGAAGCCCGCATTTTATACCGTTTTTAACTGCAACATTTATAAATTAACTACTAACGCCAATATCTTTAAACTACATAAAGAGAGGGTGCTAAAGGCCTTTACTGCCCCTTCATCTCTCTTTCTTCTCTCTCATACTTCATCCACTGTAATAAAAGAACTACGTAATATCAAACTCTCCCTCGGACCCTTTCCGTTTGTCTTCCATGACATCTCCGCCTCGTCCGTCTACCTTTACATTGATCTAAGCATTTCGTAATATTACATACATATTGTAGTACAGCAAACAGATTACCAATTGCAGATAAGCGGCATACTATAAAACTAGTATCATAATAGGGTTAGTTTGATATGGGTCCCTGGACATATTGGGATTAAAGGTAATGAAATGGCCGATGAGTTGGCGAGCATCAGAATCAAAAATGATAGGTCCCGAACCATATGTTGCACTTGCGCCCCCTCAGAGGAGTATGTGAAAAAAAAACAGCAAAAGGAATGGAAGACCTTCAACATTCTAAAAAGCCACCGCCTGCAGACAACAGGCAAGCATGCCTTAACTGCATATACGCCTTCTGCCAAGCTGGGTGTCACCACACACTGTCCCTGTTCTTCACACTGCGACAACACACTGCGCCCGAACGACTTATCAGCGACGGAAATCGTCCTGATACGTCAAGGAAAATTGGCATAAGACGAGCACACAATGCGACGTGCATCGGCTTACTGACCCCATTCTATGCTAAGATAACTACTAAATGCCAATATCTTTGAGCTACATTAAGAGTGGGTGCTAAAGGCCTCTACTGCCCCTTCATCTCTCTCTCTTCTCTCTCATAGGTCCACTATAAAACAACGTCCTATCAAACTCTCCCTAAAAATTTGTCTTCCAGTCTTTCAACACATCTAAGCTTTCGTAATATTTTTTTTTTTTGAGATACGCGGATATTTCATATAGTATCTACAGACCTTGCACGACAAAGTTGACAGCCTGCCTCTCGGCCTGCGCCCTCAGCTCGGTTGCCCCCGCCACCGCCTGCAGCCCCCGCAGCTGCCGCCTTCTGCCGCTGGGTGTCACCACACTCCCTCCCTGTTCTTCACACTGCGACACCACACTGCGCCCGAACGACTTCAGCGACGGAAATCGTCCTGATACGCGGAAGGAAAATTGGCAACAAGCACACAATTCTTCTGAGGATAAACCACCGCAATATGAACGCTTCTAACAGAAAAGCATAGACTTTATTTCACTAGCTAGGTACTTTAAAAGATGATAATGGAATGGCAGCCCCGCCATCAGTGAGAGATGACAAATGAAAATGAAAAAGCAGGTCACTTAGCCCATAAGGAGGACAACGTGGAGGTACTAGCTAGGTGACAACCTGTGACAAAGGAATTAAAAAAGGTGATGTTTCACCCATTTTCAGTAATGCCTATGCAGTCTTTATAACTGATGTCACTTAATTACTTCTGGTAACTGTACCATACCTACCACATAATAAAAAAGTGGGGGGAAAGATTATTAGTAATGCAGACTACCAGTCCCATTGCTAGCAATATTCTCCGTTAAGTCCGTCGACCTCCACGTGGTCCACCTGGAAACCATCGTGTTGAAATCCAAGTGTATTCATCACATTGGGCTGACTGACCTGCCTCTTCATTCTCACCTATCATCTCTCACTGGTGCCCCGCCGGTGTATACCGATAGCGCAGACGGGGTTACCATTCCATTATCATCCATTAAAAAAAAACTCTAAAAGTGTCGTAATCTACTCTTAAATATCACATATTGTTTGGGGTTGCCATAACATGTTTTTCTCATCCATTCGCCTCTACTACAGACATTCTGGTGTATACTGCCTTTCTCAGAGGGGAAAAGGATTGTTAGTAATGGTGTTTGACTGCCCCATTGCTAGCAATATACCCTATCAGGTCGACCTTCACGCGGTTCCCCCTGGAACCCATCACGGTTAATTATAGATGAATTCATTATGATGGGTCAACTGACCTGCTTCACCCTCACTTATCATCCCCCACTCCCGTTACTGGTGTCCCGCCAGTATATACCTATAGCGTGAAAGGGGTTACGATTTCATTTTCATCCATTAAAAAAATTGCGTTTCTCTTCGCATCACCTTAGAAACCGTGGATCAGACAAGGAAACAAACACCAAGGCTAAGAGCGTCAACAACAAAGAATGTAATACTGTTGAAACTGGCGAGGATGGTGAGTGCCTGCTCGTAGGTGACGTGCAGGATGTCCATGAGCTTCCTGGTGCCGGCGCCGTACAGGCTCGCGTACACGATGCGCTTCGTGCGCTCCCGGTCCTCGCTCGACACTTCCCCTTCCGACTTGTTCAGCCTGACCCGGATTCGACCAATTACTGGACCATTTGCATTTGTAGTAATTTTTATGCAACTTAGAATGGCAAACAAGCTGACGGCCCACCTGATGGACAATGGTAACCGTCGCCTATACACATGAGTAGTAACCATGGACATAACAGAGTATACTGTTTTGCTTATGATACCCCCCAATGCATTGCCATTCCTTAGGACTCAGGTGTTATTCCTCTGTACCCTGTAAATTCATTGCTATATCCCACCCTTCAAACCGAAACACAGCCATGCAAACACAACTGCTTCACGGTTGAAACACGAATAGGACAGACCTCTGTCTTATTATCATTCATAATTCTCTTATTACCCAATATATTAGCGATAAAAAGGATTTTCAAAAAGGGTATACGAATGTTGAGGTTTCTTCAGGGTCGGCAACGCGCATGTGACACCCTTAGTGTTGCAGCCGTCCATAGGCTACAGTGACTGTTTACCATCAGATGTGTTGTATGCTTGTCTGTCACTTTCATGATATAAAACTTTCATGATAGAAACACGAATGGGACAGAGGTGGCCAAGCAAATGACTTCTATACGAAGTTTAAGTTGTATAAAAAAAAAATTAGAGTGATATATAAAATTGTAATAGAGTTAAAGAATAAATCTTATAATTCAGTGTATTGATTATGTAAAATTTTTATCTAGTTAATAAATTAGTACTTTAAAGACTCTTGTCTCTTGTATCTAATATCGTCATAATGGGGGGAAAGGGATTGTTAGTAATGGAGACTGAGAATCCCATTGCTAGCAATATACCCAACCAGGTCGACCTCCTCGCGGTTCCCTCTGGAAACTATCATGATTAATTCCTGATGGATTCATCATGACGGGCTAACTGGCCTGTTTTCATTCTCATCTATCACCCTTCACTGGTGCTCCGCCAGCGTATCCCGCTAGCGCAGGCGGGGTTACCATTCCATTTTCATCCAATAAAAAAAAATTTCGTCACAGTCGTAGAATACTGACGGATCTGACAAAGATTACATATATAGATCCGTCAGTATTCTACGACTATGACGATATATGGTTTAAAAACTCTGTATTACCGTAGTACTCCGTCGGTATAATATTATGTTAATTTGCAGAAAAAGAGAATGAATGACTTGTTGAAGGATGATAAAATCTCACCACTTAGCAGCGAGGACCCTAAATATGTCGTCTCCGGACTTGAGCGCGTCGAGAAGCACGGTGTCGCCCGCTATGTAGGCGAATACTCGGCACTCCACGTGTTTGAAGTCGGCGGCGAGAAGCACGCAACCCTCGCGGGCCACGTACACGGAGCGGAAGTTCAGTAACTGAGATTCTTAAAAAAAAAACTCAGTTACAAATTCACAGACACAAATACAAAAAAGGTCAGAAAGTTGTCTCCTCAAAGATAGTGACAGAAATCACGAAGAAAAAAAGAACCGAGATTTTTACGACAGAAAACAATAGTTGTTGGTTTAACTGCTGACATTCCATTAGTAGACACAGAACTCTCCCCAGAAGAGAAGAATATAATGGCCATTGGCCAAGGGTTTTTTTTTACAACACAGGGACAAACGAGCATGCGGCTCACCTGATGGTAAGTGACTACCGCCGCCCATGGTCACCCACAATACCTACGGCATTGCAGGTGTGCTGCCGGACATTTAAAAAGGAATATGGTTTCTTGAAGGTTATGTTGTCGTATCGGTTCGGTAATACTGCTGCTGGAAGTTAATTTACAGGGCGGAAAAGGATTGTTAGTAATGGGGTCTAATTTCCCCATTACTACCAATACACCATATCAGGTCGACCTCCACGCGTTTCCCCCTGGATACTATCGTGGTTAATTCTAGTGGGATTCGTTACGATGAGGTAACGGGCCTGCGTTCATTGTCACCTATCATCCCTCGCTGGTGCCCCGCCAGCGTATACCGATAGCGCAGGCGGGCTTACCATGCCATTATCATCCATTACAAAAAAAAAACCTACTTTACGGACCAGTTTTTAGTCACGTGACCTAAATTTATCAAGTTTTTAAAATTTTCAAATCTACCTCCTTTTGTACTAGTCCTGACTAGATGCGAACTGTGAAGCTCCATGAAGACTCCAGCTAATGGGACTATGTGGGCGGAAGGGGTTGTTAGTAATGCGGACTTTCAGTCCTATTGCTAGCAATATACGCCAACAGGTCGACCTCCACGTGGCTCCCCCTGGAAACCATCGTACTAAATTCCAGATGTATTCATCACGATGGACTAACTGACCTGCCTTTTCCTCCTCACCTATCATCCCTCACTGGTGCCCCGCCAGCGTATACCGTCACCAATACTACCAAAGTTAAACAAAAAATAAAGGAAATTGGCGCATACCATCGTTGCATTTGTCGCCTTCAGGAAATGCATTGAGGCTAAAGGGCGTTTTGGGTATCGCTTGCACGTTCGGGTTACTGGAGGCAATGCGGCCCGTCGCCGCCGCTGTCTGCACCCTGCACACGAATGTTTTTTTTTAATGGATGATAATGGCATGGTAACCCCGCCTGCGCTATCGGTATACACCGGCGGGTCACCAGTGAGGGATGATAGGTAAAGATGAAGCAGGTCAATTAGCCCATTGTGGCAAATTCACTAATAAATCAATCATGATAGTTTCCAGGGGGGACCGCGAGGAGATCGACCTAATAGAGTGTATTGCTAGTAATAAAGTTGCTAATTCCATTATTAATAATCCCTTCCCCCCCCCCTCTCGCCCACGATTGTATGCTTTCATAGTTTTATCACCAATGTTAAATTTCTTTATTATGATAAAATAATACATCTCTCAACATGATACTAGTGAGGGGAAGGGATTGTTAGCAATGGGGAGGTTAGTCCTTATTGCTATCAATATATCCTTTTGGGACGACCTCCACGCGGTTCCCCCTAGAAACTATCGTGACTAATGTACCGTTGAATTAGTCACAATGGACTAACTGACCTGCCTTTTCATTCTCACCAATCATCCCTCACTAGTGCCCCGCCAATGTAAACCGTTAGCGCAGGCGGGATTACCATTTCATTATCATCTATTAAAAAAAAAGAAAAAATATATATGATAATTACTAGTGATAAAGCAGTACCTAATCATAAAGTTTTCTCTCCGCAAAGAAAACACGACTCCAATTAAAAAAAAATAGCAAAATTAAGATGAGAGTAATACGGGAGCTGTCAAACATTATCATTTACAAAAAGAATTATCCAAATCTCACCATGTTGGTCTGAGGACGCCGTCGACGACGTGTTGCGCGATACCGGACAGAAACGTAGCGTGCGCTTTGTACAAGTGACGGTATACCAATATCAGGTTAGGAAGAGGGTGCACCGACACCAGTCCGCGCAGCTATGGCGTCGAATACAAAATTTACAATATACGAAATTAAAGCGAACTCCATTTTAAGTCTCGCAAGTTTAAGCTGTTCCGGTTTCAAGTATCAGACATGCCAGTAAAAATTATTAGTTTGTGCGACTCAGTATTGTCATCTCTATTTGTTTGTTTGTCCTTTTTACATACAACGACAATTGTAGTTATTTATAAAAAAAAAATTATAAACAATTTAACCAGAGGGAGACTTTGTACAAAAGTCGATTGCTTGGCCACCTCTGTCTCATTCGTGTTTCAACCGTGAAGCAGTTGTGTTTGCATGGCCGTGTTTCGGTTTGAAGGATGGGGTAAGGCGTGAATTTACTGGGTACAGAGGAATAACACCTGAGTCCTCAGGAATGGCAACGCATGGGGTGTATCATGGGCGAAATAGTATATTCGGTTATGTCCATGGTACAGCTCATGTCTATAGGCGACGGTTACCACTTTCCATCAGATGGGCCGTCAGCTTGTTTGCCATTCTAAGTTGTATTAAAAAAAAATAGGACAAAAAAAGACATATTACATCAAGTCAACAGACGGTATTTTTACTAACAATTAATATAATTAATAAATAAAAATATATAACAAGAATTAGCACATTTTATAAATACTATCTAGAGAAATAGCAGCTAATACAGTGTTTAAACGTAAACTTGAGGATTGGCTGTTATTTAATGGATTTTTATAACGCTAATGAATATTTTACTAAAAAAAAAACTAACGTACTTGACCTATACTGGAGATGTACATAATTGGTACTTTTGCTATAAATTTTCTGTTTACTGTAATAAATTATGTATGTATTTGATTTATATGACTAATGAAAGGAAATATAGTATAGAATAGATGTAATTTTTCTCATACTGTTAATAATTTGCATTTGCACGCCGACATAAAAGCAAAATGTAGGTATATAGGAAACGTAAACCTCTTCCATCTAAAACTACCTTCATTGTAACAAAATAAATTCATTTCATATTATTTTATCTACTTTATTGTTTCAAAAGTTGGTCGTACATTGGACGTGTTAATGGCACGCTATATACAACAGGCATCTGTTGTTTGCCATTCTCTTCATAAAAAAAAATCAACACATTTTCCACTGTACTTTGGAAGAAAAATTGCATTATTATTACAGTCGAAAATAACCAAAAGTTATTGTTTTACAAGAAATACTTAGATATTATCATTGAATTTTAATAAAATCTTATAAGTACCATAGACTCCGAGGTGGACTTGGCGCCTTTGCAAATGGTCTCTCTTATCTTAATGTTGCATTTTGTGTCCAGCTGCAGCTCGTCGTACAGTATGGCGCGCACTTGCGCCGGCGAATTGATCTGGAAACTCCTCCCGGCCACCTTGTAACATTCCTCCTCCACCATCTTTATTTTAGTCAGCAATATGTCTTCCATTACCTTCAACTTCTCCATATCAACCGTTATGCCTCGATGCTCCATCTCTATATATATATATATATATATATATATATATATATATATATATATATATATATATATATATTATATATATATATTAATAAACAAACAGAATGGAAACCTCAACAATTATTTGCTTTATTCGACGATATTATTTTTAGCTATTTATAATGATTACAGTCTAGAAGTTTCAGCTCAAAGAACGATAGTAATAGGTAAAGAAGCCAAAATTTATTCTAATAAAAAAAGTAATAAAAGCAATGCGCTAGATTTGGAGAAAAGAAATATTTTCCAGCAGCCTACCAGCGATTATAGGTAACAAGCGCATTTCGATTTCAATGAACACTCTCCACAAAGACTGCTCCCTGAGCAGACTGCTAAGTCTCACTACACACTCTTTTAGCGTCATTATGTACCAGGCCGTCTTTTGCAAAACACATTCGCTCGCAATTGTGTACTTTGGAGTAACAGAAAGCTGTTTTTGTAAATCTACAAAACTTTCAGGAGGATTGTCTGGATCGAAAAGGCTGCCTCCGATCTGTAAATCATTATATTGTACCCATTGTAAAGATTTGTTTAATTTACAAGGTCACTATATTACCTAATGTATAATTCATTACCTTAGCATCGATTATTGTAAACTTTGCTTGTATGTTAAATTGAAATTTTAATAAAATGAGAAGACTTTTAGCATCGTAACAATTAACCGTTTTGTTTTCTAAAACATCGTTTACCATTTCACTGGAAAACAAAATTTAATTGAATGTTAAATAACATAAGTACCTAAAATAATAAGTTTATTAAAAGAATATATAAATACTAAGACCTGAAGTTTTCTGCGTCCATTTTAACGTAATAGAATGTATCGTCAATACAGAACATCATGCCTTCTATAACGCAGTCATTTTCCGTGTGTTGACTGTTTAATTGACAAAATCCGTTGCTGAGAAAAAATATTAGATATATCGAAAATTTGAAATGACAAACTAAAGTTTCACTTAACTCGACTATAGAATTGAATTTTCTAATTGGACTACAACTAATAACCTATTATTATACCTGTATATTAAGGTTACAAATACTTCATTAGCATCTGGAAAACTACATATCTTGCTGTTATGATCTAAAACTATTACATTATATTTGACATCCTCGACAGGAATCTGCACCTTTATCGGGGCTACAAACTTGGATTTACTCTTTATCTCTTTAATACTTTCTAATTTATCTATAGGTGTGGTATCTTCAATGGTAAGACCACAATTTTCCGTTGATATTTCTTTTGGTTTTCTAAATTTCATCACACCATCCTTATTAGCTAATTGTGCTTGAATCATTTTTTTATTGAGACCAGTTTTGATATTATTTTCAGTGAATACTTTGCTCTTAGTATTATGTAATACTACTTCATCAGGAGCCTGTATACGACTAGCAACTACATCATTTCCTTCTTCAACTGGATTTTGGGAATCTACATCATATAACCAATTTTTAACCGCCTTTGTATACTTTTCTTTTTTAAAGTTGTGTTTACTTTCAGACGTTTTCTTGATTTTAATTAAAACTTTGTCAGTATTTTTATTTGTTGTTTTACGTTTTTTCGTCTTTATATTTATGTCACCGTTGTTTTCATAGTTATTAGAGTTACAATCATTCATGTTCTCGATCTGGTCCTTTATTACGAAACAGTTCAAACTATTTACACTGTTTTGTTTAGAAGTAGTTTCATCAGTATTTTCTGCAAGTAATTCAGTATCGAAAAACTCATTCCAGGTGATGGTTTTCATATTAGCATTATAATTATTCGATTCTGTTGCATTTGTGGCAAATTTATTAGTATCCATGAAATCGGTATTACGTGTAGTCGGTGATAATGTTAACGGATCGAATCTTGATATTTTATCGATATTTGTAGTTTCATCCTCAATTCTAGTCTGCACAAGATCAGTGGACTTGTATACTTCTGGCATATTGTAAGTATTAAAATGATAAGATTTTTCGATATTGTTTAAAATATCCATCTCTGTGTCATAATTTTGCCATGTATTTGGTATTTCAGAATCTCTAAACCTAAAAAAAACAATGGATAGAGGAAAGAGCAAGACAAAGTCATTTCTAAATAGTTTTACACTATCATAAGTCCGATACGCGATAGACAGAACAGAACCGAACGCCAAAGTTTTTTATCTTTTTTACAGCTATTTTCTATATCCACCTACAATATTCACTTTAATTCCAAAGATTCTTAATAGTATACAATTATGTAATCAAGTTACTTCTTGGTGTATTAAAGAGTAATTGCACAAACCATAATACTCCTTTCTTCCGTTTTGTTTGTTGTTTACGGCCAGTATTGCTCGAGACACTTCCTGTAATAATAAATTTGTTTGCATTAAATAGTGTAGGTATCGGTGTTCTTATATTACATAGTTTCGAGCCTATTTAGCCATTACAGAACAGCATGCAAATGTCACATAAAATTAAATATAAATAAAGAAGGTGCCTAATTGCACTAATTTAACACCTACAATCATCTTCATTCCATGCGTATTTACCAAACACTAAACTGATTTTACTAATTCCCGAACTAATTCCGAAGAATAATAATAGAATACGTCTACCAGAACCGGATCCTTCAAGATCATTGCAACAGGTATGGTCTAAATCTAGTAACACTAAGAATAAGGAAGAAAATTATAATCGTTCAGCAATATTTATCTGTTTTACATTAAAAGATAGGTGATTCGCGGGTTTTCGAAAATATAGACATATTGGTGCCTAAGTATCCCACAAAATATTTCGGATACGGTAGCCCCGCGTCACCAACCGAGACTATCTACTACACAAACCATTTTCCCATACGAGACATGCTGCTCAAAGTCAGACCTGAAAAATAATCTTAAATACGCTAAAGATTCCCTAATATCGAAATGATTACGATTTACTTATGATCTATATATATTGCAGGTACATATTTGTTTTACCGTAGCAATCAACAAAACATAGTGGGGACTACCAGTGCAAAGTTTTTTTTCAATTGATGATAATGAAATGGTTACCCCACCTGCCCTAACGGTATACACTGGCGGGGCACCAGTGAGGGGTGATAGGTGAGAATGAAAAGACAGATCAGTTAGCCCATCGTGAAGAATACACCAGGAATTCAGCACGATGATTTCCAGTGGGGACCACGTGAAGGTCGACCTTGTGGGACATATTGCTAGCAATGGCACCGACAGTCCGCATTACTAACAATCCCTTCCCCCCCCCCATCAAGATTTAACAACAATAACCTGCTCATGCTATCGCTATACGCCGATGGGGTCTCAATGAGCGATAGGTGAGATAGAGAAAGGTCAGTTAGCCTATTGTGACTAATTTCACAAGAATTTAAACGAGATAGTTGTGAGGGAATTGATTGTTAGTAATAGGTTTTACAGCCCCATTGCTAGAAATATACCCTATCAGATCTACCTCCACGCGGTTTCCCTTGAAAACGATCGTGATTATTTTTTTTTTTTTATTGAATTTTCATGATGGGCGAACTGACCTGCTTTCATCGTCACTTATTATCCATCACTGATGTCCCGACAGCGCTGGCGGGTTTACCTTACTATTTCATTATTATCATTACCACTAAAAAAACAAGTGATTTTCCAGAGGGGACCACGTGGAAGTCGACCTGTCAGAATATATTGCTAGCAACGAGACTGGTGGTTCACATTACTAACAATCCTTTCCCCCCAGCAGTACAAGGTTAAACAATATGACTCTAAGTGTACAGGTAGAATGTAATTATAAGTAGCAGAAAAGTACGGCAAGGTATACATGGGTATAACTTGTTGAGTTTAATTGTTTTGTATCTCCAGCATCCACAATTATTATTTTTAATAATTGCAACATTAGGCATAGACAACGAAAGAGAAGTTACGGTAGAGAGAGCGAAAGGGCTCTCTCTACGGTATGATTCTCTCTGGTGTGTGTGTAAAATAAGTAATATATATGGCTGAGGAAATTGTAATAGATAAATATAATAAAAGTATAAGTGGATTTAAATACGTGTTTTTTATTGCTCGGCGCAAGTGCTCATGCTTCATTATATCAAGTATAAATAAAATTGTCAATAATAACAACTTTAACAACTTAATCCTCGAATAAACGTCACAGTGTTGTGTTCTGTGATATCCATACGAGCTGTGGAGTTTATAGACTAGTACATTCCCTCATATGATTTGCTACTTGTTGTTATTATACAAAAAATGAAATATTTTGTTATAATAATTGTTTCACAGATGACCCTGATATGTAATAATAAAGCTTACTTATAAAGCTATTATTATCAAACCTGTATTTTGTTGTTTTATTAAAACACCCAATACTTTTTTACCAAGTGATGATAATTGACTTTCATACTTCTTAAGATTAAATGGTAGAAATATTTCCGTATCTTCTAATTCGTTCATGTTATCTAGTTAAGTCACTCTTTAGCTCTCTATGCGATATTAATCGAGCCACAAATTTCAAAACTGACGCGCTGGCGCGCTTTTCCAATTTATATTATTAAATCCATAGACTCAATCTAATACCTGAGACCATAGAAAGAGAATGTTAATGACTGTTATAATGTTATAATTACTGTAATTTTCTTTTCTCAGAAGTATAAAAGTAACTCTGTAGTGAATAATAACTAAATCAATAAAATTTTTACTTGTTCATAAGACATGATTATATGTTAATGATTTGTTATTTAGATTATGAAGTATGTAACAAATTTAACAAATGTATCTGAAAAAGATATAGCTTTGCGTTCTTAAAACAGAAAATTACAGAGTATTTAATAATTAAGGCTAACTGTAAATGCCCTACGTATGTGCCCGATATCCAATTATACGGAGCAAATAAGGATTTTTTTTTACTATCATAGTTTGTAAGAAAATTGTTACTAATAAAATGAACCAAATTATAGTCTGAATAATAAAGTATTATTATTATATTGTTATTAAAACATGGAAATACTACAGGCATATAAATACAAACTTTCTACTGCAGATCAGGCTGTATGGTTTAATTCCTTTGCTTTGCTATTTTGCATAAATTAATACTATTACTGCCACTGACAAATGTGTCAGTCGAAAAAAGCGCGGGAAACGTTTAAAAAAGCGGGAGTGTTTTTTGATCTTCTTTAAATTAATTTTATTTTTAATTATATAAGGATTAGTCTTATTTATATATTGTGTATTAGATTGTATATATAATTGTATATTTTGTAGTAATAGTGTTTGTTGCTGTAAATATTGGTAAGTAAATTACCTATATTAATTAGACATTATGGATCCACCTATAGACCCTGGGGGGACAACCCCCCAGGTGTCTGCAAATATAACTATCCCATTTAATAATAGTTTTGATATATTGGGTGAATCTAGTATGGACACAGATGGTTCTAGCGTTGCAAGTTCTAAACGTAAGCGAGTACGTGGCGAACGTCGCATTTGCAAACATTGCAATAAAAAACGAAGGAGGCACACCAAAGGTCTCGAATCTAAAATTAAAGATAGTGATTGTCAATGTATTGAGGATGAGAATCAAACTCAAGTATCAATACCAGTTGTAAATAATACCGAGTCTGTTAAACCTGCTTCTCCACCCAGTACTTTAAGCAGAACTTTGTACAATGCCGAGGATGTAGCTCCTTATGTCGTTCATGTACAAAAAAATGAAACACATCCTAATGATAACACTACATTACATCCTATTGCATTTGGTCGCTTTTTACACACTAATAAGATAAATAATATAGTGAATGGTAGCCTCAAAAGAATAGGAAGAAACCGTTTATCGCTTTCTTTCTCAAATTTTGAAAATGCAAATGCATTTTTAAATAATAGTCACTTAGAAACACATAATTTTAAGGCATTTATACCTTCTTTCCATGTAACCCGTATGGGAATTGTGAGGGGTATTCCTAAAGATTGGACAGAAGAGGAAGTAATCCAAAATATATCAGTACCTATAGGTTGTGGGAGAATTCTAAAAACCAGAAGAATTAAGAAAAAGACCATTAATGAAGGACAACCAGGTTTTATTAATACTGAAACCATTGTTATTACTTTTGATGGACAAATATTACCAAAAAGAGTATTTATGTTTTACACATCATTAACTGTAGATTTGTACATTTACCCCACTATCCAATGCTATAACTGCTGTAGGTTCGGACATGTCAAGATGCAGTGTCGTTCAAATCCTTGGTGTTATAAATGCAGGCAAAATCATACAGGTGATAAATGTGAAGTAGATGAGGAAAATGTTTCTTGTATCTTGTGTAATGGTTCTCATTCAGCAATTAGTAAGAAATGTCCTGAATATGCACGTCAGAAAGCCATTAAAGAAACAATGGCCCACAGTTGTGTTTCTTATGCTGAAGCATCAAAATTTCATCCTCCCACTTCTAAACTATATTCAGATGTATTAACATCATCATCTCTATCTAATAAATCTCATTTTCAATCTTCTTTCCTCAAAGAGAAATCATCATTACCACATATTCAATCATCATATAAAAAAACAGTTACACTTAAACCACGCTCTCCTCAAAAAGCACAACAAGGATATGATCGTTCTGCCCATGAAGCCATAGTTAAGGAATATAATATTCCTGCTCCCTCTAATGGTTGTGCATTATCATCAAATAATATTGACAATAATCAATCCATCTTTGATATTATTCTCATGCTTATTAAAGTGTTATCGCAATCGAAAATGATACAAACAAATTTACCACCGTCCAACGATGCCATTTACAATGTATTTTCTCAATTATTAACTTCTCACAATGGATTACAAAGTCCTAATAATTCAGTGGAACTGTCGTAGCATAACAAACAAGAAATCAGACTTATTTTATTTGATTAATAAATATAATCCTTTTATAATAGCTCTCCAAGAGACTTGGTTAAAGCCAGGATATCCTTTTAGGATTTCAGGCTTTACAAGTCTCCGTGATGATAGAGCTGACGGATATGGCGGTGTTGCCATATTGGTCAAAAACTCCCTTCCTTTTTCTTCTTTTTCGCTTCCTGTATATAGCGGCATTAATGCAGCTGCTATAATTATAAATGGTATCTGTTTTATTACTTTATATATTCCTGATCCTACATGCCAAATATATTCACAACTAGAACAATTATTTTCAATTTTACCTAAACCTTTTCTCGTAATGGGCGATTTTAATGCTCAACACCAATCGTGGGGCAGTTCTACTTCTAATTTTTATGGTGGAAAACTCCTGACGATAATTGACACTTACAACTTATGTATTATTAACTCAGATGTACCAACACGTAGAACTGCACCGAATGAAGGGTTTAGTGCTCCTGACATTTCAATATGTTCTTCTGATTTAGCTTCTTCACTGTCGTGGTATCCTCATTCCTCTACCTTCGGAAGCGATCACTTTCCCCTCATTCTTTCTTTTCCAATTTCCATTCCCTCAAGTCGAAAGAGTGGTCCTCGGCTTAAATATAATTTATCAAATGTAGACTGGAATATTTACAAACAATATTTAGATAATAAAATAACGGAGTTACCTATTGTTTACCATGGAAATGAACATCAATGTTGTAATGACTTGATGATAAATATGAAGGAGGTTGCTGATTTATTATTTCCTGTTAAAAATAGTGCTTCAGGGAAAATTCCCTCGCCACCTTGGTGGGACAAAGATTGTACGGAAGCAATTAAAAATCGTAAAGATGCTGAAAAAAATTATAATAATTACATGACACCAGAAAATTTTGAAATTTACACCGCAGTTTCACGTTCTACTCGAAAACTACTGAAAAAAAAGAAATTAGAAGGCTGGAGAAGATTTTGTTCTTCTATCTGTCCAGAAGTTAATTCATCAGTCGTTTGGAATAATATTAAAAGATTCAGATCTGCCTTTAGTGATCATACATCACGTTCTGCACTCGATTTAACTTTAGCGAATAAATTTTTAGATCGCCTTGCTCCTAGTTATGTGCCGGAATGCCTTTACAATATTTCTCTATCCGTCTCTGACGAATTATTCGAACTTGACTCTCCTTTTAGTCTAGTAGAACTTAAAGGTGTTCTAGCTTCTATTAAAGACTCTGCACCGGGAGAAGACGGTATACCGTATTCCTTTTTTAAAAATGCTAGCGATGCGACATTAATTTACTTTTTAAATATAATTAATTCCATAATTATTTCGGGAAATATACCTACTTCATGGAAGTCTCAGATTATTATACCATTTCTAAAGCCTCATAAACCACCTTCTGAACCATCTTCATACCGCCCTGTTGCACTTTCCTCTGTCTTACTAAAGCTAGCTGAACATTTAGTGAAAAACCGTCTAGAATGGTTTTTAGAAAGTAATAACTTACTATCCCCGAACCAGTTTGGTTTTAGGAAAGGTAAGAGCACCTTAGATAATGTGAGCATTCTTATTTCAGATATTCATATAGCTTTCTCACAAAATTTGTCAATCCTCTCAGCCTTTTTAGATATAAATTCTGCCTATGATAATGTAATAATTTCTATTTTAAAAACTAAATTACAAGCTCTAAATGTACCGGTAATGCTTTCTAATTTCATTATTAATATTTTATCAGAAAGAACAATATATATGAATTTAGATGAAGATACCAAATTATCTAGAACAGTATGGAAAGGCCTTCCACAAGGATCTGTTCTCAGTCCAATCTTATTTAACATATACACATACGATCTAGAATTATTCCTTGATAAATCCGTCAAAATTTTACAATATGCTGATGATCTTTTATTATATTTTATTGCGAAGTCCATAGAATCTGCTTCTGCCAAATTATCTGATTCATTAGATTTGTTAAAAACGTGGTTAGATGCAAATGGTCTTAATCTTTCTGTAACCAAGAGTAGTGTAGTTTTGTTTTCAAGAATGAGATCACCGCAACAAATTAAGGTGCTTTATGATAACTCATACATTCCTATAAAGACTGAAATTAAATTTTTAGGTATCGTGCTAGATAATAAATTAACAGGTCTGTCCCACTGTAATTATATTTCTACGAAATGTGAGCGTAACCTCAACATTCTTAGGTGCCTTGCTGGAGTTTGGTGGGGAGCACATCCCGTTTCACTAAAACTTGCTTATAATGGTCTTATAAGGAGTGTCATTGATTATGGAACTTTTTTGTTAGCTCCAGGAAGTTCATTTGCTTTTAAGAAATTGGATTTAATTCAATCAAAGGCCTTGAGGATTATCTCTGGAGCAATGAAATCAAGTCCAATCAATGCTTTACAGCTCGAAGTCGGTGATCCACCTTTGGTTTTAAGAAGGCAATATCTATCTGATCGCTTCTTTTTTCGTTGTTTACAATTATCTGATCATCCGCTTATTCAAAAGTTATCTCAACTACATATCTTTATTTCGTCTTCATCTTATTGGAAACATAAAAAACCTCCATGTTTAATACAAAGTTATGAAAAATATAAATCCATAGAATCTCCCACTTTTACATCGTCCTGTTTTCCCATTTATAAATGCTCATATCAATCTTTAGTTTTATCTCCTAATATTAAATATGATTTTGGGTTATCAAAAAATGATTCAGAATTGAATGCCAAATTTATGTTTATAACTGACATTGAATGGAATGAATGGCACTACATCTTTACTGATGCATCAAAACCAGACAATAGCGGTTGTGTAGGTGTGGGTGTGTTTCATTCACAATTTAATATCGTTCAAAAAATTAAACTTCCACCGGAGTCTTCAGTTTTTACCGGGGAATGTTATGGTATTTTAAAAGCTGTAGAATATATACTTTTAATGAAATTACATAAGGCAATAGTTTTCACTGACTCTATGAGCTCTTTGCAAGCTCTAGCCAAATATCCGTTTAAATCAAAACCAGTTTATCCCATTATTTGTGACATAAGACAAAGTCTTTATCTTTGCATGTTGAGAGGTTATTCCGTTTCTTTTGCCTGGTTACCAGGACACAGTGGTATTAGCGGCAATGACAAAGCTGACCTTATTGCAAGAGAGGCTGTAACTTGTGGTGATATGTATCCGTATCATAATTACTGTAGTGACCTAGCTTGTCTCCCAAAAATATATTTAAGGTATGCCTGGAAGGAATATTGGGAAAAAACAAGTACAATAAAAGGAAGATTTTATCGCCTTATACAACCCGATATTCCTTTCAAACCATGGTTTTGTAAATTAAAGCTTGGAAAGACCACAACAACTATTATAACTCGTATGCGTCTAGGTCACGTATGCACACCTTCTCATTTATACAAGCTTGGTATTGTACAAAGTTCGTCGTGTAATTGCGGTGCTGAAGTGGCGGACTTAAATCATATATTCTTCTCATGTTCTAAATTTGACCACACCTCCCTTTTTAATCATCTCCGATCCATCCGTGTTCCATTCCCAACTTCTATTCTTACTCTACTTTCTTCCAATGATTCTATTGTCTATAAAATACTATCTTCATATATATATGATAACAATATTAAGATTTAGTTATATTACATGAATATATTTATAGTTGCATCAATTGCTTTTCCTATATATTTATAAGTATATTCTCATATGTACAAGTATATCCTTCATATCCTATAAATATCCTAGACCTAATCCTTATCCTTTCTAAATTCGTTTGTGTTAGGTATTTTTATTACTATTATCGTTTCCCCGTTTTGTTCTTGGCAAAATACCCTAATATCGGGGTGAACGCCACAAAAAAAAAAAAAAAAAAAAAAAAAAAAAAATGTGTCAGTCAAATATATGTCAAAATTAATTCGAATCTGAAATCGACAAAAATACACAGGAAAATGTAATCATAAATTCTACTACGATTAATTATGTGAAAACAATTATCATAGTGATATATTACCAGTTGCAACTAGCATCATGGCTCTGAATTTGGAGAGCTGCGACAGCCTGCCTCCAGACGAGGAGCCAAAACTCAAATATGATCGAATGGGAAACGATGTCCAAAATATACTTCTCAAAGACGCAGTTAGCTGCATTTGTGTGCATACAAAATTCATCTGCCTTGGCACTCAGTGGGGCGTGATACATTTACTCGATCATGAAGGTAACATAGTGCCTATAACTCAAGATGGCAAAGACAAAGAATTACAGGCTCATGCAATCGCTGTCAATAAGATATCGGTGGACATAAAGGGTGACTACATTGCAAGTTGTTCTGACGACGGGAAAGTACTCGTACATGGACTGTATACTACTGAGAACACACATAGCCTTGTCCTAGGGCGGTTAGTGAAGTCTGTAGCCTTAGATCCATATTATTTCAAGTCAGGTTCTGGTCGAAGATTTCTCACAGGTATTATGATAAAGTAAAATTATTTACTCCACAGCACTCAAGTAAAACATATCTACTATATCTATTAAATCATATGAAACTAATGATATAAATATAAACAGTGACTGTAATCTGTAAATAAAGGAAGCTTTCTTCCACACAACTCACAAAGGATATTTTATAGGAAATTAGTCACTTTTGTTGTTCAATCTACTGTTGATTTTATAATTAATGGCTGAAATAGTGTTATTTGTTTGTAAATAATATTACCAATTTCCATCAACTTGTGTATTGTTTTTTAATTGTATAAAAATAAAACTCCAATAAGCCTGTTGTGATATTTCTTAAAAGACTTTATTTTTATTTTATCCATACAGTTCTTTAGTTTTTCCCATATTATTAAGATACTGTTTTTAAAATATACCTATATTTTCAGGAGACAACAAACTGACTCTGTATGAGAAAACATTTTTAAATCGCCTCCGTAGTACTGTTTTGTTTGAATGTGAAGGAAATGTTCAAGCTATAGCATGGCACGAAAGATTTATAGCCTGGGCCAGTGAAGTTGGTGTTCGAGTCTATGATCTTCAAGCGAGATGCTCATTAGGGCTGATTCAATGGGAAAAAAATACTAGTACATCCATAGAAGATTACCGTTGCAATCTGCTGTGGTCTGCAGCAAATACATTAATGATTGGATGGGTTGATACTGTTCGCATTTGTATAATTAGAAAACGAAATCAGATAGAGCTTCAGACTCGAGATGTTACAGAATACCTTGTGGATCCTGTATATACTTTTCAAACTGACTATTTCATCAGTGGTTTGGGACCTTTTGATGATCAACTGGTTTTACTCGGTGTACCGAAAGAATGTGATTCAGAAACTGGCAAAGCCCAAAGGCCTGTACTCAGTATTGCAGACTATAAGGATTGTGAATTTTGTGAAGTTTCAAATGACAGCTTAAACATCCGAGGATATGAAGAGTACTCATGCAATGACTATTATCTGGACATGCTCATTGAGGAAAATAGATTCTTTATTGTTTCACCTAAAGACATAGTGGTTGCCAGTCCATTTGATATTGATGAAAGAATCAATTGGCTTGTGGAACATGGCCGCTATGAAAAAGCAATGGCTGTTCTAGAAGAAGTCGGTGGCAAGACTTCTAAACATTCTTTGGTGGTGGTCGGAGTACAATATTTAGACCATTTGCTAATTGAACATATGTATGAAGAAGCAGCTATTCTGTGTGCAAGAATTTGTAAGAATGATAAAGTATTATGGGAAAATCAGGTAGTCAAGTTTTCTAATGTAGAACAACTGCGAGCCATTAGTCCATTTGTGCCTAAAAATCCAGATTATGCACTTAGCCCTCATATATATGGATTAATACTTACTGAATATCGTGTTATCCATAAGGATCCACAAGGATTTCTGAAACTGATTCAAGAATGGAATCCTAAGCTGTATAACATAGGTATAATTATCAAAGAGGTGCTGGAACACTTGCTGACTACAGAAGTAGACAAGAATGTGTACTTGGAAGCACTAGCTTTACTGTACTGTTATCAGAAAAAATATGACAAAGCTTTAACAACATACCTCACACTCCAACATAAAGATGTGTTCAAACTCATCACACAATATAAGATGTATAATGTATTACATGACAAAATATTGGATCTCATGACCCTTGACTCAAATAAGGCCATAACACTACTCTTAGAAATAAAAATTCCAGTAGAAGTAGTAGAAAAACAGCTGGAAAATCATGATTTTTTATTATTTCAATACCTTGTTGCCTATAGTAAAAAAGAACCAAATGGCAAGTACCATGGAAAACTAGTAAGGTTGTATGCTAAATTTGCGAGAGACAAACTATTACCTTTCCTGAAATGCAGTGACAACTATCCTATACAGGAAGCCCTAGATGTTTGTCAGAGCAATGAATTTTACCCAGAAATGGTATTCCTGCAAGGCCGTATAGGAAATACAAGGGAAGCCCTCCAAATCATAATTGAACAATTGCATGACATAAGGCAAGCAATAGATTTTTGTCAAGAACATAATGACAAGGAATTGTGGACTGATCTGATAAGCAAAACTGTAGATAAACCTGAATATGTGTCATTACTTCTCAAAAGAATAGGGAACTATGTGGATCCCAGGATGCTTATACAAAACATTAAACCTGGTTGTGAAATAAAGGACCTGAAGGACTCACTAGCCAAGATGATGTGTGACTACCGGCTACAGCTGTCCGTACAGGAGGCGTGTAAGGTGATCACTCTGAGAAACTACTTTGATCTGCACGAGAAACTTATCATTGGACAACAGAGGGGCATATCAGTGACAGATGACTTTTTGTGTTGTGTTTGCCAAGGGCGGATTATAATTAAAGACTTATCCAATGCTTCTGACTTGAAGGTGTACAACTGTAGGCACTCGTTCCACATAGAATGTCTGCCAGACGGGGCACAGTGCAGCTACTGTACTGTGTGCAATGCAGTCAAAATGTGACCCCCCATATCAAAGCTCAATATTTGTGTATAGTAACATTATTGGTATACCTACTACTGTATAATATTTTTTCATGTAAGTACTTGTTATTAATTGTATATTTAATTCTATGATAATGTACTAATTAATTGTTTTTATATCATCAATATGGTGCTTTTAATCAATTGGCTTGTATTATTTTTCCTTGTATGAGAATGACTATGTATGTAATAATAATACTGACTCATTTGTTTTTATACAATGCCTGTGGATCAAATAAAGTTTTAACATAATTATGTAACTAAATATTTTATTATTACCTACTCTCTAAATACTGGCAAAACCCCACAACAGTAGTAGACCTATGTTCAGCAGTGGACAGTTGACAGCTGATATGGTGATAGTATTCTCTAAATTTGTATCCCATCAAACTTTGTATATACTGTACCTTGGGAGCCCGCATTAGACTGGTTTTTTAATGAGTCAAAATTTAAGGGTAATTCCGCCGTCCCTATCGGTATACGCTGGTGGAACACCGCTGTGGGATGATGAAAACATGTCAGTTAACCCATCGAATTTGATAAGAATTAACGACAATAGTTTCTAGACAGAAACATGACCCGCCCAATGGTTAGTGATTACAACCTCTTTACCTTTTTTGTGACAAAGTTCATGTTAGTCTTTTGAAAAATCTGTACCTTTTGTTCATGTGCAATAAAGAATATACAAAAATCTTTACAGGGGTGTTCGTTTATTGGTTCTATTGCTCTATTTTTATTGTTCAGATGCAACAGAAATTTTGAAAGGATGCGAAATTGCAAGTCCTTTTGAGTGCACAAGGTTCTAATAGCAAATTACATATAATAACCAATAATAACAAAAATAGATGATATTTTTTTCTAATTCATATGGTACAGCTTAAAGTGGATTTGCTAAAAACAAAGTTTGGGAAAGGAAAGACCATTTTAATAAAAGGAGTTTTATAAGACGGATGGATGATTATTTACTCTTAGTCTATTTTTTCGTATTTTATAGAACTGCGGGTGCTATTCTTTGTCTATGGCTTACAAGAGCTATTATGGAAAGAACATTGGTACTGCCTCTGTAGAACAATTTTAGAACCAAGTTTACCAGTACATTCTATTAATTTTTTTTTTGAGAAGCGTGAATTGTTCTAGATTAAATTTAATACTACAATTAATTACAAATTAAACTAGTTTGTTTATTATGATGTCGCCGAACTTAAATATGGTTTTATTGACGAATATTAATTATAAAGACACATAGGTACTTTCTGCCACCAGCGCTGAATAATTCTGATAAATTGCTGAATTGTATTTAAAATATAAAATTAAATGCTAAGAGTGATAAATATTAGAGACAAAATTGTTCAATTTAAATTTATATAAACAACATACGTTACATCCTACAATACGTGAAATGAAACGTAGTTTTCTTAGTATTGCCAACATAACAATTTTGAAGCTAATTTAGCCTTTTGCTCCCATTTGTTTACTAATCGTAAAATTAATGTCTTCATACCTTTTAACAAAACTTTGTAAACTAAGCATGTACTTAGAATTTTGTGGTTAATTTAATTAATTGAGTCAATGATAGAAATTAAGGTACCAATATCAATATCTTTAATCTTTTAAATAATTTAGCTCTTTTTAAATTATACTTAGCCCGAATACCAGACACCGAGTTGTCAACACTTATAGTATTGTTTATTCCCCATGTGCTACGGAAAAATGGACGCGCACATGATGTTGCTGTCTACGAGTTTTTAAAAATGTTTTCTTTTAGTATTGGCGTACGTTGAACATTATAAAATTTAGGAGACTGTGATAAAGTGTTAAGTGAAAATGACAGATATGCCTCCTTATCTCGAGGTCAAAGATGAGGAGAAGAACAGTAAAAAAGATGTCAGTGAAACTTCTTCGGAGGTAGATGACTGGGATTTGCCTTTATGTTTTAACAAACCAAGGCATATTGAACCAATTAAGGGCGCGGAACGCGTAGAACACTCTTGGAGGGTCAAAGAGAAGGTGAGAACTTGTTATCTCTCAATAAACTTGGTGCTACGTAACTGCGTATGTAAGAGCGTACGTACGTTTGTCTTGATGAAAACAAACGCACATGGTTCATACATATTATCATTTCAAATAAACAATTTTCAACAACTAATTCTAAGTATATTTTTCATAAGCCGTATATTTATGGCCGTTTGGTTTTGTTTATTATTGTCCATGATAACATTGAACTTTAGTTGTACAATTAATATATTCAAGTTTTCGTCAGTATCATTCAAAACATGACCTACCTTTATATGTAATGTGTTCATGCTTCAATATTGAGAAGTTTGCTTAGTGTATATACCTTCAACCTTAAAATATATCTATTAATAGGAATTGAGAACAATTTTAAAAAGTTATCAATTTTAAACTTATATACTTAACATTAAAAATAACAAACAATCATATGACCTATCTGAAAAAGAGTGCTCATTTAAAGAGTAGGAATTAAATGTGCACATTGTAGAAATTTATTCACACTTTAAAGAATTGCTTGCATTTTACTTTTATTATACATTTTTGTTGTTATAACATTTACCTTAACTTTATTATTTTTATCTTTGCATCTTTTATTTTTTATCTAAATTGTAATATTAACATTTAAAATTATAGAATATTTTTTTTTACGATGCTTGGTCAGATATTATAGTGTAGATTATTACTTATTAATTGGAAAATAATACTGAAATTACTTACTAAATATCAAAACACTACTGTCACCAGAACCTACAATACTGATAGACTTTATACATAATTAAAAAATAGTCTAGAATCTCATATGTTAAAAGTATGGACAAAAGTGTCATATTGATATATTTACAAGTAAAGACCTCTTGGAAAGTTTTTTTTTTATACAACAGTATGACAAATAAGCTGATGGCCCACCTGATGGAAAGTGGTAACTGTCGCCTATAGACATGAGCAGTACCATGGACATAACAGAATATACTGTTGCCCCCGTGCGTTGACATTCCTGAGGACTCAGGTGTTGTTCCTCCATACCCTGTAAATTCACGCCATATCCCATCCTTCAAACCAAAACACAGCCATGCAAACACAACTGCTTCACGATTGAAACATGAATGGGATAGAGGTACCCAAGCAAACGACTTTTGTACAAAGTCTCCCTCTGGTAGTTTAGTGTTATTTGTAGTGGTCAATATTATTTCATCTTCATTAAACTAAATTTCAAATTAGTTGCGAGACTAGCTCTTCTGCTTCATAAGTCAACATCCTATTATATCAATACTCTTTATTTCATTATTTATTTTCTATATTATACTAGCTCTTACCTGCAACTTTGTCTGCATCATTGGGCTATGTTTATTGACCATGTTTTTTTTTTTTTATGGGTGATAATGGAATGATTACCCCACCTGTGCTAACAAGATATGCTGGCGGAGCACCAGTGAAAGGTGATAGATGAGAATGAAAATGGGCCAGTTAGCCCATCATGATGAATTCATTAGGAATTAACCATGATAGTTTCTAGGGGGAACCACGAGGAGGTCGACCTGGTTGGGTATATTGCTAGCAATGGGATTTTTAGTCTCCATTACTAACAATCCCTTTCCCCCTATCAACCATGTTAAAATATTGCTTTCCTTTATACTTAATCCTTCTCAATCCCATGTAGTAAGTGTATTTTCCAAATTTCATAGTTATTGGTTAAACCGTTTAGGTGCTATAAGAAAATAAACAAACAGACTTACTTCTACATTAATAATATTCATCCTCATATCAGCATTTAACTGTCCACTGCTGAACATAAGTCTCCCCCTTAGGGGGTTTTGCCAATAGTTGTCACACTTGGTAGGCAGATTGGCAGCTGCAGTTAGACTTTAGAGATGTTTTAAGAGGGATGCTGCTGACCATTTCTTGCCCTCCCTTAGTCATCTCTTATGACACCCACGGGTAAGTAAGGGGTGGCCTATTCTGTGCTGAGACCATATGGCAATTAATAATATTAGTAAGGATTAATACATATGCAAAATTGAGAGGTTCTAAAGATGTTTGAATGTTTGTTATTCTATTGTGCTTAAATGACCAAGTGGATTTAAAAACTATTTGGTATTGGCCTTGATTAACACATCAAATTACATGGACAGAGTCACAAATGGCAGTTGGAAAATGTAAACAAATTTATGGTAACTGTTATACAGTTTTCAGAAACAATTGTAATAAAACCATAGCCAATGAAACCTACCCAGTAGACTCCTACATATGCAATGGTTACTGTGCATAGTAACATATTATATAATCCAATGCTTTTCAATTTTTTCATGACACAACCCCCTTATTATGTAAAAATATCTTCCGACCCCTACCCTCCAGGGTTTTGAATGTGTAAGAATTTTATTATAGTATAATAACCTTCCGCGACCCCCTTGTAGAGGCTCGGGGACCCCCCAAGGGGTCAGGACTAACACTTTGAAAAACACTGATATAATTTGTTACAAAAGAAATCAATGAAGAAGCAACTATGTTTTGTTAAAACTATCACTGGAGCACTGAAATTAGTAACAAGTTGATTTTCTTTTTTTTTTTTTGTATTATTTGTGTCACCATACTGTTTTATAGTTGCGCCAATTATATGTTTGTTTACATTTTTACTGAGTTCTATTTAAATGGTCTAAATTGTTTTCGTACATATTAAAATAACAGAATTGTAATGAACTTCCTATATTTGTAGTTCCCACAAGTATTTTACCTTTATCTAGATAAAGTCCACAGTTTCATAAAATTTTTGTTAATCATTTGCATATTACTTAAACATAAAAATGAAAATAAAATTTAAAAAATAAGAAAAACTTATTTACAAGTTATTTGCTTTTATATTGTGTACCAAAATGATTACATAACCACTTATTAAATAAAATTATCAATACTTATTATTTATATTTCAGATATATTATCTATATTTCAGAGGTTGCAACTTGATATCTGCCATTCATTCTGCCAGTATATTCCTTTTGGTATTTTTTTTAAATTATAATCTAACTTCAACAGTCTCTCCTTTTTAATCAATTGCCAAAAATAGGACTTTCTCAATTTGTCTGTATTCTTTGTTTCTGCCTATGTCACTTGGTATATTTGTCAATTTTGAAAGGCACATACAGTGTTCATGAATTGAGACTATATATACCCTCCGCCGTGTGGTCCCAGCATAGGATAGGCCATCCCTCGCTTTCCCTTAGGTGATATATAGTATTCAATGTGAATTCAGTTAGTTCAGCTCAAAGTCAAGTTTACTTAGCTAATTTCGTGGCTTGCGAGGCAGCCTTATTATGTTTTATAAAATTACTAGCTGTATTCCGCGTCTTTACCCACGCAAGTTAGTATATAAATTGTCCTATGTGCTAAGATAGGACCTACATGTGTACCAAATTTCATTCAACTCTGTTCAGTAGTTTTTGCGTAAAAGAGTAACAAACAATCATCCGTCGCTACAAACAATTGTATTTATTACAGATAGATAGATACTCTTTATTGTTTCCTCCAAAAGATTACAATAGTAAACTTATTATAGATACAAATAATTACAAGAAATGATCACAATGAGAAAACAATGGGCGGCCTTATCGCTAAGAGCGATCTCTTGCAGGCAACCTTTTTATATTGGACACATTAAAAGATTTAATATACAATGGCGGATTTATCTCATGAAGGGATCTCTTACAGTCAACCTTTGGGAAGCTGAAAGAAAACTGTAGAATGTCTAAGGGTAAAAACTGTACAGCTGTTGGACATATTAATTATTTAAATATAATTATTGTTACAGTACAAAACACACTGTGTGGCACTAGTGCTATGCCTCAACGTCGGCGTAGACCCTCCAGATGTGGTGAAAACACAGCCCTGTGCCCGGCTCGAGTGTTGGATAGGTACGTACAATGTACTATTTGTTTCATATATGCTTTTCCACGCAATACTTAGGTACATATGTTTTTTTTTTTTTTTATCTATCTATCCTATTTAAGAGCTGCGCTCTTGTCGGTGGAGCTCTTGCCGCTTACTACGATTTTCAGCGAGTCTCTTCACCTCTTGATACGACACGACACCAACTCCTTCCTTGATCTGCCTGCTGTAACTATGCCTTGATCTCCCTCTTCCTTCTATCTTACCTATTATTTATTATGTTTTTTTTTTTTTTATAAATAATTATAATGGTTCACATTGTTTCCGAGAGTATTAGTGTTTTTTGTTATAAAATTTATTGAGAAATTATTCTATTCTAGAAGAAAGATGTACCACTAATAACAACGTGCCATATAACGTATTTCGCAGCTCGGATCAGAGGGCCTACCATAAGATGTTTTCCGAAACTTCGAGGCCGAACGGGACATAAATTTGATGTTAAAATTACAAAATACGTTTAATAATATTAAAAATGTTAAAATATCTTTCATTTGGAGGTTTTATGGTAGGATTTATGACAAACGAAATGTTAAGCTACATTTACTGAATCGATTTCGGTATGAACAAAAACACGATATTGAATTCGAAAATTCGGAATTTCATTTTATAGTAGCTAGCCTGAGGGCCTACCATGAAATATTATCCGAAATTTCGGGCGCGAACGAAACAGAAATTTGATGTTAAAATTACATAATACATGCCGTTTAAAATTATTAAAAATGTTAAAATATCATTCCTCTGGACTATTACGATAGGATTTATGATGTACGAAATGTTAAGCTTCATTTACTGGGTCGATTTTGGTACGAACAAAAACACGAAATTGACCGCGATAATTCGGTATTTCATTTTATAGTAGCCAGCCTGATTGCAATACTAGGTCGTCGGATTCCCCGCCCGGTGAATCACACGCCTGCGTCTGACTTAATATTTGGATACATTCGTGAATCAGATTTGCATAACTAGTCATCGTCTAACATCTATTTATAGTTTACTTTTGAATTACTAAATTCTACGCGCGCAGATTGGAAAAGAAACGAGTAACAAGTAATAAAATATGTAGAGTGCCTATTCTTTGGATTCGTCTGTTATCACTCTTTTTTTTTTATTCTATCTCTCTGACTAGAGTCAATGTTTGCTCTTTGACCTTATGATCCTTGTCATTCACACCAATGAAAGGGCCAGCGCTTATTATACCGACGATTTCGTCTCTTGTTTTGACTCCTAAAATACAACACGATAGTTGATAATCAAATAAATAACAGAAACTTACAAATCAATTGACGAATAAGTCATTCGTTAGCTTTTAAAAAAATATATTCGTGATGTTTCACGAAATGTATTTTTTTTTATGGGTGAACATGGAATGGTAAACCCCGCCTGCGCTAACGGGATACGCTGGCGGAGCACCAGTGAAGAGTGATAGATGAGAATGAAAACAGGCCAGTTAGCCCATCATGATGAATTCATCAGGAATTAACCATGATAGTTTCCAGGGAGAACCGCGAGGAGGTCGACCTGGTTGGGTATATTGCTAACAATGGGATTCTCAGTCTCCATTACTAACAATCCCTTTCCCCTCTCACGAAATGTATTTAATAATAGTGAGTGATTCACCTGAATGTGCCAACCTTATGAGTAAAAAAATATACACATCGAGGGTGACAATAATATGCTTAGAAGTGAAATACGTGTCGTGAAAAATGTGCGTAGATTGAATAGAGGTCGGAGATTGATACCTTATGTGAAATATTCTAGAACTTGTGTTAATAATAATAGTATTTGGATGTAATAACTGTTTTAACTTCGCTAATACATAATGTGTACTTAGGAGAATATTAACAATTATATTAGTAGTCAATCTTCGAGTGTTGCCAGTCGTATGAATACAAATGGTATCAGGGGGGAGAAGGGATTGTTAGTAATGGGGATTAGCAACCCTCATTGCTAGCAATAAACCCTATTAGGTCGACCTCCACGCGGTTCCCCCTGGAAACCATCGTGATTGATTCGTTGTTGAATTTGTCAGGATGGGCTAACTGACCTGCATTCTCACCTGTCATACCTCACTGGTGCCCCGCCGGTGTATACCCATAGCAAGGGCGAGGTTGCCATTCCATTATCCATTAAAAAAAATACAAACGGTAGCGGAATTAAACAAAATAAATTGTAATAAATAACTAGTTATTATTTCTTTTTACTAGACTTTCGCAAAATAATACCAAGTTCATTAAAATGACATGAGTCGCCTGGTGGTAAGCGGTCATGTCCTGAGATCGTATCAGAATTATGATACTAATATTTATACTTTTTTTAATGGGTGACAATGGAATGGTAACCCCACCCGCGCTATCGGTATACACCGGCGGGGCACCAGTGAAGGATGATAGGTAAGGATGAAGCGGGTCAGTTAGCCCATCGTGACGAATTCAACATGAATTGTTCACGATGGTTTCCAGGGGGAACCACGTGGAGGTCGACCTAATAGGGCATGTTGCTAGCAATGAGGCTGTCAAACTCCATTGCTAACAATCCCTTTCCCCCTAATATTTATACTAGAACACAGCATGCAAGTATGTTGCTTAGCGACAAAATAAAGATGCGAGGATATAGGCAACTTTGTACAGTCTCCATCTGGTATGGACTAACCGCGATGTATTTGCCCAGACCCGAACTCGCTGTCGCCGAGCAAGGCGCTGGAGAGCATCGGGCACGCGCTGCAGTCACAGTACGAGCGGTGGCAGCCCCGCGCGCGCTACAAGCAGTCGCTCGACCCCACCAGTGATGATGTAAGTGGCTGTATCAATTATTACTGTGGGCCTACCATGAAATATTTTCCGAAATTTCGAGCACGAACGAAACAGAAATTTGATGTTAAAATTACATAATACATGCCGTTTAAAATTATTAAAAATGTTAAAATATCATTCCTCTGGACTATTACGATAGGATTTATGATGTACGAAATGTTAAGCTCCATTTACTGGGTCGATTTTGGTACGAACAAAAACACGAAATTGAGCCTGAAAATTCGGATTTTCGTTTCATGGGGTAGACCATTACCATTTCGGGGGCCATTTATTAGACCATTACCAGTTTGGCGGGGTTAATATTTCATTTACCAGTAAATGAAATATTAACCCCGCCTGCGCTGTCGGTATACACTGGCGAGGCAGCAGTGAGGGGTGATAGGTGAGGATGAAAGCATAGTTGACCCATCGTAATTAATTCAACAATAATTAACCACGGTGGTTTCTAAGGAGAACTACGTGGTCGCGATCTGTCATATCTGGTATATTGCTAGCACTAGGGTGTTTTTTTTTTAATGGATGATAATGGAATGGTAACCCCACCTGCGCTAATTTACTTTTTTGTTAAATTTGGCATCGGCGTAGTATTGCATTTAAATGGCCCGGAGTGAGAAGGTTAAAATTGCTTCGAGTCCATTTTTTAATTCCCCCCCCCCCCCCCCCAGCTATCAAATTACCCCCTGTGGGCCGTGGGCCCCACGTTGGGAAACACCGGATTAGATGTTATGGATAAATGAGTTTTTTTTTATTGGTGAAAATGGTATGGTAACCCCGCCTGCGCTAACGGGATATGCTGGCGGAGCACCAGTGAAGGGTGATAGATGAGAATAAAAACAGGCCAGTTAGTCCATCATGATGAATTCATCAGGAATTAACTATGATAGTTTATAGGGAGAACCGGGAGGAGGTCGACCTGGTATATTGGTAGCAATAGGATATGTCAAACTCTATTGCTAACAATCCCTTTCCCCTTGTCCTTATTATATTAATAAATAATTTGTCTTTTATATTATTGTTATTATTAACATAATGAAAATGGGCCGGTGGCCGCCGACGACCTGCAAATCGCGTTATAGCTACAAGCGGCGCGAACATTCAAAGGTCACCGTCCAATGGGCCGCGTCGCGACCAGGACGCACCCCTAATTAACTAATTTGCCTTCATTATTATACCACTAACACTGTTATGGTTAAATTAAATGTACGCATTTACAATTAACTATGTCTGCTATTTCAAAGTCTAATACACAATTGCTCGTTTGCTAACGAAAATATTATAAAAATTGCTTGGGGGAATATTTACCAGAGGGAGACTTTGTACAAAAGTCGATTGCTTGCGTACCTCTGTCCTATTCGTGTTTCAACCGTGAAGCAGTTGTGTTTGCATGGCTATGTTTCAGTTTGAAGGGTGGGATATGGCGTGAATTTACTGGGTACAGAGGAATAACACCTGAGTCCTCAGGAATGGCAACGCATGGGGGTATCATGGGCGAAACAGTATACTCTGTTATGTCCATGGTACAGCTCATGTGTATAGGCGACGGTTACCACTTTCCATCAGGTAGGCCGTCAGCTTGTTTGCCATTCTAATATATATAAATTGATAACATTTGACACCAGGTGAAGAAGCTGTGCTGCTCGCTGCGCCGCAACGCGAAAGATGAACGCGTCCTCTTCCATTACAATGGACACGGCGTGCCCAAGCCCACGGTGCAGGGCGAGATATGGGTCTTCAACAGGGTGAGCGATACCATACATGTATGCGACTCCGCCCACTGACTATAGCCACGTGACATAATAAAACTAAATACTAATATCAGCTAGGTGTTTTAATTTATAATCAGTTTCGATAGAATACGTTTGCGTTCTCAGGCCTACACGCAGTACATCCCGCTGTCGATGTACGACCTGCAGACGTGGATGGGCGCGCCGTCGCTCTACGTGTACGACTGCTCGAACGCTGGCGTCATCGTCGACAACTTCAAGCAGTTCGCGGAGCAGCACGAGCGCGAGTACGAGGTGCATATTGTACGCTAGTGAACAGTTTTACAATATTTTGAATTTAACAATTACAACTAGAAATAGAATGTTATCTCTTTCTAATATTGATTTAGACTACTTAATCTACGTTACGTTCACGACTACCTAATAACAAGGAATTATATAGAAGGAATGATAAAATAAAAACTGTAAGTCATATGGTTGCCTTCTTATGTGTTTTTTTGTCAATTCATAGTGTATAGAAAATGTTATATGGCCGTATAACCCAACCAAATTCAGATACAACCTGCTTGCTTTTTTACTTTTTACATAAACTGTGTCGAATATATAATCTAGTAATGTAAAATTTGTAATGGACAAATAATTGACATATCAAACGTTTTCTATACACTAGCCCGCTATGAATTGAGAGAAAAGCAACTGATTGTGTATCTTTCGTCCTCTTTTTACTAATTATATCTGCATAAGAAGAAAAGAGGCAACCATATGATTTACAGTTTTTATTTTATCATTCCTTTAATGTAATTCCTTGTTCTTAAACGTCTACGCTACGTGGTTATCATAAAAGTAACCTTTGCTATATGAAAAACTTACCATATAGGATACTTTAGATATTGATGCATGCGGGTAAACCCGCGGAACAGGCGCGACCACGTTACAGCCGCCTTGGCCCTCTAGACAACCAGCAAGCTAATTCATCGATGGAATGGGCTGGCGAGTCCGTGTGATAGAATGAGATAGCAACGTCAGATGTCTCATTTCACTTCGTAGACTCGCTAATGTTGTGGATTTCATCGATAAATTCGCTTGCCACTTGTCAAAGGGCCTGGGCACGAGTAGATCAATGTAGCACTGTCATGTCTCCGCTCCCGTGGCAAACTTGTGAAAGTGGTCACCATGTGTGGTACAGGCGCAGCTGAGTTCGAAGGGGTCCGAGTCGTCGGGCGGCACTAGTGGCGGCGGCGGCGGTGGTGGTGGTGGTGGTGGTGGTGGCGGCGGCGCCGGTGTCGTACCGCAACTGCATCCAGCTGGCGGCGTGCGCGGCGGGCCAGAGCCTGCCCATGAACCCCGAGCTGCCCGCCGACCTGTTCACCGCCTGCCTCACCACGCCCGTCAAGATGGCCATGAAGTGGTTCGTGCTGCGCAGCCGCGCCGCCCGCACCAGCCTCGCGCACCACGACCTGCTCGACCTCATCGACAAGTCAGTCGCCGACATATATTTACAGTTACATACTGTTCTTGCGGCCTTCTTTGTAAATTTTTTTTTTTTTTCGCTTTTATGCAACTTAGAATGGCAAACAAGCTGACGGCCCACCTGATGGAGAGTGATAACCGTCGCCTATACACATGAGCAGTACCATGGACATAACAGAGTATACTGTTTCGCCCATGATACCCCTTATGCGTTACTATTCCTGAGAACTCAGATATTATTCCTCTGTACCCTGTTAATTCACTGACATATCCCTCCCCTCAAACCGAAAAAAAACATGCAATCATAATTGCTTCACGGTTGAAATACGAATGGGACAAATGTGCCCAAGCAAACGACTTTTATATAGTCTCCCACTGGGAAAAATAAATATAGAATGAAAAATACAGGATAGATAATGACTTAATACAATAATACTTTATATATTTGATTTACGATAGAAAAGCCACGGGCCAATGCTAATGTGCAATATTTGTTTGTGCTAATGGTAGGATACCAGGCCAAGTAACGGACCGGCGGACGATGCTGGGCGAACTGAACTGGATCTTCACGGCGATCACGGACACGATCGCGTGGAGCTCGCTGCCAGCGGACCTGTTCCAGCAGTTATTCCGCGCCGACCTGCTCACCGCCAGCCTCTGCAGGAACTTCCTGCTCGCCGACAGGATCATGAGGTGCGTGTAACAATAACAAACTAGTTATAGATAAGATATCCTGAACATGATGCAGCCCCACTAGTTCCTGTCAGATCCAACATCAGATTACCGATTTAGATAGATAGATAGATAGATAGATAGATGACATTTATTACCTTTACTAAGAAATTAAAACAACAAAAAGGAAAAAAAAAACAATTAATGTTGCTGGTAATAAGAGCCGCCTCAGCTATTGCTATATATGTACAGCTCCAGCGAGATGTACCTATATAGCGCTGATTTTCAGGCGGCCCCTTAACTTCTTTACCTTTAGCATGCGTGCGGATCGCTAATACCTATTTCTCGGATGGGAGACTCAACACGCTTACCAACAAATACATAATACATTACAACACATACATAAAACATTACAATAAATACATAAAACATTACAACAAATACACAAAAAATTACAACCAAAACCGAGAAGAATAAACTCTGAATAAATTATCGCACCTCACAATGACAGCATCATAAATAAAAATCGGTAAAAAAACTTTTAAGTTAAACGGTTTTATTTTATGTGCACTGAAAACTACAAAATAAATAAATAGTTACTTACCTATCAACCTACGTAGGTGATCTCGGTCATTAATATCTCTGATGGTAGTGGTTGTCATAACATGAACCATGTCAGCGGCCGAAAGGCAGTTCATGAGAGAACACTAACACCAGGGTTTGCTTGGTAGGTAAACTAAGCAGCCCGCACTATAACAAGTAGGTATTTTGACCTTCTAGTTCAGAAATATTTTAGTTTTTTTTTTTTTTTTTTTATAGAACTTAGAATGGCAAACAAGCTGACGGCCCACCTGATGGAAAGTGGTAACCGTCGCCTATAGACATGAGCAGTACCATGGACATAACAGACTATACTGTTTCGCCCATGATACCCCCCATGCGTTGCCATTCCTGAGGACTCAGGTGTTATTCCTCTGTACCCAGTAAATTCACGCCATATCCCACCCTTCAAACCGAAACACAGCCATGCAAACACAACTGCTTCACGGTTGAAACACGAATGGGACAGAGGTACCCAAGCAATCGACTTTTGTACAAAGTCTCCCTCTGGTAGTACTAGGCAGAATAGCTTTTAGGCATATTAGACTAAAATAAAAACGTGGGGCCCATTAACTATTTCTGTATTACTTTCTACTATACTAAGTGTGGATTGCATCGACTTATTATAATCGTCATCATCATCATCCTAGCGGTTTATCCCGGTCGCATCCGAAACCTCGTAGCTCCGGAGTCCAGGGTCCGCTGAATCGACTTACTATAATCGTAACTGGAGGTTTTGACCATCAATAACCAGCCGTTACGGCTTCACCAGCGAACGCCGAGCTCATGATCTACCAAAGTATAAGATATGCTCTGCTATAGGTATGATTTCAGAGGGGCCCCACGTTTTTATTTTAGTCTAATATGCCTAAAAGCTATTCTGCCTAGTACTAAAATATTTCTGAACTAGAAGGTCAAAATACCTACTTGTTATAGTGCGGGCTGCTTAGTTTACCTACCAAGCAAACCCTGGTGTTAGTGTTCTCTCATGAACTGCCTTTCGGCCGCTGACATGGTTCATGTTATGACAACCACTACCATCAGAGATATTAATGACCGAGATCACCTACGTAGGTTGATAGGTAAGTAACTATTTATTTATTTTGTAGTTTTCAGTGCACATAAAATAAAACCGTTTAACTTAAAAGTTTTTTTACCGATTTTTATTTTCTTGTTTTTAGTATTTAGTGAAATTGTTTACCGAATATTCCTCATTTTATTTAATTCATTCAGTGCATCATTATTACATGGTTTCTTACCTGATAATTTAGTACAATCTAATTCCTCAATACATAGCCCTTCCAGAGACTTGACTCGACTTAGAGCCACGTATGCTTGTCCTTCCTCAAACCATTTTGAGCCCAAATATACTACTGCATGGTCGACGGTGCTGCCCTGCATTTTATGGACGGTAAATGCTCATGACAAAACTAAGGGCAACATCCTTTTTTCAGCCGTACCATAATTGAATTTTGCTGGAAACTGTATGGCTTTAGGGTAAATAACGTGCATGCCGTCTGTGCCAAAGTCAATTAAAACTGATGATATATCTGTTTCGTACATTTGGGTTCGACGGAACTGAGGCCAAAAAGGTGTCTGAGTGTCAAGTGTCTGAGAGTCTAGTGTCTGAGTGTCTTGTATCCGAGTGTCCAGTGTCTGAGTGTCTAGTGTCTAGTGTTTAGTATCTGAGTGTCGAGTGTCGAGTATCGAGTGTCGAGTGTCTGAGTGTCTAGTGTCTAGTGTCTAGTGTTTAGTGTCTGAGTGTCGAGTGTCGAGTGTCGACTGTCGAGTGTCGACTGTCGAGTGTCGAGTGTCAAGTGTCGAGTGTCTAGTGTCTGAGTGTCTGAGTGTCTAGTGTCGAGTGTCTGAGTGGCTAGTGTCTGAGTGTCTGAGTGTCGAGTGTCGAGTGTCGAGTGTCGAGTATCGAGTGTCGAGTGTCTAGTGTCAGAGTGTCTAGTGTCTGGGTGTCTGAGTGTCAAGTGTCTGAGAGTCTAGTGTCTGAGTGTCTTGTATCCGAGGGTCTAGTGTCTGAGTGTCTAGTGTCTGGGTGTCTGAGTGTCTAGTGTCTAAGAGTCGAGTGTCGAGTGTCAAGTGTCGAGTGTCGAGTTTCGAGTGTCTAGTGTCTGAGTGTCTAGTGTTTAGTGTCTGATTGTCGAGTGTCGAGTGTCGGGTGTCGAGTGTCGAGTGTCGATTGTCGAGTGTCGAGTAACGTCGAGTGTCGAGTGTCTGAGTGTCTAGTGTCTGAGTGTCGAGTGTCGAGTGTCAGAGTGTCTAGTGTCTGGGTGTCTGAGTGTCAAGTGTCTGAGAGTCTAGTGTCTGAGTGTCTTGTATCCGAGTGTCCAGTGTCTGAGTGTCTAGTGTCTGGATGTCTGAGTGTCTAGTGTCTAGTGTTTAGTATCTGAGTGTCGAGTGTCTAGTGTCTGAGTGTCGAGTGTCTGAGTGTCTAGTGTTTAGTGTCTAAGTGTCGAGTGTCGAGTGTCTAGTGACGAGTGTCTAGTGTCTAGTGTCTGAGTGTCGAGTGTCTGAGTGTCTTGTATCTAAGTGTCGAGTGTCGAGTGTCGAGTGTCAAGTGTCGAGTGTCGAGTTTCGAGTGTCTAGTGTCTGAGTGTCTAGTGTCTGGGTGTCTGAGTGTCAAGTGTCTGAGTGTCTTGTATCCGAGGGTCTAGTGTCTGGGTGTCTGAGTGTCTAGTGTCTAAGTGTCGATTGTCGAGTGTCAAGTGTCGAGTGTCGAGTTTCGAGTGTCTAGTGTCTGGGTGTCTGAGTGTCAAGTGTCTGAGAGTCTAGTGTCTGAGTGTCTTATATCCGAGTGTCGGAGTGTCTAGTGTCTAGTGTTTAGTATTTGAGTGTCGAGTGTCGAGTGTCTGAGTGTCTAGTGTCTAGTGTCTAGTGTTTAGTGTCTGAGTGTCGAGTGTCGACTGTCGAGTGTCGACTGTCGAGTGTCGAGTGTCAAGTGTCGAGTGTCTAGTGTCTGAGTGTCTGAGTGTCTGAGTGGCTAGTGTCTGAGTGTCTGAGTGTCGAGTGTCGAGTGTCGAGTGTCGAGTATCGAGTGTCTAGTGTCAGAGTGTCTAGTGTCTGGGTGTCTGAGTGTCAAGTGTCTGAGAGTCTAGTGTCTGAGTGTCTTGTATCCGAGGGTCTAGTGTCTGAGTGTCTAGTGTCTGGGTGTCTGAGTGTCTAGTGTCTAAGTGTCGAGTGTCGAGTGTCAAGTGTCGAGTGTCGAGTGTCGAGTGTCTAGTGTCTAGTGTTTAGTGTCTGATTGTCGAGTGTCGAGTGTCGGGTGTCGAGTGTCGAGTGTCGATTGTCGAGTGTCGAGTAACGTCGAGTGTCGAGTGTCTGAGTGTCTAGTGTCTGAGTGTCGAGTGTCGAGTGTCAGAGTGTCTAGTGTCTGGGTGTCTGAGTGTCAAGTGTCTGAGAGTCTAGTGTCTGAGTGTCTTGTATCCGAGTGTCCAGTGTCTGAGTGTCTAGTGTCTGGATGTCTGAGTGTCTAGTGTCTAGTGTTTAGTATCTGAGTGTCGAGTGTCTAGTGTCTGAGTGTCGAGTGTCTGAGTGTCTAGTGTTTAGTGTCTAAGTGTCGAGTGTCGAGTGTCTAGTGACGAGTGTCTAGTGTCTAGTGTCTGAGTGTCGAGTGTCTGAGTGTCTTGTATCTAAGTGTCGAGTGTCAAGTGTCGAGTGTCGAGTTTCGAGTGTCTAGTGTCTGAGTGTCTAGTGTCTGGGTGTCTGAGTGTCAAGTGTCTGAGAGTCTAGTGTCTGAGTGTCTTGTATCCGAGGGTCTAGTGTCTGAGTGTCTAGTGTCTGGGTGTCTGAGTGTCTAGTGTCTAAGTGTCGAGTGTCGAGTGTCAAGTGTCGAGTGTCGAGTTTCGAGTGTCTAGTGTCTGGGTGTCTGAGTGTCAAGTGTCTGAGAGTCTAGTGTCTGAGTGTCTTATATCCGAGTGTCGGAGTGTCTAGTGTCTAGTGTTTAGTATTTGAGTGTCGAGTGTCGAGTGTCTGAGTGTCTAGTGTCTAGTGTCTGAGTGTCGAGTGTCGAGTGTCTGAGTGTCTAGTGTCGAGTGTCTGAGTGTCTTGTGTCTAAGTGTCGAGTGTCTGAGTGTCTGAGTGTCGAGTGTCGAGTGTCAAGTGTCGAGTGTCTGAGTGTCTAGTGTCCGAGTGTCTAGTGTCTGAGTGTCTAGTGTCTGGGTGTCTGAGTGTCAAGTGTCTGAGAGTCTAGTGTCTGAGTGTCTTATATCCGAGTGTCGGAGTGTCTAGTGTTTAGTATTTGAGTGTCGAGTGTCGAGTGTCGAGTGTCTAGTGTCTGAGTGTCGAGTGTCTGAGTGTCTAGTGTTTAGTGTCGAGTGTCGAGTGTCGAGTGTCGGGCGTCGAGTGTCGAGTGTCGAGTGTCGAGTGTCGTGTGTCGAGTGTCGAGTGACGTCGAGTGTCGAGTGTCTGAGTGTCTAGTGTCTGGTGTTTAGTGTCTGAGTGTCGAGTGTCAGAGTGTCTAGTGTCTGGGTGTCTGAGTGTCAAGTGTCTGAGAGTCTAGTGTCTGAGTGTCTTATATCCGAGTGTCCAGTGTCTGAGTGTCGAGTGTCTAGTGTCTGAGTGTCGAGTGTCTGAGTGTCTAGTGTCTAGTGTTTAGTGTCTGAGTGTCGAGTGTCTAGTGACGAGTGTCTAGTGTCTAGTGTCTGAGTGTCTTGTATCCGAGTGTCTAGTGTCTGTGTGTCTAGGGTCTGAGTGTCTGAGTGTCTAGTGTCTGAGGGTCTAGCGTCTGAGTGTCTAGTGTCCGAGTGTCTAGTGTCTGGGTGTCTCAGTGTAGTCCTATTATTTGATACCCATATTGTGGTGGTTGTGGAAAAATATGTACCTAGTCCGCCATATTGGAACGGCGTCCATCTTGAATTTTAAATTTTGACATAATCATCGTGTTTTACTAGTGTAGCCCTTTCATTTGATACCCATATTGCGGGGGTTAAGGAAAAATATGTAATCCGCCATTTTGTATCGGCGGCCATCTTAGATTTATAATGTTATTGATTTTATTATATTGTATTGTCATCTAAATTAAATGTGTGTACCAAATTTCAGATCAATCTGACAACGGGAAGGTGCTTAAATTCCAATTTCTAATTTTGACCCAAATAAATAAATACCGTACAGGTCGAGCTAAATAAAACCGTTTAAAAAATAAAAAAAGAACGTGAAGCGTCAGTTTCTCAACTGTTTTGAATTTGTTTCTCCAATAAGACTTTTTTAAGTTTATTTTTTAAAGTAATTTATCAAAACATTGTAATGTAACTTGCTTACTATTGTACTAAAGGTGTTACTGGCCCACTCACAGTGTGAGGAACTGAACGAATCGACGAGATACATAAGAATATTTCTTGACACATATGTCTCAATCCATAGTGCAACAATTTTTTTATACAACTTAGAATGGCTAACAAGCTGACGGCCCACCTGATGGAAAGTGGTAACCGTCGCCTATACACATGAGCAGTACAATATGAAAATTAAATTATGATAACGCAGAGCCAGGTTGACGCAACGAGCGAAGCTAAATTTAAAAAGTATACTAACAATGTTGCCATATGTAAATTTATATTCCGTATGTAGTAACACACAATGCTGAGTAACGGATTTTTAGGATAAAATTTACTGGTGTCATATCTTAATTTATGGTGCAATATTCATTTTTGTAATTGAGATAAAGTTATTTCTGTATAACATGATTGGTACATGATCACTAAACTCCAACTTACTCAAGGTGTACATGGACGATGGTTCTGATGCCCCTCGTCTGAGCAGTTGTTATTTAAGTATACTCGACTGACTGACTTTACAGTACCGTTGTGCCTCATGTATCGTATGTCGGTAGGCCAGTGAGCGTGAGTATTAGCTTAAGGAGGTCCGTGCTCCATGCACAGGTCGTACAACTGCACGCCGGTGTCGTCGCCGGCGCTGCCGTCGCTGGCGCGGCACCCGCTGTGGGCGGCGTGGGAGCAGACGCTGGAGCTGGCGCTGGCGCAGCTGCCCGCGCTGCTGGCCGACCCCGCGCCCGACACGCTGCACCCGCAGCACCCCCAGCACCCCCAGCACCCGCACCAGCTGCACTACGCGCACTCGCCCTTCTTTCGCGACCAGCTCACCGCCTTTCAAGTCTGGCTCGATCTCGGGAAATGTAAGTGCTGTTCTACTGTACTGTTGCTCTCACTATTCGAGAAGTCTACGATCGCTAGTTGTCTAATTCAGGGTTCCTATCTATGATGGCGCCTGCCAGGTGCAATGAGTTCACTGCAAACTAATTTCTCTAATAAATGTGATTTGAAGCATTTGTTTGTGCACGCGCGCAGGGTCGGTGTGGCGGCTGCCGCCGGAGCAGCTGCCGATGGTGCTGCAGGTGCTGCTGTCGACGCTGCACCGCGTGCGCGCGCTGCAGCTGCTGTGCCGCTTCCTGGCGCTGGGCGCGTGGGCGGTCCGCGCCGTGCTACACGTTGGCATCTTCCCCTACATGCTCAAGCTGCTGCAGGCCTCCGCGCACGACCTGCGCGCCTCCATGGTCTACATATGGGCCAAGATCATCGCTGTCGATCCGGTACGCTCGCTTCCTTCGCCTGCCGTGCTGTGTCGCACGTCTCCAATTGTAGTCTTTTTGTAAACATGGCGTACATTACTATAATAAATATGTAAGATTATAATCTATTTTAGAGTATTAAATACATGTTGTATAAAAAATACTCATTGCTTAACTAAATCATATCATAATAATTGTATTGAAAACCTATAATTAAATTTCAATTGTGAAGCAGTTGTGTTTGCATGGCGGTTCGGTTTGAAGGGTGGGATATAGCAGTGAATTTACAGGGTACAGAGGAATAACATGGGGTTATCATGGGCGAACCAGTATCCTTTGTTATGTCCATGATACTGCTCATGTCTATAGGCGATGGTTACTACATTCCCATCAGGTGGGCCATCAACTTGTTTACCATTCTAAGTCACATAAAAAAAATTATATAGAAGCATTTGTAACATGTTTCAGTAATATTTTATTTTTTATTACAGAGTTGTCAGGTGGACTTGGTGAACGCGAAAGGTCACAAGTATTTTCTGTCTGTACTACAAGACCCTACAGTCGATGTAAGTATTCTTAACATTAATAATGTGTTTTAAAATATGTAATTTTTTAAACATTTTTTTTTTGTATGCAGTGCGAACACAGGACGCTAGCTGCATATGTTTTGGCTGGCATTGTGGATAATTATTCCGCTGGCCAAGAAGCGGCGTTGCAGGTATGTCAGTATAAAAATCAACATAATAAAATTAATTACGAATAAAAAAATGTTAAGAATACTAATATTATAAATGAAAGAGTTCATTTGTTTTTGTTACCTATTAGCGCCTTAACCAATTGCTATGAATACACGTACTATATGGGATAAAGAACATGCCACGGTCACGTGGACGAAGTCGCGGGTAAAAGCTAGTGTACTATGCATATGAAATACGAGTGAAACTCATGTTCAACAGTGGATAATGGATACGTGATGATGCATTGAATGTAGTTTTTTTTATTCTTGAAGATTCTGTCTATCAGATGATCAGTTTAAGAACCGTTTTGTCCATTTTGTGTACTATAAAAAATATTCGTCATGGCAAATGGGAAATCTGAGAGATTATTATTTAAATATAATGAGTTTATAATGTAGTTACTGTATGATGCAGGGCTCCATGATCTCGATCTGCCTGGAGCAGCTGCAGCTATGTGGCAGCGGCAGCGGTGGCGGCAGCAGTGACGACGACGGTGCGGAGGGCACGGCGCTGCTGCAGCAGTGGCTGTGCATCGGCGTGGGCCGGCTGTGGCGCGGTTACGACGCCGCGCGCTGGGCTGGCGTCCGGGACCTCGCGCATGAGAAGCTCTATCCGCTCCTGCACCACGACCATCCGGAGGTACCTACTACTCCTTACATGTATCTACTACATTGTACATATTAGTTCTTTTTTCAACCGTAAAGCAGTTGTGTTTGCATGGCTGTGTTTCGGTTTGAAGGATGGGATATGGCGTGAATTTACAGAGTACAGAAAAATAACTCCCGAGTCGTCAGGAATGGCATCACATGGGGGGTATCATAGGTGAGGCAGTATTCTCTGTTATGTCTATGGTACTGCTCATGTCTGTGGGCGACGGTTACCACTTTCGATCAGGTGGGCCGTCGGTTTGTTTGCTATTTTAAGTTGTATAAAAAAAAAGTAACTCGAATTACGATTACTTTGCTATTCTTGAAGCTATTCTGTAAAGATTTGCAACATTTTTATGTTTAGTTTCATGTTTTATCTAATTTTCAGTTATTTAATGCAATTTAATGTTGGTATTCTTACCACAATTCACTACGCTGCAATCTTAACGAAATAGTACTGTCATCGATTTTGCTTTTTCTCAAAATATAAACGTATGTATCACTCACGGATCTGCTATCGAAATTCGAGTTTGACTATAGAATATCATTACTGGACCGAAAATCATGGTTTTATAATTGTAGCCGTGTGGTTCCGGCATAGAATGGGCTTCTCCTTCCTTTCCCTTTGTCATAAGAGACGACTAAGGAAATTTAATAGTCGAGGGATAAGCAGCAGCGTCCTTCTCAAAACATCTCCAATCCTCTTGCCGACCATGACAACTACTGGTAAAACTCCCCTAAGGGGATCGTTTATGTTTAGCAGTTACCGACTGATATGAAGATGCCAATTTACTAGAGCCTAGTTATAAATGATAGTTTTATTAAACCTGGTCACGGCACCGATGGTAACGCGGGTGTGGGTGTAGGTGCGTGCTGCGGGTGCGTTCGCGCTGGGCACGTTCGTGGCGGCGGGCGGCGCGGGCGCGCGCACGGAGCACGCCAACGCGCTCGACCAGCAGGTGGCCATCGCGCTCGCCGCGCGCGCGCCGCAAGACGTCGCGCTCGTCGTACGCGCCGAGATCCTCGCGGGTGAGCACTCCTGTCTACTGACCTACCTACCAGTACACACACATTCCAACAATTATTGTAATTTGCCCATAACGTGAGATATTTTTTAAACAAATCGTCATTACTAATTTTAAGTATGATTACTATTTTTGATGTTATTAATCGAGTGACCGATAAAGTTATAAATTTAAGTATGTATTAATATTTATATCCATATATAGCCACAATTCGAATACATATTTTCCCTTTCAGCACTACAGTGGCCGGTTTTGATATTCGAGCAGCATTTTATCGCAGTCTATATACAGGAGAGAATGAGGCGAAGGTAAATTATATATATTTTAAATTTTGTATAAAAAGTCAACTTAAGTTTCTTCTCTATTATTTTCGACTAACATTTTTCTCTGAAGATTCTTATAAAGAAAAGTTGCAAAGCCAAGATTAAAAATATTATGAAACATCAACTGTTAGAAAAATTTCACATATAAGTTCTAATATGTCAATGGTCTGTCGAGCCAGTTGTTTATTATAATATTGCGATGCGTGCGCGCGTGTCCGTGTGCAGGGACGGCGAACAGCGGCCGGACGTGGGGCAGGACGCGCTGGTGCCGGCGCCGCGCGGCCCGCAGCCGCCGCCGCGCCACCCCTCCGCCGCGCTCCTCGCCAACACGCTCACCCTGCCCTCCATCGGTACGTATCGCGTATGTATGTACCCTGCAGTCCTTGTCGTGCTCTTTGCCAACATGCTCACTCTACTCTTACCAACACATACCGCGCGTGTGGGTATCTGTGCGTGCGTCCGTGCGTGCGAGCGTGCTCACACACGTGTGGTGGCAAGATAACTATGCTCTTTGTCAACGCGCTCATAAAAATGAGCGTCCTCTAAAATTTTATTTTTCAGAGAACAAATTTTATATGAATGATAGGGCTCTCTAGATAAGTGGCAAGCGAATTCGTCGATGGAATCGACATCGCTAGGGAGTCCGTGAGTTAGAATGAGACATCCGACGTTGCTATCTCATTCTATCTCACGGACTCGCTAGCGATGTCGGTGAGGGCCTGAGATATACTATAAACGGTTTTTGTTTTTTAATATACAATATAGTATCATAAATGTGTACAATTATAATATTATTTACTTATTTACATAAAATATTATTAGGTTTCGGCTCGGTGTACATGAAGCTGTGGAACACGTTGGTCGCAATGTCGCGCGAGCCTCATCCGCAGATCTCACAGATGGCTACTGACATCATTAACTATATATCTAATCAGGTAATATATTTGTTTACTTCCTACATACATGGTCCTTAATGAGAAATGATGGGTGAGAATGAAAATAAGTTAGTTGAGTCATTGCAACACATTCATCAAGAATTAGGTACGATCTTTTTCGGAAGATTGTGTTAACCTTCATTGGTAACAATGGGGCTGCTAGTCTCTGTTTTTAACAATCTCTCCTCCCCTCCTATTTCCCCGTGTAATGAAAATGTTCCGTTCCCCGTGTGCAGGTGGAGCGCGAGCTGGAGGGCGGCTGCGTGCCGACGCCGCGGGTGAGCGGCGGCAGCGGCGGCGCGTCGTCGCTGCCGCCGTCGCCCAACACGCGGCCCTCGCCGCTCGCGCACCACGCCGACCACACGCGCACGCTGCCCGCCGCCGGTACGTACCCACACCGTCACCACCGCTCGCCACCTCGTTACTCTCGATGCAACAGTCAACATGTTAATCGTTCTGCAGGCTCGCGGCGCGGTCGGGCTGGCCTGCCTCACACCATATCCGAGGACTCGGTCGCGAATCGCAACCGGGACCGAGATTCCAACAGGGAACGGGATTCTACCTCATCTAATTCTAGTGAGTGCATATATATATCTGTACGCTTCAAACGTGGTAATATTTTTTAGCCAACTCGAATGAGGAGTGCGGTCTCCTTTATCCAAATATCTTGGACGAATCTAAACATACTCGTAACTTGCGACAAGTATTTGCAACGTTTTGTAATCTCGCAGGTCAACCACCGAAGAAACCGATAGTTCAAACTTCGTACGTGGAGTGGGCGTCGGCGCAGCTGGCGCGGCCGCAGGGCGCGGGGGCGGCGGCAGGGGCGGCGGCGGCGGGGGCAGCGGGGGCAGCGGGGGCGGCGGCGGCGGGCGGCGACGACTGCGAGAGCCGCGCGCACCACGAGCGCGTGTGGCGCTACGCGCGCAACCGCAACCTGCGCCGCGACGCGGAGGGTAACCACCGCCGCCACTGGCTGCTTGTACTTACTTCCTCCGATCGAACTACTTCTCTAGTTTGATATTCCGCGCACAACTTGTCCGCAGGACTCCGTACGGCGCGCGTGGGCCGACTCGAGACGCAGACGTTCCACTGGCGTTTCCCATTGCCGCCGGCCGTCGTCCTGTTCCACCCCTACGACCAGCACGCCGCCGTCGCCTCCAAGGACAATTTCGGGTAATTATTTTGCTATCTGTGCAGTGTTGTCGACGAGTTTCGGAGGCGGATCGGGTATGAAACGTAGAAATATTGTTGCAGAATCTGGGACTGGGGCACGGCGGCCAAGCTGTGCGTGGGCTCGTGGCGGCAGGCGTGGGGCCGCATCACCTCGCTCGCGTACCTCAACGCGCACCACCAGGCGCTACTGGCCGTCGCTTCCCACTCTGGCAACCTGGCCATATACAGGTACTCGTAGCGTTTAGACCGCTCGAGCATTTTCTCGAATGTTACTATCAGTGACCGTCTTCTCGCTGCGTCCTCGAAACGGCCCTATATTGTTATAAATTCAACAGAGCAGATATGTTAGTGAAGTTTGTTTGGAAGAGTGTAGTCGCCAGTGATTTGTACCTAAAGTGACCGGTGGCAATAAAGAGTGTGTCCGGTGTCGGCAGGCCGTCGGGCAGCATCAAGGAGCCGGCGCTGGTGTCGGCGTGGCGCGCGCTGGACGTGCGGCCCGCCGCGCACTACCGCCCGCCGCCCGCGCACCCCGTGCAGCCCCTCTACAGTACGTACACCCAGCCCCTGCACTATACCCACTATTATCCATTTACCGCTCCCGTCCACCGCGCACTTCCTTCTCTAGCCGATTCACACTGCCCCTGTACTATATTATCCATGTGATATACAAAGTGAGCATACGCAACATTTATACTCCATTGTTGATGGATGACAGTATTAGCGACAGAGTGAACTGAGACGATGTACGTGGTAGGAGTATCGTGTAGGGTGTAGAGTAGCGAGGTAACGGCAGCGGCGTGGGTTGGTTGCGCAGGTATAGCGCACCTAGTGTCGGATCAGTTCGCGGCCACCGCCGACGACCGCGCCGCGCGCCGGCCCGACGCCGACTGTGAGTCCGCAGTTGCTATGGTCGGCTTTCACTGTTGTCACACTCACACATTCGCTGTCTTACACGTCCGCTGCACTATTCATAGTAACGTGAAATGATCAAACTTATAATTAATCCGTTGTATGCTACTCCGGGTCAGGGAACAAATTCTTCTGTGACTTTATTGTGAACAATATATCTCAAATTATCATGTAATCGTTTAAGGAATTCCAAAGATGTTGAGTCACTGATTGTTTCTGATGTAGCCACTAAATTCTAAGTGAATTGTATTAATAAATTTCACATTTCTATGAATAAGACTAAATATATATATATATATAATAAATTAAATATATCTATCATCTGTTTGTATAAATTATAGTATAAATAATAGATAATGCAGTGAATAAAGTATATTATTAACTCGCCTCTCGTCTTATAACCAAAAACTAATTGTCTTTGTTCTAATTCAACGTTGTTCGGATATTTGTACGAAGGCTGACTTTTAAGTTGTATCGTTTGAAATAAATATAGACAATCTAATAGATTATTACCATTTATTGGTTTTCAAAGAATTCTCCGCAATATTTAATTTTCAATTTTGCATGCGTTCAAACCACTTTTTAAAACCACTCCGAAGTGGGGGTAGTCAAAATGGCCGATTAGTATGCGTCAACAGCTTCTTCGGGTTCGGAGCTGAAACGTTGACCACGAAGATTTTGCTTAATTTTGGAGAACGTAAAAAAATCATTAGGGCTTAAGTCAGGGCTGTAAGGCGTATGACCTAAAATTTCGACATTTTGGGTGCTCAAAAACATCTTTGTTTGGCGGATGGTGTGCGAACTTGCATTGTCGTGGTGCTGTATCATGCGACGTCTTGAATTGTTTTGTCGAAATTCGGTGATGACTTGTGGCAAAGAAACAGTGGTATACCAGTCAGCGGTAACCGTCTTGCGATCTTCTAATACAGTAATGGCCACGTGATCACCCTTTGCCACAAACGAGACAACCAATTTTTTCGAAGTGCTCCGTGAGCGTATGGCTTTGGCCGATTTTGGCTCATCCTGGAAGACCCAAACAATTGCCTGCTGCGTAGAGTCTCTTCTTCTTCTTATCTTAAGCATATATCCAAGACTCGTCATCACTAACCGTATTATAAACATGCTTTGACTCTCCTCGGTTGAAGGCTGTTTTTTTATCGTCGCTAAGCAAATGTGAGAACAACTTTCTTACGCCAAGTTCTTTGTGCAGGATTTTTTGGACAGTGGTCCCTGAAATGCCCACGGATGCCTCTTTTTCACAGTATGCCACATGACGATCTTCGAGGTTTAGCTGCCGCACGGTTTCGATATTCTTTTACATCATGGCGGTTTTTGGACGATCTTCACGTGGCTTGTCACTGAGGCTAGAGTGCCCACGTTGAAATTCTAAATACCAGCGTTCTACAGTCTTAATACATGGTGCTGCATCACTAAACACAGAAGTGATCTCCTCAAAAAAATGAAGCCGCGATAATCCCCTTTGAATGTTGTAGAAAATTATCGCACGCAAACTTTCCTTAGATATTTCCATTTTTTCAACCGACTTGTCACCTTTGAATAGACGATACAATAAAACTATTCGGCCAATCTGAAAACATTCTTTTGTTTTCGAATTCTAAATTGAAAAAGATGAAAATGTCATATGTTTTTTTTTTATAATCGCGGGAGGTTGGCAAACGACACGACTTAAAAGGTAGCCTTATATATATATGCATTATGTTGCTAATTTATTTTCGTAATAGTTGTGGAATATGTTTGCATGTAACATCATGTATCTTTGGTATCCTTGTGCTTTGAATTAATCCTCGCATACGGTCGCTGTCTGAGTTATATAATGCTATGCAAAGGGGGGTTGTTTTTTGTTCACGGAGGATAATTTTTTTGTTGTCGAGTAAATGATCGATACACGGACTCGGGACCACTATGTTACGTAATTTGGCATTATATTTTGTCGGACAAGACGGTCGATCTGCGTAGCTGTAACTAATACTAAGCAGGTCGGTATATAATTGTTTATTTTTTACGTATTTGTGTATACAATAGAAAATAACATACGAGTTTCGTTATTCAGGGTCGTTTTGCTCGTATGTGACTTTTGTGCCGGTAGAGTGCAGTGGTGTGTGTGTGTCAGGTGGCGGCGGCGTGGTGGGCGGCGTGGTGGGCGGCGTGGTGGGCGGCGTGGCGGGCGGCGTGGCGTACAGCCCGCCGCCGCCGCCGACGCTGGTGCGGTGGTGCGGCGCGGCGTGCTCGCTGGCGCTGGGCGGGCCGGCGCCCGCGCTGCGGCTGTGGGACGCGCGCGCCGAGCGGCTGGCGGCCGAGCTGGCCACCGAGGCGGACGCGGCCGTCACGGCGCTGTGGCGCGGCGGCCGCCGCCTCGTCGCCGGCTTCGCGGACGGCGCCGTGCGCGCCTGGGACGAGCGCATGCCGCGGCCTGCGCGCACGGTGCACACGCACGCCACGCACGCCACGCACGCCACGCACGCCGCGCACGCAACCCACGCGCCCGTGCTGTGCGCCGCGCTGCGCGACGAACGCGTGCTCGTCACCGGCTGGTGCGTATCCCGCCACTGTTGTCGATCAAACATTCGAGCTACTCATTTTTTATTTTTTAGTTTTTCTAGTGTCTTTGTGGTAGTATTTGTGCCCGCGGGCACAACTCACCATTTGTACATTTTCTTTTTCGAAAAATAGTAAAATTAACAGAAATAAAAACCCGTGTATGACACTAGATTATTGTTTACTTCCCTATGACGTCACTGATGCCATATTGCTACTATATATACTTGTACAATAAAAATTATATTTTAGCAGCTGTTGCGGGTTGTATTGAGACGACGAGATTTGTGGAAATGTATTTTTCTCAAACATGCTTGGAAATGTGAGCATTATTTTGACAATCTTTTTCGAGATAAATCAAAATTGCCGTACTGGCCAGATACATGCGGGCAGCGGCCGGCAAAAGTTGTATGAAAATCCATATCTGTCGTGTTTAGCGGCCAGATAAATTACTATGTAAACTCATATCTATCCTGTAATTTAAAAATGAAATGACCTTTTACTTCGAAACATGGCTACCAAGGAGGTAAGTAATGAAAGTTTTTATTTAAATTTCAAATTGGCTTGCAAATAGAAAGCTGTTTATTAAAAACAAAAACAAAGGAACATTATGGCGCCTGAAAAATCATTATTGTTCGTTATTCGTCATTGAACTTAAAAAGTAAAATTGTGTTTTTGATTTCCGCGCATTGTTTGAGAAAAGTATTATACAAGCCTTGGCCACAATTAGGCACTGATGGACTCACGTATGTGTACCTCGGCTACGCCTTGGCCCACATTTGCACGTTCGTCCATTAATACCTCAGTTGCTGGCTGCTGCAGTAATGTATTATTTCCAATTCCTCGGTTATAACTGACAAAATTAATAAATAAAAATGATCTTATATATTAAATACAAATATAGGAAATTAATATAATACTGGTTGGGCGATACATTGACATAGTATGTGTAGTGTTAAATTAACAATTATTAAATTTCTTAGTAAAACAACAATTTTATTGCACAGCATGTCTCAATATATATATATATATATATATATATATATATATATATATATATATATATATATATATATATATATATATATATATATATATATATATATATATATATATATATATATATATGTGAGTATGTAGTGATTGTGATTGTGATTGTGTTGATGGTGGTGGTGGTGCAGCGCGGACGGCTGGGTGCAGGTGTGGGACTGGCGGCGCGCGGCGGACGAGCCGCTGCACGCCGTGCGCGCGCCCGGCCCGCTGGCCGCCGTCGACGTGCACCCGCTCTGCAACCTCGTCGCCTGGTACCTGACCCACCACATACACACGCACACGTGCCGGCCCACAACCCCACCGAACAAGACAAAGCGTTCTGTCAGCTGTCCACACGAGTAGCTCGTGGCTCAACTATAATTGAAAAACTTACAATGTTCCTCGAATCCAATATAATAATGCGTTCAGGGCACTATTCGGGCTACCCCGTCGCTGTAGTGCGTCACACGTGTTTGCACGACAGCGTACGGACGGTTTTTACGCAATACGGCGCAAACGAATTGTTTCGTTGAGTTTTGATTTTTTTTTTTCTACAAATAGATTTATCAATATATTTTAGTAGACCTGCCCATTCCATTAAAAAAATTATTTATTTATTTGAACTTACCAACTAAGGGAGCTGACAGTTTCCCAATTCGCTCCCTTAGCAATTTTTTTATGTAACTTATAATGGCAAACAAACTGAAGACCTCTGATGGAAAATGGTAACCGTCGCCTATAGACATAAGAAGTATCATGGACATAACAGAGCATACTGTTTCACCCATGATACCCCTCATGCGTTGCCATTTCTCAGTTGTTAAGCCTCTGTACCCTGTAAATTCACTGTCATATCCCACCCTTCAAACCGAAACAGCCATGCAAACACAACTGCTTCACGGTAGAAACACGAACGGCACAGAGGTGTTCAAGCAAACGAGTTTAGTACAAAGTCTCCTTCTGGTAAATCAATCACAATATAAACAAACAAAATAATGTTTAATTATTAAACACTGTCTAAATAATGTATTGCCATTCTGTGAAACTTGACAAGTTTACAAGTCAATATATCCTAGTCCGGATACTGGCTCATGACACCGTTGAGTATCAGTGGAAGAGACAAAGACTCTTCGACGTGCTCAAGCAAACTAAAATAAGAAACTGTACCCATTCACATTTTACAGTATATATTTATTTATTTAATACTTTATTGTACACATTAGTTATAAAAATATGACAGAGGTAAGCAAATGTACAAAGGCGAGCTTAACTCTGATAGAGTTTTCTTCCAGCAACACCCAAAGTGGAAAGGAGCATCAATGTCAGCGGATACAGCAGTGTACAATTTTTAAATAGCCAAAATTAAATAATTAGTTTTTTTTTTTATTTGTGAATATGGTATGGTAACCTCGCCTGCGCTAACGGGATACGCTGGCGGAGCACCAGTGTAGGGTGATAGGTGAGAATGAAAACAGGCCAGTTAGCCCATCATGATGAATTCATCAGGAATTAACCATGATAGTTTCAAAGGGGAACCGCGTGGAGGTCGACCTGAATATACCCAATATTGCTAGCAATGGGATTCTCAGTCTCCATTACTAACAATCCCTTTCCCCCATATTATAATTAGTTAAATATTATAATGTAAGTAAAATATTACATTCGCTTGCAGTGGATCCGTAAACCAGTGCATTAGCATCTACGACCTGAAGGGCAACTTGCTCAACACGATCAAGTCGCACGAGGGATTCATGGCCGCGCGTATCGGACCCGTCTCCTGTCTCACCTTCCATCCGCTGAGGTATGTAGACATGCACATAATGTGAACAGAGATTTAAAAGAGTAACTGTTGAGTTTCTTTCGGGCTCTTCTCAACAAATAACAAGTTTCCGAAGCCCGCATTTATAAAAAAATTACGATTTTAAAATGCTTGTAAATAAATATATTTGAATAAAGTGTATTCATGCAAAATCTGTTGTATTTATGTATAAAATAAATATAGCAGTACTGAATATACTGTAACATACATGCATTGGTAAACATTTGTATTTGTGTGTATTGTGATTGAATGTCTGTATTGTACTTTTCCTTTTTTGCGCAAACCAATTTTGTACTTTTATAATAATAAGAAACCTGTTATTAGCCTTAATATTTTAAATACTAGTATGTAAATATTAACTGTAACGCCGTTGGTTTCTAATAAATAAATAAAAAATGATTTGAATTTATACATAGAAAATATTGTTTACGTATAATATAATAACAAACATCGCAAATTTACTTGTATTACAAGGATAGGACTTCACTCAGAGTCGTCTTAAGCGTATTTTGCGTTGAAGTGCTCTACTTGCATTATTATTACTTGTAATTTACTTGCAACACTGACTCAAGAATAAGGGCCTCTTGAAATTCTAAAACTGTGCAGCAACTTAGCTACGTACTACGTACGTGACTAACGAAGTATGTATGTGTTGGCGGAGGGCAGGTGTGCGCTGGGCATGGGCTCGAAGGACTCGACGGTGACGGTGTACGTGTCGGAGGCGCGCCGGTGACCCTCGCTCTACAGCCTCGCGCTGCCGCTGCCCTTCCAGTGAGCGGTCGCCGCGCACCCGCCGCCGCCACGCTCGCCACAACCACCACACCCACCACACCCACCACACCCACCACACCCACCGCCGCCACGCGCCGCGCTAGGGGTCAGTATGTGAACTGCACAGATCTCGTGCAGTTTCTTATTTTTTTTTTTAAATATGTAAACTGCCTTTTATCCGCGACTTTGTCCGCGTGTTATTTACTGTTTGGAATAAAGTACATAGGCTTTTTTTTGTACCACTGAGGTGGTAAACAAGCATACAGCCCACGTGATGGTAAGTGGTTACTGTAGCCTATGAACGCCTGCAATACCAGGGGCATTACGCGCGCGTTGCTAATCCTAAAGGCTGTATGTATGTACTATATGGAATGGAAAAGATCCATCATAACAGATATGTGTATACCAAATCTCAAAGTGATTGCTTAAGCCATTATAGCAAAGCAATAAACTGAATTGTGACCATTTTGTATTACTGTGGCACACTCACGAAAAACTATGTTAACTCTTTTAAGTGTTTTCCTTTTTTTCTTTTTTTTTTTCTTCTTTGTGTATGTACCAATGTCTGTTGTTATTAGTTGGTTGTAAGTAATGCAAATAAATTATATATGTATGTATCTATCTTTATAAAGTAATAAACAAATAAACCCAGTTTCACATTTATAATCTTAGTAAGGATTTACTGTGAATATGGTACAGTTCACGACAGTATTTGATTGCATACTATTTGACAACAACAACACGGTCTTCTCTTGCCCGCCGGATGATGTGTGGGCGGGCGAGGTAGGGGCCTCGGGCCGTACCCCATTACCCCGGCTTCTACTCCGGAGGTGAAGACCTCCGGGTCACTGGGTTTGCAGCCGGCATACACTGTTGGTCTGTGTATGCCGGCGTGGTGTCTTCATTCTTCTAGGGCCTCTTTCTTCGCTCTTGTTGTTTAATAATTTTTTTTTAAAGAATATTTGCTTATTCTAATTCCATTTACCACCCGCCAGGTGGCGCCAGGTGGCGGGCGCGGCGTGAAGTCGTCAGTACACAGCGTACTGTGAGCGGGCGACCTCCGCGGACCTTACTCGTTGCAAGTGGTGTTAGCGCGACCTGGTCGGACCACATACAACATACAACTATATTTATTATCAATAAGACAGAGTAAGTTCACGTTATAGAAACAATTATTGTTAAGTGGCGTTAATGAAATCAATTATAAAATACGCTAATGGAATACGTATTGTAAATGTCGCTAGTAAAAACGTATAACCGTGTATAAATATAGGGCGGCGGCTAATACGAACACTTGGTGCTACAGTATACCTTTAATGTTTATTGTTGTTGAACGGAGCGCGGCCGCTCCCGCTGCTGCATCGACCGCCACGGGGCGCGCTGTACGGACGCATACGACAAGACGGACGCTACGGACGCTAGGCGGCCGGTACACGATAGCTTCTATTGGCTGTTACCGAGTCACGTGAGCGATTATAAAAATTATGAAATAAGTTTTACAATATTCTCATACTTGGGCGTAAATATCTTGAGCATATTCCAAATATGAGACTTTGTACAAAAGTCGATTGCTTGGGTACCTCAGTCCCATTCGTTGTTTCAACCGTGAAGCAGTTGTGTTTGCATGGCTGTGTTTCGGTTTGAAGGGTGGGATATGGCGTGAATTTACTGGGTACAGAGGAATAACACCCGAGTCCTCAGGAATGACAACGCATGGGGGGTATCATGGGCGAAACAGTATACTCTGTTATGTCCATGGTACTGCTCATGTCTATGGGCGACGGTTACCACTTTCCATCAGGTGGGCCGTCAGCTTGTTTGTCATTCTAAGTTGTATAAAAAATAATATGAAATCAAATCATATTTCGCGAAACAGTAACCCGAGTGAATGACCGTGTACTGGGCGCCGCGACGTGCAGCAATTCGCCTACGTCCACACCTCTAGTCGTATAGAGCAGCGAACCAATGCAATACTGCGACGTGTAACGGGGTAGCTACATGCAACTTAGTGTAACAATATGTCATATAACTATAATATACGCGGACAAATGATCAGCCGTGTCGTATCCGAGCAAGCCAAATACATATGTAATATTCACAAAATGTACGCTTTAAGTATGTAATTATAGCTTGTAAATAGTAGCCGGGTAGAGAGTGTCTACGCTGAGGGAGGTGCGAGTGTTGCAGCTCGGTGACCCACCTGCAGTCGCCAGTTAGGTGGCGAATTGTAAAATTTTCCCGCGTCGTCTTCTGTCAATGAATTTAGAACCGTATCGATGTAGCCTTTAAACGCAAAATCCAACGGAGCCATCAAGCGTGCATGTTTATGATTAACCATTCGCGTCTCGTCTCTGCCTACTTTCCCTTTATTTTTTAATACTTTGGCAAGTTTATATTTCTTTGTTCGCCGTCATCTAAAAACAGCGCAAGTATATATCTGTTCGTATGTGTTGAACTGCTTACCATTGGGCATTACGTTCCAAATCATCTGCATTTCCGATCTCATCCCCACTTGTAACATTACATAGAAATGTCCAATATGAAATATGTACCAGCTTATGTATAATTTTCTATTCAGAATGTATTATACGTATCATACAAATAATTAACTGGCCCGTGTTAATTTCCAAGTGAGTCTGCTACCCACTCCGTTCGCATTTTAAGCCTAAGCCTTACGGAACGCTAATCTAGGGGAGCTTGTATGGATTTTATAGCATGGACACAGTATAACTAATGAAACGACGGTGTTCATAAGGTGCTACACGCCGCTATATACACGTATACAACACGCAACGTTCCCGCTCCGGTGCGCTGTATGACTAGCTCGCAGATCACGTGGCATTCCTATATTCCTTGGTCGTTATGGGGCAGCGTAATAATTTTCACTTTTGTGTATTTAGAGCGGTTCAGTGTACACACCAAGAAGCTCGAATGCAAATGGAGGCTGCCCATGGATACAGAATTGAAATTAATAAGTTTCAAATAGTCACGTGTCTTTCATCTCGCTTGCACTCTAGTTGGCAAATCCTCGAGTATTTAGTGACAATGCCACACAAAAGAGTACTATTGTCTATTCCATTTTCACCGAGCGAGCGAAATAGAAATTTGACTTTTTACCTAGTTTTTTATTTATTTGTATAAATTCTGTATTCACATAGCAATTTTCGTAATGAAGCTTCTTGGTACACGCATCGAGATGGCGCCTACGTCGCACCCCGCGTACTCCTTATCAATGCAAGTAGGCAAGCTGTTCAATATGCATGTACCTCACGCCTGACAGCAACTCGTTACTTTTGTTCTAGTATGTACATAGTACTAAATCTTTTGTTTTTTTTTTAATTCAATTATTTTGTGATTATTGATTTACTGAAAGTTCCTAAGACTTAAATAGTTAGATGCCATTTATTGTCCTAATAAGATTTTGTTCAATATAATTAAGATTAATTTGTGTTCGTTTGTTATAAATTAATATTCTGAAATACACTGTAGAAAATAGTTATTTCTCTTGCTTTAAAAGTATCGATTTTTTAGTGTCTTACAATTTGTATAATAATAACCGTATTGCTTATGTTATAATTAATTATGCTTTAATTTTATTAAGAACTAAAAATGTAACCATCAAATGTGTTCAATTGTAAAGTGTATTTCAGCGTATTGAATGATTTATATTATAACGTGATAGATATAATGAACATTGCATTGCATGCGCGACCAACCGAGCTATGGAATATTATTAAATATATAACTATAGTGGGCCCGCAATGGTGATGAAATATGGATAATTTTATGATACAATGAGCATTTAATTGTATTAATTTTAATAAGTATATTATAATTATTATTGGTTTGAACAAACATTATCAAATGTGGTATGTGTAATGAAACCTGTGGCCATACGTTGTCATGCTGTACACGGGCCGGGCGTACACGGCTTGAGTGAATGGTACGGCCCATCTGACTCGCTTCACACGTGCGTGTTTCCTTAAAGTCAGGCGGTACAGTAGACGCTGGCTCGGCGAATGGCGCCGAGCCAACAGTCGTATCTAACCCTCGGTTATTTTTTTATGGGTGAAAATGGAATGGTAACCTCGCCTGCGCTATCTGTATACGCTGGCGGAGCACTAGTGAAGGGTGATCGATGAGAATGAAAACAGGCCAGTTAGCCCATCATGATGAATTCATTAGGAATTAACCATGATAGTTTCCAGGGAGAACCGCGAGGAGGTCAACCTGGTTGGGTATATTGCTAGCAATGGGATTCTCAGTCTCCATTACTAACAATCCCTTTCCCCCCCTCTAGCGCTCGGTTATAGATACTCTATTTTCGACATTTTACCAAATATGATTATATTGGTATATAATAAGTAATGTACAGTGTGTACTAAACAATTGACCGTTCACTCGACCAGCGTATGTCCAGCCGTAAGGCAATAACTTATCAACTGAATAAGTGATGATTATGATTGTATAATTATGAACAAATTGGCGGTAGACGTGCGTTTCGTAACCGCACCGTTGCATATTGTCATTGATTTAACTATCGCTTTTACATATTGTATAATTTAATGTACATTTTACATAATAATAAATTGTTGTTGTTAAAATAAATACGTGTTTTATTAACTCGTGTATCCTGTAGCCCTCTGTTCTCCTGCCAGTAATATGCCTGTTCAAATGTTTTTTAAAGGGTTATAGGTGAAGGTCAGTTGGTTCATTATCTGGATTGGCATTTTTTTTTGATGGGTGTAAATGGTATGGTAACTCCGCCTGCGCTAACGGAATACGCTGGCGGAGCACCAGTGAAGGGCGATAGGTGAGAATGAAAACAGGCCAGTTAGCCCATCACGATGAATTCATCAGAAATTAACTATGATAGTTTTCAGGGAGAACGGCGAGCAGGTCGACCTGGTTGGGTATATTGCTAGTAACGGGATTCTCAGTCTCCATTACTAACAATCCCTTTCCCCCCACCTAGACTGGCATTAGCACGTATAGGCAAATTTTCATATGGCGAAAAGTCGCCGAGGGTGTCGACAGAGTGACACATCATGTGTTTTTTTTTTTACATTGTATTTCAGTTCATGACTCGATGCATACCGCTCACAAATTGCTAACAACTTTCTTAGTCCGCTGATAGAGGGACTTAGAAGAACCATATCGTCAGCGTAGTTTATACTATTTAAACAAGTAATTCCAATATGACAGCTTACTTTGGCGCTCCTTAGCTCCCCTATCAGGTCCTTTACATATAAATTAAAGAGGTCCGGTGAGGTCAGGCCTCCTTGACGAAATCCGCACTCTAGTCTATACTCACTAGAGGTGGTGCTGCTCCATTTTACAAAATTCGTCTGTCCACAGTACCAGACTCTCAACAGATTAATAATTCTGTTTGGTACAGCTGATAAATTTAGTTTCTCCCACAGTAAATCATAATTTACCAGGTCGAAAACTCGACTTAAGTCTAAAAAACACGCGTAAACTGATGTACTTCTTTCGACATAATAGTGAACGGCCGAGATTATTCTTATGTTGTCACTTGTATGTCATATTTTTTTTTTATTGTTTTGTTAGTTTTTATTAATGTGAAATTGATGTCTTAAGAAAAATGGATGCCTATATTTGGTATAAATGCAATACGCAAGCCTTATATATTAATTAAAATTACTGTCTGTATTTGCACTGTTGATGTACCTTTCAAAATAAATAAATACAATGTATAATTAAAAAATAACATTTATTCAAACTGTTTCATATTGAATACCAGTATATTATTATTCTAGAATTAGTACAATGGATTATTGCAAATACACACTTCATCAAATGACAAGTTTTTATGTACAGCCAGAATGTTACTTGACACATTAACATTTGACACCTTAACATGGCATTAATATCACATGAACGGGGTTACGTCTAGGTGTATAAATTATCATTTCACAATTTTAATAAAAAAGAAACATTTACAGTCCCTATCCTATATTTATTATAATATTTCCAATACAAAATAGCAGAAACAAGTAAAATATGGTATTGCAACAATAAATTATAATACTTTATACAAGTATAGATTCTTGGTCAACAATTTAACAAAAATCAGTGTGTGACAATGCTTTTAGTGGCCATTCTGCTCACAATAATATCTAGTAAGTCCATGTCACCCTTCACATTGTTTAGTTTGTATACAGTCTTCACATCCTTCACATTGGTAAATTGTGATAGTTCACTAATTGGGCACAGCTCACCCTCTATCTGCTGAATAACTTCTTTAGATTCATTGTTATCAGGTGTAACCAAAAAGCAAACGAGTAAATTACTATCCTTTTCTATTCCAAACTTACCGAGACTCTGTGATATATTCTTTGTTAAGGACAAGTTAAACAGAATTTCAGCAAACACAGTCCTTGTAACCATTGTGTTGTATTTTTGTGACACCACAGCCTTGTTGGCAGCTACGCACACTTGCAGCGGATGCAGAATCAAACTTGGCTTTATGACAGCACAGTTCCAAACACCTTTCACTATGTTATTTCTTATAGTTTCTACATTACGAACATTTTTGAAGAGATACATTTGTAGTATAGTGTTTGTCTCTGGATCCAATTCACAGCTGTATGCTTGTGAATCCATGTTAGAACTGAAATAAAATACCATACCATAATTTTAACTATTTCTACTACTCTATAAAAAACTAGTTAATCACATATTTGCTATAAAACCAAATATGTAAATAGCAACAAACTAAAGGAGTCTGGCCCATTAAATAAGGCATATTATATACTCCTAGATGTGTCTGCAACATTAATTGTTTGACTTCGGATCTACATGTTTTGTGGTTTATAGAAACTAGAATTAAAATTATAATTTACACAAAATATGATAATTTAGTGTTCACCATTGGTAGAAATATAAGAAATAATTTGGGTAAATTATGACAGTTTACCATTTTATAATAGTTTACTATAGATACATAGACGGCATGAAGTTTCTTATACACCATAAGAAAAATTTCTTTGGAAAGCTTCACCCGAATCCTGGGAGGGGCACCAGACAGTTCTGAGGTAGGTGCGGCTAGACCTACTCCCGCCTTGAATAGTAACTATTGCTACCCTATCAAATAAACTGTTCGATTCTTAAGCTAAAGTTTAGGATGGCTAGACATGTCCAACCCTTCAAGTTTGTTTACCTATCGAGTTGGTAGTCCGTAAAGCAATTTGGCTACTTTGTCTCCAGTATGGTATTAAATTTTCTAAACTAATACCAAAGCTCACAATTGCAAATTTTTAATGTAATCAGAGATATTATTATTAAATTCGAGTGACTATAAAACGGTATAACGGGTGTTTAGTAACGTGAAGCAACAGATTATCAAACAATAATCTCAAACGTCAAAAAATGAAATAGGTAAAGTTGCCAAATACAATCAGTACATTTACAACCAAAATCCGTATACAAAAAAAAACTAATCGATCAAATCTCGTTACTACTTCAATAACTGTTATTTCAAAATAAAGTTATTAAAATTAATAACAATAAGTGATCAATCCTGATGAGGATCTTGAAGAACTACTCGATTTATTTAATAAATTTTGTGCTAAATAAAAAACGTTGTCCTGTTATACAAATATTTTTAATGACAATAAAAGTTTTTATTTTTGGTCACCGTGGTAACGCGTGCGTTTTTCAGTTGCCAGTATTATTATCTATTTATTTATCCGAATAATTGAACTAAACAACGCTCTATATATATAATAGATAACAACATGTTTGTATATACACAGTGGGATATTTAACAATGAACATATCTCATAAAAATTCAGTACACTGATGAAGTATATCAACAAATCACAATGAAATCGATTAACAATAAATGTCTTTATTTTATGTTGCAGGGATTATTAAAAATTAAAATTAACAGTGGGCATATAATAAATGCCATCATATACTCTTGACATAAAACCGATCACACTTTCTCTTGTAGATATCGTAAGAAGCGACTAAGAGAAGTCGTGGGATGGGTAGCAGCGTTCCTCTTCATCACTAAAGCTTAACTGCGATTGCCAACCTACTTGCCAAGCGTGGCAATTACTGGTAAACCCCCTTAACATACATACTAATAAATGTATCATATCATCATCTTTATCTCTTTAGTTTATTTCTATCAATAAAGCACCATGGCATTTCCTTTATAAAGTGGATGAAAAAAGATATCAACTTGGAATTGTTGAAAATCAGTAAAGAATCAAAAGAATTGTCTTGCATTTGTTAGATATTTATTTTAAATGATATTAATTTTATTAAACATATTGTGTTAAAATGTGTACCTACATTTATTAATAAAAATCAGACTAACTACTTTAAATATAATATAACGTTAAAATTGTTATTATACCAAATTTGCTAATAGATTATTCTTGTAATGTATATAGAACACAAATTTATATTTTAATTAATTTTATAATTATTTATTATCATGATACTTAAACAAAAAGTAATGAAATTGTAAGAACACGTGGTCTCACTCGAATTCGGCCTGTAGATATAAAAGACTGTTACTTGGGTGGGGAGGCAACACTTTTGGTCCAACCGTTGAACAGAGCAGAGTTCCCTGATGTTCTGAGCTCCTCATCAAGAGTGAACAAGTATAGTGAACCACGTGGTCATTATATAAAATATATCACAATTATTGTTAATGGAAGTCTTAAAGAAGCTATATTTAAATAAGTGTCAATGGACTAACAGAAGTTGGATATTAATGTTTTAATTATTTGTTATATATCAAATATAAAGCAAAATAAGTAAATATATGATTTATCTAAAGTAAGTGAACTTGTGCTTTATTTATATTAATTGCTAAGAGGCTTCCAACCTTTATATTGCTAAAGAATATATACATAAATGTAAAGTTAGTATTACGTAGTACCCCACATATCATATATATATATATATATATATATATATATATATATATATATATATATATATACAGTGAGTGTAAAAAGTATTCGTACACCTAGGGTTATAATAAAAAAAATACGAATTTGATAGACTTTCCTCTATTTATTTAATTTAAATCAATACTGTTAAATAGTTTAACATTCCCGCACTTTGTTTATGATAAATTTTGTTTTAAAAAAAAAAATATACAACACAAAAATATTTTTATGTTAACTAAGCAAATAATGACAAACAAAAAGTATTCGTACATTCCTTCTTTTTTAAATGAAATTCTGTATAAATCATTTATTCAATCGAATTTTTCATATGCCTACAATGCCAAGGTCATTTTTAATACGTAGGTATAGATATTAGACGTTTTAGTTGCACTCGTGACAAGTATAGACGTGTTTAGTTACAAAAATGGGTCGTAAAGCAAAAGAAACGAGTGAAGAGGAGAGAAAAATAATTATTAATTTGCATAATCAATGCAAATCATTATGTGAAATTGCAAAATTTGTCAATAGACCACGTTCAACCGTACAGACTGTAATTGATCGGTTTTCTATTACTAAAACACTAAAAAACAAACCCAGAGGTGGGGCGTCCATCAAAAATCACGCCTCGATTGGATCGGAAAATTTTAAATTGTGTAAAAAAAAATCCAAAAATTAGTGCCCCTCGAGTGTTACAAGAAATTAATAATATCAATGATTGCCATATTTCTGTCAGTACCGTTCGGAACGTATTACGTAGTAACGATTATCATGGAAGAACTGCGCGTAAAAAGTATTAGGTAAATAATATTAATAGAAAAAAAGATTAGAATTCGCAAAAAAATATATTAATGAAAAAAATCATTTTTGGCAAACTGTTATTTACTCAGATGAATCGAAATATAATATTTGCAAATCGGATGGGCATCATATGGTATGGAGAAAACCTAATATGGAATATAAGAAAGAAAATTTATGTCCAACGGTAAAACACGGTGGTGGGTCAGTATTTGTATGGGGTTGCATGAGTGTTTTTGGGGTGGGAAAACTTGCATTTATTGATGGAATTAGGGATCACAAAGCGTATATTAATATTTTAAAAGAGAATCTTCTCTCTAGTGCAGCTCAAATGGGTTTTAACAATAATTGGATATTTTTACAAGATAATGACCCTAAACATAAAGCATGGAATACTAAAGCATGGATCCTGTTTAACGCTCCAAAATACCTAGAGATTCCTCCTCAATCACCTGATATTAATATTATAGAGCATGTGTGGGATTATCTCGATAATAAAATTCGAAATCGACCAATTTCGAGTAAAGAAACACTAAAAATTGCGCTTCGCGAAGAATGGGCATTGATACCGTCTTCTTATATTTTCAAACTAGTTGATTCGATGCCGCAGAGACTCCAAGCTATCATCAATGCTAACGGTGGTCCAACAAAGTATTAATATTTTTTTTAATATTCATTTACTTACAAATTTTATAAGTGTACGAATACTTTTTGTTTGTCATTATTTGCTTAGTTAACGTAAAAATATTTTTATGTTGTATAATTTTTTTTATTAAAAAACAAAAAATATCAAACAAAGTGCGGGAATGTTAAAATATTTAATAGTATTGATTTAAATTAGATAAATAAAAGAGTCTATCAAATTCGTATTTTTTTTATTACAACCTTAGCTGTACGAATACTTTCTACACTCACTGTATATATATATATATATATATATATATATATATATATATATATATATATATATATTTAATATGTATATATATGTATGTATATATTAAATATTATAAATAATAAATTGCCCTTTTTTCCTAACACATTCTTAGAAATCGCATAAATAGAAAAGGATAGGCTCAATATCGGTAGATATACCGAAAATCTGTAGGTTCCGAGACCCCTGAGATCTCGTTTAATTTGCTTCTATCTTAGTTCTTAAATTCTATAACAAATCAAATATCTTATTTTCTGTCTTCCATTCATTTTTGTTATATTTTGCAATTAAAAAAAAAAATCATAGGAAACATAAATTAGATTCGACAGTTAAAGTATTAAAAAAAAAAAATTAGATAAATAATCACATCTAGCAATTCTGAACCCGATTAGTAAAGCGATGGGTCACTAGCCAAAATTGTATTAACCAATATGTGGTGTAATAGCCGGCTAAATAGCTAGTTACAGACTATTCAGCTATTGTAAGAAAGACTTTATAATCTATCGAATAGCGTTACATTTAGCATTAGCTATTTCGTTTAATAACTGTCCAACTGTATTACATAGAGTTCGATCCTCAAGTAAATCCTAGAAGGTAACGCGATATTATTTTAATTTTTTTTAATCGACTACTAATTTGTAGTTAATAAATGTACCATTAGTAAATCAATCTTTTTACAAAGTTTTTTTTTTTATATACTTTTTACAAAAAATACAAAATACGTATTTTTGCATCCATACTCCTTATTTTATCCATATCAGTGCCACCTATAGAATGGGTTAAAAAGCTTTTGTTGTATCAACCATAATCAAACTGATTGACTCAAAGCTTAAAGTCATAGATCATAGATGCCACTTTCTCTTATTGATTAAATGAATATTGATAATATCTATTGATGGCATTGCTATTGACAGAATTGAGATTTTTTCAAAAATAAATATATTAACCAAATATAGTAATGGCTGTAAAGAAGTTATTTGAAAGAAAAACAAACAAAATCGCATATTGGATCATCTAACTTATTGTTACTGAGGCAAATAAATTATCGGTTACAATATACTACTATTCCGGATGTTTATCCAGCTACGACAGCTAGCGTAACTGGCGAGTAAATTCAGTCGCTAGTTGGCGGTTAATTGTCGCCCCTCTAATGCGCCGCGGCCGGGCGCTGAAGTATGGCTATAACCATTAGCTGGCTACGTCGAGACATATAACTTACCAGCGACTATTCTTTGCATAGTCACTATTAGCTGAGTATATCAGTGTAGCTGCCATAGCTAGATTAGTGTACAATAGTTTCTGCATCGTTTTGAACGGCCTTCATAAAATAATTCTTATTGTTTAATCTAAATACAAACATACATAGGTATAGTTAAATATAGGCATGTTTGATTACAACAATTTTGATAAGAATATAATTGGATAACAAATTTTCTGAGCCTGTAGAGAGTACCAGTGATAAAAACAATCTTCGCAAACTATTAAAAATGTTTGTATCAAGGCTTAATAATAACATGAAATTTTTAAAAAATAATGTTACACGAACGCTCGTTCGTTCTCTGTCTACGCAAAATGCACAAAATGAAAATTCTAGTCCAGTAGTGTTCCAGAAGTTAGGTGGTGCCGATCGCGGCATCGCTGTATACGGCCTCAACAGCCCTCAAGACAGAAATGCTATAGGTTTCCAACTTCTGCAAGCGATGAAAGAAGTCAACCGAATTCTACGAGAAGACACAAAGATCTCTGTCGTTATTCTTCACAGTTTAGTGCCTGGCATATTTTGTGCTGGTGAGTGAACTGTTCCTTTTTCAATTTCGATTCTATTTTTAAATTAATAATATCACTTGAGACCTTAATTGTGTAATGTAATTTATTTTTAATATTTGCTTTTAGGTGCACATTTAAAGGAGCGCTTTCAAATGTCTGACGAGGAGGCGTCTAACTTTGTCCGTCAGCTCAGAACTACCTTCATAGAAATAGAGGACCTTCCTATGCCCACAATAGCAGCTTTAGATGGCGTCGCTGTCGGCGGTGGGTTAGAGCTGGCGTTGGCTTGTGATATTAGGATAGCATCAGAAACGGCTAGGCTTGGGTTAGTGGAAACTGGACGAGGCCTGATTCCTGGCGCTGGAGGCACCCAGAGGTTGCCCCGTGCTATTCACCCCAATGTTGCAAAGGAACTTATATTTACTTCTCGTATTGTAAATGGTAAAGAAGCTAAGGAATTAGGTAAGTTTGATCATTAGTTAACATCATTGCATCTATGTAATTGCCAATTTTTTATATAAAAAAAATGTTATTTTTATCATATAATGAGCAGTTATGACAAGTTAAAAAGCATTGTTACTGTAAAATAAATATGTAAATCTATTAATGCATGCCTGACTCACTCTTCAGTGGAGTGCATTGTGCACTGGCACACAGTATTCAAGCATACTGTTACATAACAGATAATAGGTACTCTAATTATTTAAATGACATGGTTGTACAAACAAGTGTTATATTACAGTGCTGAAATTAAAACAGGATACAGCTCGCATTACACACACAAACACACACACTTGGATATCAAAATGATACTTTTTTAATTTTAAATACTTGTTGAGACATTATAATTTGGTCAATATTGGAAAAGAGGATATTTTAGCAGATAGAAAATATTTTCCATAATTGGAACTCCAATTGTAGTATACCTACCTAGTTGTGGATAGTCCAGACAAATCATATCACATTGCCAACCCATGTGCAACACCTTTCAGTATTTCCCCAGTCTGAAGAGACCATAACTTGATATATTTCATTAAATGGAGGAATGGATGAATGGATGAATGGATAAATTCCACTTGGAAGACATTTTTTCCTGAACCTGAACACTGAAATGTGATTAATAAGTGATGTAATATGGAGATTGGGCATGCATAATACATGCATACTGTAATAAGCTAAAATGAAGTCTGATTTCAAGTACATATTTACAAATACTATCATAAATGTGTATTAAAATTACAATATAAACAAGGTGAAATGAAATATATTATTTTTTTTAATTTCAGGTATAGTAAACCATGTGGTGTCACAGAATAGCAATAATAACTCTGCGTATGAGAAGGCCCTCAACTTGGCTAGAGAGATAATACCAAATGCACCAATAGCCCTCCGATGCGCCAAGCAAGCAATCAACGAAGGAGTCCAGCTCAGTATCAAGGATGGATATGAAGTGGAACAGAAGTTTTATGAAATCAATATACCCACCAAGGATAGGAAAGAAGGAATGATATCATTTATAGAGAAGAGGAAACCTCGTTACGAGGGACACTAAGCTTAAAATGTTAAATTGAAGGTTTCAATTTAATAAAAAGAATGTTACTATAATTACCCATTGGACGATAGCTTGTAGTGGTCGATTCCATCAGATATCACAATCAATGGTTAACATGATATAGGTGAAAGACGTTCATCATCCTTCAGTTACCCTTATTTTATCCATCAGTCACATTACACTTGCCACTCAGTTGGCAACAACAACTATTGTCCAATGGGTGTAGACTTGACTGCCTTCATTAAATATTTACCAGTTATCTAGAAGATTGTTAACATGGGACCAATATTTTCATAGTATATTATATACATATAGCTGTAGTGCCATTTATCGTTGTTACTTGTTAAAATGGTTATATATTGTTTGTGACAAATAAATAAATATTTTTATACTCATATATACACAAATAATATATTTTATAAATTGTTATTAATATATTGTTATATAAGAAAGTGTTTGTTTTTATATGATGCAATAACATAATTTACTAATCCTCCTCTAAGCCTTCTGTCAACTGTACTATACTTGGTAGCTGTTATCTGCTGTTATCTCTGGTCAATGCATGCAATAAAAATGGTAAGTACATCGTAATAACACTTACAGAACATGAAACTTAAATAAATTATATGTTTTAGAATTACAATTTATTATACATATATAATTCATTTTATATTAATAATATATAGCACTCATATACATATATGCACAGCATTTGTCTCGGTGTATGGGGTGATGACACATTATGCAATGTTTAGAATTTGTTTCAATTTTTCTTTAGTATCATCAGGGGATGTTACTGTGTACCCAATAGTTCTGGGATCATGATATATCTCATAATCATTACCTCCTGCCATGGTCTTATCACCAAAGAAGTGGATTTCATCATAGTTGAAATCAGAAACATGCCTCAAACAATATGTTTTGTCCCAGCCTTTGGGGAATACATCTACACTGATCTGCCCGCCGAGTGCAAAACTCAGTTCATAGTCCTTAAATTCATTCCTCAGAGTCTCCACAAATTTTTCTCTTATTTTGTGTTCCTTATCATATAATGAAAATTCATCTCGTTCAGACTGGCTGCAGGAGCGGCCCACAGGGCACAGGTTGATCATACTGGAACGGAACTCTACAAAGTTCCCTCTCTTGGCCGGGAGAACTAACTTTGACATATATCCCAGTGCAAAATTAATGACTGCCTGTAACTTCTGCTCACCAACATAATTAAGAATGCTCTCTGTGCTCTTTAGCTCGCCTCGTCTGTAATGTGCTACGCCGTTTTCGCAAAACACATGATCAAATTGATTAGTCACCTGTTCTCCTCCCATTTGCTCCACAATTTTCTTATAATCGGACCCGCTCACGAGTCCGAGCGACGCTTGGGACTTGACATCATTTAGTAAAAAGTTTTTTAGTGATTCTGTGATTACCTGACGCGGTTTGGTCAGAGTTCCGTCTACGTCGAATAAATATAGCACATTCTTGCGGTTCGACATTATATTATACAGTATGCGATCACTTTAATTTGTTAAAATAGTTCTTTGCAAATTAAGGATGTAGAATATATTTGAATTTTGGAGGCAAAACGAGTGCGGTCAATAATTGGAATACCGGCACCACTGCAGTGTCAACACTTCACTCGCGACACGTCATATTTCGTGCTAAAGATATGGCGAGGCCGTCGACCGTTGTTTACGCGCTGTTATTGTGCACTTTATTGACTGAAAAAGTGCTATCCAACAAACCAAGAAACGTACTTCTACTGCTAGGTAACGTGTATCAATATCATCGTTTGTTTATAAAAAATACCTACACAGGTATGAACGAAGGCAATACCTACTTGATTCATTCTCGCGTGTTATCATCTGTCAAAAATAAGCATAACGTTTTATAGGTATTTTTATTCGTAAATTAAAAATGTTATTTAATTATATCTTTTTAAATCAATTTAATAGTTATAATACTTTCGGTAAAAAGTATGAAAACATTAAAGAAAACTATAAATTTTTATACGATGTGATAGACATGACATTGAATCTCTCTCTCACACTTACCAATTGGTACTTATCTCGCTCTCTCTCGTGTGATTGTTTATTCCATTTTATGCAATTTCTAGTAATATAAAGATTGTAGGTAATGTTTTTGTAATGTCTAATTGCCTATTATAATATTCATATTATGTAATTAATAAGAATGAAAGTATAATTCGCCAGAATTTTAGGCTTTAATAAACTGAAAATCTTACATAGTTGTTTGACATATAAAATCTATGACAATTAATAACTAAAACATTCTTATAATATTTAATGGCATCACGACACATATTCAACTGTAATTTCTTTGTCGAGTCAAGAAACTTTTTCTGTATAAAATATATTTAATATCTAATTACAATTGGATATAAAATATCTACTAAAATACAATGTCACTAATGTTTCCGATTCTTTAATGTCATTAATTGGAATTATCTGCAAATAGAAGTTCGCATGCTAAACATAAATTTTTGATTGAGTAATTATTTTTATTTTAATTAAATACTTATTATTGCAGCGGATGACGGTGGGTTCGAAATCGGTGCTTACCTAAACAAAATATGTCAAACACCGAATATAGACGCATTGGCGCGACGCAGTGTCATATTCAACAACGCTTTCACGTCGGTCAGCAGTTGCTCACCTAGGTGACGTACATTGGACTATTACCTACATAAATATAGTATTGGGGGAAAGGGATTGTTAGTAATAGGGTCTAACTGACCCATTGCCAGCAATACACCCTATCACGTCGACCACCACGTGGTTCCCTCTGGAAACCATTGTGAATAATTCTTATTGAATTCGTCACGATGGGCTAACTGACCTGCTTCACCTTTACATATCATCTCTCACTGGTGCCCTGCCAGTGTATACCGATAGCGCAGGCGGGGTTACCATTTTATTACCACCCATTAAAAAAAAAATAGTATTGTCCAACTGTTTGATTCTCATGCTAGGGTAAGGATAGAAAACAGGCTACATAGTTTAGAATAATTCATTTCCTAAATAGGCTCTACCGAGAATTGAACCAGGAATTTTAACAAAGCAACGTATCTATGAACATTGGTTATAGTGACGAATTGCCACGATCGTACATCGATTTTTTTTAAAATACGAGATTGACATATTGGCACCCCGCCTTCCTTTTTCTCAGTTAAGGTCACGTGAGATAATAATTATTAAGACATGACCATAGACATTCCCATATGACAGACGACGACAAGATAAGTAAGTGCCACAGACTATGTAACGTGCATATAATGCATTCCTATCATAACGTTATGAGGGTGCCAGTAATTACCATATAGATACCAGTGGGAGACTTTGTACAAAAGTCGATTGCTTGGGTACCTCTGTTCCATTCGTGTTTCAACTGTGAAGCAGTTGTGTTTGCATGGCTGTGTTTCGGTTTGAAGGGTGGGATATGGCGTGAATTTACTGGGTACAGAGGAATAACACCTGAGTTCTCAGAAATGGCAACGCATGGGGGGTATCATGGGCGAAACAGTATACTCTGTTATGTCCGCTGTACTGCTCATGTCTATAGGCGACGGTTACCACTTTCCATCAGGTGGGCCGTCAGCTTGTTTGCCATGTTGTATAAAAAAAAAATTGACGACCGTTTCTGGGCTTTTTGTCGGTGGCACTGTCTCGCTGTTCAGTCGAAGGTACCTGCGGCACCTCCCTTCTAAGTCCGGTATTGCCTTATGACAGTAAGTATAATATCGCTTTCCGTTACAACGTTGCAGCCGCGCGGCCCTGCTGACCGGCACACCGAGCCATCAGAATGGCATGTACGGTCTGCACCACGGTGTGCACCATTTCAACTCGTTCGACAACGTCACCAGCCTACCCAACCTGCTGCGTCAACATGGAATTAAGACTGGTACCGAGCATTACATAGCACTTTTGTGGGCACAGAACATTTTTGTAGGCATGAATGTCAGTTGATACCACGTAGTCTATTGTAATTCGATCTTATTACAACTTTGGAGATTCTTACATATGTGTCGACTGATCCGATTTATTATAAGGTTTTTAGAGTTCTTCTTCGTTATATACGAAGATCTTTCACTCACCTTATAGATAATTTTAAAGGCAAACAATATTAATCTATTCTCAATTTGACCACAGACTTTAACAATAAACAAAAAATATATATGTGTGCGTGTGTGTGTGAAATACATGGTAGTGTGTGTAATGTTTTTTTTTTATTGATTGAATGTATTTTTTATGCATAATTAAAAAAAAATATTAGCATTTTGTACTCCTTCTATATATAAACTATAAGTGTGCCAAATATCATAGTCCTCTGTTCGTGCAATTTTAGTAAAAAAGGGGTACAAAGTTTTTGCTTCACATATTAATATATAGATGCCTTTTTTAATTTTAATCATGTGACGTTCAGATAGGTTTTATATCGTCTTAGACATTTGGACACGTGCTGCGACCAAGTCATGGATATAGTAATACTGTATTTACTGTATATGCATGCAGGTATCATAGGTAAGAAGCACGTGGGCCCGGCGAGCGTGTACCGGTTCGACTACGAGCAGACGGAGGAGAACAACCACATCAACCAGGTGGGCCGCAACATCACGCACATCAAGCTGCTCGCCAGGGAGTTCCTCGCGCAGGCCAACCGGGACAACAAGTGAGGCACGCACACTCACACGCGCACGTACGCACGCACGCATGTACACACACACACACACACACACACACACACACACACACACACACACACACACACACATACACGACACCGCACCACATGGATACAGCATCGACACATATTTATAAATATTACACACACACACTAGTAGCGTTTTATATTTATACAATTTGGTATGAAAGCTGAGCACCCGTCTGATGCAGTAGTAACCATCTCTTTTAATTTTAACAGCATAATGGCCATGGACTGTTATATCCATAGTATGGCATGGTATATTGGGATTAACGTAATACCTAATTGCCAATTAAATAATATCAAAACGGTTTTGTATCCATCGCATAAGCAAAGGCAGTCTCAATTTTTTGATCCTTCGAGTCGGATCAATTGTTTTTTTTCTCATTATTCCAAAAACAAACACACGTAACCATTTATCGTCAGACCGTTCTTCCTATACGTGGGCTTCCACGACCCGCACCGGTGCGGCAACACCGAGCCGCAGTACGGGCCCTTCTGCGAGCGGTTCGGCTCCGGTGAGGAAGGGATGGGGCTCATCCCGGACTGGAAGCCGTGGTACTACCAGTGGGACGAAGTGCAGTTACCATTCCACATACAGGTAACACTTTATTTCATCTTCCTGTAAGTAATTACTTAAAAGTGGACTTGAGAAATTGAAAATAAATTATAATTGAATAAAAACATAAGTTACTTTTTTCGATCTAATTAAACATGTTTATTTATTTTTAGGAAAACATACAGTCTGATTCAATCATTACATTGTCAAGTCATATTGAGCCATGAATAGTTTTCATATTTGCGTAATTACACAATTCGATTTTATATATGTAAAAAAGTCCTTTCCGCAATTGCATTGTTCCTCCCCCCCCTTCCTTTCCCACATAAGTCTCTTATTTCCCTCATTCACCAATTCCCTTTACGCATTTCCAACGTTCCCTTCCTTTTTTCCTCAATCCTTTCCTCCATGCCGTAGGTGACGGAAACCACCAACAAATGCATTTCCAAAGAGGGTTGACGTCAGGCAGGCGGCCGGTCGTAAAACTATAAGCTAAATCTTTTTGTAATATGGATAAAACCATATTACGCCGACCACAAATGATTGGGGTTATGGTAGGAAGATGATGATATGTAAAAAAAAATATATAAAGTTATAAATTTTGTTAACAGTTTTTTAGTTTAATCTGTAATAATATAATAAATCAATATAAAGCATATAACAACATTCAAGCAGCCACTTCAACTTAATTGTATGCGGTTTTGCGTGTATATATATATATATATATATATATATATATATATATATATATATATATATATATATATATTTTACTGGTTGGGTATATTGCTAGCAATGGGATTCTCAGTCTCCATTACTAACAATCCGTCCCCCCTGTGTGTGTATATTGTAACATAGTAGTGCATAAGAGTAAATTATGTTTCGTTTCTTAATTATAGGATACTGAAGCAGCCAGAAGGGACGTGGCGGCACAGTATACGACGATGTCGCGACTCGATCAAGGTAAATACTTTAAGCATACTGATACAAATGAGGTATACTTCACACGGGTACTTATTTTAAAGCAACCTTAAAAAGAGGTTTGGAGATGAAGAGAAAATGAACTGATTTTGATGATTCTCAATCTTTTCCTTTCTCTTTCTAATTTTATCAAAATTAACCCTTAAATACCTGAAGTTTCAAATTTTATACCGGGGTTATAAATCGCATTGGACGCCTACAATCGATTTTATTTTAATATTTGGCTGTTTACATGTTACAAATGTTTTTTTCAAAATAAATATGGTAATGGCAAAATCTTTAATTACTATATTTTTGTATCAATAATTCCCTTTATCAAAATATTACTAAGACATTATGTATTATTTATTTATGTATCAATGTTTTAAGTATGTGAGGTGTTTTATAAAATTAGGGAATGATGAGGCTGACATATCCTTGTAGGATAAAAACCTCTAAATAAAAAAGATAAAAAAATATATATATAAAAATATCATTTTGATTTTTTTATAAAATTTTTCCCCATTAGTAAACACAGTAAAGGATACACTTATATATTTTTTAATTTGATTTAAAAAAATCAGGCTCTTAAGGTTTAAATCTTATTATTTTTGCACCATAGGTATAACATATGTTATACTTTATATACAAACCCTATAGATACTTTCTCCTTTCGGGATGTCAAGGTTAACTGGAAGAAATCCTTTTAAGGGATAAGTCCACCTGTGTATATTTTCGTTATAACCTAATATCTATTATTAAAAGTGAACGTTTAATGTCTATGAATAAATATATAAAAAATAGAAAATGAAAAAATATTTATTTATTTCGTAACAAAATTGATACAATACTAAAATCGTTGTTGTGACCTTCTAGCTTACTAGACACTTATGTTACTTGTATCAGAGGGTCACGCACCTCCATAAATATGCAAATACAAATCATAGTACCATACAATTAAGATATAAACATTATCTAGTAATAAGTATATCTAAATGCATGCATGCGTGTGTGTGCATGCATGCATGTGTGTGTGTGTGTTTGTGTATGTGTGCGTGTGTGTGTATGAATGTATGTGTGCGTTCGTGTGAGTGTATGCGTGCGTGTACGTGCGCGTACATGTACCAATTGTTGTGTAGTGTGTATGTTGTATGAGTGTGTAGTTTTGCGCTAATCCGTATTGTTAAGATTTTTATTAAAAAGTAACTCATCAAAATTTTTTTTATAAATGAAATTATTATGAATGAATAAATACATTATATCAGTTTTTACCTATTTACTGCTGAATATAAGCCTCCCCCTTGAGAGGTTTTGCTAGTATTTGCCATACTTGGCAAGCGATTTGGCAACCGTAGTTAGGCTTTAGAGATGTTTTAAGAGGGACGCTGCTGTCCGTCTCTCGCCCTTCCTTATTCGGCTTTTACGATACCCACGAGATGGGAAGGGGTGGCCTATTCTATGCCGGGACCACGCGATTAGAATAAATACAGTATATAGTAATTAAGAAAATAAATAAATACAGTATTTATTTTATATTTTTCAACATAGGCGTAGCGCTGGTGATCAAAGAGCTGGAAGCGGCCGGCCACCTGCAAGACACGCTGATCATCTTCACATCGGACAACGGCATACCGTTCCCGTCGGGCCGCACCAACCTGTACGACCCGGGGCTGCGGGAGCCGCTGCTCATCTCGTCGCCGGAGCCGGCCGCGCGCCGGAACGAAGCCTCCAGCGCCCTGGTCAGCCTGCTCGACATCATGCCCACGGTGCTCGACTGGTTCCGCATACAGCAGCAGCAGGAAGACACCAACGACATACTGTGGCACTCCGATAAACCGAAGAGTTTATTGCCTATTCTGGAGAAAGGTATACACTTTTCTAAATATATTATTTTCTTGATCGGTTAAATTTATTGAAGTTATAAACATAATGTTTATTTACTCTCAACCTGTATAAAACATACAATGTAGTTTTTTTTTAATGAAATTTAGAAAACGTAACGAGATGACTTCTTATATATATATATGTATAATAAGCTATGTGGTCCCGGCATAGAATAGGCCACCCCCTTCCTTTCCCATGGGTGTCGTAAGAGGCGACTAAGAGAGGTCGAGTGATGGGCAGCAGCGTGCCTTATAAAATATCTCTAAACTCTAACTGCGGTTGCCAACCCGCCTGCCAAACGAAGCAACTATTAGCAAAACTTACCTTAAGGGGAAGGGTTATGTTCAGCAGTGGACAGTTAACGGCCGAAATGATGATATATATAATGGGGAAATGTTGATCGTTGCATAATAGACATAAACATCACAGGATACACTGTGACGCCCATTGTATCTATCACGCGTTATCATTTATAAAAACTCAGGTGTAATCTATCACCAGATCGCTGTAATTTGTGCCATATCTTACTCTTCAAATCGAAATACAGCCGTGCAATCACAGCCAGCTGCTTGACGGCGGAAACTCGGGACTGAGGTGATCTAGGGTCTGAGGTCAAGTAGACTACTTTTTTTTACGATATACGCCACGGGCCCATTTTTTATTTTATTTTTTTATACAACTTAGAATGCCAAACAAGCTGATGGCCCACCTGATGGCAAGTGGTAACCGTCGCGTATAGACATGAGCAGTACCATGGACATAACATAGTATACTGTTTCGCCCATGATACCCCCCATGCGTTGCCATTCCTGAGGACTCAGGTGTTATTCCTCTGTACCCTGTAAATTCACGCCATATCCCACCCTTCAAACCGAAACACAGCCATACAAACACAACTGCTTCACGGTAGAAACACGAATGGGATAGAGGTGCCCAAGCAATCGACTTTTGTACAAAGTCTCCATCTTATGGCATGGTGAAATAAAGAACAATGTGATGGTCAATATATGTTTGGTTGCGTGCCCTGCTTAGAACCGCCTCCGAACGAGCGCGAGGCGGTGTTCGCGTCGCAGACGCACCACGAGGTGACGATGTACTACCCGATGCGCGCCGTGCGCACGCGCCGCTACAAGCTCATACACAATCTGCACTTCGCCATGCCTTTCCCCATCGACCAGGACCTCTACGTCTCGCCCACCTTCCAGGTAACATTAGCAGCTGTATGCAGCGAGCGCTTCGGAATAACGCCCGCAGTGGCTCCCACTAGACTTATTGTGACTTTATTGACCATTTGTAACACACATATATAGTTCGCCGTGTGGTCCCCGCATAGAATAGGACACCTCTTTCTTTCTCGTGGGTCTCGTAAGAAGCGACTAAGGGAGGGCGAGGGATGGGCAGCGTCCCTCTTAAAATATCTCTAAAGCCGAACTGCGATTGCCAATCTGCCTGCCAAGCGTGGCAACTACTGGCTAAACTCTCTAAAGGGGAGGCTTATTATCAGCAATGGACAGTTAAAGGTAAATGATGTTAGTTCATAAATTGAATTTAATGTTATATGTATAGCATCGTCTCTCTGCAAACCTAATTGAAAAATAGATTTTTTGCTATTAAAAATTGTAAAAAATATTAATCTGCCTAGGTATAATTATACATTATGACATATAACAACTGTTGTGTGTTAATGTACCTCCATATAATTTACTTTACTATGTTAATGCATGACTTCATAAACCGAATAGATTGAATATAAAATTGTTTGGTATACTCCCACTTTAATATAAGAGTACCTATCTAAATTTTAAGACCAGCCGCCTCTATTCTGTCTATTGTTGGTATACATTGGCGGACACCAGTGAGTGACAATGCAGTGGAAATGAGTTGGCGCATTATTACCAATTCCTTGGGGGAAAAGGAGTTGTTAGTAATGGGGTCTATTTTGCATATTACTGGCAATGCACCTTATCAGGTCGACCTCCACGCGGTTACCTCTAGAAACTATCGTAGTTAATTCTAGTGGAATTCGTCACAATGGGTTAACGGATCTGTTTCGTTCTCACCTATCATCTCTCACTGGTGTTCCGCCAGTGTATACCGATAGCGCAGGCGGAGTTACCATTTCATCATCGCCCTTAAAAAAAATATCTCCTCCCTCTGTGCGGGCAGGACCTGCTGAACCGCACGCGCAGCAAGCAGCCGCTGCCGTGGTACAAGACGCTGAAGCAGTACTACTACCGGCCGCAGTGGGAGCTGTACGACGTGCGCGCCGACCCCACCGAGACCAACAACTTGTACGGTACGGACACTCGCCCACCGGATTAGCTTTGAATACTGTTCTTACACTTACACACTTTTTTGCTAATTCGTAGCGTCACTTGTGGTCGCTTATTCGACTGATCAAGGCCTGCATGCACTTGCGCAGATATTTTTCATGTTTGTACTGTACAATATGCGAGTATTTGTTGCATGTTTACCATTGTTATTTGGGAAAGAAGGATTGCTAGTAATGGGGACGTTAATTCCCATTGCTAGTAATATCTTGTCAAATTAACTTCCATGCGGTTCTCCCTAAAAACCATTGTGATTGATTTTTGTTGAATCCGTCACGATGGGTTAATTGACCTGGTTTTATCCACACCTATTATCCCTCACTGGTACCCCGCCAGCGCATGGTATGGTAGCACAGGCGGGGTTACCCTTTCATCACGATCTATTAACAAGCATTGCTGCCGGTGTACGTTGGACAGGCAAGCCGTCGCTGGCGGACACGTGGGCGGAGCTGAGCGAGCGGCTGGCGGCGTGGCAGCGCGCTAGCCGCGACCCCTGGCTGTGCGCGCCCGCCGCGCTGCTGCGCCGCGGACAGTGTCGCGCGCTCGACAACGGACTCGGCGCCGTGCTCGACAGCGGACTTGGCGCCGCGCTCGACAACGGATTCGGCGCCGCGCTCGACGACGGACTCGGCGCCGCGATCGACAACGGACTCGGCGCCGCCCTGCACTAGGCACCTATACCCACCACCGCGCTGCCCGCTGGCGTGTACGTTGTTTCCAATTACACTATTTTAGCTCTCGACTTGCCACTATGTTAGGATTCCTTGAGATGATTAAGACTGCCTTTCTACTACTAAACGGGCCCAGCTACATATCTCAATGTTAAAGCTGAATGAAACCTTTTAATACTCATATTCACTATCTTGTTGAGTTGTACAATAGTTTTTAAGTTATATTACATATGAATATGGCGGGTGTTGAGTAACTATTTGGCCTATAACTCGAGCAGTTATTTAATTTATTACATTCCTTTTATAAAATAGAAACTAATAGGTATATTGCAAAACTCCTGCTTTTTAAATAAAAAAAAATGTACAGTTAAATTAAAAAGAACAAAGTATTTAACATGACATTTATTGATAAAATTACACAATCACAATAAATATGCTGTGATAATAAACACATTTCAAATATTAATAGATATAAAATTATTAATAGATTTAAAATTTTGTTATAAAATGAATCTCGTTGATAGTTTAATAATCATGGCATCTTAGATTAATCTATATATATATTGCATGTTTACTTATTCATATAAATAAAATATTGTTAACAAATTGTGGACTTCATTATACCGAGTTAGTACCCAATAAATGTTACGTATGAAATACTCGTGTTTTAATTCAATATTATCACATACAAAATGTTATAGTTCAGTTATCGTGCACGACACTTCAGACAATTCTACTATAATAAAATATGAACAAAAAAAAATTTTGCCGTAGGATAAATGTTAAAATAAATTAGAGACACATCAACAATAATGAAAATATCCCAACCGAGATCGGGCCACTCGGAGACATCGTTGATCGGGACTTTCGGCGACTCGAACGTCGCCGAAATGAACAAGTCATGTATAACATACAAGCAACGACTTCAATATCATAATGTACCATCAAGTTAGCTGTGAAGCTTCCTGAAGATACGAGTGGGGATGCGTTCCATCTGAAAACACCACGCCTGTATGCCTCATTATAAGTAGACCATTTATAGACGTATTGGAATGGGTGGCACGTCAATGGACGAGAAAATCCTAAAAACTAAATACATATCGTAAACAGATTTGATTACAGCCAGTAGAAGGGCCGATGGCAGGTATATATATATATTATATAAATATTAATAACTCTTTTACACTTAAATGATGACAATGGATTTGAATGACATTTGCTATACGGGTAGATTATATCCTTACATAATACACAGGAGACTTTATCAAATCACGCAGGCACAGCCGCGGGAACAGCCAGTGTGTTAATATAACAACAAATTTAACAAAATTATATTATGACAGCCTTGGCAAATATGTCAACAATCACTACAAACACAATAAAAAAGTCTCAATTCAATTGAGCCAAAAACTATAAAAATGCAGAGAAATGCACAGAACTTTAGTCAGATATGTCAGAGAATTAACAACTGGTGAGATTATAGTATACCTTTGTGTAAGAGAGATCATGAGATTAATGTAAAGTCCAAATGGTGTAAAGTTTCAGATCCACAAAGGTGCAGTATATACATATTTAAGTATGAGTAAGTACAAGTGTACATTGAATGATGCAGTGGTACCTAATCATATTTGTAATGTGCCATTTGCTGTCCAATAGTTTCTCCACATGGTATACATAGAACTTGGCAATAATGTGTTTGTTACTGTAGGCAAATTAATAGGTACATCGTTATTAATTTGTCTACAATTACACAAATACATCTCTAATAATCTTCATATAGTTCATCGAGCCGTTCTATCTTCATGGCCAAGTTTTCATCAATTGTATGCACCTTGTGCATTAACTTTTCTGTCTCCATAGTCTGAAATGTTCATAAATAATCAACAAAAGCAGGAATTATATAGATCTGATCATAAAAACACAGTATTCATTACTTAAGGCATGTAAGACGCTCTGTATGATGGGTAGTTTATATTACCATACATACATACATACATATCTGTCACGCCCGTCTCCCATTAGGGTAGGCAGAAACAATGGAACGCCAAATGCTTCGATTCAAACAAACCTTTTTCGCTTCTTCCACATTCATCAATCTTTATATTACCCTAGTAGTATAACCATTTTATTTTAATATATAATTTTTCACAATCAGTGTTCATAGGCACTTGGGACCTGCTCGATTTGCACATATTGCTGCACCACATTTTTCACCCTCTGCCCCCAGGAAATACTGACAGACGGACATATTAACAGGAACAACTACAGTGATTTCATGTCTCTGGCCAGAGGCGAAGGAGTGAATTGTCAAACAGCAATAAGTGATTTATGTACTATTACAAAACAGGTTATTAATCTGCACACTCAAAAAGAGTCCGAGGCCATATCAAGTGCTCTGATTCTACTCAGGTCAGCTGTCAAAGGACCTACCACTCAGAGATAACCACATTCATTATAAAAATGGAACATTAATAACTTACCATTGCCATAATATGATCAAGCCTCTTGCTCTTTAAGTAAATAGTTTTGATAAATAAGAGGAAATAGATATAGAGAGCGAGCACCAGCAGCAGAGCACCTGCTTTCATCTTAAATGACCAGTAAGAAAACATTTTGCTCTGAAAATTATAGTACTTTAATTATAAAATATTATTATTTTGTTGTTAGTATTAAGTTTAGGTTTAGGGAAAAATTTAGGACTCTAAAATAAGTGCCTGTAAGATTCAATAAATAAAAGATGCAATTTACATGCAGAATAGGTATGTCTCTACAGACTGTGATCTTACAAAGATATCTAATGATTACAAACCTCTTCTACACTAAACATTTTAAAATATGCTGCTTTTGACAATCAAAAATTTTCCATTATAAATAATATATAGGAAGTCTAAACTGAAATTATATCTGTGGTCAGATTAAAATATTGTTATAGGCATACATTGATGACATCTATAGTAGGTATGCACTGTAATTATGTATAATCCAACTAATACAAATGCCATAAAACTTACATATTCCTATAAGTTATTTTCTAATGATAAGAAGTTTAAATTATATAATTATGTATTACTTACTGGTTTAACTAAAACCTCTGGTGCCTGTGTAGTAGTCGCAAGTCGAGACATTCAGATTATGTGCAACTAGTAGTTGTTTATGTCAATAAAGTTAGAAGCGTACAAGAAAGCTTTTATTTTTTGTTAAAGTAAATTTCGTACCTATTGAATAACAAGAAATATAATTATAGTAATTAAATATTATTTATTATTGTGTCTAAATTACGTATTAATTCCATTTAACAGTCAAATTATGCATGCATTTGGTTTCTTGTAGTTTAGTTAGCAATGTTTACACTTCACTAAGCACACATGCTGATGTTTTAGACAAAGATTTATTATATTACAAAATACACAGTTACATATTCTCTTGTCTAAATAATAGTCATACTAACTATTTAACTATAGTGATTTATGGAGAATTCGAGTCACAAAAATTGCATTGACACGAAGACGTCGATATTGATCGTTTTGTTAAGAAGAGTACGTAAATAGGTACTTAAAAATGTCCCTAAGGTACCTATGTAAACACTCCGTTTTGTTTTGATTGATTGTTTTTGACAATTTATTCTGACTGGACTGCTGACAACTAATGTGAGTGACAACCTTGATATAGAATAGCCTACGTATATGGTTCCTTTTACTCGCTTTAATTGCAAATGACGGCATTTTTCTTAATTAACGCAATTGTGATTACGAAGGAACCATGCTACATAATACTAAATATTTTTGACAATACAATTACCTAACAATTGTTCAAGAAGAGTCAAGATTTTCGGATGTAGTATGCTGTCATCAATACGCCAACCCCACAGAATACTATACTAACCTTTGTAATCTGTGACTATTACTTATCTTTGCTTAAGACATAGTCTCTTTATTCTGTGTATCATAGTCTCTGTAATCTGTGATGTACTCTTTGCATACTAGGTATTTATTTTATTTCGTTTAGGTTATGTTATGCTACTCATAAAATTACTTTCTTCTTAAATTCAAACAGGATTATTGGTATAATGGCGACAAATTACGCAAAATATTCTCAATTAATAAATGCATCTACAAATTACGCTCGGCGCATGAAGCGACTTTCTAACAGAATCTTCGGGGAAGTGGCGATTCCAACTAACCCTAAGTCTATGAAGGTAGTGAAGATATTCTCCGAGAGGCCATTGCATACCAACGAGGAGATCATCCATTACTACCCGAAACATGTCGAGACCCATGCCTTGATACTTAAACTGCGGGACTATGGTTTGTTCCGTGATGAGCACCAGGACTTTAAAGATGAAATGAAGAGGCTCCGAGAGTTGAGAGGAAAAGTTAAAGTATGGAAACGGCACTTGGAAGAGAAAAAGGAATAGATTGTTATTTTTAGATTAGTGTTCTATTAGTAGATATTGTAAATAAATTATTAAATTAAGGTTTAATGTAGTTACTTTGAATTGCTCTGCAGACATTCCCCCAGGTGCACATTGGCTTATAAAAGCGTATACATACTGTCCAACCTGTCTTATAGCTAAAATCTCTGCTCCTTTTTGGAGTGGGTATGGCCTGCCCACCCCCTGAATACGCTTATGCAACCACCCGAGATAAAGGAAACAAAATGTACTATATTTAATTTTGTACATAAGCAGTCATAAAGTAATATTTTTGTTAAATAGTCATTAGAACTTTTTCTGTTTTGACAAAATAACTACAGCCCTGGTAGAGCTATAATAAAAAAATCACCAAATACTAGTGTTCCACCATCAGCTGCTAGGAGGGATATAGCCTACTGGTAGTGAGCAAACAAGATAGAATGGTTTTTTCAAGATTTTTTCTTGGTATAACATTTAACTTAGGTTCCCTTCCAACATCCTAGGGATGAAAGGAGTGCCGACTACACAGACAGAGCGATTGTTAGGTATAAAGACTTGTTACTGACATAATATATAGAAATAATTCTATTATTTAAAATCATTGATGACGCAATCAACATTAACATTTAAGTACATATTAAACGGTTCAGTTTCCTCTCGAATTATTGATGTACAACTAATAGCTGGCAAGACTGATCCGTGTCTTGAATTGTATAAGGTTTGTGATGACACCAGCACCACAGTAATTCAATTGGAAAAATAAATACAGTACAAACTAAATAGATCCTTCATTAAAATTTACACTGTCAAAGTTCTAATTTTGTTTATGACATACAAATTTGCATCAATTTTTTAACAAACATTTATACTTTGATGCAAGTAGAAAGGCTTAAACTGTGTCTCTTGGGGATGCGTATGTTCCCATATATTTACAGACAGTAACATATCATGTTAATAATATAAAACATACAAACAGGCAACTCATCACTTGTCTGTCTGCCTGTCAAATTTTTGCACCGTAAATGTCCCTTATAAAGGAAGGAAGGATGGTATATACAAAATTATTTTGAATTTGCAAAAAGGAGACTGTACAAAAGTCGATTGCTTGGGTACCTCTGTCCCATTCGTGTTTCAACCGTGAAGCAGTTGTGTTTGCATGGCTGTGTTTCGGTTTGAAGGGTGGGATATGGCGTGAATTTACTGGGTACAGAGGAATAACACCTGAGTCCTCAGGAATGGCAACACACGGGGGGTATCATGGGCGAAACAGTATGTGGTATTTTATAGTTCCTCACTAAGAGGTGTGAAATAGCAAATTAAAACATATGAAAAAATAGCCATCATTTATTTGATTAAAAAATCTTTCGTCAGGAAATAAATTGCTACATAAAATATTTTAACAAGAAATGCCTCAATTGCTTTACAATATTATTGTTGTGTGAGGTGTGTAGCTCGAGATCGCGCCAACCGCTCACAAAACGGCCGTAGGACGCCTACACGACGCTATCGGTCCACTATTAACATTACTCAGTACAAGATCCCAATTAAAATTGTCGACACATTTCTTAGGCGTAGTGGCGTTCAACACGGGCGTACGACGTCAAATCTTAATATTAAAGTCTTAAACAAATATTTCCGCAGACGGGAAAGCGAAACGAACCGTGCCCCCAGTGTCGAGCACTCTAGGCCGCAAACAACATTGAGATACATTACAAACCATAATTAAAATAAATTACATATTATTATTTATTATTACACATAATTATCGCATCAAATTATTACTAGGTGTGTTTTGTGAGCTCTGGGCAATCATAGCTGCTCTGTTGCGGCAAAGTAACACAGTTATGGTACAAACGATGTGACCTCTGCGGCGTCGACCGCGCCCGCCTGCACCGCGCAGCTGCGGCAGGCGGGCGGGCGGGCCGCTCGCGCCCACTGATCCACCGCGCGTATTTTTACAGCGTAACTTACGGGTCTATTGTGCAAAAACAAACGAACAGCGCCAAGTTCGCGGATTACACTCGGACAGGGACGAGCCGGGGCCGTCCGGGTCGCATCTCGCGCCGATCCCTACATACTGCAAGCGGAGCGTACTCCAGTAGAAAACTTGACAGAGTTACATATAAATTTGAACTACTAGTTAGAAGGAAATAAGGGAAAGAAAGATTTATTTCATATCACTTGCTAGACTACCATCACATGTGACGCAAACATTGTAGAAAAGAATAGTTGTGGAAGGGACAGTGTTCACTTGTGTGTGATGAAGATGTGGGTCGGCGGCGCTGGCCCGGCGGCGGCCCGCGGCTTCTCGACAATACTGGCTATACTCGATATCTTTACGCGAATATACATGTTCGCGATGGAGATCCACTTAAAACTATCGCACCGGCAGCGGGAGGGGAGAGTGGCGGCGGCGGCGGCGGCGGCGGCTGCGGCGGCGGCGGCAGCGGCGGCGGCGCCGGCCTCCTCTCGCCGCGGATTAAAGCTCGCACTCACTATAACAAGATGGCGGCCGCCGAGCCCGAGCCCGAGCCCGAGCCCGAGCCGCGGCGGCGCTCAGTCACACGCATGCAATGATCAGGACTAGGGCCGGCCGGCGCGGCGCGGCTAGATGTAGTCGTTGAAGTCGTCGATGGCGATGCGCTGCGCGAGGTCAGGCGGGCCGTATGGCTGCACGGCGCGCGCGGCCGCGAGCCGGTCGTCGAGGAGGCGGCCCCGCAGCCGCTTGATGATGCGCAGCCGCTCTAGCGAGTTGGACGCGTACGGCGCCCCGCCCACGTTCAGCGACCGCGAGATCTGCGCCGCCAGCTGCACACATACACACACACACATTAATCGATTTGATAATTGTACTGTAATAAGATACACATATGTAGATTTGGAATCGCGGAGGGTAGAGGGGCGCAAGATACTAACGGAGTCGCGCCATGAAAAAAGATTGAAAAACACTGCACTATTGGACACTTCATGATAAAATTGTTGAGGAACGATTTCTGAATTAAAATGTCAGGTGGCGCCACGCAATATTAATATATATATCTCCATGTTTTACATTAAAATATATTTTAACCATAATAAAAATTTGATTCCACGGTTTGCATATGACAATAGTATATAAAATACTATACTGTAAACAGTGTACTAACGGAGCAATGTAGCGCGATCTGGCGGGCGAGCAGCGCCACGTTCTGGTCGGAGATGCACTGCGTTTCGAGGTGCGGCAGGAACTTGGTGCGGATCACCTCGTCCTTGGTCTTCACCAGCACGCGGTTCATGCCGTGCTCGTACGGCTCCACCACCACTATGCAGAAGTTGAACTGGCCCTGCAACCGACGCGCCGCACCCTTACTGTTACGTCCACATCATGGGAGCATCGTGGCTCACTGGTATAATACATAGTCAGAACGTTGGTTTCCTATGACAGCAAACGTTGCGCGAACACTCGGCGAACAAATACAAATTTTTTTACACAACTTAGAATAGCAAAACAAGCTGACGGCCCACCTGATGGAAAGTGGTAACCGTCGCCTGTAGACATGAGCAGTACCATGGACATAACAGAGTATACTGTTTCGCACATGATACCCGCCATGCGTTGCTATTCCTGAACACTCAAGTATTATTTCTCTGTACCCTGTAAATTCACTGCCATATCCCACCCTTCAAACCGAAACACAGCCATGCAAACACAACTGCTTCATGGTTGAAACACGAATGGGACAGATACCCAAGCAATCGACTTTTGTACAAAGTCTCCCTCTGGTAGGTCACAAAATTTTTTGTATTGTCACGTAATAGTTGTCACAAAATGTATACGTAACTACATAACCTTAGGTTTTATAGATAGAGCATTGAGTGTCAAAAACGTGTCAAAATTGACATTTGGTTGACACAATTTGACAAATATTGTTTTAAACGTGTCATTTCTTTCAGTGTTGCGAGTAAATTACTTATGGGCGAAAGCACCTAGACACCAGCTTGAACACTTCGACTCAGTGCAACGTCGAACTATGAGAATTGTCGATGATCCTAGGCTAACAAGCGGTATCGAACCCATCCATCATCATTGAGGTTCTAAGGTATGGGGATGAGTTCCATGTGGATGGCGAGCTGTATGGTGGTTGAAAGTGGCTGCGAGCATCATATTCTACAATTCGTCAGAGGACAGTCAGCTGTAGAGTAGCTGCAGTGTGGCAAAGTTTCTCCTAAAACTTGAGGACAGCAATACTTGACGTGGGGCTGGATTTGCGATTTATAAAACATTAATCGTTGATCTGGCTTGAAATATTGTTTTATTAAGTACAACAAGAAATAACACATTTACAAATAATTCAGAGGTAGTAATTAAAAAGTAAGGTGATATAAAGTAACAGGGAAACAAACAACTCCCTTTCACATTTACGGGTATAAAATTAGTATGTATTACTTATACATACTATACGTTAGAGGGCGGTGGTGTGCGCGAGCGGAGCGTTACCTTGATGGTGTGAATGTTGAAGTCTGCGCCGGAGTCGTTGTACACGATGGACACGTAGTCGTTGCCGATGTACTTGCGCTTCTCGTTGCACGTGGGGTCCTTCGCGCACGTCGGCATCGCCGTCGCCACGTGGAACAGCACCTGCGCACACGCACGCACACACACGCGTCACCATATACCTGCCACCAGACAGACAGTGGCGACAGAACACGCCGTTCCATGGGTCACCATTCCAGAGGATTGTGGTGTTGTGGCTTCATCATACCGAGATCGAACACTCGAAATAAAACTCTTTAACACGACACCTAGCACAGCGTCGAAAGCGTTTTTTTTATGGTTCCAATAAATACATTTTAATTTAATTTATATCGAAGTGCGGCAACATCGCAAATATCTGTCAATTATAAAAAACAATGAAATATTTTTCAATGTTTCATATCATCATCATATCGGTCTTTAACTATCCACTGCTGTGCATAAGCTTCGCCTTAAGGGGTTCTGCCAGTAGTTGCCACGTTTAGCAGGCGGATGTGCAACCAGTTAGGCTTTAGAGATGTTTTAAGAGGGACGCTCATCCTTTGCTCTCCTTTAGCCGCCTCTTACAGCAGCCACGGGAAAGGAAGGGGGTGGCCTATTCTATTCCAGGACTACACGGTCGAAGTTAAAAATGAAGTCTTTCATAGTAGACTTGTATGTACAATATTATTTTATGTTTAACGTTGCTACAATAATCGCCACACTTCACAGCCTAAATGGTCGCGTACAGCGAGGTTTCAGAGATGTTTTCTCCCACGAACACTCAGGTTATGGAATGAGCTCCCTGCTGAGATTTTCCCAAGAGACTACAGCATGGGGTTCTTGAAAAAAGGGGGTAAAGAGGTTTCTAACCCTTGGTATTGCAGGCGTTCATAAGCTACGGTAATCATTTACCATTAGGTGGGCCGTATGCTTGATTGCCACCTCAGTGGTATAAAAGAAATCGGAAAGTAAAAATTGTGAATGCTCTTAAGCAGAGGAGATGAGACGGTCCGTGTGTGAGTGGCGTGCACGAGTACTGCACTGGCGGTGCACCTGCATGACGTCGTCGTGCCACACGTAGGTGAAGTGTCCGTCGCGGCCGCCGCGCTCCATGTTGAGGAACAGGTGCGGCTGCTCGTCCGCGCCGCCAGCGCCACCTGCCAGCGGCACCAGCGCCCCCAGCTGCGACAGGAACTCCGCGTACCTGCCGTACCGACAGATTGTAACATGTGTCGGCTCACCCTACCACCAGATCACGCAAGGACAAGCCACCTAGCACGAGAAACACGAGTGGCACGGAGCTACTTACTCGGGTACACGAATCTGTATTTCTCTTCCCTTTTCAAATATATTTAACAAGTATTAGTCACTGACGTATCTACGTATCTTTAATGCGATCGCATTTTACACGAGAGAAGAAAACTTACCTCACGCTGCCATATTCATTTTTTAATATTAATACTTCGTTGTCTTGTTGTCCGGGGCCCACGTACAGCACTCCCACCTGGGAAATCGGTATGCATTAAATAAGTATACAATAATTTAGAAATAATGCCCATGTACATTAACTGGAACGGCGATTTAAGTCATTTTTAATCGATCTCTACTATTGAAAATAGTCATCATCAAGAAAAAAGATCTAACTGAAAGGTGTTCATGAATTAAGCGCTTTATATCGCTTGATTCCCGACAACCGCAGCCGTACCGACCTTGTATGTCTCGAGCGGCGGCACCAGGTCGAGGTTCTTGATCGTGCGCTCGTGCTGAACGCCTACCACCCGCAGCGGCCGCTCCGCTAACGGGTGTAGGCTCGTCGGCGCCTCGCCTGCCATAACGCGATACGTTCAATACTTGCATTAGCTCATTGACACACTAGTATACGAATGAATTAGCGAGTTTGCTACTAGATGTCACTTTGTAGAATTAATACTTTAAAGACAAGTGTCCCTACGAGCCGACCGACATAGAACAGAAATGTTCTTTTTTAAATTAAAAGCTTCAAAACTTGGATAGAAATAAGACTCTTTGAATATCGAACGACGCGGTCGTAGTTTGTACTGGGAACTGGTATTTGCAGCCGGAAGTGATGAGAAGGGCGGTGACGGTGACCTGGGACGGGCGGCATGATGGGGTAGGTGCTGATGTTGTGGTAGAGCTGCAGGAACACGAAGGAGGGCGTGATGCCGCCGCCGCCGCCGCCCACCGCGCCCGCCGCGCCGCCCGCCGCGCCGCCCGCCGCCGCGCCCGCCCCGCTCCGCAAGCTAGTCCCGTCCCTACAAAAATACAATTTCAAATCGTCACTGGCTCACGAGCCTGCCTGTTGCGCGTGGGTGGCCTTTTTTTTAACGTCTTGAAAGTGCTTTATGCAGACCCATACACCTTGTCGGAGGTGAATGGGTACTGTGGGAATCCCCCCGTAAGGTGGGGGTGTACCCACCAAAAACCAGACGATATAGCCTCGAGATGCCCTATGTCGGAGACATGGGTTCGCTTTCGCACTCACCACACCTCCGACGGCAGCGAGCCGCCCCCTGATGGTAAGAGCAGGTCTCCTCTCTCAAGATAGGGTGGCTGGCGTGCTCACCCTACCACTCGGGGTATATCCCCCGATGCGCGCTGGTGGCTGCATGGCAGGGCGCGTGCTTACCGGCGCCTGGTGGGACTCATGACGGAGATGGTGTGCGAGCGCTTGGAGCGAGACAGCGGCGGCAGGTCGTCGCGGTCGGCGGCGGCGGCGGCGCTGCTGCTGCCGGCGGCGCTGCCGGCGGCGGCGCGCGGCGCGGCCGGCGGCTTGCTGCTGGCCGACACCGTGCTGTCGCTCGCCGTCTGCGGCACAGGCACACACGCACTGCTTACACCACTTCGACACATTTATATATTCATCTCTACAATGAATGCGTCGGTCTAACAACAAGGAATTACATAGAAGGAATGATAAAATAAAAAAACTGTGAATCATATGGTTGTCTCCTTTCTTCTTATGCAAATATAATTAGTAAAAAGAGGACGAAAGATAAATCAGTTGCTATTTTTTTTATTCATATCAGACTAGTGTATAGAAAATGTTTGATATGTCAATTATTTGTCAATGACAAATTTTACATTACTAGATTATATATTCGACACAGTTTATGTAGAAAGTATGCAATGCAAGCAAGTTGTATCTGAATTTGGTAGGATTATATGGCCGTATAACATTTTCTATACACTAGCCTGCTATGAATTGACAATTTTATCACTCCTATGTAATTCTTTGTTCTTAGGCGTCAACCGAACGCAAGATCCGCCTCGTTTTAAACGGCCATCGCAACTTATAAATGTTAGCAACACTGAAGGCATCGACATAAACACCTTGAATGACATTGGCCAGTAATTTCACTGCTGTATGTTACGCTTTAACAGGAACACGGCGCACGAGTACACTGTACACGATGCGGGTTCCTGCTGGCATCGATAATCATCAGGTAAGAGATACCCACACATACTAAAGTTGCTCTTCACGAAACCTATATATTGATTTATGACGTCATATCTCAGTATAAATGAAGTGGCTTTTATCTTAATATAGCTTAATATGACATCAGTATGATCAAAATTTATAACTTTTTATTTATTATAGATGTGTGTATATGTATGTATATATGTATATGTGTGTATATGTAGGTATGTATATATTTTGCATATATAAAAACCGATCAATTGTGTCATTACGCAAATGTGAAAACGATTCATGGCTTAACATAGATATAAATTTGATTATGTATTGACTGTAATTCAACTGTACGTTTTTCAAAAAATAAATATATAAATAAAGAAAAATCAGCGTAAGTACTGATCTAAATTATAATCATTCTCATCCTTTAAGCGTTTGCCATTAATTATAAACGCCATTCCATACCGTATATACCAATCATTAGCAACACTTTATTCAGCCATCACACTTGTCCCAATACGAACATCCACCCCTCCATCCATCCACTCTTTTTGAAAATAAGTATGCAGTAAGAATATTTAATTGTATAATAATATCAATTGTTTATTACTGCTCTCCATCCAAAGGTTGCCTGCAAGAGATCGCTCTTAGCAATATGGCCGCCCATTGTTTTCTCACTGTGGTCATTTCTTGTAATTGTTTGTATCTATAATAAGTTTACTATTGTAATCATTTGGGGGAAACAATAAAGAGTATCTATCTACCATATAGAAGGAACAATCAGTGGCACATACCTTTTGGAGCTGATGATGCGCACCCTCTGACCCTGAACCTGTACAAACACGAATTCAGTTCAGTCACCTCATGTATGATGATGCAGGATAACACAGTTAACGTTACACGTGGCTGATACTGATAGATTAGTGTCAGGACATGACACCTTTATACAAAGTATTTACCAGAGGGAGACCTTGTACAAAAGTCGATTGCTTGGGTACCTCTGTCCCATTCGTGTTTTAACCGTGAAGCAGTTGTGTTTGCATGGCTGTGTTTCGGTTTGAAGGGTGGGATATGACAGTGAATTTACTGGGTACAGAGGAATAACACCTGAGTCCTCAGGAATGGCAACGCATGGGGGGTATCATGGGTGAAACAGTATACTCTGTTATGTCCATGGTACTGCTCATGTGTATAGGCGACGCTTACCACTTTCCATCAGGTGGGCCGTCAGCTTGTTTGCCATTTTAAGTTGTATAAAAAAAAAAATGTATAGCCTTCGGCGAATATCTATTGGTAATTCTGAATTGACTTGCAGTGGATGGGCCCGATACCACCATGGGGTGGATAGTTGCCCTACCGATGAATAGAATAGAATAGAATAGAAAATCATTTATTCAAATAAACTTACATTGAAGCACTTTTGAAAAGTCATTACATTTTTTTTTAATTTACCGCTCGTTCGGAAAGCTGTCTCATCACAAGAAGAACGAGCAAGAAACTTGCGTGATGCTCTTTTAAATAATTTTATTATTATTTTACATTTTTAAGTTATATTGTGTGAATACAAACCACCAATTAGCACTAATTCAATTAAATACTCAAAAAGAAAAAAAAAAAAAAATTGAATACATAACCAACTGGTTAAACAATTAATAAGAGGAAATCAGTCATAGTGATTAGAGCAGACCAGTCCCTACAAGCAGCACCCGTTCACGAGTATGACGGATGAGCCAGCCATCACTGCGCTCGACCATATTTTAGGGAGCCCAATGACCCGGCCCACCACGCCGCCACAAGTCTGGACATTTTAGTGAGCATGACTACTCAAAACACTAGACCACGTCAAAGCTACTCACAATTGCCATCTGATAGTTATAGTATTCACATTTTACATAAGAATGCATGCGGCAATTAAAACAAAAAACCGCTACGCTATCATATTTCTAAAATTAATCAATTAAATCAAGAAAGCAATGAGAAAATAAAATTATAACGTTGTATGCTAATAAACTAATTATTTACTTGATATGTTGTCATCTATGAATTCGTCTATCCTGTAATAGGCTTTCTTACATAAAAATTGTTTAATATAAGATTTGAATTGCCTCTCTGTCAGATTTAATGCAGATTCCGGCAGTTTATTATAAAATCTTATGCAATTACCATAGAATGAATTACTGATTTTGTGCAGACGGCATTTAGGTAAAATAAGCTTATTTATATTGCGTAAGTTTCTACTTGTACAGTCTTTGAGTTTTTTAAAACTCGCTAAGTTCTTCCGTGTATACATAATATTTTCATAAATGTATTGTGAAGTAACTGTGAGGATATTTGAGTCTTTAAAGCACTGACGTAATGACTCTCTTGAACCCATACCATAAATAGAACGTATGGCTCTCTTTTGTAAAACAAATATAGTATTTATATCGGCTGCTTTACCCCACAGCAGTATGCCATAAGACATTATGCTATGGAAATAACTAAAATATACAAGTTTAGCCGTCGCCACGTCTGTTAATTGCCTAATTCTTCTAATTGCATATGCAGCAGAACTGAGTCTACTGGCCAATTTTGAAATATGGGGCCCCCATTGTAATTTCGAGTCCACTGTTATACCTAAAAAAACTGTATCATTAACAAAATTTACTATTTCGTCATTAAGCAATAACTGTGTATTTATTAGTCTTACATTAGGAAGTGTAAATTTTATACACTTTGTTTTGCTGGAATTTAATAATAGGTTATTACATGTAAACCAATTTAATATTGCAGACATAGCACAATTTACATCGTCTAATTGATTACTTTGACGTCCAATTTTAAACACTAACGAAGTATCATCCGCAAACAGCACTATATCTGCAATTTTTTCTACCATAAAGGGAAGGTCATTTATGTAGATTAAAAAGAGAAAGGGGCCTAAGATTGACCCTTGTGGAACGCCCATCTTAATATTAGCTCCCTTAGATTTTACACCGTCAATATCTACAGTTTGAACCCTATCCTCTAAATAAGTTCTCATTAATTTTAGATCATTATCTCTTATACCATAATGTTCGAGCTTGTACAAAAGCGTTTTATGATCCACACAATCAAATGCCTTTGATAGGTCACAAAAAACTCCGAGTGCATCCTGTGACCTCTCCCAAGATTCGAAAATATGTGTCATTAGCGCAACACCTGCGTCAGTGGTAGACTTGCCGGCGGTGAAACCATATTGCTGACTGTGAAGCAGTCCGTTAACCCTGAAGTGATGTAACATTTGATTTAACATTATCTTTTCAAACACCTTACTTAGAACTGGCAAAATAGATATAGGTCTATAGTTCCCTGGCTCAAATTTATCTCCTGATTTAAATAGTGGGATTAATTTGCTAAATTTCATTAAATGTGGAAAAACGCCATTATCAATACATTTATTAAAAATAGTGGCTAGATATGGAGCAACAATATCTATGAAAGAACTAACTACTTTTACAGACATGCCCCAAAGGTCTTCCGTATTTTTTAAATTTAGCTGTTTGAATATTTTTATGATATGAAAGGGGCTAACATGTGAAAATTTAAATCTTAAAGAACAACAACCGATATTAGTCTCTAGTAATTTTTTTGCTCGAGATTGAGATGAGTCCAGAGAAGATGTAATATCAATCGGAATATTAGCAAAAAAATCTTCAAAAATATTAACTACATCTTTTGTTGTTGATATTAATTTATTATCATAATTTAATGTAAATTGATTACAGGCTATTTTAGATCTTCCAGTTTCTTTATTTATAATGCTCCAGATGGTTTTAATTTTGTCAGAAGACTGCTTAATTTGTTTATTAAAATAATTAGACTTAGCCATAATACAAACTTTTTTAAAAATTTTAGAATAATTTTTTACATAAGTGGTGAATTTGTCATCAAATCGATATTTTTTTTGATCGTATAAATCAAACAAAATATTTCTACTTTTAAGTATTCCTACTGTTGCCCATTCCGTGAATTTAGATTTAACATGAACTTCTTTTTTCTTGAAAAAGTGTTCATATTCTCCGGATAAAATATTAATTAGCTTGGTGTAAAGATAATCAGGATTATTACTAGATTGTAACAGCAAATCCAATTTATTTTTAATCGCGCTTTTGTATTTATTAATATTATAAACATTTATTTGTCTTTTTGATTTTTTATTATTGTTGACTTTATTGATTTGACTGCTAAACTTAACAACTTGACCACAGTGATCTGAAGGAAGTTTATTTATTATGAATTTTTCTGTATACTCGCAGTTACAAAAAACATTGTCAAGACAAGTAGCAGACGTGGCAGTTACACGAGTGGGTTCATGAAAGACATGACATAAATCAAATGACTGAAATAAACTAATAATTTTTGTACATGTGGGTGTGTTACAAAGAATATCAACGTTAAAATCTCCACATACAATAATTTTTTTAATACTATTAAATACTTTTTTTAAAATATCCTCCATCACCCCTTCAAAAACATTGTAATCACTATTAGGAGGCCTGTACACACATATAAGGATATAATTTTCTAGTTCTATACAAGATAATTCTATACAACACTCAATAGAAAGTCTAACAATGTCAGCACGTTCCTTTACTTTAATATTATTTCTTGCAATTATCATAGACCCGCCTCTGTTAACTGACTTTCTATTGAAGCAGCTGACAACGTTATAATTATTTAAATTGAACATCATATTGCTTTCTTTAAGCCAATGTTCTGTGAAACAGACAATATCAATATTATACTTTTCTAAAAATAATTGTATAATTAACTCGCTGCCAGGAAAACTTTGTATGTTCTGATGAACAATTATTAATTCTGATTGCTTTCCCTTTGTCTTTGTGAGCAGTTTAAATCTGCAGTCATAGTACTTATGTCACAAATATTAATAGAATTATCTGTTATGTCAGCATTTTTATGTTTAAGTTTACCATGTAAACTGTTCATGTAGTCAATATTATAAGCCACTAAAGTGGCTATTTTATTTTTAGATGATTTAGAAAGATACATTGTATCTTTTGTCAAATAAAAATCACTAATAAAACTATTAGTATCAAAAAATGTCAAAATGTCACTATGACGACATGTCAATGTATGTAATAAGTTATTCAGGTAATGTACCTTACTGTTAATTTTTTTATGAAGATGTCTATTTGTGTAAGGAAAAGCGCACAATACAATCTTATACACATTTAATTGTAATAAATATTCAATTCCTTTAATTACATCCTGCCTATTTAATTGAATACTATTACCAAAAAATAACACAATTGTGGTCATATTGTTCATTTTCGTAGACTTAATTTTATTTATTATTTGTGTAAATGATGCTTCTGGCATGCAGTAGTTTAATAAATCACCCTTAAGATGATACTTCAATATAGACCCAAAGTTACAGCCTATTCTGTCAGAGAACACCATTGTGCTACTCTTAGGGTTACAGTCACTGGCACAAACACCCTGAACTTCATTTTCCAGCACAGTTACAACTGAATTATTATTTGATATATTTGTGTGATTACATGTACAATGCTTAGTCAACGACTCAAAACGGTCAGCATTGTATTTACTGACATCAATCAGATCATCCATTGCTAAAATATGCTCCTGGATTTGTTTCTGAGAGATAATATACTTTGTATTTAAATCATGAAGCGAAGATTCTAAACTATTGATTTTTGAAGTTAGGTAGTCTGTATCAATGTCATATAACTTTTGGCTTTCCACTAACTTATTATTACACTTATTAATGTAATCATGCAATTTTAAATTATTCAAAGTGGTTTTTTTCAATAATTGTCCCTTTTTGCAACGCTTATTTAATATATTCCGATTCTTAATTATAAACTTTTTTAGTTTTAAATATTTTTTAAATTTATTATTACTCAACATACAAATATTACTGTTATAGTTGCCTAATTTAGGTGATGTATCACTAGTAAGGTCAATTACAACAGGATGGGTGCATGGAACTGTAGTAGAAGGAGGCACACAGTCAACACTAATAAGTTCCTCATATAAATTACTAATCTCATTACTTTGTCGAGATTCCAATCTTGTGTCTAGATCATTGATTTTAGAATATGCCTGCTTTAACTCAAGTTCCAATTCAGTGATACGCCTCAAGGCTTGCTCATGAGTGTCACTACATTGATGAAAGCTACTTATTAGTTCTTGAAGCTGATCCCGCTGCTCAATAACTTCCTGATGGCTATTATGAAGTTCTGACAATTCTGATTTTAATTGGGTATTTTTATTTATAATTTTTAAAATTTCATCTTCACTCTCTTCTCTCTCCCTGATCAACTTGTCACTGAGATCTTTGGATGCCTGAAGTTCTTGTAGGGCCACTTTAAGCTTCATCTCTGTCTGCCGTGCAGTTGTGGAACGGGTAGATAGTGACATTATTGAATATATGAATAGTTACTAGGGAGAGTGAAGTGAGTTATTTCTAAAAAAAGTATCACAACGAGAACAGCAACTGAACCTTACTTATTTTATGTGTTAAAATTTTGAATAATTCTTGTTAGGTATATTTATACGACCTATATTTTACAAGATTAAGTAAATGGAATTAGATTGTGCTCCTTTCCTTCAAATTACATTAATATAAAACATAAAATTACTTACAATATATTTTGTGGGTATATTTTTTCCTTCGACGTACGCAACAACTGAACTTCACAATTATTAATATCAATTTAACTTGATGTGAATATTGTCTATAAAACTTGTATATATTATGAAATTCTTTGAATAAGTCCAACAAATAGTTATAAAATAGTTTTAAAATTAGTTGTTTACCAACGAAAGAAGTTTGACAGATGGCCGGTGCACTATTTTAATGTCGATTTTTGCAAATAATACACTACCAAATTGTACACAAACAACAATCGACACTTATTGCACTATTATATCACTAATAACGATGTCGAAAATATAATATTCGTGTGATAGACTATTAAAAATTATTTATTTATTACGGCCAGCTGAAAATGACAACTGTCGTTGGTGTTGCTAGTCGAAGAAAAAGTATTATCACTCTATTATTTTTAGAAAAAGTCACAATATTATAAAAAAAAAATATAGTCACCCGGGTCGGAGTTGTAGGTCATGAGGTGCGGATGATGCGACTGCGGCTGCTGCGGCTGCTGCGGCTGCTGCGGTTGCGGCGGCGGCGGCTGCGGCGGCTGCAGCGGTTGGTGGTGCGGCTGGTGGTGCTGGTGGTGGGGCGCGAGCGGCGAGGTGCCGGACATCTCCTCGGGGATGGCCTCGCACGACACGCGCATGTCGCTCTTCTTGGCCGCCTTCTTCGACGCGTGCATCGACATCGACGTGCTCCTGCGCACGCGCACACGCCCCGTTACCACTCGCCGCCCGCTGCCGCTTGTATACTTGTATAGCTCGCTTTAGAACCTTAACTACTGTCATATATATGGACTACGCCTGTATTCCTAATACATATACATGCTCATGTAGTTCCAAAACTCGACCATGTTTTGAATGATATTCTAGTTTGAGTATTCTAGGTGAGTCTATTTGCCATTCCCAATGGAAACGTGTACATTTTGCTACGAAGTTTTTTGCTACAAGGTAAAACGGCAAACTTTAACTATCACAAATTATATATATATATATATATATATATATATATATATATATATATACATGAAAAAAAAATGTATATATCTTTATATGTAAACCGAGCACTTAAATATACCACTATGGCTAAATCATATTTTTGGAATACACTATACAGGCTTGCATGCCCAGTGTGTAATTCGTAGAGTTAATTATCAATGTAAAAGTGTTTTTGGGAAATAAATATATTATTTCATTTCATTTCACGTTACTTAAAAAATATAATTTGATTATTTAGATCTTTTTTTTTATAAAAAAAAAAAAACTCAAGGGTATATACGGATTGTGTGAGATAGAATGCAGCCGAGGCGGCGAGGAGGGTACGTACGCGGGCTCGCAGCTGGGCAGCAGGATCATGTCGTCGCCGTCGCCGTCGCCGTCCGGCGGCAGCTCGCGCGCGCCCTTCCACGACGACGACATCTCCGGCGACGAGTTGGACCGCCGCACCGGGTGCCGCGACTTGCCCTGCCGCACCGTACACGCTACACCTAGTACACACTACTCGCCATGGCTACATTTACACCGTTATGTCGGCCATGAACACTTCGATATTAATCGCGAATGGAATGTACATACTTGAATACACATTGTTTCTTTTGTGATACTTTACCAAACTGGGACTGAAGCGAGAATATATTCGGCGCGGTTCCCCCTGAAAACCATCGTGGTTAATTCTAGTGGAATTCGTCACGATGGGCTAACTGACCTGTTTTCATTGTCATCTATCATCCCTCACTGGTGCCCCGCTAGCGTATACAGATAACGCGGGCGGGGTTACCATTCCATTATCACCCATGAAAAGATGCGATGGCCACAGTAGCCGGTAGCGGGCGTGCGTTGCCGTTCAGTCTCACCTCGGGCACGATGAGCAGCATGTCGTCGTCGTCGGTGGTGCTGGACGAGCTCTGCCGCTGCGGCGAGCCGGGGATGTTGATCGGCTGCGTGCTCATCCTGCGCACATCACATCACATCACATCACGTCACAGCGGCTCGCGCCACTGTACACTTCTCTCCAGTAGAATAACGTACAATAACGTGCACGCATTGAAAACGTTACTCTTATGTTAATAAAAAAAAAAAAAACGCAATCATTAATATATTTAGTTTAAAATGCTCATTTTAAGTAACCAAGAAACTTATTAATAAAAAACTTGTTTGGTATTTCTTTCTATGAGTTACTTCAGTAAGAGAAAATACAACGCGACAGGATTCATAAGAGTTTATTGATTGAAGCTTCAAAAATAAATTAGTAGGTTTGCTCATTTTATTTTAATAGTTTAGAAAGGGATGCAATTTAATTAGGTATTAATAGGTAGTGGGTTATATCGGCATGGCAGGCTTGACCCGGTGTGAGTGTGGCGTGTGACGGGGGTGGTACCTGAGGTGGTGGGGGGGCAGGATGCAGTGCGAGGCGGCAAGCGGGGGCCGCCGCTCGCCCGCCACCACCGAGTCCGAGCTGCGCATACACCCGCCGCATCAGTACTCATACTCGCTCTTAATATTAATATTATACTGCAAATAACCTTTTCTCAAACATGCTTGGTAATGTGAGCATTATTTTGACAATCTTCTTCGAGATAAATCAAAATTGCCGTACTGGTCAGGTACATGCGGGCAGCGGCCGGCAAAAGTTGTATGAAAATCCATATCTGTCGCGTTTTGCGGCCAGATAAATTAATATGTAAACTCATATTTGTCCTGTGATTTAAAAATGGAATGACCTTTTACTTCGAAACATGGCTACCAAGGAGGTAACTAATACAAGGTTTTATTTAAATTTCGAACTGACTTACAAATAGAAAACTGTTTATTGAAAAAAAAAAAACAAAGGAACATTATGGCGCGTGAAAAATTATGATTGTCCGTTATTCGTCATTGAACTTAAAAAGTAAAATTGTGTTTTTGATTTCCGCGCATTGTTTGAGAAAAGTATTATACAAGCCTTGGCCACAACTAGACATTGATGGACACACGTATGTGTGCCTCGGCTACGCCTCGGCCCACATTTACACGTTCGTCCATCAATGCCTCAGTTGCTGGCCGCTGCAGTAATGTACCAATACGAGCAGTTCATTGAAACGACTACATGATATTTCGTTTCACTTTTTACACTTGTCCCACTACTTCTATACTATAATGTACAGGAATCTATTCATATAAATTATGTGTATGTACATTTAAAACTATAGATAACACTTATACACGCCTACAATGGAGGACCAGCATAAACATAGTGGGCAGGCTGTGGGTCATTATACTATCCTGAAAATTTGATATTCATCGCACTTTGTTTGAGTGGCGGCTCGATCGGCGGACACAGGGCGTACCTGGACTTGTGCAGGTCGGGCGGCGGCGGGCCGGGCGGCGGCGCGCGGCTGGTGGCCGGCGCCCCCGCGGACCCGCTGCGGGACCGCGGCTCGGCCTCCGACTGCAACACGCGCGTGGTAATTACAGTACTACAGTTGGGGATCATTATATCATGGTATCGCATACTCGTAGCAGGGAGCGCGGTACTAACGACGTCGAGGCGCGAGTCGCCGATGCCGCTGGAGGCGGAGGAGGGCGGGGCGGTGGTGGCGGCGGGCGACGGGCACGGCGCCAGCAGCGCCGCCACCTCCTGCAGCGGCGACTCCAGCATGTAGTCCCAGCTCATCTGCACACCGCACCAATTTTATTGTCTCTATGCATTTACAACCTAGTTATAGAGCACAAGTGTAAAAGCCATTGCAGGATTGGTGTATTCTTTTATGTATTTACTGTTTTAAAATGAATTAATAATATGCCATGAATATTGATCACTGCTGCGTATAATGAAGCGTTTTCAGCGGTAAAGCCAATGGACGACTGCTAAGTTATCAATAGACAATCACACACAACATCAACCAGTCACAGGAGTAGCTCATCACGACAACGCGAGAACGCCAATCATAACGCAGGAGAAAATTACGTGAGTTTTCAGGTTTCAAACTGTAACTTACTTGCAAAACAAACTTCAGCGCATTACATCCAATTTATCTTCAATACAACGCTTCAAAATTATTTATATTTATTTACTCTAGTTTAACCGCTTCAAATACTAAGTGTATTTATTCATCATCATCATCACCTCATCCGTTCATCATCAAAACGCAAGCGCGTCATCATCATTAAGAGTAATGGTTGTGAGGCCGTTCAAGCGGCGTGAGTAGGTGCGTGTGCGAGTGCGTGTGCGTGTGCGTGTGCGTGTGCGTGTGCGTGTGCAGCGGGCGCGCGCACCTGGTTCTGCACGCGCACGAGCCAGGAGACGTCGCCGGTGGGCGAGCGCACGTGCACCTCGGCCCACGCGGCCGCCCAGCACGCGCAGCACGCGCTGTTCGTGCTGCTGCCGCCGCGCGCCCAGTCCGTGTCCGTGTCCTGCCATGCGCACGCCACACTCTTACACCTCACCACTCCACTGCTTACTAGTAACAAGCTCCTACAGTCCTATCGCTAGCTAATAAACCATATCAGGTCAACCTCTACGTCTCCCTGGAAACCAACGTGGATAATTTTTGTCGAATACGTCGTGATGGTCCAGGTGACCTACTTTTATTGTCACCTGTCATCCCTCACTGGTGCTCCGCCGGTGTATGTCGACAGCGCAAGTGGGGTTACCGTTCTATTATCATCCACTAAAAAAAACCCCATAACTGCCTTACATAGAGACAAAAATTTATTTTCAATTACTGTAACCGAGTTTTCTTTTTATCTGTCAAAGTACTATATATATATATAGTTATATAATAGTCTATTCTTTGACACACACCATTTGTGTCACTTTATATTTTCTTTCCTTATGTTTTTTTTCTTTTTTTGTTTTATATATATTTACTTGTATTAGCTTAGCACACGTGCTGAAGGTCTACCATGAAATGAAATTTCGAACTTTCGGGCTCAATTATGTGTTTTTGTTCGTACCAAATTAATAACCCTATAAATGGAGCTTAATATTTCAGTTGTCATAAATCCTACCATAAAAGTAAAAAGGAACGACATTTTTAATATTTTTAAATGGTATGTATCAAGTAATTTTAACATCAAATTTTCGTTTCGTTCCGATCCAAAATTTCGGAAAACATTTCATGGTAGGCCCTCTGGTGCTAGCACAAATATATTTGTTATTTATTTTCTCTGCAATACGTATGAGTCTATTAAATTTAAAACTACTTCAAATTCCACGTCGACAACATTAGTAGTTACTGAGATATAGAACTATGATAGACAGATAGACAAATTCACACCATAATAACTTCTTTATACATTTTTGATACGTAAACTATAATAAATGTTAAGTTTTTCAATATATTAACGTATAATTAATAGATAATCCTAAGCTGAATATCACAGATAATAAAGAAAGGTCACAAGTCAACAATCACTTACAATTTCCTTGGAAATCCTCTCGAATCGCTGCGAAAAGTGGTTGAGTACATCCACGACTCGGTCCGATAACTTGTTGTTCTCCGCTGAGTTTTGTCTGTAACATATCAACGGACACATCAATACTGTCACATCACCATTTACAATAAAACAAAAATCGCTTTGAAACAATAAACAGACATTAGTAACTCACGTTTTAAAAAAAGTTATATATATTACTTTATTTTTCACTTCGTTAGGGAAGTATATAATTCATAGAACAAGTAAATAATTTTAAAGAAATAGCTACCAGTTTAACTTACGTGTAATTAAATCGAAAAAGCTCGACTAGTTTCGGAATCAATTCGTGATCCTTAGTCACGAGTGACAGTGATGCGAGCACGAGCCTGACTGCGTGTCTCGGCCCGAAACTAGTCGAGGTTTCTCGATTTAATTACACGTAAGTTAAACAGGCTCTCTAGACAAGTGGCAAGCGAATTCGTCGATGGGATCGACATCGCTAACGAGTCAATGAGATAGAATGAGACAGCAACGTCGGATGACTCATTCCAACTCATCGACTCGCTATCGATATCGATTCTATTGACGAATTCGCTTGCCACTTGTCTAGAGGGCCTGGTAGTTATTAGATTAAACGCGATATCGTCCGCGTGACTCGGTTATGTTGATTGGCCGGGAATGAGAATCTATATCCTTCCTCATCCCATATAGATCGTGTATACTAAATTTCATAGTGATTAATTAAGCTGTTAAGGCGCTATAAGGTAACAAACAAACAAACTCACTTTCACATTTACATATACTAGTAAAGATGTTATAAAATATATTTTGTCGCTCGGCTGTGTAAAGTGTGCTATGGCAAAGTGGCAACAACAGTTATTGGGTTATATATGGCTAACTGTATAGTTATTGGGCATAAAAATCAAATCCTGTGATCTTGCTTCATGTTTTTTTTTATACAACTTAGAATGACAAACAAGCTGACGGCCCACCTGATGGAAAGTGGTAATCGTTGCTTACAGACATGAACAGTATCATGGACATAACAGAGTATACTGTTTCGCCCATGATACTCCCCACGCGTTGCCATTCCTGAAGACTCAGGTATTATTCCTGTGTACCCTATAAATTTACTGCCATATCCCACCCTTCAAACCGAAATACAGTCATGCAAACAACTGCTTCACGGTAGAAACACGAATGGGACAGAGGTGCACAAGCAAACGACTTTTGTACAAAGTCTTACTCTGATATGTAACTTCCATTATATCATCATAGTCGTAGAATACTGACGGATCTTTATATGTATTTCTTTGTCAGATCCGTCAGTATTCTACGACTATGACGATATGTCAATTCGATGTAATTTCAATTTGATTCCGATTGTATTTTGTCAAGGTTGCCACGCAGCACAACATGAAGGACAACATGCTACTAGTGCCTACATGCGCATGCTATGCATGCATGCATGCATGCTACTACGCACACACAGCCATAATACAAAGAAGTTTGTCCAACGATGACGAGCACTTCTATATTTATTAACATTGTTTTACTACATTTATAAATTACATCAATGCCACTGTTGCCGATTTGATTAAACTTCTATGGCAGTGATCATTTATTTTATATTTATTTATTTACAATTTGGCGTGAATTTATACGGTACAGAGGAATAACACCCGAGTCCTCAGGAATGGCAACGAATGGGGGGTATCATGAGCGAAACAGTATACTCTGTTATGTACATGGTACTGCTCATGTCTATAAGCGACGGTTACCACTTTCCATCAGGTGGGCCGTCAGTTTGTTTGCCATTCTAAGTTGTATAAAAAAATACTAAAATATTATAATTTTGGATCATCTACTAAAATATGACATGACCAGTCGGAGTGTAAGTAAAGTAAGAAAGATACAGGAGCCGATTCTAAGGTGACATTTCTTTAACCTCTCAACCTAACATTTGTTTACCTTAACCTATATATTTGATGTGGCCAAACATAATGGACATCTTGTAAACTTGACAAATGCAACATCTTGTCTACAATGTTTCTGGCAAATAAAAATTTCATTTTATTTCATAACTTTGCGAAATTACCGTTTTATGGACCATTATAGTATTTTTACCTAATATTATAATATTTTTACTTAAATGTACTAATAAAAAGTAGTTCATATTGGTCCTTATAATAATGATTTTGTTGTAAAATCAAATTCAAAGTTTAAAGAAATGGCACTTCAGAATGATCCCAATTAAAAAAGAAAAAAAAACATTCATATGTGTCTAAATACAGTTGCAGTTCCCTACAATGGTTTTTATTCCATCGCTGTGACCATATAAAAAACATAACAATCGGTGTACAAGGTAACACAACATCAATTGCTCTAACTACAGCGAGCTCACAATATAAATACAAATAACTTTGCGGTTATGAAGAGCTACGAGGCGCATCGCTTACGAATGCGTCTCTTGTAAAGGTGAATGTACAGCGAGCGAGCGTGAAGTACAAATGGAACCGGTAATGTACGTAGTCAATTAATTAACACCACTCGAGGAGTACCGGCGGTAGGATCGGGCAGGAGTGAGGTGCCACCGTGGATGTAAACTGTTAGCAGTTTTTATTATTTATTTATGCATCATTTGTGTACGTATGTATCTATATAATACTATTTTACATTTGGCTGTTAAATTGGTTACACAGGTTACACTCTGGGTTCGTTGTACGCGTCCGTGTAGCCTAACTTCAGGCTGTAGCTGAAAATCAGTGCTTTGCTTTTAAGCAAAACCATCACTGAGCTGCAGCCTATTTGGGTCACTGCGACACACATGGTGAAAACATATTTCCATATTTCATCTTTTGTTTTATATTTATAAACAATGTAAATAATCTGATTGTATAAACTCATTTGTTAATTTACGTGTGTCATAAATGGCTCAAACAAAGCGTTTATCTATCTATCTAGGAGTTATGAGAGAGTAAATATGTGCAATGCATAGACTCTGGGTCTAATCAATGTACACTATACTTGTATAATTAAAAAAAAAAAACAAATACTAAGCACATTCGAATTTAAACCATATTTTAGACTGTTTATTTGCTGTATTTTTAGATTGACATACACGGTAAGTGATATGAGGTCACAATACAATCGTAAAAATAGAAAACATTTACATTAATTTTGCTTACGAGTAGTTAATGTTTTTTTTTTTTATTTAATTATGTATTTAAGTATAAATTAAAAAAAAAAATCTTAATCGACACATGTTATTACAATGTATGTGAATTCTTTAATGATAAAATTTGACAAAACGAATATTTATTTATATTTATCAACATCATTGTGACATCGTTCTTTTATTCTCGCCCGACAATTATTATTTATTTAAATGTATTTAAAATTGGAATGTGATGACGATTAATGGTATAAAATGGACTTGACTTGTGAACTATCTGTGTAACTACATATGTTTGTATGGCGTACAGGCTGAACATGTCGAACGTTATTATATTGTCAACATCTGCATGTACGAGGTTTGTCCGGAAAGTACGTATAAAAGTTTTTTAAAAATTTTATTTTACAATTATTCAGGTAAATCAATTTTATCCCCTTCAAAGTACTCCCCCTGTGACATAATGCACTTGTGCCAACGCCGTTTCCACTGTGAGAAGGCTCCTTGAAAGTCCTCTGGTTGTAGGTTTCTCAGCTGCCCCGTCGTAGCTTTTTTTATCTCATTTATGTCCCCCAAATGCCGCCCCCGAAGTACCAATTTGGTTTTTGGGAACAAGAAGAAGTCACACGGGGCCAAATCCGGCGAATAGGGGGGTGTTCGGTCACCGTAATGGAATTTTTACTCAAAAACTCACGGACAACAAGAGAGGTGTGGGCAGGGGCATTGTCGTGGTGAAGAATCCAACGCCCCTCTCGCGCCAATTCTGGACGAACTCGTGCCACACGAGCTTTGAGGCGTCTGAGCACATCGACGTAGAATTTTCCATCAACTGTCTGGCCTGGAGGGACGAATTCTTGATGGACAATCCCCCGAACATCGAACTCTTTCTCGGCCCTCTCTGAATCTTTTTAGCCACTTGTGGACGGTTGGTTCCTTCACAGCATCATCCCCATAAACTGTTCTGAGATCGGCAAAAATTTCACGGCCATTCTTGCCGAGTTTCGAGAGAAACTTGATTACGACGCGCTGCTCTTCAACGGAAGGGGGTCCATGCCGACGGGGTTTCGTTAAGAGGTAACTTCACAGATGGCGTGACAAGCCAGTTCGCACCGCACGGCGGTCAGACCAGAACTGAAGCATTGTTAGGGACATAAGGAAGGGGTCCTGCGCTTACCTGGCCTCCCCACTCCTCTTTCTCGCATTCCAGAACACTTTTATACGAACTTTCCGGACAGACCTCGTATTTATACGCATGTTTTACAAATAAATACAACTTTCCTTTTGATAATTCTCGTATTTTTCAACTTTTTTTTGCTATACTTTATAAATGACTAGACCCAAGATGAAATATCTCCTTAATTTTTAGTAATATCTTTGACAAAAACATTGGTATTACAAACTAGTGTTAGTATACGAAGGATCAACGTGTTACCAGCAATATGTGACTACTAGTTAGTAAATGAGGCGTAACAACGGACTTTCAAGGAGGTATTCTCGTATACGTACTGTTACTGATGGAAAATTCTCTAAGTATTCTCTAAGTTCAGATAGAACGCAGGACAAATACTCTCACACGGACGACTCAAAATGACACGCAGTAATTTGCAACCTACCAAAAATTTTCAACGGCTTCTCAAAGGTCGACAATAAGGGATATCTGTATGGTATAAATCCGCCATTGTGTGGGGAGAAAGGGATTGTTAGTAATGGAGACTGAGAATCCCATTGCTAACAATATACCCAACCAGGTCGACCTCCTCGCGGTTCCCCCTGGAAACTATCATGGTTAATTCCTGATGAATTCATCATGATGGGCTAACTGGCCTGTTTTCATTCTCATCTGTCAGCCTTCACTGGTGCTCCGCCAGCGTATACCGTTAGCGCAGGCGGGGTTACCATTCCATTTTCACCCATCAAAAAAATCCGCTATTGTATGTTAAATATTCTCCACGTGACCAATGTATGTACAATAAAGATTTACAACAACAATAATTTTCTTGAGTCAAGCGATTAGATAAAATGTTGTCTACATTTTATTGGAGAGGATGATCATATATTAAGGAAGAGATGGCCTAGCACGGTTTAGAGGGGAAGCAGGACCGTCCCACATACAACTGAGACGGTGCCCGATCGTACGACCTTCACAATCTTTAATTGAAGCCTCCACGACCGCAAAGTTACCTACTCGATGCGTACTGCATGTATTGTAAAGAAAAAAAAAAACGGGAAAAAGAACGGGAATGCTGTGTAATGGAAAATGGACATTTAGTGTGACATTGGAGCTACAGGGAGCGGTAGTAACACATAGCGTATGATGCACCTTAGCCAATCTATACCTGTCGAGACGGGGCGCCTACATGATACATTCAAACGGTCAAACATGCAAGTAACACTGAACGATAATAATAAGATGTGTGTGTGTGTATGCGTGTGCGTGTGTGTGTGCGTGTGCGTGTGTGTGTGTGTATGTGTGTAATCAGTCGTTGTATCCGACCAGTTCGATGCGCGGCGTTCAGTCCCTGGGACACGAGAAGTGCGTCGAGGCGATGTCCAGTTTACTAACCACTTAAGCATCTAGAACGAGAACCTCTCATGCATCAAATGTGTTCCGACTTGCGCTAGTCCGAGTATCTCTCGCCACTTATAAATATTATGTTTATAGTTTTGTCTGGAGCGATACCATCTCGCCGGTTGTATTTCATAGAGCTTAGTGTGTATTTATTGTATGCTCGTTCGAATTTATGTGTGCGCTAGTTGACCTCATTTCATAGTAAAACCCTCGCATTAAGTGGTTAACAAACCGACATGACAATCGGGGCGCATCGCTCTGTGCAGCTGCGTCCGCTGCAGCGGTCTGCACTGCACTACGGGCCTTCGTACATGCGTTCCGCGCATCAAAGTGACCGCCCACAACGCGTACATTTAAGGAAGCGACTGTTACTACAGTTAGGACAGTGCATGCGTGCCGGGGGCGACAGGACGGCGGCTGGTGCGTGGGTGCGGTGGGTGGGGCGGGGGACGGTGGTGGATGTGGTGGTGGGTGGAGACCTGGTGGTGTGTCCGCTGGAGGGCGGCAGCAGCGCGGCGTCCGACATGGACAGCGAGGAGCACGACGTCTCCGTGGAGCGGCTGTGCTGCAGCGAGTACTTGCTGTAGCTGCGGCCACAACACACCACGCCCGCTCGCCATCAGTTATACACACAACGCAACGCAACGCAGCACAACACAACGCAACACGGCCACGTACACGTACCATGAGACGCGAATATTTACAGAAATAACAGCCGATTAGTACGATACGGGGCGTTAGTGGACACGCAGCGGAAGCGGGCTACGAGTTTATAACGAATATTCACATATTAAATATTTAAAGCCAATCCACGCCACAAACTTAGTCAATTTTAATCAGGCCACAGTAATTTAGGAAATTTATGTGACCAAGTTGCAATAGAGACTTTTATAAGGGCATGGCTTTGAAGGCCGATAGAGAGTGACTAACTAAAAAGAACTTTTGAATGTTTCTATTGTCTATGAATTAAATGTATGAGTGAAGTAAAAATTTTATGACCAAATGGAGATTGTCCCCAGAGAGAGATGGTCCGCTTGCATCTTAATTAAAACAGCCAAAAGTAGCCAATAGAAATACACGTCAAATAACGCGAGTTATCCTTGGTCCCACAACTCGACGGTGATGTCTCGATAGAGAAATATGATATTTTTCAAGTTTAAACCCCGCAGTCCCCATTTCCATATTAAGCTTTATGGAATAAATGGTTTTTCTAGTTGTAACCAATTGCAAGCAAGCACTACGTCACAATAGAGTGCATGTGCACAACAGGAAATGCTAGTTAGATAAATTTGGACTTTTTGTCTTGTAAATATATTAGTGTCAAATGTTGGCAAGCGTATGTATATATTATACTATGCGTTGACGCTGTATGGCGTACAGTAGTTTGAGTCCGTGTTCACTTCGACGGTCGACTGGGGAAGTGTCAAGCGAGTAATTTCAAAAAGGTAAGTGTATGTCCATACAAGAGAAGGCGAGAGATACATGTATTAAGCATATTAACATCGTTAGGCAGGGTGCAGGGGTGGGCAGTTGTCCCCCCCCCCTCCATAAAAATTGTTTATTCATTAAGAGATTTCATAATTGTTATTGTAGCACTGAGCGTACTGAGTGAGTGTCACCCCACCATTCCTATTTTAATATATATATATATATATATATATATATATATATATATATATATATATATATATATATATATATATATATATATATATATATATATATATATATAGTTACAAACGAGTTGTAAGTCAAATGTTAATCAGTTGAAATATACTCGCAACGCAATACAATATATTTTTACAGGGGGGAAGGGATAGTTAGTAATGCGAACTATCAGTCCCATTGTTTGCAATATACCCTATTAGGTCCACCTCCACGTGGTTCCCTCTGGAAACTATCGTGCTGAATTCCAGGTGTATTCATCACGGTGGGTCATCTAACTTGCCCTTTCATCCTCACCTATCATTCCTCACTGGTATCCCGCCAGTGTATATCGTTAGCGCAGGCGGGGTTGCCATTTCATTATTATCCATTGAAAAAAGAAGAATACAGTGAGTGGTACCTCGACATAAGAGTTTAATTCGTTCCATAAACTTGCTTGTGTCTCAAAGCAATTTTTCCCCATTGAAATTAATTGAAACGCCATTAATCCGTACTCCCATAAAACCACCTAAGTTGTTTCTGTTAAGTGTCAGTCTGAGGTGGGAGAAACTGTTAGACACCAACATCCACCCCGTATGTGGGTGTAGTGTGCGATTCCTCATATCTCAAAACACCCATATATCGAGGTACCACTGTGTATATATATATATATATTTATGGAAATTGACAATAATAAATGGTCATAGTTTCTCCCCATAGTGCCATAGTCCGGTAGTCCGGGCAGCAACGCGTGCGTACTCACCGCTTGACCTCGGGCGGCTGCGGCTGCACGTGCAGCCCTGTCGCCGCACCCTCGCCCGCGCCCTCCGTCACCTGCACCTGCATTCACAACAACCATTACTCGTCCTCCGCCCGTTCACAATCTGTATGCTTATACAATTTATCGTCATCTTTTGGGGGAAAGGGATTGGTAGTAATGGAGCCTGAGAATCCCATTGCTAGCAATATACCCAACCAGGTCGACTTCCTCGCGGTTCCCTCTGGAAACTATCATGGTTAATTCCTGATGAATTCATCATGATGGGCTAACTGGCCTGTTTTCATTCTCATCTATCACCCTTCACTGGTGCTCCGCCAGCGTATCCCGTTAGCGCAGGCGGGGTTACCATACCATTTTCACCCATCAAAAAAAAAAAACAAATTATCGTCATCTTCCTACCCTTATCCCAATTATTATTTGGGGTCGGTATAATATGGTTTTATCCATATTACTAAAGGATTTGGCTTATAGTTTTACGACTGGCCGCCTGTCTGACGTCAACTCTTTTTGGGAATGCATTTGCTGGTGATTTTCGCCACCTACGGTTTGGAGGAAAGGATTGAGAGAAAAAGGAAGGGAACGTTGGAAATGCGTAAAGGAAATTAGTAAATTAGAGGAATAAGGGATTTATGTGGGAAAAGAAAGGGGGCGGGGGACGTTACAGCGGCTCGGGAGGCCGGGGTCGCATACCCGTATGCACTTATTCTAGAATCGGACAGATTTCTAGAGAACATCCCTGACGCATTACAATATATAATGGAGTTAAAAAAGCAAGCAGTTTTTTTTGCATGACTGTGTTTTAGTTTGAATGGTGGGATATGGAATGGTAGTGCATTAAGAGTTTTATAGGCGACAGAGTATAATCTATTATGTCTATGGTACTGCTCATGTCTATAGGCGACGGTTACCATTTTCCATCGGGTGGATCGTCAGCTTGTCTGTCATTCTAAGTTGCATAAAAAGGAATAAAAAGATGTTCAACTATGTCTTTTGAATATTTTATGTTTAAGAAAGATGATTGTTATGCATATAATGAGCTTTAATAGCACAAAAGAAAATATTTGGGTAAATATTATAAAACATATATTTCTTGTAAATTAACCAAGAAACTTGTAGGATTACAGTGGTAAAATATTGCAGGCAACGTAGGAGGTACCTGCACGGCGGCGGCGAGCGCGGCGGGCAGCGGCGGCAGCGGCGCCAGCGGCGGCAGCGGCGAGGCCGCGCTGTCGGCGTGCTGGCGGTACAGCGCCGCGCAGCGCTCGCACGGGCCCTGCTTGATGGAGTTCTGCTGGCAGCCGGCCGTCGTGATGGTGACGAGCTTGTGCCCCACCACCCACGTCATGGCCTGGCCGCCCGCGAACAGGAACTCGGCCAGGTCGGAGCGCTGCGGCTTGACGCTGCACGGCGACGACGCGTAGCGCGCCAGCAGGTCCGTGCACGTCTCCGTCAGCTCCACGTGGAACAGCGCCGACGCCGCGCCGCCGCCGCCGCCGCCGCCGCCGCGGCCCCCCAGCCGCCGCCGCCCGCGCCGCCGCCGCCGCCGCCGCCGCCGCCGCCGCCGCCGCCGCCGCCGCCGCCGCCGCCGCGCCCGCCCGGCAGCAGCCGCCCACCCAACGGCGCGCGGGACACCTTCGACCCCTGCCGACAAACATGCCAACATTTAAATGTGTAATGTAATGCGATCTTGAATTGGTCCTGCGAAAATTCTTTTATCACGCTGGTTTTGATACAAGTTCTTACGTCGAGTTCTCTTCTTTTGCACTGTTATATCAGGTAATACCACATACAGTCGTATGATCCCCGCATAGAATGAGCCACCTCTTTCATTAGCGCAGGTGTTGGAGGAGGCGACTAAGGGAGCTTAATGATCAAGAGATAAGCAGCAGGATCCCTCTTAAAACATCACCAAAACCTAACTACGGTTGTCAACCCGCCTGCTATGTGTGGCAACTGTTGCTGAAACCCCTCTAATAAAAAGAGGCCCATGTTCAGTAGTGAACAATATCTTACATACAATATCTCCATAGAGTAGAGCAGCCTTTTCCAAAGTGGACGATAACGCCCCCTTGTGGGCGCTGCAGGCCTAAAGGGGGGCGGTAAGCGACCAAAAAAAAAAATGGGCGCGTTGTGTAGAGGCTTGGGAGGTGATTTGTTGATCTTGAAGTGATAGTGGTTTTTAAGTAGGTGAAAAAATGGGGACATAGGAGATAACCTCTCGCTCTCTTCAGTTGTCGGACAGATGATGTCTAGTGAGAGCGCATGAATGACGATCCTTGGGATTTGCGAGGCCGCCATGTCAAAGAAGGAAACGGCGGAAAGGGAGCGAGAGATCGACCCCTCCGCCCCACAAATCAGGCGCCGGCGACATAGGCGAAGAAGGCAGGACCGAGGAGGAGATCCTACTTCACCGCATGGGCCAGGGGCAGCAGCTGCGAGGGCAGCCGTTACCCCATCACCAACACGGCCCGGAGGAGGCACGCGCGTGCTCCCGCGCGCCCCCACTGAGGATACACCTGGTCACCTAGTGAAGGGGTCCGCCAGTGAGACGGACCAATGCGGTCGGGACCGGACGATTGTTCGCGCACACCCACGTCTCGAAGAAAGCGCTAAAAATGAGCACCGGGGTGTTTTAGCCGGTAAGAGTCCGGCAGTACCCACATATCTCCTCCGAGGTATGCGGGTCTGCATGAGCATTTCCCCTCGGCAAAAAAAAAGGTGAAAAATTGGGGGCGTTAAAAAATAATTTATTCTCAAAGTGGGCAGTAGACAAAATAAGTTTGTGAACCCCTGGAGTAGAGCAATAGTTACAACAGAGTAACAGTGGTGACTTGATACGAGGCTGTACTCACGAGACTGGAGCTGCGCTGCCGGTTGGAGGAGTCCTCGTTGGCGGCGGGCGGGCGGAAGTTGGAGCGGTACTGCAGCTGCTCCTCGAACGGCATTATTATGTAGTTGTGCAGGCCCTGCGCACACACGCACACTCACGTGTACAACTATACACTCATAGACAACATTTTTTTATAAAGGCCTATATTACAGTTATTTGTCAATTGAAATAATAGTATGTAACAGTAATAAGGAACTTGAAAGGTTTTTTTATGCAACTTAGAATGGCAAACAAGCTGACGACCCACCTGATGGAAAGTGGTAACCGTCGCCTATACACATGAGCAGTACTATGGACATAACAGAGTACACTGTTTCGCCCATGATACCCCCCATGCATTGTCTTTCCTGAGGACTCAGTTATTCCTCTGTACCCAGTAAATTCACTGTCATATCCCACCCTTCAAACGGAAACACAGCCATGTAAACTCATCTGCTTCAGATGGTAGAAACACGAATGGGATAGCCTCCAAGCGTGGCTCCAATAGCAAATACAAGCTCGTGATTTACATGAATCTATGGTGGTATTGTAATAAAACATATCGGGCCCAGTAATAGTACAGTATTACTAATTAGTATTAATAATTCCTTGCTTCAAGGCGATGGAGTGAGAGCTGTAGTGTGTAGGTGTGGGTATACTGACGTGTATGATGAAGCGCACGAAGTTCTTGCGGTAGGAGAGGCGGCACTTGAGGAACCAGGCGGCGATGACGTGGTGCGCGAGGGAGACCACGTAGTGGTTGTACCGCGAGGGGTTGGTGTACGGCAGCAAGATAGCGAACACCGACATGTACTGGTCCTCCACGAACGACGCGAACACCTTCGGCAGCCGCGTCAGCGCTGCACACACGCACGGAATGCACTCTACTGACACACTCATACTCACAACTACATGTCCACTACAACTATACTACTGGTGTGTAATAAAATAATCTTTGCCCATCTTACACAGTAACATGGAAAAATGGTATAATAATATACCTAGTCCGGCCATAAGTTTTGTTACAAATGAAAATGCATTTTATGAAGTAATGTAATATCACTAAAATTTATACCAACACATTTATTAAAGTCTCAGCAAAAAATAAAAAATAAAATACTCTATTCGAAATGGCCACCTTTGGTTTTTATACAGGCCTTTAATGTCTGGCCACTAAACTGGCTAATTTTGTTAAGACACGTCCCACCAAATCGTCACTGACGTAGGATGATGACCACGTTGTATCTTTCCGACCACTCAAACAACTTCTTTAGAACTGTGAGCTTACACTTGTAAGCTCACAGTTCTAAAGAAGTTGCTCAAAATGATAAAGTTATCATTTTGCTTATTGTAATGTTCTTCAATCGTGAAAATGTTTTAATCAGTAAAGAGGATATTTCTGTGGCATTCACCTGCGTATCGCGACAGAAGGCGGCTGATACCAAGCTTTTGAAATGTCTCGAATATGACCGATGGCTCCATACGAACTTTGTGCAAGGCGATCACTGCAATCCTATTTCTTTAACACCCCATTCAATATGTGTAATTTGATAATGAACACGAAAATAATGGAAATGGCGCGAAGTCGAAAGAAGTTTTTAAAATGATAAACATGTTCCAAATTTAAATGAAAAAGTTGAAAAAAGAAAAGTTTTTATGTAACAGTATTTATGGTAAGACTAGTTATATTTTAAATTCCCTGCTTCTTTATTGTCGCCGCGCGGCGGCCGAGCGCGCGCGGCCAGCCCGCGCGCGGCCAGCAGCGCGGGCAGCGCGCGCAGCACGGCGCCCAGCACGGCCCACTCCTGCTGTGTACGCACCATGGAGCAGAGCGTGGAGGCCAGCAGGTCCAGGTCCTGCGCGCGGCGGCCGAGCGCGAGCCCGCGCGCGGCCAGCAGCGCGGGCAGCGCGCGCAGCACGGCGCCCAGCACGGCCCACTATAAACCGGTACGGGCCTGTTTATTAATATACCTGAATAAGTCCAAATAGCAATTATTCTGTATTTTTACAATTTAGTACGTACAATTTTATAAAATGTTTTCTACTAACTTGATAGGAATTCCAGCATGGGACTAGCTATAGCCTTGGTGTCTGATATCTTGGAGAGGTCCAGCAGCACCTCTGGTAACATCTTGACCATCGTCTCGCGCATTTCCAGAGTGAAAATCGTCAGCGCGTTGATGTACGGCTGCGGTGATCGGAGAACTGAATCAGAGACGTTTACATGTAGTCAGTGCGTAGAGGTGGAAGTGGAGGTGGCTGGCGGCGCGGCGGCCGAGCGCGAGCCCGCGCGCGGCCAGCAGCGCGGGCAGAGCGCGCAGCACGGCGCCCAGCACGGCCCACTGCGGGTGGCGAGAGATACTGACCCATGCCGTACTTGAGCATGCAGCGCACGATGCGCTGCTGCGTGTCCTGCGCGCCATGGAGCACAGCAGCGCAGCCCGCGCGCGGCCAGCAGCGCGCGCGCAGCACGGCGCCCAGCACGGCCCACTCCAGCAGCAGCGTGGTAGGGCGCGCAGCGCCGCCAGCGCCGGCAGCGCCGCGCCGTGCAGCTCCGACAGCGGCGGCCGCCGCGCCTCCGGGAAGTGCAGGCTGCGGTCCGCGATCTGCACACGCGTTACTTATTGTACGTCTAGTCGGGTACATCGTCTACACAAAATAAATATATACGAAACAAACTATTTATAACAAGGCTTTGTCTAAATTGTAGTATGGAGCAACGGAACGCAGCAGATGTCCAGCAGCACGGCGCCCAGCACGGCCCACTCCTGCTGTGTACGCACCATGGAGCAGAGCGTGGAGGCCAGCAGGTCCAGGTCCTGCGCGCGGCGGCCGAGCGCGAGCCCGCGCGCGGCCAGCAGCGCGGGCAGCGCGCGCAGCACGGCGCCCAGCACGGCCGCGGCGGCCGAGCACTCCTGCTGTGTACGCGGGTGAGCGCGCGCGGAGCGCGCGCGCGCGGCCAGCGCGCGGCGCGCAGCCGCGGCAGCACGGCGCGCGCGCGGCGCTGTGTACCGGCCGTGGAGGCCAGCCGCCGCGCGGCTCCACCACCAGCGTACGCGCGCAGAGCAGCACGGCCCAGCGTGCGCACCATGGAGCAGAGCGTGGAGGCCAGCCCAGGTCCGCGCGGCGTAGCGCGGCGGACCGCGCGCGCGCCGCTCCACCACCACGTACGGCGAGCACAGCGGCCGCAGCCGCAGCGCCGCCGCGCCGTACACCGGCGCGCCGCTCGCGTCGTAGCAGAACCCGACGCAGTTCGACGAGTTCACGCGCAGCCCGAACAGCATCTCGAAGATCTGCAACGAGTCATACGGATGCGCGTAAAGGACGAAAAGGTACGGAGCGGTTCCCAGTTAGGATTATGTGATGCTCGTGTTCGGGTGACCTTGATGCGTATGTCGGGGTGGTGCACGAAGAGCGCGGGCCGCTTGTAGTGCAGGTCGAGGTGGTCGAGCAGCACGAGCAGGCAGCGCGCGGGCAGGGCGCCGGGCGCGGCCAGCAGCCGGTCGTGCAGCACCTCCAGCAGCCCGCTCGCCGCCAGCCGCAGGTCGCTGGTGTCCGCGTCGGCCGGGATCGGCACGTCCGTCACGTACATCTCGAACGGCCGGTTCAGAATCTGCACACGCACCGCCACACTATCACGTACGGTACACTAGTATCGATGTAGCAAAAACTAATAGTGCAAATAAAAAAAAAAGAATGTATTGAAAAAAAAAAATAGTACATTACTGCAGTGGCCAGCAACTGAGGCATTGATGGACGAACGTGTAAATGTGGGCTGAGGCGTAGCCGAGGCACACATACGTGAGTCCATTGATTTACTTAGTTGTAGCCAAAGCTTGTATTGTACTTTTCTCAAACAATGCGCGGAAATCAAAAACATAATTTTACTTTTTAAGTTCAATAACGAATAACAAACAATAATAATTTTTCAAGCGCCTTAATGTTCCTTCATTTTTTTTTTTCCAATAAACAGCTTTCTATTTGCAAGCCAGTTCGAAATTTAAATAAAACCTTTTATTAGTTACCTCCTTGGTAGCCATGTTTCGAAGTAAAAGGTCATTCCATTTTTAAATTACAGGACAGATATGAGTTTACAAATTAATTTATCTGGCCGCAAAACACGACAGATATGGATTTTTATACAACTTTTGCCGGCCGCTGCCTGTATGTATCTGGCCAGTACGGCAATTTTGATTTATCTCGAAGAAGATTGTCAAAATAATGCTCACATTTCCAAGAATGTTTGAGAAAAATAAAAAATTATATAACATAGAGTAATATAAAGTTTTTAATTGATCGTGAACAAAAACTGTGAAAGTTTGTTTTTGAGTAATCTTTTTTTTTATTTTTAGGATATCAATAGTAAGCAATTAGAAGAATAAAATTTAATATATTAAGCGCTCAGATTATAGTGTCTAAAAAGTTAAGCCACTTTTATCGGAGCACTTATATAGCTTTAAAAAAGATTTTTAAAATAAGCAGCAACCTTTTTGTACGATTGCATACGTGGTAGGTTTACCACATTAGAAATTGTTACTCTATATTAAGGTAAATAGACAAAGGTACTAATTTAAAATAATATTAATATTTATTATTTTTTATAATATTTAAGTTTGTTAAGTATTAAGAATAATGCGTAGATAAAGAATAAGAATGCGGAAAATAAAACTTTATAATTTTTTCATATTGTTTCAAAAATTGTAAGATTTAGTGTGCAAAAACTGTTTTATTTATTAAAGATAAAATATAAAAAAAAAATCGGCTAAGGGCGAGTCGGACTCGTCCAACGAGGGTTCCGTACAAAATCATCAATTTAATGTTTTTTTTTTTTAAATAATTACAAATTTTAGGTTTTAGATTTATTTCTCTTCATGCCAAATTTCACGATTCTAGGTCAACGGGAAATACGGTCAACGGAACCTATCTTATGATTGCGTCGATTTAGAAAAAAGAGCGAGGTACGTTGACAACTAGCCGAGTGAGAGTGTAGTGGGAGTGCAGAGTGCAGCGGGTACCTTCTCGAGCAGGTCGACGAGGTCGGTGCAGGTGTCGAGGCGCAGCGCGGGCGCGCGCGCCAGCGCCGGCAGGTGGCGCGCGGCGGCGGCGCGCAGCGCGGGGTCGGCGTCCAGCGCCGCCGCCGCCAGCGCCGCCGCCGCGCCGCGCTCGGCCGCCTCGTCGCCCGCCGCGCGCCGCGCCGCCGCCGCCAGCGCCGCCAGCGCCGCCAGCCGCACGCCGCCGCGCCGCTCGCGCCGCACGTAGCGCGCGCACACGCCGCCCGCCTGCGCGCCGCCCGCGCGCATGCGCGCCGCGATCAGCCGCAGCGTCGACGCCTCCTGCACGCCACCACACCGCGCCGTCAGTACCGCCCGCCGTCCGCCGCCACTCACCGCACCCACCCCACCCGCCCCACCCGCCCCACCCGCCGCACACGACGACCTACCGGCCGCTCGTGGCCGCAGTAGTCCACGAGCTCGAGCAGCGCCTCGTGGCTGCCGTGGTAGTGCCCGCCGTCCTGCAGCTGCTCCAGCGTCGTGATCAACTCGTGCAGCCGCGTGTGGATCAGCTCGTTCGGCGGCTCGAACGCTCCTGCGACCGCGGTACGACACCTCAGTTCACAAGTATCACTTCAAACAATTTATAATCACTTATGACAAATAAAGAACTTTTGAAAACAAAACTTCAAAAAATGTCCAACATATAAACTCGGGTTCCCATTGTGGGTAACGAATAAGTAGAAAAAATTTATAGAGCACAATGTCTATTTCCAACAACAGCATCAATAATGAAAAATAGACTCTATTTCCATACTAATTGTTACTAAATACTTTATTGATCAAATAACAAAGTACAAGTTGATTCAATTTATGTGGATTTTGCGAAGGCTTTTGATAGAGTTGACCATGACATACTTTGTATCAAAGCACATCTTTTGGGTCTTCATGGGTTACTTCTGCTTTGACTTTAATCTTATTTAATAAATCGTCCGCAAATCGTAATTATTTACAGCCATGATTCAGTCCCGTTTGAACTAAAATCTAGTATACCCCAGGGCTCCAATTTGGGTCCTCTATTATTTATTTTGTCTCAATGATCTTCTGCAAACTTTAACATGTGAATATTTAGCCTTTGCTGACGATATAAAAATATATCGTACAGTACATTGTAACCTAGATTGTGAAATACTGCAGTTTGATATAAATCGTTTGCATTAGTGGTGCATTGATAATAATATGACTTTGAATATATCTAAATGCCACGTCATATCTTTTACCAAAAATAGAATTCTTCTAAGTTATCCATACTTTGTTAATAATGTACATTTGGAAAAAAACTAATCCATTCGTGACTTGGGTATTATATTCGACTCAAAATTGTCATTTAGACAACATTATGACTACTTACTTACAAAAGCAAATAGAACTTTGGGGTTTATCTTTAGAACAATTAGACCTTTTAAAAACTCGCAAATTATTTTGTCACTCTGCACATCACTAGTTAGAACTTCACTTGAGTACTGTTCTGTTATTTGGTCTCCCTTTTATCAGAACCACATTGACAGAATAGAAGCAATTCAAAAACGCTTTGTTAGATTCTTGAGCACTAAGTTTTGTCTGAGAAGGAAAATTCATTTGTACGAATTAAGACTTAATCACTTTAACATTAATTCTCTTATAAATAGAAGATCTATGTCTGATTTCATAACTCTCTATAAAATAATAAACTATAAATGGGACACTAGCACATTGATGAACCATGCTTTGTTTCGTACAGGTAATGAAAGAATACAAACAATGTTTTATATATGGATTTGTAATAATAATGTATCGTATCACAATCCAATTAAGCACATGTGCAAATAAAAATCGGTAAAAAAACTTTTAAGTTAAACGGTTTTATTTTATGTGCACTGAAAACTACAAAATAAATAAATAGTTATTTACCTATCAACCTACGTAGGTGATCTCGGTCATTAATATCTCTGATGGTAGTGGTTGTCATAACATGAACCATGTCAGCGGCCGAAAGGCAGTTCATGAGAGAACATTAACACCAGGGTTTGCTTGGTAGGTAAACTAAGCAGCCCGCACTATAACAAGTAGGTATTTTGACCTTCTAGTTCAGAAATATTTTAGTACTAGGCAGAATAGCTTTTAGGCATATTAGACTAAAATAAAAACGTCGGGCCCATTAACTATTTCTGTATTACTTTCTACTATACTAAGTGTGGATTGCATCGACTTATTATAATCGTCATCATCATCATCCTAGCGGTTTATCCCGGTCGCATCCGAAACCTCATAGCTCCGGAGTCCAGGGTCCGCTGAATCGACTTACTATAATCGTAACTGGAGGTTTTGACCATCAATAACCAGCCGTTACGGCTTCACCAGCGAACGCCGAGCTCATGATCTACCAAAGTATAAGATATGCTCTGCTAAAGGTATGATTTCAGAGGGGCCCCACGTTTTTATTTTAGTCTAATATGCCTAAAAGCTATTCTGCCTAGTACTAAAATATTTCTGAACTAGAAGGTCAAAATACCTACTTGTTATAGTGCGGGCTGCTTAGTTTACCTACCAAGCAAACCCTGGTGTTAGTGTTCTCTCATGAACTGCCTTTCGGCCGCTGACATGGTTCATGTTATGACAACCACTACCATCAGAGATATTAATGACCGAGATCACCTACGTAGGTTGATAGGTAAGTAACTATTTATTTATTTTGTAGTTTTCAGTGCACATAAAATAAAACCGTTTAACTTAAAAGTTTTTTTACCGATTTTTATTTTCTTGTTTTTAGTATTTAGTGAAATTGTTTACCGAATATTCCTCATTTTATTTAATTCATTCAGTGCATCATTATTACATGGTTTCTTACCTGATAATTTAGTACAATCTAATTCCTCAATACATAGCCCTTCCAGAGACTTGACTCGACTTAGAGCCACGTATGCTTGTCCTTCCTCAAACCATTTTGAGCCCAAATATACTACTGCATGGTCGACGGTGTTGCCCTGCATTTTATGGACGGTGAATGCTCATGACAAAACTAAGGGCAACATCCTTTTTTCAGCCGTACCATAATTGAATTTTGCTGGAAACTGTATGGCTTTAGGGTAAATAACGTGCATGCCGTCTGTGCCAAAGTCAATTAAAACTGATGATATATCTGTTTCGTACATTTGGGTTCGACGGAACTGAGGCCAAAAAGGTGTCTGAGTGTCAAGTGTCTGAGAGTCTAGTGTCTGAGTGTCTTGTATCCGAGTGTCCAGTGTCTGAGTGTCTAGTGTCTAGTGTTTAGTATCTGAGTGTCGAGTGTCGAGTGTCTAGTGTCTGAGTGTCGAGTGTCTGAGTGTCTAGTGTCTAGTGTTTAGTGTCTGAGTGTCGAGTGTCGAGTGTCGAGTGTCGAGTGTCGACTGTCGAGTGTCGACTGTCGAGTGTCTAGTGTCTGAGTGTCTAGTGTCTGAGTGTCTGAGTGTCTGAGTGTCTAGTGTCGAGTGTCTGAGTGTCTAGTGTCTGAGTGTCTGAGTGTCGTGTGTCGAGTGTCGAGTGTCTAGTGTTTCGAGTGTCTAGTGTCTGGGTGTCTGAGTGTCAAGTGTCTGAGAGTCTAGTGTCTGAGTGTCTTATATCCGAGTGTCCAGTGTCTGAGTGTCTAGTGTCTGGATGTCTGAGTGTCTAGTGTCTAGTGTCTAGTGTTTAGTATCTGAGTGTCGAGTGTCGAGTGTCTAGTGTCTGAGTGTCGAGTGTCTGAGTGTCTAGTGTCTAGTGTCTGAGTGTCGAGTGTCGAGTGTCGAGTGTCGAGTGTCTAGTGACGAGTGTCTAGTGTCTAGTGTCTGAGTGTCAAGTGTCTGAGTGTCTTGTGTCTAAGTGTCGAGTGTCGACTGTCGAGTGTCGAGTGTCAAGTGTCGAGTGTCGAGTTTCGACTGTCTAGTGTCTGAGTCTCTAGTGTCTGAGTGTCTAGTGTCTAGGTGCCTGAGTGTCAAGTGTCTGAGAGTCTAGTGTCTGAGTGTCTTATATCCGAGTGTCGGAGTGTCTAGTGTCTAGTGTTTAGTATTTGAGTGTTGAGTGTCGAGTGTCGAGTGTCGAGTGTCTAGTGTCTGAGTGTCTGAGTGTCTAGTGTCTAGTGTTTAGTGTCTGAGTGTCGAGTGTCGTGTGTCGAGTGTCGGGTGTCGAGTGTCGAGTGTCGAGTTTCGAGTGTCGAGTGTCGAGTGACGTCGAGTGTCGAGTGTCTGAGTGTCTTGTATCCGAGTGTCTAGTGTCTGTGTGTCTAGGGTCTGAGTGTCTGAGTGTCTAGTATCTGAGGGTCTAGCGTCTGAGTGTCTAGTGTCGAGTGTCGAGTGTCAAGTGTCGAGTGTCGAGTTTCGAGTGTCGAGTTTCGAGTGTCTAGTGTCTGAGTGTCTAGTGTCTGAGTGTCTAGTGTCTGGGTGTCTGAGTGTCAAGTGTCTGAGAGTCTAGTGTCTGAGTGTCTTATATCCGAGTGTCGGAGTGTCTAGTGTCTAGTGTTTAGTATTTGAGTGTCTAGTGTCGAGTGTCGAGTGTCTAGTGTCTGAGTGTCGAGTGTCTAGTGTCTAGTGTTTAGTGTCTGAGTGTCGAGTGTCAAGTGTCGAGTGTCGGGTGTCGAGTGTGTCGAGTGTCGAGTGTCGAGTGTCAGAGTGTCTAGTGTCTGGGTGTCTGAGTGTCAAGTGTCTGAGAGTCTAGTGTCTGAGTGTCTTGTATCCGAGTGTCCAGTGTCTGAGTGTCTAGTGTCTGGATGTCTGAGTGTCTAGTGTCTGGATGTCTGAGTGTCTAGTGTTTAGTATCTGAATGTCGAGTGTCGAGTGTCTAGTGTCTGAGTGTCGAGTGTCTGAGTGTCTAGTGTCTAGTGTTTAGTGTCTGAGTGTCGAGTGTCGAGTGTCTAGTGACGAGTGTCTAGTGTCTAGTGTCTGAGTGTCGAGTGTCTGAGTGTCTTGTGTCTGGTGTTTAGTGTCTGAGTGTCGAGTGTCTGAGTGTCTTGTGTCTGGTGTTTAGTGTCTGAGTTTCGAGTGTCGAGTGTCTAGTGTCTGAGTGTCTAGTGTCCGAGTGTCTAGTGTCTGAGTGTCTTGTATCCGAGTGTCTAGTGTCTGTGTGTCTAGGGTCTGAGTGTCTGAGTGTCTAGTGTCTGAGGGTCTAGCGTCTGAGTGTCTAGTGTCCGAGTGTCTAGTGTCTGGGTGTCTCAGTGTAGTCCTATTATTTGATACCCATATTGTGGTGGTTGTGGAAAAATATGTACCTAGTCCGCCATATTGGAACGGCGTCCATCTTGAATTTTAAATTTTGACATAATCATCGTGTTTTACTAGTGTAGCCCTTTCATTTGATACCCATATTGCGGGGGTTAAGGAAAAATATGTAATCCGCCATTTTGTATCGGCGGCCATCTTAGATTTATAATGTTATTGATTTTATTATATTGTATTGTCATCTAAATTAAATGTGTGTACCAAATTTCAGATCAATTTGACAACGGGAAGGTGCTTAAATTCCAATTTCTAATTTTGACCCAAATAAATAAATACCGTACAGGTCGAGCTAAATAAAACCGTTTAAAAATATAACAATGTATGGAAGGAGCTTGATATTTTTCAACAATCCTTGCAATGTTACATTAAGGCTGCCAATTTGTTACTTTAAATTTATAGCCGTTATTCTTTTAATGTTTCTAATATCGAATGTTATACAGAGCAGTTATTGGAGTGCAAATTTAATGCTGTTTTATGTAATATTTATTTTATTAATGTATTAATCTGTTGCCTTGTAATAAATAAGTAAATAAAACACTTTTAAATTAAGAATTGCAAATGAATAAGCCTACACTAGTGTGTTAAGCTCCCTAGTTGACCTGTAGTGATGGCATACTTACGGTCCTGGTCGATGATAGTGCGTATGATTTTGAGCACCACGTCCCACGCGGGCTCCGACAATTCTGTCGGCATCCGCGTCACCAAGCTCTGCAGTCCCACCAACACCTCGTACGTCACCACCTGGTAGTTGCCGCTCAGCGCCTGTTCCATACGACACAGTTATTTTTTTTTAAATCAACAGATAAGATTGTAACTTAAGAAATTGAATATTGAAATGATTACAAATCTTGGAGTAGCTAGCGTGCACCACTTGTAAACCATTTCTAGTCAGAATCATAAAGTGTCCAGTTTTTGTTCTTATATAAATTTAAATATATAAATCATTTTAAATGATAAACTCTTGTGCAATACTGTTTACAAAAGTATAAAGGAGTGGTGGTCCTGTGTGGTGTAGAGTGGTGACCTTGTATAGCGCGGGCAGCACGGTGTAGAAGGAGTCGTGCAGGGCGAGCACGCGATTGGGTCCCCACAGCGCCGAGTTGACATAGAACACGGCGCCCTGCAGCAGCCCCGCGCCGCCCTCCTCCTCCTCGCCGTCGCCGCCGCCGCCGGCCTCGTACAGCAGCCGCACCAGCTGCTGCAGCGCAGCGTACCCGATGTCGGCCCCCAGCACTATTCGCATTAGCTACACACATAACATTCATCAATCACATCAATTTAGATCGTTTCCAAGAGATATTTATGTTGACCTGTCATGAGCCAACACAAGTTTTTAACACTTGCATACATTCTATTAATACTGACATATGGCAGTCATATATGCAATCATTATAAAAAAAAAATTGAAATCTGTAACATGCCAAAGGAGCATGGAGAAGAGCACACTAGATGGATTTTACAAGAAGAGACAAAAAACGGCTAAAGAGATGTATAACAGAATGGATCTAAATTCAAAGGATGGAAATGGAGACGAGCAGGTCATATGTTAAGAGGTAACAGTAAATGGACCAATACAGTCTCAGAATGGGCTCCTCGATACAGAATTAACAGAAAAAAAGGCCGCCAATATAAAAGATGGTTGGATAAGATGAAAAGTGTTTTAGGTGCATCTCGGCTCACTACAGCATGGAATTGAAAAGGATGGAAGAAGTTGGCCTCTGTGTCGAAAGGACACGTTGACCCAGCGGCTGTCGTACAGCATAACTGTTAATTATTTAATATTTATGGTGAATAAATGAAGGATTTAAAATAGAGGAGGTGAGGTGTGATGGGGTATACTAGAGAGCGACGGCGCAGGTACCTTCCAGCTGCACTGCGAGTAGTGCTCGAGGATGACGGTGCGGCAGAGCGCGGCGACGAAGGCCGGCAGCGCGGCGCGCGGCAGCAGCGAGTAGCACACCACGGCCTCCAGCAGCGCCAGCGCCGCCGCCACCACGCCCGCCTCCGCGCTGCGCCCGCTCGCGCCGCACGCCACGCTGCGCACGCCGCCACCGTACACTACACTGCACTACACTACACTACACTACGCTTCCCCTGCTATATGCAAAGCCTTGTTTCCTCCCTTATACTGTGCAAGTTCCCCACAAATTCGTACAAATGTAACCGTCTCGATTTGAATCCATCATCTTATAGAAAGCTCACACAGTACCAATATTAGTAACAGGGAGCACAAAAGGTAAGTGTCACAGAATATTTTTCCCTGAAGAAGCTCGTCTCTCAGTAATAATAACAACAGTGTGATCTTGATGTTTCAAATCAACAAATGTTAAAGTGAAACAAATACCAAAAATCAGTACATGTACTGCTTACTTGACAATTCCGTGTACTATTTCTTCGTCGAGGTATGTTGCGTTATACTTGACCACATTGATGACCAGCTGTAGGAATTCCACAATTAGTGCAGGGTTTTGTATTTGTGGCAGCCACTCCAGAAGAAATGAGCCAATCTGCACAAATAACAATAACCTTATGATGGTTTAATATTGAAGGCCTATAAAATTAGTTTCAACTTATACAATTAACGTGATGATGAGAGATTTGTTATAATGAAATAACCCAGAATAAAATCAGGTTGCCAGCAGAACAGTAATTGTTGTTTTAATTGAATATCACTTGTATTTTCATTTGTCACCCAGAAGCAAATATTAAAACAAGTTGTTATTTAAGCATATAAGTTGAAATCAACATTACCTGTTCTTCAAAACATGTAATATTCTTTCCAGTATTAGTTAAAGCATGGAGTAGTCTAAATCGAAGCTGCGAATCCTCTGGCGGGTGGTTGGCGTGTGACTTCTGAAGGTAATTGAAGAAGATGGTGCGCATGATGGTGAGCTCATCTGCGGGTCCATCTGCTTGGCCTTCCAGTATAATGCGCAGGAATGTCAGCTCGGCGTGGCGAGCCTCAGTGTTTGTATCGTCCAGCAGATCTCTTGTACATATCCATAATTTTCTTACTGTACCCTGAGGGAGGTGGTGTAAATATTTGACTTTAAATGTATAGACTAAATATTTTAGTTTTATTGTTTAAAAATCTTTAATGTAATTTTACACTTAAACAAAATTTTGTAAATGGTTCTACACCTCCTAGAATATATTGTTTGATTTATGGCACACACACACACACACACACACACACACACACAAGACAATTATTTGTATCACAGACTTCTTATACTTATATTCCTTACAAACACATTCTTAGGACTGATAGAAGATCAAAGGCACATTGAGTATAACCTTTAATCATTGGCACTGTTAAATGTATGTTCTGAACAATGCATTTATTGTTTACACAAGGCATTCATTGTTTAGAAAGGTATAAATTTTATACTACTTTATATCACTAATAGAAAAGTACTGTAACTAGGCATTGATTTTCACCTTGGGGTCACATTCATTATATAATGGATTTAATAAATAAGAACAGTATACACCTTAAATGTATTTTTGCATGCTATCACGTTGTTAGCTAAGCACGAATGTTCTTTGACTAATGTAACATCTTTAACTTTACCATGTTTAAGCAAATAAAGATTATTATTATTATTACAAAATATCCTTCATATTAAAATATTTTTAAATTATTTTGTTATGGTCAATGTTGTTTATTATTTAGTGGACATTCCGAAAACATAAACAAATTATTTTTCAGTGATAGGAGACAATGTCTTTTTATAATTTTGATAAAGGTGAAATGAAGAAGGCAGTAATTTTTATTATTTAGCTATTTAATGCTCTATGACACTTGACAAAAGAAACAAAGTTTTAGGCAGCCTGAAGGACCTTTCAGAATAAGCAAAAGAAGTAGAAGAGTGTCCTAATATAAAAATTTTAAATAAAATAGACCATACAGTTTAACAAAATATACAAATTTGTACAAAACAGGACACTTCTACTTTGTACAAATTGTTTGCTTGGGCACCTCTGTCCCATTCGTGTTTCTACTGTGAAGCAGTTGTGTTTGCATGGCTGTGTTTCGGTTTGAAGGGTGGGATATGGCAGTAAATTTACAGGGTTCACAGGATCATGGGTGAAACAGTATACTGTTATGTCTATAGTACTACTCATGTCTATAGGCGACGGTTACCACTTTCAATCAGGTGGGCCGTCAGCTTGTTTGCCACTCTAAGTTGCATAAAAAAAACACTGTTAATGTGTTTAAGCATGCTATGATAGAATGTGAAAACATTGTGCTGTAGCTATTACATGTGGTATTACATGTACATTCTGCTGAAAAATGTTGTGGTGTTGCCTCAATTGTATATGTAAATACTATCATAAATTAAATTTAATAAAAGTAGTTAAGGTGAATATAAAATGAGCTAAATAAAGCTAGCTAATTTTAAAGGCAAATAGATAAAGGATAATTTTTTTACATCAAGCATATTAAAAAAAATAAAACCTTGTGGTATCTGAATAATAACATATTAAGCAGATTCTAAATAATGATAAGGATAGGAAGATGATGATATTGAAAATATAGCAAATAATATGTTTTTATAGTAGATAAAATATCATATGCACAACGGCCCAAATGAGAGGCTAAGCGCAGAAAAGAGAGTCCAATTTACATTACAGTATATAAAATAATTACAAATATAAAATATATATTACTGTTTAGTATATGAATGTAAAAAGTTTTTATATAATAATAATGAAGTTTGTCAAAAACATAATTTTATTATGTTTTTATATTCTATATAATAACAAAAGATAAAACTGTTTGCAATGTAGATATGTTGCTTGGTGCCTACTGCAAATCAATACTGAGTGTAGAGTTTGTTTTGTTGTTATAATAATATTGCAGTAACATAAAAATAATTAAGATAGTTTCATTTGTTGCATATCTACTAAGCATGGAATAAATTGACAAGCAGTATTGTATTTGAGTTGAACAAGTCTACACACATTTAGTAATAAGTAATAATATAGTGTCAATTGTGCATAAAGAGCTCACATATGTTTTCTCTCACCCAATAACAATGTACCTAATTAGATAAAAAAGATAAAAACTGAATGATGCCATTGATAAGTCACAAAAACAATGCATGCAAATAAATCTTGTTTCATATTCTTTGTATTTAAAAAAATAGTTTTAAATTAAAGCTAGCGCTCAAACTATTTTTATGTAGGTAGACAATAATGGCAGTTAGAAATCCTTCTAGATATTACATCAGAAATTCTAATGAGGGTAAGTAATAAATAGTGGGTAGTTATGAGATTTACCTCCTGTATTCGCAAGCTGGGCACCTTGTCGCCGAGCTCCTTGAGAGCGCGCAGCCGTCGTTGTGGTGGCGAGTCAGCGCCCAATTCTCGCTCCAGGTCCGGCGATACTAACAACTCGTTCCGCGCCGGCAGTGCCGCTGTGCGTATTACAAAACACCACATAATGCACACACTGTATACAATAACTCCTAGGCTTTATGCCGGTACATCGTACAACCGGTGTTAATCCGGAAAACCTACCTGATGCGCCCTTTTTGAAGAATACTTTCAACTTGTCTTGGAGCGATTTTATGTCCTTGTCTCTCGATCCCATTTTGCGTTGTTCTTGATGTTGAATGCGGGTTATGATTACACTAAGGTTTAATATTAGGTATGGCGATTACCTATGGTTGTGAAATTGCAAGTAAAAAGACATATTTGTTAAAAAATATTCTTAACACCGCTCCTGCTTTGCTATTCACCATTTGACAATTGTCTTTTACAGCTGACAGATCAGTAGGCCTCGGCACTAGGGTTCGTTCAGAAATATGAATATGAATTATATTTCCTCTTTATTTTATTTAAAAATAATCGTTTTGTAAAATAGTATCGCAAAATAAACATGTTTTTTTTTTATTTTAATGTTGTCATTTAGTGAAGAAAATTAGTAAAGTAAATTTTAGACAATAATATTAGACATTAGTGGCGCCTCTGCTGAGTAAGTTAAGAACTAAAATTACTATTATCAATTAGTTTTCTCTATTGCCACTACAATACAAATAGCGCTATTTGTTCCATATAAGCGCGTGCGAACGATTCACAATGAAAAGCAATCACCCTGAGTAATATAGTCTTTTTTACAATTTTATTAGCAATTGTTTGCCCAATTTTTTTTTAATAAGAGGCCGTTGAGTCAAAAGCACATACAAATATAAATAAAGATCCACACAGCAAGTAATATATATATATATATATATATACAGTGATTACTTGCTGTCCTTTACATAATATCCTTTGTTGTAAGTCAGAGACAGAGCTGCTTCGGTTTTGTTTCGAGATTAAGAATAGCAGCGTCCTTGTGTAGTCATAATCTAAGACCAAAAAAATACATAGAAGGAACGATAAAATAAAAACTGTAAATCACATGATTGCCTCTTTTCTTCTTATGTAAATATAATTAGTAAAAAGAGGACGAAAGATATATCATCAGTTGCTATTTTTTTCAATTCATAGTAGACTAGTGTATTAAAAATGTTTGATATGTCCATTATTAATTTATCAATGACAAATTTTAAATTAGTAGATTATATATTCGACACAGTTTATGTAGAAAATATGCAAGCAGGTTGTATCTGAATTTGATAGGGTTATACGGCCGTATAATATATTCTGCAATTTTCTATTTAATTCCTTGTTCTTGGTCATAATGAAACATAAATTTCATTCAATTATCTTTAATTTATTTTCTATATATCAGCGTTTATATCTATATATTATAGAAAATGATTTTAATAAATCATAATTTAGATTAAGATGCTAATTTCATACGTCATGCATAAACAACCTGTTTCGAAATGAAATCAACTCAAGTTTTAAATTAAAAGCCTAGTTAGTATCGTGTATTTTCGATATAATTTTATGAAATTGGAATTATAAGGGTCACGAGCAGGTGTCGTCTGGTCTAAGACAAAACATTAAATAGAATATAACGGATGGTACTAGAGAATAATCACAGATGGCGTTATCAGTTTAACTGTGCAGTAAAATGAGTCGGGACTCGAAAGAGCTTTCGTTTAATTTTTTTATAGATACTATTCTAATGCTAGTGTGTAATAGGTTTTACGTATAGATTAGTTATAATAATTACGACTATAGATATAGATATATACCGGTAAATAACTCGAATATGATATTTATACCATGACTTCCGGGAGCAAACTTTAAATTGTTTGTTTCAACTTGTTGATCGCATTTTATATCACACAGTACCACAACATCATGTTCTATTATTAATTGCTTTATAAATTAAAAATAACTATTAAGTTGATTGATGAACGAAAACAAGAATAGTTACATTCGTAAAAATAAAATAAAGGAACGGAAATGTCTTATATTATTCCATATTTTTATCTATTTTATAACGTTTAGAGTCCTTTTACAGTAAACATAGAGCGCTCTCTATCGAAATATATTGTTAGTAAACTTCCTATTAGAATCTAAAATTTATCATTTCCCTCTTCTGGTTGAGAACAAAAAATGGAATTTTTATTCAAAAGATCAAGAATTCCAATGTTTCTTATTCCATTAAGGTAGCAATCAAGTATACAGCCCGCCTGATGGTAAAAGGTCATTGTAGACGTTTGCAACACCAAAGCTGTCACGTTGTCGACTTCTGGTCTGTCTCTAGAGTAAGCCTCGGCTGGAGGATCAATCAGTCAGTTTTACTTTTGGATATAAAGGACACACACATCTACGAGTTTAAAGTTTCTCCGCTTCACGAAACATTTGCCTGATGTCTAAGCATAATGGTTTCTTATTATTTTTATTCTAATAATGTAATAAGTGTGAGACTTTGTTACTATGAATGGACGGTTTGTTAATCTTTTACGCAAAAACTATTGAACAGATTTCAACGATTCTCGTATATATCCTCAGTTGCACATAGGATATTTTATGTACTTATTCACGCGGGCAAAGCGGCGGGATACAACTACTATTATAATATTATAAACACGAGAGTTTGTAAGGATAGATGTATAGACGGATGTTCATTAATCTTTCACACAAAAACAACTGGACAAATTTATTTATATTTTATTATTCACTTGAAGGTTGAAGGTCGTGTGGTCCCAGCATAGAATAGGCCACCCCTTCTTTTTCCGTAGGTGTCGTAAGAGGCGATTAAGGGAGGGCGAGGGATGGGCAGCAGCGTCCCTCTTAAAACACTTCTAAAGTCTAACTACTTATACTCGTAAATTTTCACAATTCTAATATTAGTAGGAGGACATTGCATTGAAGAAATTAATTTTTATACCAGAGGGAGACTGTGTACAAAACTCGTCTGCTTGGGTACTTTTGTCCCAATCGTGTTTCTATCGCGAAGCGGTTGTTTGTATGGCTGTGTTTCAGTTTGAAGGGTGTGATATGGCAATTAAATTACAGGGTACAGAGACATGACATTTTTGTCCTTTTTTTTTTGATGTGTGAAAATGGTATGGTAACCCCGCCTGCGCTAACGGGATACGCTGGCGGAGCACCAGTGAAGGGTGATAGATGAGAATGAAAACAGGCCAGTTAGCCCATCATGATGAATTCATCAGGAATTAACCATGATAGTTTCCAGGGGGACCGCGAGGAGGTCGACCTGGTTGGGTATATTGCTAGCAATGGGATTCTCAGTCTCCATTACTAACAATCCCTTTCCCCCCCATTTTTGTCCTTTGTAATGGCAATACATGAAATGTATCATGGGCGATACAGTGTTTTATGTCCATGGTACTGTTCATGTATATAGGCGACGGTTACCACTTTCCATTAGGTGGGCCGTTAGCATGTTTGCCATTTTAAGTTGCATAAAAAATACCTAATACGTTTATGATGTTATTCTTGTTAATAGTTCTTATTGGAAATTCGTTAAAATAAATAAATTAAGACATGTGGGTCCTGTTATTTTTGTTTATTTATTTTTAATCTGACTAAGGTGGTAAACAACCATACGACCTACCTGATAGTAAGCGGTTTATTGTTTATGTATCCTTAAGTGTAATTAGACATCTGGAGTACCTACACAGGTAGACAGGCTAGAGTTTATGAAGTGTAAAGTAGGTAGAGACGCGCGCGGCACGCCGTTCGTCGGTCGTCACTCGTCGGTCGGCGGGCGGCGGGCGGCGGGCGGCGGTCGGCGGTCGGCTCATGTCCCTCCGCAGGTAATATACGGGTGTTTAATCTAGCCTCAGTGACGAGGGTCGACAATTTGCCCTCACCTGTGACACCGACAGACGCCTACAGACGGCTACAGCTCACAATCAACTGTCGCCCTAAATACCTGTTTGACATGGATTTATAGTGGACGTGTCGCATGTTATAGTTATTGCCGGCGACTCTGTCTTATGATTTATATCGCTGTACTCTCGTACCTATTGCCTGTCGCGGTTTCTTCGCACATACACAACTAGTTACATGTTGCGGGTTTGCTCGCAAGAAGTCACAGAGGTGTAATATCTTAGTCCTTGGAACTGGCAACGCTTGAAGAGCATCATGAGTGTCACGTGTATTCATGTTTAAAAAGGGATTTGTTACTGTTTTTTTAATGTATGATAATGGTATGGTAACCCCACCTGCGCTAACGGTATACGCTGTCGGGGCACCAGTGATGGATGATAGATGAGAATGAAAAGGCAAATAATTTAGCCCATTGTGACGAATACACCGGGAATTCAGCACAGTGGTTTCCAGGATGGACAAAGTGGAGCTTGACTATATTGCTAATAATAGGACTGGTAATCCCCATTACTAACAATTCTTTCCCCCAAACGGGTACTACTATGTGAGCCGTTATGTTGTTTATCATTACAAGTTGCATTAAAATCGCACAACAGGGAAGCAACCAAACCAGGGAGTCGCTAGGGGGGAAAGGGATTGTTAGTAATGGAGACTGAGAATCCCATTGCTAGCAATATACCCAACCAGGTCGACCTCCTCGCGGTTCCCCCTGGAAACTATCATGATTAATTCCAGATGAATTGATCATGATGGGCTAACGGGCCTGTTTTCGTCCTCATCGATCACCCTTCACTGGTGCCCCGTCAGCGTATCCCGTTAGCGCAGGCGGGGTTACCATACCATTTTCATTCAATAAAAAAAAAAACCAGGTTATCGCGGGAGGGGGGGGGGGTTGTTAATAATGGAGACTAAGGGCCCCATTGCTAGCAATATACCCAACCATATCGACCTTCACGTGGCCCCTCTGGAAATCATCGCCATTAATTCGGTCACTAATTGGGCTAACTGACCCCTCACTGGTGCCCCGCCAGTGTACACCGATAGCACAGGCGGGGTTACCATTACATTATCATCCCTATAAAGAACCAGTGAGTCGCCTACAGACATGAACAGCACACAGTACACTGTGCTGCCCATGATATTTATCTCATGCGTAGACCTCATGAAAAGGGATATTAAAATAATAGGCAATATAAATCACATTATTCCCAGTATTATTTATTTGGCAGATGAGCGTTGAATCCTGCTAGAAGCGCTTTTAAACTTTTATGTACGATCGTAAAGAATAAGAGGAAATTGTAAGCCCATAATGCAAAAAGTACTTAAGCGATATACTTAGTCAAATTGAATTTTTCCCCGGACAAAAAATTAAGACCGCGAAGTTGTGTCGGCGACGCGCGGCGGCGGGCGCTCCGCCGAAACTTTCCAAGCCCACCGAGGACACGGAACGAGCCGGATTGTTTGCCCTGCAGATTTCGCGTACATTTTTTTTCCATTAAGGGGCGA